AACATTTTCTGGCTCTCCCTCTTCAGAGGGTTGCTCCTCTGGAGCTCCATCTTCACCATCGGATTGCGTGCCTGGAGCTTCTGCATCTTCAGGCTTCAACTGCTCGGCTAGTCTACGAGATGCTGCTTCGCCCTCATTTCCTTGCTCCTCAACATTTTCTGGCTCTCCCTCTTCAGAGGGTTGCTCCTCTGGAGCTCCATCTTCACCATCGGATTGCGTGCCTGGAGCTTCTGCATCTTCAGGCTTCAACTGCTCGGCTAGTCTACGAGATGCTGCTTCGCCCTCATTTCCTTGCTCCTCAACATTTTCTGGCTCTCCCTCTTCAGAGGGTTGCTCCTCTGGAGCTCCATCTTCACCATCGGATTGCGTGCCTGGAGCTTCTACATCTTCAGGCTTCAACTGCTCGGCTGGTCTACGAGATGCTGCTTCGCCCTCATTTCCTTGCTCCTCAACATTTTCTGGCTCTTCCTCTTCAGAGGGTTGCTCCTCTGGATTTTCATCTTCACCATCGGATTGCGTGCCTGGAGCTTCTGCATCTTCAGACTTCAACTGCTCGGATTCAGGCGCCTCGTCTAGTCTACGAGATGCTGCTCCGCTCTCACCTTCTTGCTCCTCAACATTTTCTGGCTCTTCCTCTTCAGAGGGTGCCTCCTCTCCAGCGGGTGGCTGCTGTGGAGGTGATGGACTTGGGACGTTTTCATTCCCGCCTTCAGGAATTTCTGCTAACTTCGAAGGAGAGGCTTCGTTTGCGTTCGTCAGGGGGAGATCGGCGTCATTCTCCTGTCCGGTGGAGTCGACGCTTGGTGATTGCTCTTGCGTAGCGTCTGCGTCCGTGGTGGGCGGAGTGAGAAGCTGGTGAAGAACCTCATGGCGCGCAGCGAAATCTGCAGCCAGATCCAAGACGTTAGAACCTCCCAGAGACACGAACCAGGAATGAAGCGTCGTGAGGAGCACCTTGGCTTCGGAGTTGGGCACATCGTAAGTCTCGAGGAACGCTTTTGGATCAAAATCTTCGGTTGGTGCGGCGGAAGACCCCACAGCAAAATCGGGAGCCGAATCTCCAGAGAGGGCATTGCTACCGTGTGAAACCTGCATGTCCGACTCAAGGACGGAAAGGGCCCTACCAGTGAGGCCTGGTAATTTAGCAGTGGCGTAGGCGACGGTGCCTAGCAGCACCGAACCCGCCAAAATGGGAACGGATCTCATTTTGACTACGTTTGGTTAAAATACGGGACAAACCAGAGGAGCTCTTTACCAAAAAAATTTGAGAGCGGCACTGGATCCACCTCCGGCACAAGGAATGGAGTTGTGGCCCTGTAACAAGTCGGAGGGAAGCGAGCTCGGAAAGAAGAGCTGTCCGTCTCTCCCAAAACAAAATTGTGTACCGTCGGAAGAAAAGAAATGCGGTTGGAATTCGATGCAGCGGAAAGCCGTTGCCGCGTACCGGGCCGCAAATGCTTTGCTACGATCCTGTGCGCACCCTAGAGAAGGTTGTTCCTCAGCTGAGGGCTGAACCACGGTCCTGCGAAATCAATCCACTATAGATGCAACTTTTGCTTGTTCTGAAACAGACTCGGACAAAGTTGCGTCTTTCCTATATGGAAGACGCTGTTTGTCTCTTCCGTCAACTCGCGAACAATAGGCACGTGGTGTGGAAGCCACACCACATCGGCCGTCTCTAATATTGTCAGGTGCGTTAGTATTTCTACTGTTATTTTGCCGCGAATAGGGATTTTTACATCAAAAAGAAACGTTCTTTCGAGAATCTACTCGTGTTGGTGATGATACCGCTGCCTTTTGAACCCACAATGAAGGCCTTGTGGCGTGCTACGATGTCTTGGACTTGCGACGCAAACTTGCCCCGTGTTTCGTAGGCACCAGACTTTCAGTTCTAAAGTTGTTTACTCTAGTTCAGCATGTATCTGTACGAAAGTGGTCAGATTTGCGAGGCAGAGGGTGGCCTAAGCTGTGTTAACGCCCACTTCGGCATAGCAAACCTCCGTAAAGTCTTACCAGGGGTTACTACAATTGAGTACAACAGCAAAACCCCGAGTCTACAATTTCGCTTTGAAGTAAAGAAATGACTTACTGTATATGAATGCGCAACAGAATTTTCCGAGCGCTATAGGGCGTCTGGGGAGCCGCCGTGCGCCAACAACGTTGCGCGCAGGCATCGCAGCACGTGTAACGCACGACCGTCAGTTCCCACAGGGACATACATGGCCTCTAATGCAGTACGGAACACAATAGGAAGTTGTTTAGCCTTCTTCCAGACGAATGTCTCAGGGGTCTGGCAGCATGATAAAGCAGCAGCTCAGGTACACTTTGGTGCATCCGCTAAGCAGTAAAATTAGTCGCAGCGGGCTGCCCATAGAAACTTGCACACAGACACACGAAATTCTTCCTTAACCCGATGAGCGACTGTGATCCACGAATATCATGATATACAAACAGCCAAAGCAAAAAGAAATTCGTCCGTGAGGTAGAGAGTGCCTGAGCGTGGGTCAGCCCACAATCTCTCTCCCCTCAATTAGAAGACTACGCCGTCGTGTTCCACACCTGTCGTAGATACCAGTCGCATACAGATAAGCGTAAGAGTTACCGCTTCATGGCCACTTTCCAGCCAGGCAGAAGCATGTGTATCCATCAAGGGCTACAGTACAATCCACTCGAGGAAAGCAATACACATTAGCCAGGAACGAACGAGGGACAAAAACATCACAACTGCGGTCGTAGAATGGCTAGCCGTTGCTGAAGCGCTAAAATGTGTGAGCATCCTCATACTAAAATACGGAAGCCTGGTAATATCTACAAGCGGAATCAGCATACCCAAAATGCAACGGTGACTGTGCAACTCACCCAGCAATCTCTACATGCAAATATATCCGGTGTATACAGCATAGTAAATTACAAAGCTTCAAAATAGGCATACGCAAGATTGATAGGACAGCATACTTAAGTGCGATAGCATAAAGCTGAGAGTACAGGACACCTTTAAAATGCTAGCCGTGACCTATTCAAGCAGTACTCATGCATGAAGCTAGGCATCAGGAGCAGAGCATGCGCTAAAGAAGAATTGCCAAGGAACGCGAGGAAGATCGTTTATGGCAACTAGTGTTGCTGGCCAAGACAAGCTGCAAATTCTTTCGCAGGCAGTGAACCCTGCAACTGCTCCTCCGTCAACCACTGAGGCTGGTGTTCTCCAGCCGTTGCACTATAATTCCACTAGGATGTGTCATTGACATTCATTAGTCCTAGAATGCAGCCCATCCACGGCTCCCTGTGAATCATGCCTCTACATGCGGGTCACTTGCCTGCGCGGCAAAGTCCGCGAACAATTTGGGGTGCATTAAAACTCCTTAAAGAAGCCAAGGTAGATAGTTCTGTGTCACCTCCATCGTTTTAGGAAAATGGATAGAATAAGAAAGCGCATTGATTTGTTAAAGGATGACAAAAAGGCTCGACCCATCTGTCTTGAAGCGCCTTTGTCTGTCCCCTTCTGGTGCACCTTGGTAAGCCGTCCAATTCACCAGGAGCAAATGCCCAGACCCGACAACTAGCTCCAACTGCCGCGTACCATAATCTCATGCCTGTCTCTCTGAAGCTTTGCCCGTATATTTGCTCGCACTACCGGCCTTATCTCTTCATTCGTTTGCTCTGAAATGTAGTTGCTGACTGCAGATCACCAGGCCTAGGACCAGATAGGAGAGGGGCTCCTCCATGTCAACCACGGATGCGCGAGAGCCATGGATAGATGATCGTCCTTTTGCATCACAAGTCCACTCACCACACGGGAAAAACTCTGGCCGAGCAAACATATCTTGTTGGCATAGAGTCGCAAGTACCGCAGAAAAGTGCGGTTGGTTGCCCAGCCTGGTTATCTGCTTCAGGGTGGCTTGCATTGGTCAACTTATTTTCATCGCGTAGGCAAGTCATAAAGGTAAGCCAGAAAACCTTTAAACTCCCTTTTTTCTATTTGTAATGGAATTCCTGGAGATTACGTGAAGCTTTCAAAAATGAGTTAAGAACAGTTAAAGCGAATTCGTGAGCCGTGACCGAGCTGGAGCAGGGGATGAGTGAGCCATTCTGCTGAGTGTGCCAGCAACAACTGAGGTGCTACTTTGACCTCCAGCTTTTTTACGATACAGTTCACGATCAAATCCGGCCAGATTCCTGCAGAAACTGGAAGACTTTGCAAGACCGGGCTCAGGAGGATTCCCCAGCTTTCGCTGCTGATAAGTTTGGCACGCCAGTGCACACACCTCTACCGTAGGCCACATCCAGGCCATCGGAGGCAACGTGAGTGGCTTCCCCGCTTATGTGAATCCCACAATTTCTGTAAAGAACAGGATTAGCTTTGCGCAGAATAACACTGCAAACTGAATTCGAGATGCACAAGGGAAGCAGTCCCAGCTTTGGTCTAACCATAGCGGCCATGCCATTCTGTCTCTGGCAATTTAAGGGGATTCAAGTGTCTCTAAGACATCCACCTCACTCAGCGTCGATAAAAAATGGCAAATTTGACAGACAGTCTGGCTACGCTGCATAGGAGTGCGTTGCTGGAATTTCGCGAAAGCGCGTCTGTGACCACGTTGGTGATGCCCATAACATACTTCACCGTAAAGTCGCGCTGCATGAGGTGCCCAAGCCAGAGAATAATAGAAAATCCCCCGTACGTTATATCAATGACTGTTGGTTGATCTGGGCAATGAGACACCGTTCATTTTAATAGTACGGCCTTTTAAAACGCTTGACTACACTGCATGGAGTTCTTGTTTCCGTACTGGATACCTGTAAACCGCTGCTCGGTTTGAGTGAAGCAATGCGAATAACAAGCAAGAATTTAGTTTCAGACTCCGTAAGCTGTTGAAAGAGAGTAGCAGTTATCACGGTCTCGAGCATCGGTTGGTAGGAAGAAACGACGCTAGTTATCGGCCAACGCACGTACCGGATTATTTATAAGTCAGCTGAGAAGCGTCCTTACTGCGCCATCAGTCTCCTCTGTCCAGACAACAGACTGTGTTTCCTGCGCAGTTCAGGCAAAGAAGCAGCAATCAGAGCAAATGCAGGAAGGTAATTTTGGAAAGCACATACAAGAGGATAGGAGTTTGCGGTGTCCTTACAGCTCCATGAAGGCCGCGTCCGGATTGCTTGATTTTTTTGCAGGGTTGGGCTTGATCCCTGCAGCTGAGGTACGAGATTCCAGAAGCACAGTTGTCCTCATGAAAATTAGCGCTTGTGTGCCTCCACATACCACTGCTTGTCCTGTAACACGGAAGGCACTCATCAGATGTGCTGTAGGTGCCCTTGGATATTTCTGCTGAAGACAGTGGTATCGCCCATGTAGATAGCCATACGCCTATCCTTGATAGGCTCTTGAAGTCTTGATTGGCATGCCGTAGGAGCTCAGTTGGGGGAAAGTTACCAGATCAAGAGACACATAAGTCTACTTGGGCTTCTAAATGTGAGTGCGAAGACCTGTTTTGTGCCATCCATCAGCACACCTGAGTCTTGGAACCGGGCTGACGAGTGACTAGAAAGATTTCACTTCCGCGCCGTCTGCTTGGGTGTACTTGGGTAACAGAAGCACTTTAAATTCAATATTATGTAACGCAGCGATTTTCCTCCGCTAATTTGGGCTGACGTGAGCGCAGAAAGGACACGTGATGGGTGTCTGACTGCCGCGCTCTCCTCTGTCGCCCCCCTCAAGCCATGGAAGGCCATTTCTGCTGCCCTGATGCGCCTGCTATGCTCGCCAAGCATCCCGCTCCCGTCAAAACCAATCCCTTTCTTCGAGTGTTTTGGCCCTTTGTACGCGCTCGTAGCTCTGCATTTTGTGGCTGATTCCCAAATACTCGCAGGCGCTTCGCTGGGAGGCTCTTTGGGTCTGCTTAGGAGCACGAGCCCCCTGTTTCTTTTTCGGCCCTCGCCGTAGACTGTAGATTAGGGCCAACCGGCACAGCCCCACCATCTCATAGGCTCTACATCCCCTTCTTGGCTCCTCATTCTCAGCTAAGTACGAAAGAGATGGGCAAATTTGCTTGTAAAAACCTTTTAAAATCCATCGTTCAAAAAAGTCTACCTGCTGGTGGTTTAATTGCTGAGTCGCTGCCCACTCCGCGACCATCTGATGTGACAGTCCTAACCTGATACAAGCCACTGATAAAACAGGTGTTCTTCTTAGTTGTGGCTTTCCTGGACGATATTTTAATGCTGCTCCATGGGTCGATTTCTTATAAGGCTTCCCTGCATAAGCTTTCCCAAGTCTCCCAAAGCTTGCTGTTGTTTTAATCTCGACATAAATTAATAAGTCGGCGCTTGCATGTTTAAGTTAAGTAATCCCTGCAGGCTTGCACCTTCCTCTACATGGACATAGCCACCACGGAAGTGCTTCTTCCTTCAAAATACATGCCTCAAGGAGCACTTGTGTTTGTTTTGAAGGCTCACAGCGAGGCCCATCTCCAACCAGCTGAAAAAATCTTCGCATGCTCGCCCATCCTTACGGGCGGCATACTTTTCAAGTCTGTACGACTTCCTCGGCGCATGAATAAGCATTTTATAGGGTGAAATGTCTTGCCTCTATACCAGCTGTGTACCTACTGCGTCCACATCCGCTTGCAGGCTGGACTGGGCCCCTCAACAAGCTCCTCCTTTGCCCGAGCTTGTTCGTCCCAGGCTGTTGTTAACGAAAATCAAAGTAGTGGACCATCAAATTGTTTGTTCGAAACCAACTGGTGTCAGGAAACCTGACATCCCACAGCGTCGACAGCCAGTGGATGAGCAGGGGAAAACTGCGTCGACCCATTTGTTGCTACCGACTGTAACGTACTCCTAAAGCTCTAAGAAGCCAAATGCTTAGTGCCCGATTCAACAGGTTACCCCAAAGTTATCGCGTGTTCATCAAAAGGATTCTATTTTCGCCATGCTGTCGCCCATCAGAGTTCCGACACATGGGAAGAAGCAGAGCTAAGATAGGCACAGCTGCACCCTTTAAGCACTGTGTGCATTTGCAGCTAGTTGCGTATAGGATGTACCCCACAGGCATACAACAATGTGTCTTCATGGAACGAGCTCACGACACACTGCAATAAATAAGATGTACGAGTGGGCAGCCCAACTGCAAATCATTACTAGTTCTCGGTGAAATATAGCGAGTATAGTAAGACCTGTTTTAGTGTAGCTTAGCGCGGCACACGGGCACTCCACTCTAACTGCGTATCCTACTACGCCCATGCGGCCCTATTGGAATCCGTCGCCCATCATCCTGCAATAATCTCTTTGGCTATTCACGATGAATCGATTGAATGGCAGCTTAGGCCTTTTCTAATGTGAGCCCCTTACGGGGAACTACATGGAAACGTGCCGGCAGTCTGTTGTTCTGTTGGTTGGAGGACCCCCACCACGTGTTCTCATTGCTGCGTAAGGGTACATCCAGAGGGCGTTGAACTAGAGGCGCAGTAAAGGCAGAAAACAATGGAGCCAAACAGTGTTGCACCGTCAGCAGCAGCAACACTAGGACCTAGAAGTGGCTGCTGCGCTATTGGGAAACGCTGGGAAGCACAAATGTGTAACCTTGGGCCCCCGGTTCCTGTGTCCACTTGGACCTAAACGCCTCTGGGTTTAGGTTTTAGTGTTTAGGGTTTGCACAGAGTTTATTTAGCGTGTCTCCGAGCCGAATTACAGCATCGGCAGCTTGCGGCGTGTGCAGTGACGTCTACGGCGCAGCAGCGGACTGAGGGGGTCGGATGCTCTGCCGCCCGTTCGTCCCCCTTTCCTTTTCTTTTTGCCTCTATTTCTCTGCTTTACTGAATGAAATATCTGTTACTCGTCGCCTTATTCCCCCAAGTTCCCGCCACAACTGGGCAGGGCCACCCAACATCTGCATGCACTTTGCCCCTTTGTGTTCGTCTTTCTGCTCCCGTAGCCAGCTGCCCGCTTCCTCCAGCTTGTTCTTTCCTCCACAAAAGTACTGGCGTCTCCGCCTCTCCGGGGTCCCCCTCAACCCTGCCGACAGACACCGCAAACACGCCGCGCCTCCCTCCGAGGCGCCTCGCACAAGTCTGTCATCGGCAGTCTCCCGCTCCCCGAGATCTACAGGGTATGCCTCGCCCCCCAGTGCCTCCCCCAACTCACTGACTTTCGTGGAGGAGCCTCAGGGCAGCTTCGCTCACAACGGGCTGCACGGAGTGCTGGGGGCCCACCAGCCCGAGACTGGGGGCCCCCCGTACCCTGTGCGCACGTCTGCCGCTTCCCCCCTCGTATTTCGTGGCAGTGTTACCAACTCCCTCCAGGAGGCAGGCACCACTGCGCCTCGTCTGCCTCTGCGCGGAGGCGATCCGCTGCGCCAGTTGCAGCTCTGACTGTACAGCCGTGGATCGTTGGGTCCACCAGATCCCCCGAATGCGGGTTGAGATGGCGTTGTGGCGTGTTGCTCCATGAAACTGCCTGTCTTAGCCCCTTCATTGCCTCCAGATCTCTCGCCACAGCCCTCCCCACTCCCCGGGGGTGTGGTGTGCGTGTCTCAGCGGTGTCAGTCACTTGGCAGCGCTCAGTCGGAGTTCATGCCATGGGAATTCCAAAGCTTTCTGTTCGCATGCATGCCTAGTGAAACGCAGGCCTGATGCGGGGACGTTGCGTGGAGCTGCTGCCTCTGCACCCGTTTTTTGCTTCAACAGGAAGCATGGCGTGTCTAACGCCTTAGGCCCCTCGTGTGGAGTGTGTGTGTGTGTGGTTCTGATTTCCTTAGGGCTGGACGTTGTCTAGAATTCTGCTCCTGCTGTCTCATCGTAGCAGCGGCGGAAGCGGCTTAGGTGTATGAGAACGCATTCGAAAATACTCTGCAATTGCTCGGAGCGGAACCAGGAGGTTGGCAGCGTTCACGCGCCGGAAGAAGAGGGGAGACGGGCAATGCGTGTGCCGTGACGTTCCTCAAATTGCTGTCTCTTAGCAGCAGCAGCAGAAGTGGCAGCAGCAGAAGCGGCAGCAGCAGAGGCGGCGGAACCCCAACAAGAGCAGCAGTACCAGGAGGAGCAGCAGCAGAAGATTTTGGAGTTAGTTGCCTCGTAGATTATCGTGCGTCTTCGCATTGCAGTGTTGACTCACCCTGCCTAGCCGTTCGTGCCTTTTCCGAGCATCTGCTGCTGCTGCCGCACGTGCTGCTGCTGCTGCTGCCGGGGCGTTCGCCAAGATGTCTAGACAGCAGCAGCAGCAGCTGCAGCAGCAGCAGCACCACCATCAGTTGCTGCTCCAGCAACATGGACTGGAAGACGGCGAAATGACGCCTCCAGTGTCACCGGTGAATCCGAGCGACGCGCAGCAGCCAGCAGATGAGCGGCAGCAGGCTTTGCAGTGCACTTCTCAGCTGTCTCCCTCGACTCCTGGCTCTTCGTCCTCGCAGCAGCAGCAGCAGCAGCAGGTGCACCACCCTCCCCCAGCACTTCCAGACTATTCCTTGAGTGCCCTGCCTCCGCCTTCGCCGTGGGAAGTGGACTTCTTGCTGCCTTCATTTCTCTCTCGCTACGCGGGTTCCAACAGCGGTGGGGAGCCGCTGCTAGACGAGGTGCCTACCGTGTACAGCGAGTGGCGAGACACTCCTGCCGTCCGCTTTCGCCTTATGGTGCACCCAGTATCGCCGACGGGAGCAGCCGCTGCGGGGGGTCGAGATCGGCGGTTTGTTGGAGCCTTTGTCGAGACAGCGCGACGCGAGGATTATCCGGAGGATTGGATTTTTCATCAGGGCTGCCGTTTCCACATCTACGCCATACACCCCACGGACTACCGAAAGAGCATCTACAAGAGCGACACCTACCAGTTCTCCTGTGATGACGCCGATAGGGGTTGGCACCAGTTCGCGTCTCACCAGGAGCTTGTCGACGAGAGCTTTTTAAGAGCGTCTCCTCAGGGGGGGGGAGGCGCTCTCTATCTCCGAGCAGGCTGCATCCCCATCTGCGCGGCTGTCTCACGCCGAATCCGCACGCCTTGTCCTCCAGCGACGCTCCCAAGCCTCGACGCCTCCGCCTCGACTTCCTCCGGATCCAAGCGGCAGCAGCAGCAGCAGCAGCTGCAGCAGCAGCAGCTGCAGCAGCAGCAGCTGCAGCTGCAGCAGCAGTCTGGAGGCGAGGACAGTCCGCCCCTCCCGACACACGCGTCGCAGGGAGGCACTCCGTCGGTAGCAGCAAGAGGCATGGGACGCTGTGGTCGTGGCTTTGTTGGGCTAAGGAACCATGGCGCGACTTGTTACATGAATGCCCTTTTGCAGTCGTTATACTTTATCGGAAAATTCAGAGAAGCGGTGTACGCGCTATCCTTCGACACGAAAAACACATGCGGAACTCGCAGCGTAGACATTCTCGAGCGGCGGCGTTGCAGACGCAAGCGAGGCAGGGGATTTGCGGCGTCTGGAGTAGCCCAGGCAAAGCGAGGAGAGGCGCCTAGCTCGGCAGCGGCGTCTGCCGCTTCTGCGGGGGGGGCGAGTGGCAATGTCTCTGCAGTCAAGGGATGCAATGGAGCGGCGACGGCCGCCTCATCCGACGAGCAAATGGATGTTGAAGGGATGAGTCCCTCTTCTGTTTTCTCGGAGGGCGAGTCTTCTCTGGCAGGGGGCACGGCGGCAGCCGTGCTGTCGGAAGAAAGTACAGACAGTGAAGATGAGTTGTCGGACCTGGAGGAGAGCGAGTTGCGCGATTTGCTGGTGGAGGAGGAGGCGGAACGTCGATCTCCGCCGTCGATCTCCCTGGCTCTGCAAAATCTCTTCCTCAAATTGTACACTGCGAACGAGGCAGTGCCTTACAAGGAGCTCATTCGCTCGTTCGGCTGGGACGCCGCGGACGCCTTCACGCAGCAAGACACGCACGAGCTGCTGAAACTCCTGCTGGATAAGGTGGAGGAGCAGATGCGGGGAACGCCTGCGGAGGGCAGCGTGAAGGCCATGTTCGAGGGGGAAATGGAAACCTACGTGGAGTGCATCAACGTAGAATACAAGAGTGTCAGGAAGGAGGCCTTTGAGGATGTCAATCTAGACGTTCAAGGCTGCTCAGGCGTCCGAGAGAGCCTCCAGAGGCTTGTAATGCCAGAGCTTCTCGAAGGAGACAACGCATACGACGCCGAGCAACATGGGAAGCAAACTGCTCGAAAGGGCGTTCGGTTCGTTCGCTTTCCCCCCATATGCGTCTTCCTGCTCAAGCGCTTCGACTTTGATTTCGCAAGAATGGACACCGTGAAGGTGTTTGACAGGTATGCGGACTTGGCCTTGCAACGGGGGCAGAGTGTGCAAGGAGCGTGAAGGGCGCTTGGGGAGTTTGCCGCTGACGGCGCGGTGGGGAGCGAGGGTGAAGAAGGAGGAGAGTCTCTGGCTGCAGGCGCCTCTTTTGGGGTGGTGTTTGAGAGAGGAGGATGGGTTTAGGCTGATAGAGTCGTAGGTTGCGGAATGACGACGCAGCAAGAACGAGGAGGCTTTTTACTGGTGGATACCCCCGAGGTTGCAGGCTTGGGCTCTCAGGGAACTTGGTGTAGTTAGTGGAGGCAACCGTTGGTGCGGAGTGTATTGACGTTTGCGAAGCGTGTATGGACAGCTTGCGGAATGTGTGGACAGCTTGTGGCGTGTATGGACAGTTTGCGGAGTGTATGGACAGTTTGCGGAGTGTAGGGACGGTCTGTGGCATGAGTGGACAGCTTGGGGAGTGTATGGACAGCTTGGGGAGTGTATAGACGGTTTATGAAGTGTATGGACAGCTTGGGGAGTGTATGGACGGCTTGCGAAGTGTATAGACGGTTTGCGGCGTGTATGGACAGCTTGTGAAGTGTATGGACAGTTTGTGAAGTGTACAGACTGTTTGCGGCGTGTATGGACAGCTTGTGAAGTGTATAGACGGTCTGCGGAGTGTATGGACAGCTTGCGGAGTGTATGGACGGTCTGTGGCGTGTATGGAGAGCTTGTGGCGTGTGTGGAGAGCTTGTGGCGTGTATAGACAGTTTGCAAAGTGTACAGGTTTGCGGCGTGTATGGACAGCTCTTGGAATGTATGGACAGCCTGCGGAGTGTATGGACGGTCTGTGGAGTGTATAGACGGTTTGCGGAGTGTATGGACAGCTTGCGGAGTGTACAAACGGCTTGTGGCGTGTGTCAGGTACGAGTTCCAGAGGGAATTGGATCTGAATGAGTTCTGTGAGGGCGCGGGCGTCTACGCGTTGCACTCGGTGTCTGTCCACCAGGGAGACGTGAATTCTGGTCACTATTATTCCTTCCTTCGACCCCCTCCGGGCACCCAGTGGTACGTTGGATCCTTTACAAGGAGTCTCGTGTATGTTTTCATGAGGTAGAATGTACGGTTATGTCTATTCATGTGTATGTTCATGAGGTAGAGCGTATGGTCATGTCTATTCATGTGTGTGTTTGCGAGTGTGTGGATGTGTGTATTTGTGTGCGTGAGCAAGTGTGTCAGTGTGAATGAGTATATTTGTGCGTGTATATGCATGCATGGAGGGGTGTGAATGCGTGGTTCATTTTTTCCGTCAGCCTCTCCTTGTGGATGCCACTGCTCTGGAGGCATCGGTGCTGCTTTCATCTGTCTGCGTTATTGCTTCTACTTGCGAGCCTTCATGCCGTCCACTCTCTCTCTCTCTCTTGTCGTCTTCGCTGTGTGGCGTATTCTGCTGCCTTCTTTTAGGCATGCAGTTTCTCGCCGTATGAGTACACTGAGTGCTTGATCCTTCGGGGCTGGCTCCCGCGTCAGTGCATGCATGCGCATTTCCCCTTTCTACGCTTGGTGATGATTCCATTTTCTCCTCTCCCGGCTCTTACCTCAGGGTTCGCTTCGACGATGACAAGGTCTACCATGTCAGCGAGTATGCAGCTATTGGAGACAACTTCGGAGGGGAGGAGCTTGAAGCCTGCAATTACTTGAGAGGTGCGACTGGCCCTCAGACGCTGTTTTAGGGCTGGTAGTACTTATGCATGCGCCTTTTTCATCGCGGAGTCTTAGGATGCAAGCTTGGCAGTTACATATATGCAATCCAGCACCTATCGAGGGAACCGACTGCTTGCGCAGACCCCCTCCTTACACTCTCTGTACAGTGCTCTCCTTGCTGCCGTAGGTAAAGGCGCATGAAAAAAGGCACCATCTTTTTTCTGCTTCCTTCTGCGCTTTATGGGGGCGTGCAATGATCGCGTTTGACCCTTTGCGTATCCCCAGTGCTTGCGGCTGCCTTGCTTTTGCTCGCCTCGAATCGCTACTTTGTTGTTCAGAGTTTAGCGGAAGGCTCCTCTGTTTTGTTCTCAGGAGAGCGAAAGACACGAACACGAAACAAGCCGTACAACGCGTATATTCTCGTCTATGTCAACAAGTCGCAGGCCCCATATCTTCTAGCCGATTGCAGCCCTCTTAAAGCAAGTTTCTGATTTTTCGTTGCTGCTGCGGCTACTGCTTCAGGGGTGCTGCCTCCAGCTCCCACTGTGCATCAATAAATGGTGCTCATGCCCTTGTACCTACACGCACATGCTGAAATCCACCGCTTTCCTCAAAAGATAGTTCGTGTGTGCGCGCCCGATCGGGTTCTTCTTCTGAGAATGTCTGCCCGCATGTCCACCCACTTGGTTAGGCCTTCAAGAGGCTCCTCTGCATCTTTTCTTTGCTCCTTCTCGCCCTCTTATGTGCGCGCAGGTTAATCCCCAGATTTTGAGCCGTTGCCGTACAGAGGAGCAGTTGAGGCGCTTGAGGACGCATATCCGCAACGCTCTTGAGAAGAGCGTTAGGTATGCCTCTGTCCACGTCACTCCGTGCCAAACAAATCTATATCTTCTCGAGTTCTTTTTCTTTGCGTCCTTCCTCCCTCCTTCCTACTGCCCTGCCCCCGCCTTATAGACCTTCTTCCCCTTCCCCTTCCGCGCTTGTCTTCTCGCATCTAGGCTTTTCTTCTGCTTTCTCTCTCTGTATGCCTGCCCGTGTTGCCTAACCCCGCCCTCCTCTTCGCTCTTGTTCCTCGCCATTGTTCAACCTCCTGTGGGGCATATGCAGAGTGTGCATTGCCTGCCGTGCCCCCATCGCTGTTGTGTGCTGCGGGCCCTATCAGGATAAAGGTGTATCACCCGCTACAGTTCAAGTACCGGCGCTTCGTGGAGCTGCCGTATCTCTCGATTCCTCCCATCATGGACATCAAACGGAGCCGAAACAGCGATATTCTCCTGCTGCATGAAACGATCACGCAGGAGCTCACGCGCCTGTTGTACGGTGGGGGGGGGCGCCAGGGGGGCCCCGCGGGGGCCCTAGGAGGGGCCCCCAACAGGGTTCAGTTTGTGCTCCATCTGATCAACACCTCCATGGAATCCCCAAGGTTCGAAGCTATCGAACTGGGGACGAATATGGAGCTGGGGGAGATCCTGCGGAGGAAGGGAGGCGGAGGGGGGGGAGGGCTCGAGGTCAGTCTGTACGTCTTAGCCGTACCAGAGAAATCTGCTCTCTTTAGCACACCCCTGCAGCATGACGAAATCGTAAGGTCCCATTGTCTGCTCTTCATCAAATACTTCCCCTCGCTCACACGGACTGCCAGAGACGTCCAGCTCAACAAGGGCGGGCACCTCCAACAGCACCACCAACAGCAACCCCTCCCCCCTCCCCCCCAACAGCAGCAACAGATCGTGCAGGCAAATACCGACAAAGGCACACAGGGAGAACTCGTCATTTGCTTGGATGTCGTTTATGTTCCCTTCGAATGGAAAGTTGTCCGTCACTTCGACCCTCCTCCCTCCCTCTCTTCCCCCCTACTGCCTTTTGTTCCCTCTCCCTTTTTTTCCTCTCCCTCTCCCGCTGTGGCTGCCTCGACCATATACATATATATATATATATGTACCGGCTGTCCTCTCCCCTCTTTCCCTTTGTCTGCTCCACGCCTGCGTCTCGCGCGGCATTTCTATCCATGTTTCTCTCGTGGCAAACAAAATCTCGCCTCAGCCTCCGTTTTCTTCTCTCTCGTTTCGACGCCTATAAGGCCGCTATAGTCTGTGCCCTCTCCTCTGATGCAATGCTTCCGAGGAACAAACTACTTTGCCTAGGATCTGCCTCCCGCTTTTACCCAGCTAGATGCCTGCTCTCTCGCTCTCTCTCTCTCTCTCTTTCTCTCTCTCTCTCTCTCTCTTTCTCTTTCTCTTTGTCTCTTTCTCTTTGTCTCTCTCTCTTTCTCTCTCTTTCTCTCTCTTTCCCTCTCTTTCTCTCTCTCCATCGATGACCCCTCGCTCATATCATATGCGCCGCCCTCCGTGGCACTGCTCCCCGCTGGCCGTTTTAGGCATTGCATTCTTGCGGTGCCTTCCCCCCCTTTCACGCCTTCCACAACACCTTTCCACAACGCCTTTTCACAGCACACTTCTCCGTCTGCATGCTTCTTGCTGCGCTCTCCTCAGCGCGATCTGGAGCCACACGTCTTCCGACTGATTCACGAAGCGATGCAGGAGGGACTTATCGACGAGGGCCCCTCCCGGGCAGCCGAGGTTGCGCGAGTGGTCTCCGCCTTCCCCCCCACACTACCACCCCTCTCCAGTTGTGCTCCTTACTCAGCTCCGCTGCCTGTTCCCCTGCCTTCTCCGCAAAACAAAGGCGACTGTTATCCCCCTCTGCAGTGGTCTCAAGGGGCCTCCGTTGCGGTGGCTGCAGCGCAAGCCTTGGGGCCCCTCACAGCGGGGGTCGCTTCCTCCCTGCAGCTCACGGCGTGTCTTGAGCTGGATGCCACTGACAAGATCCACACCAACCGCTTGCTCGGCAGAAAGACACTCAGAAACTCAAAAGTGCGTGTGGGGGTTTCAAGAGAGAGAGAGTCCTTTTGCGAGGGGCTCAGCAGTCGTATGACGTGCTCCTTGCGCGTCCATATTTCCTTCCCTCGCACACGAATACACACACAACCACCACACATACACACACAACCACCACACATAGACACACAACCACCACACATAGACACACAACCACCACACATAGACACACAACCACACGTGGGGTCTCTTCGCGCGCTCTTTCTTCTTTGATTGTCTTGCCATCGCCGGTCGCCGATCGATCGCTTTTTCGCAAAGGAGGAAGCACTTTGTTGCCGCGGAGCACGATCTTGCTTTCGTAGACGGGGGAAAGGAGGCAGGAGCGCTGTGCTGCCTTCGCAGAAGGCTGCGATTCCCTCGCGTGTTGCCTGCATGTGTGCTCGCGTGATCTGCTCTTGCGGCGCTGTCGTCTGCTCGCTCGACCTCAGGTGTTTTCTGGAGACTTGCTTGTCTTCTCGCTCGACTTGCCTCCTGCTCTGCTCGAGTACAAGGAGGCACAGCAAAAGGTTGGAGGTCGCTCCGAAGACGTTGCTCCGCAGCAGGCATACTGCCCATCCTCCCCCGCAGAGGAAGGCCACCTGGCCTTAGAAGCAGCAGCAGCAGCAGCAGCAGCAGTAGCAGTAGCTGCTGCTGCCACAGGAACGGCAGCAGACACCACATCCTCTCTGGTGCCATGGGGGGGGGCCCCTCCCCGGGAGGTCAGGGGCCTCTCTCTGCTGCCCTTCGTCCCCCGCTCCAGGGGAGGCGCGATCCCCCCTATCCCCCCGCCTCTCCCCTGCTACCTCTGCAATGATTTCGTAGACTACTGTCTGGAGGAGCAAGCCACGGAGATCTACCACATCAGATTGTACGATCCTTATGAGGTTTGTTCGCGCCCCTCTTTGCTGCGCTTCCTGCCTTCCTCTCCTTCCCAGAGCCTCGTTCTCCGCGAGGAGGCAGGCCCCTTTCTGTTGGAGCCGCCAGCGGCGACGCTTTTGGGTGCTCCCGCGATGCGCAGTCTCTTCTTGACGTCTATTTCGCTGCGCTGACTTCTCCGAGCTGCCCCAGTGCCCCCCACAAGCGAATTCCCCCGCGTCTGCCGTCTACACACTGCTGCGCAGTCTGCCGCCTGCTGCTCTTCTAGCGCGTTTGGCGCAAGCGCTCCTTTTCTTGCCCGCCCATCGCTGCGCCTTCTGCGCTGCTTGTTGGTGAGCCTCAGTTCTTGGGGAAGGTGATGTCTTCTTCTGGCTGTCTCCTCCCTTCGCCCTCTCTGCCGCCTCCAGTCGGGGAGGCCTCCTCGCTGCTCTCGGAAGCTTCGCTCGTGTCTCTCCCTGGGAGCGATGTCGGCGCCCCCTCGAACGAGGGGGCCCCCTGCGTGAGCCTCCCAGGCGTGCCGCACCATCCCTCTGCGGAAAACACAGCAACCCTCATCTCTCCAAACGAGGCATCCACAACCATTACGGGAGGCAAATCGAAGATGGACGAACCAGATGAAGAAGCGCTGTCTCCCTCTCCCGTTGTCGAGGACCCCTGGCTGCACATGCCAAGCGCAAAGCCCATCTGTATCAAGGAGTTTTCTCTCAGTGGGAGACTCCCCGCCCGACAGGTTGGCCGCTCTCCCCTTCAAGGCTTCCTGTGCACTTCCTCCTCGTTCTCCCCTTTCTCACCTACCCCTGCCTGCCCTCGTTGTCGCGCACGCGCATACCTTTCTGCTCGCTGCCGTCTTCCGCCCGCCCTCTGGCTCTTTCCCCAGCGAATTCTCCGTCTCATGGGCTCGCGTCCTAGCTTTTTTTTCTTGGCTCCGAGGCTCTTCTGCTCGCTTAAATCTAGCAATTCTCCTGTACACACACTCCGTCTCCTGTGGTGGCTATTGCCTCCCGTGTGGCTTGCTCCGCGTCTGGATAGCTTCTATCGGCCGGCGGCAGCTGGACCCCTCCCCGACGTCTGGGAACGTAGGGTTCTTCCGAGGCATGTGTGGTGTTTAGAAGTGTGGAAGCCGCCAAAGCACCCAGAAAAGCGCACGATACGCCGACACTGATGTGTTAGGCCTTTTTCCTGCTGTCTTCAATGCTCCTGCGTGCGCGCATGCGCAGGCGCTGCAGTGGATTGCGTGGCAGTTCGGTGTTGATCCCACCCAGCTGCAGCTGTTTCCCGAGCCCCCCCTGCTGTCAGACCGGAAGGTGTTGCCTCTAGACATCGATGCTCTGGTAGTGACAAACGAAGGCACCTGGGAGCAGCAGCAGCAGCTGATGCTCCAGCGGAACGAGCGAGAAGGCACTGGACGGCGGCAGCTCACTCTCGATGAGATGTATCTGCAGCTGCAAGGCGCACAGTCGTGGCCTGGCTGTCTTGACAGGAGGCGAGCCTTGGCAGCAGCAACAGCTGCTGCTGCGTCTGCTGCTGCTGCCTCCGCTGCTGCTGCCTCCGCTGCTGCTTCTCCATCAGCCGCGGGGGCGCAACGCCTACCCCGAGAGCTCCACTTGTGTCTGCTCCCTCGTCATTTCCGCCTGTGCGCAAGGGCTGTGAACGCCTTGCTGCTGCCCGCGCAGCAGCAGCAGCAACTGCAGCAGCTGCTGCTCTCACCCCTCCCCCCCGCAGCCCTCTCTCCCTCCTCGTCTCCCCTCTCCCACTCCGTGCTGAGCTACATCTGCCTAGTCTTTTCGAGACAGGCGGAACGGATCGGATGTGTCACTGGGCTTATCCCCGCCAGCAACCCCGATGGCAAAGCCTACACAGCGGCAGACCTCATGCGAGAGGTTCTAGGACGCCTCCCTCCAGCCACAGCGCATGCTCTGAGACAGGATTACCACAGCAGATGCAGCGGTAGAAGCAGCGGCAGCAGCACAGCCGCTTCAACGGGGACGACTGCTGACAAGGCAGACAAGGACTATGAGGAAGAATTTGGCCCTCTCAGGCTCTTCATCTCCGACTCCTCCAATCTCCTGCGGATCCCACCTGCCGAAGAGCTCTCGTGGCTAACGCTCTATGCTCCATCATGTACGTGTGACCAGTCTTCTCACATCAGCGCCACAGTTTTTCTCAGCCTTCCATCATCCGCATAGCCTACCCGGTACTCAAAACAGCGGTTTCGAGTTGCCTTTCCCTCCTGCTGTTTCAATCCATGTTTGGAAGTGTTGAAGAGTCTGCTGCCTCTAATGTGGTGGTGGTGGTGGTGGTGCTGCTGCTGCTGCTGCATCTTCTGTGTGAACTCTTAGCCCCCCTTTTGAGGATTGATCCTTCTTGCCGGGGCCTGTGTCGGATCCGCTGCCTCCCGTGTGTGTGTGTGTTTGTGTTTTGTGTGTGTGTTTCTGGGTGTGTTTGTGCTTGTGTTTTTGGGTGTTTGTGCTTGTGTTTCTGTGTGTGTTTGTGTTTGTGTTTCTGTGTGTGTTTGTCTGTCTGTCTGTCTTCGTGGCGTTCTGCGCGCGGTATGTTGAATGCCTTCTTGGGAGCTCCTTTGGGATTCGCTGCAGCACAAGGTCGTACGAGGGAGTCTATCACGAACCTTCTGGCTGTGCCGCTACGTTTGGAAGCTGACTATACTCCTGAAGAGGAAGACCTCATTCAGTCTGGGGCACTGCAGGTGAGACGGCGAATGCAAGCACCCGTCCTCGACGTTGTTTTCGTTGCATGCAGTACGCTGCTTCGTGCCGGCAGTCGAGCGACGGCCTACCGCCGCATCAGAGCTTCCTTGCAGCACGCCGCTGCTTTATGCCTCTTCACGTTTTCCGCCTTAACGAGCAGGTGCAGAGGTCCTCCGAAAGGAAAGCGTCTATGCGCGTGATTCTGTCCACCCCTGCCTTCAGGTGTTGCTCGTACAGCACCAGACTCCCGGAGATCGCGAGCCGTTCGGCTACCCCTTCGAGATACTTGTTGAGGTACGCTGCCGCATACTCTGCCGGCAGCACAGGCATTTGGATAGGGGGAGAGGGGAGTGCGTGGAGGAGCTTTGAGGGGCCGAGAGGAGAACAGCAGCATGCATTTGCAGGGGGTAAAAATGAGGGATGTGGAATGGCGGGGAGGAGGAAAGAAAGGGGGGTCCAAGGAAAGATGAAAGGCTTTTGCCAAACGCCACCGCCTCCAAGGCACAGCGTACGATGGTAGACCTTTTTTGTCGTGCTTCACTTTAATGCAAGTCCTTCAAGACGCTTATTTGCTTTTCTGTGGGATGCGAACGCAGCCCGATGCAACTCTCTCCGAGATAAAGGCTCAGATCATTAGGAAGCTGGCGCTGCCGAAAAATGCATGGGGTAGTTGCACCTTCTTCCAGTTGGGGGACGGCGTCAGGTCGGTGCAGCTCCTGCACTTTGTGTTTTTGCCGACATTTCATTCACTGTTTGCGTGTCGTTTTCGATGGCCTCGTGTTTCTGACCCGCCGCCTGTCTCCTCCTATCTTGGCGTCGCTCTTCTTTGGTGTTTGTTGTATGCACTTGCTTTGCATGTCCACTGGCTTTCTCTTCGTGACTCCCTCGCATGAGTTCTGGCTGCTTCCTCTTTCTGGGGTACTCAAGCGCCCATTAAGCAATACGAAAAAGGTTCTAGGAGGCAACTGAGACGGGCATGTGGGGAAGGCATCCAACAGGCGTTCCGTTGTGTTGTTTCCCAGGTGCTGGAAGGGTCCTAATGATGTGCTGGACTGGAATAAGCACCGCAGCATTACGCTCATTGGTAAGCGCTTGCTCTCGTCGCTGTTTGTAAGGTTATCACTGTTTGTACTGAATATGTGTGTGGGTGTGTATGTATATGTATGTGTGTGTTTATATATGCGTGTGTCTATATGTATATATATATGTATACATGTATGTGTGTGTTTATATGTATATATGTGTATGTTTATATGTGTATATATTTATATATGTTTGGGTGGGTGAATATTTCCTCCTGTGTCCGTGCATGTGGGTGTGCTGATGCTTGGGGATGTGGCTCTGGCTGTGCCTCTTGTGAGGGGGGCGAAGTGCTGCTCGTGTTGCTTCGCGTTTGCGCGGTGTTTGCATACAGCTGAGCACTCGGCGCCGTACACGAAGCATAGGGGCCACGGCGGCATGCGCATCGCGTAAGCAGCATGAGTTGTCGTGGCTGCTCCAGCAACAGCTGGTGTTGCCTACGGCTTGCAAGAGGCCGGGCTCTAGCAGCCAGTGCTGCTGCTGTTGTTGCTGCTCCCGCTGCTGCTATAGGGGCAGTTTGGAATGCGCACGCGAGCAGCGACAAAAGACTACACACATGAAAGATTATCCCCAGAGATGTACCGCGAAAGGAAGAGGGGTTTTGTTGTTTTGATGCTAAACAGGGCCAGCGGTCTTGGCCTTGTAGAAAGAAACGGCATGGAATATATATATATGCTACTCTACGAGACCTCTCTCTGTTTCCGGCTGCTTTTTTCGATTGGATATGTTTTCTCTCGCGCAATGCATTTCTAGTCTTGGGGGCTTTCTCATGTGTACACTGTGTCTCTCGCTGTTTCTCACTCTGGCTCGTTCTTGCTCGCCGCTCTTATACTAGACCTGTTTTCTGGCAGCACTTCGCCAGCCCTTCATGAGCACGTAAGGCACCGAAGAATCAAGTGCCTTAGCCCACGTGTTGTCTCCACCGTTTCGGGATCACAGAGTGTGGAGGCCTAAGGGCATATCTTACTTTGGGGCAGAACTGCTGAGCTCACGCAGCATGCCACATTCGGTGCCATGAAAAATGAGGGGCATGAACCAGAATAATCTCCCTCCTGTGCTCGCATCACCGCGATTGCACGCGTAGATTAAACGCCTATAGCCTTCGCAGTGCGGACGTTGCCAAAGTGGGGTCACGTAATTAAGGTGGGGTGGTATAGCCGATTGCAGACCGTTAGGGGGCCACACATTTGTGCACTCACACCGTCAACCACTCTGGCAATGAACGATGTCACCACGCGTCTGGGCAGGGGCCATCGCGGCTTGAGTGTCTTGGCAGCAGCGCTTTCGCGAAATGGGGATACCTGGTTTGTTGTAAGGTGTTGCTTGCAAGAGGTGTGGGAGATTTTCTACCTGTAGTCCTCGATATTTGTGTAGAAAGTGTGCAAGCTAAAGTTTCAAGGGGAAGAGATAGAGGGGCCTTCCATGGCAAGGTGACCTTATGGAGAGTAGTCCATACATGATGGTGCAGAGACTTGCAAATTCTCGGATGCTAACTGGCCACCTTACTTCCCGTGCTGCGCTCCTCGAGAACACTTTCCTGCCAAGGAGTACCAGCTCGGTATGCCATTAGCAAGTTTAATTTCCTAGAGCAGTCCCCTGGATTTTCCTAACCAAGGGCTCCAGCAGTACCCACGCACAGAACTGCACATGCATGAGCACCCGTACAATGGCGTGTGTAATCGACTGAACTGTTCACATAAAGATGTGTGATGCACTTGCATATTCTCTGCCTATGCATAGCGAGATGCCAGTGCATGGGGCCTTTGCCGAGCCAAAAGCGGTGTAACTCTCCATCTAAGGTATCGATAGGGAGAACCTCATCTCCAGGCTCAGTGCCAGCTTCGTAGAAAGCTGTTGTCGAAGAGAGCTTACCGCATGGCCCTACCCCAGCCCCTTTGTTCGGAGATCAGGGCACACGAACAGTAACCAGGGCGTGCGTAGCTGCACCCTCCAAGCACTGCGAGCACTCATGGCTAGTTGTACATTCCATCTAACGCACAAGCAAACAACTCTGTGTCTTCGGTAGCGAGCCAGCAGTACTCCGCAATAAATAACATACTCGCACGGGCGGAAATTGGAGTCAATTTTTTAATATTTTAAACGTATAGTCAGTGTAGCAGAAAGTGTGCAATAAGCGTAGCTAGGCCCCCTCAAGGAATAACTGGCTAAGCAGAAAATGCTGACGAGCCTCGGCGAGGCGACGCCAATATGTAAGCTAAGCGGTCGCCTATGGTCCTCCTCTGCTGTGCAGATGGACACGTAGGAAATGCACGCTACAGCAAAGGTAAGCTTTGCTTCGCCGCATGCTGCGAGAAAACGGGTAGGCACAACCAGTGTAGACATCAACGAGGAGCTTTTAGTGGATGGACCGGTGTGAGTTAAACATACGCGAACTAGCACAGATAAATGCCAAAATCAGATATTGGGGGAACGTTTTATAGAAAGGCGGCTGCATGCAGCATTCGTACATAAAGTAGGGCAGAGAACGAGCTGCGCTGCTTCGGGGTGGCGGGCGAAGGGCCCCGGCTGCGTGTACACCCGGAGGTCCTCTAAAGCCTTTTTGTTTTGCAAAACATCAATTTTTGATGCATAGTTTTCGAGAGACACCCAAGGTGTTGGCGGTGGACGCATGGGTTTTTGTTTGTGTCGGGAACGCCACACAAGATCCCTCTCGACGTGATGGGAGCGTAATCTAGCTTAAGATTCTGATTCGTGCGGGTGCGTTTTCCGTGTGCTTATATGTCTACTGTGTGCACATTTTATTATTAAGAATACCTCGTGTGTTGTTGCTGAGCTCTTATTTCGCCGGGAGTCTCATTAGGGCTTCCCTCGGGCAGAACAGCTAATCTCGTTGATAAACGGGAAGGTGCGACCTGACCCTGTTTCGGCAGTCTTCACCGCTTTTGCCTTTCTCTGAGGTGTCTTTTGTCTCTTGACTCTTCGTGCATAGTAGTGGTGAGGACCAGACTTCAGGTGTACATCCACCATGCCCAGCATTAGCACTCTGCGGTACTTGGGAGCTCTGGCTGGCGCTTCGGCTTTTAGCGCCTCCACAGCCCCAGCCCACTGCAAGGAGCAGCATCGCAGCAGCGGCGTAGAGAAGCTGCGCATGCAGCAGCACAGGGAAGCTCCTCACTCTCCGGATGTGGCGCATTTGTTAGCTTCCCCTCCTCCTCTCTTGGGTCTCTGCAAAGAAGCAGAGTGGTGTGCGAGGAACATGCTCACAGCCCTGCAGCTACGCTTGCGGCTTTTGAAGCTGGAGCCGTCAGAAGGAGACACCGCAGACACTGCTGCGCGAGGGGGCAAGAGGAAGCGCGTGGTGGTTGCGGGGGGCGGCTGGGCATCTGCATCCTTCGTACGGAAACTGGATCCCCGGCAGTTCGAGGTGGTCTGGATATCTCCCCAAGATCACTTTTCTTATACCCCCCTCCTTCCCGCGGTGTGTGGGGGGTCTCTTCCCGTGGCTGCGTGCACGGCGAAGCTGCGAGAGCTCCTTAGCTTTGGCGGGAACACAACGGCAAGGGGCCAGTATCATCGAGCTTTCATAGATGCCGTGGATCTGAACAGCAAGAAGGTGATTTGCCGCCCGACGGAAAGCCCCGGGGGCCCTGGGGGGCCCCTGGGGGCCCCCTGGGAGGAGCCCTTCGACTACTTGGTGCTCGCGGTGGGCTCGAGCGTCAACACGTTCAACATTCGGGGCGTGAGGGAGCACGCACTTTTCCTCAGAACTGCGGAAGACGCCCAGAGGGTGCGAGCGAGAATTGGAGCCTGCCTGGAAGCGGCGGCCAGTCCTAAGATCTCTCAAGAGGCGCGGGAGCGTTTGCTAACGTTTGTCGTTGTGGGAGCTGGCCCCTCGGGTGTCGAGGCAGCGGCGGAAATCAAGGATTATTTGAGCTCGGAGGGCAAGCGGCTGTACCCGCATATCAGTCAGCACTTTAGAGTGTTGGTTGTGGAGATGGGCCCTGCGCCTCTTCCCATGTACGATTCCAAGGTGCAGGAGGGCGTCAAGAAGACCTTCAAGAGGAGTGGGGTGGAGCTGCATCTGAACACGCAAGTCATCCAAGTCTCTGCGGGGTCTGTGACGACAAAGCGCGTAGCTGCCGCTGCCGCAGCGGCGGGGGGGGGGGGAGGAAGCAGCGGCGCCGGTGGGTCCGTGACTTCTGCAGGGGGCGCAGCAGGAGCGGGAGGCGCTTCGGCGCCTTCCACTTCCGTGGAGTCGATCCCCACCAATTTCGTGTTGTGGGCTTCCGGAGTGCGGCCCACAGAGCTGGCGACAAGCATCGCGAAGGGGCTTGCCGCTCAGAACAGACCCCAGCGGTTGCTCGTGGATCCCTCCTTGCGTGTGCTTGGAACGGAGGGCCTTTTTGCCTTGGGTGACTGCTGCACCATTGCGCCCCCCCTTCTCGCTGACCATGCGCAACAGCTCTTCGAGATGGCAGTTGCAGACAACAAGCCCGGAAGTGCAGGTACACTGCGGGGTCTGGAGGGCTTTTTCTGTGCTTGGCCGCTGGCGGCTCGGGGTAGAAGTAACTTCGAAAATGGCAGCTTCGACGGGGAGGGAGGGGGGCGAGAAGGCGGGAGAAGCGGGGTGTCTCGGAGCTGCATTAGCGTGCCTCCTGTCGTGCAGCGTTGGCGACTGGCCCTTGCTTTTGCGTTTTGCGATCAAGGCACCGACTGGCTGTTGACCAATGGCGAGCGCCTCTCCTCGATCTTCCCACAGCTGCACCCCAAACGCAACAAGCTCGATAAACTTGCCCCCAAGAATCACCTGGATCTCCAGCGCTTCACAGAGCTCCTTCAGGTGAGTGAGGGGTTGAGCCTCAGTGCGGGGGTCGACGAGTGACGGACGCGGGAGTACCAGTAAGGGCCTCCTGCGATGCCCAGGTGTACAGATGTTGCGGCTCGCTTTAGCAAAAAAAGATCGAGGCAGCATCAGGGCGAGGGGCCGAACAGAAGGGGAAGGCCTCCTCGTGCACAGTGCTGATGCTCCCTTTCTGCTGCACGACGCCTGCAGGAAATCGACAAGCGCTACGTTAGTCCCGCACCAACCGCTCAGAATGCGCGTCAGGAGGGCCAGTTTTTGGCACTTGTATTCAACTGCTTCATGGGCCCTGGAAGGGGTGCTGGAGGGGCCCCCGAAACTGCTGCTCCTCAGGCGCTACCCGCGTTTGTAGAGAACTGGAAAGGCTCGCTCTGTTTCTTGGGAAGCGGCACGGCGGCTCTGCAACTGCCTTTTGGCACATACGTGGGAGGCTTCCCCTTCACTTTGCTGTGGAAGCTGGTTTATTTGCAATTGCAACCTAGCGTCAGGTCCTGCTGGCGCTGCTGCGAGGGCTGGATCCAAAGTGCTGTCTTTGGCAGAGACATTGCATGCACAATCCCTCCGCCTCCCAAGGAGGCAGAATCTTTCCTGTAATAACCCACAGCACGGAAAAACTGCCTGGGGGTGCGCTGAGTTGTCGAGGGGTTCCCTATTTTTTTGGTGCTGTTGCTTGGCGTGAGATGTGCCGCAAGAGCGCCAGGAAGAGGGGCAAATAAAAGGCCTACTATTGAGCCTTTCACTTGACATCCTTCGCAGTAAGGGAGAGTAGGGACCCTCTCCCCCCGCAGGTTCCGTATGCAAATGGGGGCTTAAGGGAGGTGTACGGGACCCCCAGAAGCCTAAAAGGCAGGCCTTAGAGGGGGCGAGATGCCGATCCACGCGCTTCATTCGCTTTAACCTAGTTTAGCCGAGAGCTGTGCTACGTCCGCACTGACGCATGCATCGGGCTTTTTGCGAGTAACACTTTACCAGGTGTGTTTGTGCACAGCAGAGCAGCGATGGCTCAAGCTCACGCATACGAACTCAGAGCTACGGAAAAAAGAGAGATACACAAGGGCGGACGAGACGCTACGCCAACAGTGTGTAGATATGGGGATTAGTCAACTACAACGGCAGGAACAGTAGGAGCACAGCCATTCATCAGACGCAGCCGAGCCCTAGCAGCACGAGTTGGTGCATCAGTAGTAACGCTTCTCTGATTCCCACATAGTGGCTGTTTCGTCTCGCTATACGTACATTTGTGCCCCAGCCCTTGTTTTTGCTGGAAACAGCAAGATGTCTACGGTGTACAGACACCCTACTTTGTGCTCTGCCTCAATCTGCCGAGGGCCCATCTCTGCAGAGCTTCCACGGGGCCCTACTAGGGCCCCAACCGTCTGCTGCACCTGGCGTTGCATCGGAGAGCAGCTCGTTGGAGGGAGCAACTCACGGCGATCCTGCAGCAGCTGCAACAATGAACGCATTCATAAGTGGTGTTCGGCATATAAGCAACGAATCCAAGGGGCCACCCCCGCGTCTGACCCCGTCACCCCAGCTCAGCAACCTGCACAGCAGGAAGAGGGAACGCAATTAGATGCAACAGCTGCGGATGCAGTCCGCTCCCACCTGTGTGGCCTGCTGCAGCAGCAGCAGTGTTGGGAAGATCGTGTGGATGATCTTCGTCGGCAGTGGAAGCCCCCCCACGGGCTTCACGCAGGATAGCAGCAATGGAGTGCAAAAGACGGAGTGTTGCAGCTGAAACATAATAAAGAAAAACGCCAACGCGCCGCAGCAGCAGCAATACACCCTACGAAACGCACGTTGCAGAGGGCCCCCCGTCTCGACCAGCACGAAAACTGGGGTATTGCAAAAGCGAGAAGTTAATCAGTGCATGTAAGGGATGAAAGAGCAACAGATAAACACGAGAATGCTGCGAATACGGGCAGGAATCCAGAGGACGTATGGGGGGGCCTCACAGACAGAGCTTCGCGAGAGCTTGACAAAGCGAGGTAAACAGGTAGAGAGCGCAAGCGAGCGAGAGGGAGAGGCAGCTCAGCCACTGGCATCTGGCTGGCGCCCCACAAGGACAGAACAGAGGCAGGTACAAGCACCAACTGAGAGAAAGGTGCGAAGCATTGAAGGCAGAAGGAGTGACAGATGGAGTAAAGTGTCAATTCAGAGTGTGGCAAACGGATGGGGGTGGGGCTGTCCTACTGCCTGCAGCATCAGCCTCTGCTGTTCAGCTACGGTGAGAGCAGGCGCCTGGCGTTGGTGGTGTAGACGCCATCGTTTGAATGCGGGGAACTCCTCGGATGCCTCAAATAGCTGGAGCGCTTTAGCGGGAGATGTCAGCGCAGGTGTTGTTGCAGCTGGAAGACATGCCTCGAAGGTTGCCGCCAAGGGGCCGACTGATGGAAGTGCTGCTGTAAGCGTGAGTTGTAGCAGCTGGAGGAGGCGTTGCAGCAAGGCCTCCTTCAGCAATACATTGGCCTCTTGCCCCGTGACAAGAGCGGCAACAGCGTAATTCAGGCAGAGGGCGCAGTGGGTATGTGCACTCATGGCTGCAGCGGGGAGCAGCGGCAGGCGCTGCTGCTGTTGCAGATGCAAGCGCGTGCGGCTAATCTGCAGCAAAAGCAGCCTAGCAAAGGGCGCAGCAGACAAAAGGCAGAGGCAAGCACTGAAAGGGCGCAGTACAAAAGCCACAGAGCCCGCATCCATGCATTCGCTAGATGGCATGCGGAGTAGCAACAGCAGCAGCAGAAACAGCAGCTGCTGCTGCAACTCGCGTATATACGGCGGCGCTCTTCCAGGCAGCAGAGCGGTCTCTGTTTTCTCGAGCTTCGCTATTTTTATCCGAAGCTGACAACACACTAGGGTGTGTCACTCCCCGTCTACAGCCTGCGTGCTCCCTACTTCCCATATCCCTGTTGCCTGGCGCTTCTCTCGTCCTGCCTCTTGCGACTTTAAGACGGATATGGTGCGTCTCTCTGAGATGCTTACTGATACAGCAGCATTCCCCACGAAGGCGCTGCCGCTGCGGGTGATCCAGAAGCCCCATGAGTCGGCTGCCGCTGCAGCAGCTGCAGCCTCGCCACAGCTCCCAACAGACTTAGCACCTGCGAAGGTGTCAGCTGCAACGGCAAAGCTTCCATGAAGGGCCTTCCTGTAGGTGCCTCTGCCGCCAGTGCTTCTTCTCTGCTTGCTTCTTTCGGTGTAGCTGCGGTGGGAATCCCCCCGAAGGTGTCTGTGGCAGAATCTCTGGAGGCGGAAGCAGCCGCAGTGCACTCTGCTGCACCCTCTCCGCAGAAGGAAGCACCAGACGGCCGATAAAAGACTTCGCCGTATCTCCCACCTGCACCTGCTGCGCTCCCTGCCAAATGTCGTGGCAGCTGCGACAGCACCCGCGAGGCCTCTACCGAGTCGCTGCGGAGTCGCACCAAAGCGTTCACTAAGTCCACAAGACAAGCCAAAGCTGGCTGTCTGCATCTTGGAGAATTCTCAGGGGCCCCCTGAGTTTGCACCGCCTTCCCCGAAGGCGGTGAGGGGTTCTCCAAGGGCGAGAAAGGCCCTCTCATGCCGTCCAGCTGCTGCAGGTGTACCAAAAGCCGAAGAAGAGCTTCTCTGCATATTTGGCGCATGTACGTCTGAGTGCTGTCGCTGCTGCAGCTGCTTTTCCTGGGGTTGCTGCTCTGTTTATTATCACCACTCCTGGGGCCCTCTTTCTGGCGGGGGGCCCCCTGAAGGCCCCTCCGTCGCGTTTCCAGCGCTCCTCGGGTCCAGATGGGGCACCTCCTCTGAGCCTTGTTGCTGCTGTGCTGCAGGTACACCGCAGCAGCAGCAATGAGCCTCTGCAAGGCCTTCAGAGAGGCGATGTCGTGTTGCTGCAGCACTAATCCACCACTTTGAGGTGTCTGCTGCGGCGACCTCCTCCCGCCTTCGACGTGCAGAAGGAGCCAGAGGGCCCTCTGAGCCATAGAAGCAGATAGTCTCTGCACAATTCCAGCGCAGAACAGAAACCATGAGATGGAATCGTGCAGAAGCAAGCTTCTCCTGAGCTCGCTCTGCTGTTTTTCTGGCAACAGGAACGGCTGCCACTGCCGCAGCTGCTGCACTCTGCTGACCAGAGGCTGGAGCAGCTGCTCCTGCCGCTGTAGCAGCAGCTCAGAGAGCTTCACCAGCTGCTGAAGGGGCCTATTCTCAAACTCTTGGGGGGCCCAACCCCTCGCCACGACCCCCCACAGGAGCGCAGTAGACACGCCGTGACTCCGCAGGCGGTTCGCAGCAGCAGCAGCTGCAATTTCTGCAGCTGCAGCTCCAAGGGCCTGTGCTGCGGCATCCCTGACGCTGGAAGGCACACCACCACTGGCTCCGACAGCCGAGGATTCAGCGTGCGGCAAAGGAGTCTGCGCAAGGCTGTCTCCAATCTGTGAATTGGTCGCACGAGTCCCCTTCCCGCAAACAGCCTGGGCAAGGCTCCCGTGTGAAGCTGCCTTCGCGCCGCAGGATGCGGGGGGCAGCTTCAAGCCTCCCAAGACGTCTGGAGGGCTGCCGTCTGCAATCTGCCGCGTGAGCTGCTGTATGGCTGCCTCGGTTGAAGCAACAAATAACTGCTCGCACGCTCGCGTGTCAAGAAGGCGCCTCGCGACTGTGCTGCAGAGGCCTGAGTTGCTGCTGCTCAGTCGACTCAGAGAAGATATAAAGTGGGCTGTATCCCGTAAGGAAGTTTTCAGACACACTGCCCTCAGATGAGCCTCTGCTGCAGCAGCGACGGCTGCAAGGCGCTCCTCAGCAGACTGGCCTGAGGCTTCCGCCGCCTCGAAAGCGTGGCAAAGTCTCCGCAACAGCTCGCGGTGCTGCCGCTGAAGCTCTGCTCCTGGGGTGATCCCACCGAGGGATTCACCGCCTTGTGCAGCGTGTGAGAGGCAAGCGTCCTTCCCCAGTGCAGGAGTGTGTTTCGGCATGGGTTCTACGCCAGCCGTGCTGCTGCCGCCGTGGCTGCCGCCGTGGCTGCTGCCGCTGCTGCTGCTGCTGCTGCTGCTGCACTCCTGCAGCGCCGCGATTACGAGGGGCCCCCAGGCCCAGGGCCCCGCGGCTTCAAAGAGTTTCTGCAGCTTTTCTTGAAGGCAAGCGTGACGTTGTGACGTGGGATTGTGCCCTTCAGAGGCCCTCACGGGGAATCCTTGCAGCTGGCTTCCTTCCTGGCGTTGCTGCGTGGAGTGTCTCCGCGCGCTGAGGCGCGGCGGCTGTTGCTGAGCCTCAGCCCGATGAAAAAAAAGACTCGGAGGAAACATCCATCCACGCGGCAGCCACCGCTTCCAGCGGCTTCCCCGGGAGGCCCTCGAAGTCGGGTGTGCCTCTGGGAGTCGGCAGGGAGGGAAATGTGTCGCCCTCCTAGGAGCAGTCTGCCCGATACTGAGGTCCTTTAGGGGTGCTAGCCAGCAGGCGTGCCTTTGCCGGCACGCCATCTTAACAGGAGGCCGAGTTTCGCGCCGAGAGGGAGGAGAAGAAAGGCGGGAAGGGGGCCAGTAGTCGCCCCCTTCCCGCCACTTCCTCCCTCTCAGTGCAAAAACTGGTGCATCCAGCTAGGGGCCCCCGAGGCTAGGCTGCCAAAAGAGGCGAGACACTGGAGAACAGCCAGAACAAAGGTTTTTGAGCCTCGTTTCCAATTCTCGTATAAGCCTTGTGGTGGAAGACAGTCGGTGACAACTGGAAAAAGGCGTATCCGAGTTCCCTGTGTCAGCAGCAGGGGTCCAAGGACGACTCGTTCAGGGGCCCCCGCCCAAGCGCCGCGGGGGGGCCCCGTAGTTGGAGAGGTGTTGCGGGAAAGAGGAAACCGGGTGGGGTAAAATTATCCAAAATGAGCCGGAATCACCCTCATGAGAAAGAAAACAATGGACGCACAGCCACACGAAGGCTCCGCCGTTCTGGACGTGTGCTACCCGTGATAGCTCGAGGGTCCCCCGAACGGTTACTCCTAAAGCCTCTTAGAATGCTGGCCTTTGAAGCGAGTTGTCTTTCGCTTTATCTTCGAGCTCCACACATATGTCACGCTGACCAGCCACTGCGCTTAGCTAGCGGCGCGCTGGCTCGCTTTTAGGGTGTATCTCACTAGCTGACTGGGGGGTCGCTTCTTGGTGCCCCTCAGTGCGCGTTGTGACACGCCAGAAGGTATAGAAAACAGAGACTGCCGCCCCACGCGTTTCCGATAGCAGTAGTGGCAGCAGCCGCACTAACAACAGGTGCGACAGCGGCGCAACCGAGGGGACTACACACCAAGGCGAATGCGAGTGGGGGCCCTAACGCCTTATAAATACAGAGCAGCAACTGAACTCAGGGACCTCTGCCTGGAGGCCCTGTACCAAAAGCCCGGAGGCTGCTAAACACAAACAAGAATGGAGCCTGTGGCGTCTAGCAAGGGGCCCCTGCTCCCCGAAGTGCTGCAATCGGGTATCTCTCTAAAGACCCCTGTAAAGGACCTCGTGAAAACGGGCGTGCATGCACCGTTAGATTTTCTACTGGGACGATAAGACGCTCCTGAAAAATCAGACGGCAGCGACGTACTGCTGACAACTGAGCTGGGGAAAAGCAGCGGCCTTCGTTGACAGCAAAGGCGGCAACAACGGCAATAACAGCGTCAGAAAAAGTGTCTCAGGTCTCACTGGATCTGCCCTGGTGTTAGATGAACCTGAATCTTAAAGTCTGCCGCCTCAGTGGGACCACTGGCTTCCTCTGTTTCCTCTGCAGGAGCACAACAACCAGTCGCTTACGCAAGCCGCTTCTGGCTGTTGTTGCCTCGCCAAGTGCTCCTCTGAGCGCGTCGGAAGTCAGACTAGCTGTTCACGCTTTTTTCTCTGCGCGTTCGCCACACGAGGGCTCACAAGAGGCCCACACAGCGGCCCCCCTTCCCTCTTCCCCTCCTCCCCCCTACGCTTGGGTTGTCACCACTTACGGGAGTCTTCCTCTGTCTCCTGAAGAATGGAAACTTTTCTGGCGTTTGTCAGCTGCGGCGAAAACGCATTCTCTAGACCCTGACACACGGCTTGCAAGAGTCTTCGAGAGTCTTCGATTCCCCAGTCCTTCTGGAAGCCTAGGCTCTTGAATACGAGGGCCCTGAATTATGCAGAGGGCGCTCAAGCGAGAGCGAGGGGCCCCACCCCAGGGGTGTCCACTGTACAGGGGAGTTTTTTGGGGGCAATAAACACAATCCTCACCAAAAGCGTTGTGAGGAAGGCCCTGCAGACCTCATATCGAGGTTTCCCCTGAACCAGCGATGCAAATGTAGCTGTTGGACTGCTGGTGCGAGCGCCACTGCCACTGTCGCTGCTGGGATTAGGGCTCTCAAGCGAGGCGGAAGGAGAACTCTCCTGGGGATGTCTGACAACGTCAGGCAGCGCACGAGGTCCCTGAAGCACCAGAGCACCGCCGTATCAGAGCTGACACATCAAGGCTTGAAACGATTTCAGGATCATCTATCTCCCTCTCCTCCCCCGCCGCACGGGAGACTCGCAAACGCCTCTCTTCGCACCTCTCGCTCCTGTGACTGCTGCTGCTTCTGTTGCAGGAGCAAGGCCTCCCGAAGGAGAGACGTCTCATATGCCCGAATATCAAACGATGGCAGCGACTGCAGCGTCAGCAGACGGTCCTCCACGTACGCATTCCAGCGGGCTACCCTGTGCATGCGTCAGCAGTGACCATAACAACACCCGACACTCAGCAGCCCCAGAATCATCAGGAGCATGCAGCGACAGCGCAAGTAGCAGTGCAAGTAGCAGCGCAAGTAGCAGCCGAGAGCAGCAGCGTCGACTATAAGGCACGCAGTAAAAGCAGACGCGGCTTGAGTATACAAAAGCACATCCTGACCGCATTTGTATGGCAAGCTCCTCATCTGCTGCAGCAGTTGGCAGCCCTCCTCCTTCTCCTTTGGAGCTCCTCCTTGCCGCTGCTGCTGCTGCGTTCAGCTCCTGAAACGCAACACGCCGGCTGCGGCAGCAGCAAGTAGAGAGGCGAGGCTGCGGAGGCAAACGCTTCTCTCGAGCAAAAAGTATTCACAGAGGGTCAGAGGGTCGTATCGAGCGAAGCGCCAAGAAGGGCAGCACAGCGCAAACGGGGAGCAGAGAGCAACGGGCAGACGTCAGCAGGACTGAAAGGCATGCACGCGTTGAGGGCGAGAAGGGGCTTCATCCTGAGAGCAGCTGCCTCAGCGACTGCCGAATGAGAACTCCTTGGCTTTCGTATGAGTTGTGTGAAGGTCTCTACTGTTGCCGCAGCTGCTGCTGGGTGTCTCGCGGCTAAGGGGGCTGCACGCGGACGAAGAAGCCCTCTTTCGATTGCTTTTCTGGCTAGAGCCTTTCTCTGGCAAACCGCGGTGTCTCCGCCCCGCAAGGCCCTTAAGCCCAGCTCAGAAGAAGAAGCTCGAGAGGGAGGCACAACCTTGCAAGCTGCTGCTGCTGCTACTACTACCCAACGAGCCATCCCAAGGCCAGTAGGGAGCAGAGACGGAAGGGGAGCCATAAGAGCCAACCGCGAAGAGCAGAGAGGGATAGAGAGGGGCCTACCGCCATTCGGTGCTGTTGTGCCTTGCAGATTTCCTCTTGTATTGCCGCAGCCTCCGTCGCACTCAACCGCAGCTCCCCGCATTCCCACGCGTCCTCTCCCTGAGAAGGCGCAGAAAGCACAAGCCCGCAGGAACGCCGTGGGCAGACCGGAGGAAGTCTTTAAACTTCTCTAGGGGTAAAAAAAGAGACAACAAAAACGAATCAAGCGCGTGAGCCCCCCTACAGCAGTCTACTGCAGTGACCCCCTCCTCCGTTCCCTACGCCGCATTCTCTCCGGGAGTTGCTGCACTCTATCGAGGATGCATGCGAGAAAGCAGCCCTAACACTTTTTCCGGCAAGAAGGGCAGCAGCAGCACAAGCAGCCATAGCACAAGGAGACTTTTCATGAAGACGCACAAAATTATCTGCCATGGCCTCGTCCTCTCCCCGTTCGCATGAACCAAGAACTGCCAAACTCTCTTCTGCCGCGGCAGCCTCCGCCTGTGCCGCTGCAGTGGCTGCTGCTGCTCTCTCTGCTGCTGCTGTCTCTGCTGCTGCTGCGGATGGACAGAGAAAGCGACTCCGCGAAAGGAAGGATCGAGCCAGACGACGGCAGTCCGCCCGCTGCATGCCAAGAAATATTCGCAGCGGCAGGCGCAGCAGGAGATACATCGGAGCCACGAAAGATGCACCAACGACGACTACTACTTCTGCTATTACTACTACTTCCATCAACCCTCTGTCGGTAGGGGCAGGAGCTTCAGCACGTGCTGCAGCCACTGTAGGAAGGAGGGGGGGATCCACGGCGTGTGTCTCTGCGCGAAAGATAGGAGTTTCCTAGGAAGCACTAGGACTGCGGTCTAGGATTTCGATGGCTGGCTTGCCTGCATCCGCACGACCTGCTTCCTTGCGGAGAGGTGCTCCCGAAGACGCAGCAGCAGCAAGTCATCTGCCCACTGCCAGCGCTGCAGCCACTGTAGTCGCTGCGGTTGCTGCTGCTGCTGCTGCAGGTGTCTGTCCAAGAGAGGAGGGCACAGTTGTCGCCACAGGAGGCGCGCGTGGGGGGCCCCAGGGAGCCGAATCTTTGGGTAGCCGGGCAGCGTTGCGCAACACGGAGGGGCCCCCTTCGAGTTTGCGCTTGCGACACCGCCAGAATGCGGGATCTCTCTCGTGGGGATCGCTCCCCAGAGGCCCCTAAGAAGGGCCTCCTGCCCCTCCCTTGTAGAGGCCCTATGAAACATGAGGGGGCCCCCAGGAACTTGCAGCAGCGAGTTTTCTTCGGGCGCCTCCAAGATGCTTGGCGGGGGGGCCCTGAGCAGGCAGCAGGAGCAGAAAAGAGACAAAAAACTCCCGAGTGGAAGAGTAGCGGACTTCGCAGGAAGGCAGGCGGCTTTGGATGCAGCCTGAAAAGGCGAGAACCTACCGGCACACGACCCCCCCCTGGGGCCCCTGAGTCTCTCTGGGATCTTCGCACGTGCTTGGTAAGCTCATCAGCGCATCGAAGAGAGCGCAGCCTCTGAAGACTTCTTGAGGAGGAATTTGGGATGCCCCAGGGGCCTCCTTCTCGCGCTGCGTGGGCCCCTCTGCCAGAATCATCTCCAGCAGCGTGGCGGCTGTAGGACCCCCCCCGGAAGATGCCCCCTTCTCCTGGAGACGTCTTCGCTTCTGCTTCAAAAACAAGAATTCGAGATGCAGGTGTGCTGAGAACGCAAGCCTATCAAGGGCATTAGCCGCGACGTGGTGGGGGGGCACGCCCAGGAGGTCGCCATAGAGAGCTGCACAGCAATCCGCAGCACCGCAATGCACATCCTAGAGAGGAGGAGAGGGCTGCATGCACTGCCGCTGCTCTTTCACGGGCTGCTGCTGCCGTTGGGAGTGAACTGTTGCAGCGCGTGAGGAGAAGGGCCTCACAGTTAAGGAAGGAAATACGATGAGGGGGGAGCTCTAGGGGGCGAGTTTTAATTAGCCCTTCAGCAGGGGCCTCCTGAGGGCCAGAATCTTCTGGCAGTCCCAGAACAGCGCGAATTTCGGGTATACCCAGAGAGACAAGGGGGCCCCCAGGGGCCCCGCAGGATTTCTCATGGGGGGGGGCCCCTTGGCCCTCTCGCAAAAGCTCACGAACCCAACAGTCGGGTTCGTTGAGTTGCTGCCGAGGGGATCTCCCGAAGCCTTCGCCTTGGTCTGTCTGTAGAGCTCCGGAACTAGTCGCTGTGACTGGAGAAAAGCCATTTCGAGAGTCTTTTGCAGAGGAGGGGGCCCCTTTGGGCCCCTCTTCTGGATGCGGCGGTGGGGTTGCGCGAGCCTCGCATTCCTCAAACACGTCTGCAGACTCCTCCCATGTGCCAGCAGAACCCGCCTCCGCATACGGAAGGCCTTCCGCAGGAGACACCGTCACTAGGCCCTCTTTTGGACGTTCCTGGTGTCTATCAGCTTCTCTAGCAAGCGCGTTGTAAGCGGCAGCGTCAGAGGCAGTCGCTAGAAGGGCCCCCGTCTCCCTATGGACCCTCAAGATCGTCACCTGAGTGAGGTGTCGAAAGCGGCCAGCACAGCTCGAGAAAACACTGAGGATTCGAGAGGGAGTGACTGCAGGATTAGATGCATCAAAATCAACATACAGAGCGAGCCCACTGCAATGGCAGCAGCAGCAGTGGCATCCGCAAAAGCCCCCCAGTACACAGGCTGTGGGGAAGCAGGATCTTCACCCTGTGCCGACCCCTCCTTCGCTCGCTTTACGACACCCGTAAGGGCCCAATCAGGGGCCCCCCAAGAGACGGACGCCCCAGTCTTACCTGTAAACCACGTAGCTCGTTGTATGCCATTCGAGGCCCCTCGTCTGGTGCCTGAGGCATCGCTACAGCGCTGCAAAGTCTCTTTTCGGAGCCTCCGTCCTCAGCGCTCTGGTTCTTCGCCTTTTCCGGGAAGGGAGGCGCTGAGGGGCCCCTAAGAATCGCAGGTAGGCGGATGATGTCAGGGGCTTTGGTCCCCTGAGGCCCCGGGGGGGGCCCCTCTTGCCGGAGCGCAGGTGGGGCCTCTGGCATCAGAAGACAAGGGGCCGACCCCAACTGGCGAAGCGTTTTCTGTCTCAGTTGTTGCAAGGTGAGAGGGGGCCCCCCGAGATCCTCAGTGAGCCTCCTGCAGGCCTGCTGTTGTTGCTGCTGCTGCGCATGGTGGAGCAAATTGAAGGCCATCGCATGCAGACTTTCTATGCGTGTGCCCCAAACTGCCGTCGAGCGCTCAATCAATAGTGCAGCTTGGGAAAAGTTCATAGTATGGGCTGCATCGCCCCTCCGCCTGCTTCTGGGCGACTTGCTACCGAGGGGGCCCCCCTCCGGGGATCCGTCGTCTGGGGACAGAGAAGGGATGGGAGACCCTTCGAGGCCCCTATCGTCTGCATGCTCCATCTCTATGAGGCCCTCGTCCGTCAGTCGCAGGAAGTCTGAAAGAATGGACCCCAGATCATAATCCCAAAGCCCTCGTGCTGCTGCTGCTTGTGCTGCTGCTGCCTGTGCTGCGCCTCCCTGAGGCCCTTGCAACATCAGACGAGCCAGCTCGGAGAAGAACGCCTCCACAGAGTTCTCCGAGGGGCCCTCTTCGTGAGTATCCCCTAAAGGGCTCCTGCATTCTTCTGGAGTCAGGGACGCCTTCATCTCTGCAGTGTGTGGCCTAGGAGCCTCTGAAGGCCCCTTCCACAAACGTGCGGGTACTATCCCAAGCCGAGATCCTCCACGAGGCCCCTTCTGGCCGCCGCTTCTCAAGAAAGTGAGGGGGAGGGGCCAGGGCCCCTCGATGCATCTGCTGTACGCAGGGAGAAATGTATCCGTCCACCCTTTCTTGAATTGTAGAGAGGCCAGTGGGCCTCTCTGCAGTCACCGGCATAAGGATGCAAGAAACCCCCAGTAACTAATGCCTAAGAGGTCTCCCCTATTGCTTTGAGCTCACTTTTGCAAGAAGACACTGCCCTGAGTCTCTGCCCCCTACTTACTACAGGGAGGCCCGAGGCGCCTGTGGTGGTGCTGCTGCGCCGTGTACGACCCTCGAAATTAAGGAGAACGCGTAATTAAGTATTTCTAATAATACAGGGGAGCAATGTGGGCCTATGAGTTCCGCCAGAAAAATAGCACAGTTTTCACGTCCCATGGGGGGCCCCCGTACCACCGACCCGGTCATGGACCCCATTCGGCAGGGGGCCTCGCGGAACCAATCCGGATTGCAGAAATCCATTCTCTAGATATTTTTAGATTGCGTTCGCACATTTCTGGCTGCTGCGATTCCTGTGCCTGCTTATTTCGCAAGAAACGCTGAATCAACCTGCGTATGCTTCTGCAGCGCAGGGCGTGGCGGTGTCTCGCCAGCTGCACTACAGAAGGCCCCTTGGGGGCCCTTCCTCGCTGGTTTGGCCTTGCACTGTCACCACAGAGCTCCCTTAGGACCCTCTTTGAAGGGTGCATGCGCCCGTGTACTTCCTGAAGGGGCCTTCGGAGGCAGACTTCAAGATGGTGCTCCTGAAGGTTCTGAGGAAAACAAAGGCGAGAGAGAAGGAACTTCGCCTCCTCATGCTGTAGGCCCCTCCAACCGTCCCGTTCGCTGCATGCCTTGCCCTTTGTATCCATCCAAAGTGCCCCTCCCATAAAGACACCCTAACGGGTGCGTGTGAGAGGTCTCTCTGTCGCCCTCAGGACGGGGGGAGGCAGCTGCCCTTGTGCGCTGCCTTATGGGCTTTTCCCCTAACCACCCCAACAACGGCTCCGATCACCGATCCCTCGAGAGCTTCTTGAAGCTGCTGTTCACTCGGTGATTTTGCGTATGCACAGAGGCCTGGATGCGGCGGGAAAAACAACTTTTGTTCGCCGACTGAACGGCTCGGAAGTTGATTCCGTGGCACCCACCCTTGGCTTCAGCATTTACCCGTTCTCCTTCCAAGGGTAAGATACGCCTCGTTTTCTGCTTTCTTCTTTCTCAAGCCTCCCGTTGGCATGGCTGGGGCCCCTCTGCTCCGTCAGAGAGACTCCCCCCACGGGCTCTCCGGCCCTCTACCCCATGCTCCGCACATGCACCACCCACCCCACCACTCCCAAGACGCCCCTTCTGGCCTTTTCTGCTCGTTCTTTGCACCGCGGATAAGCTGCGCATCTCCGTCTTCCCTGGATACCTCTTTCCGGCCCTCTAGGGAAGCCTGCTTTGCATGCATAGAGGAAGCGCTTGTGTTGCTGTCCATGCATGCAGGTTCCGTCTAAGCGTTTGGGATGTAGGGGGTCAAAGAACCATTCGGGCTTTTTGGAGGCATTACTTTGAGTGTACGGATGGCCTCATCTGGGTAGTGGACTCGGCAGACAGAGAAAGGATGAAGATCTGCAGAGAAGAACTTCACAGACTCCTAAAGGAAGAGGTACTGATTGAAAGCCATGCTTGGGATAGACAGACTCCACAAAGAGGGAAGCGGGGAGGCGCTCGTGCGATGCGCAGTTGAATGTGGTGGGCATGAGACATACATGTACATACACACATGTAGATACACACACATATATACACACACTCATACGCATACCCATGCACATAGGCATGGGACATACATATACATGCACATATGTGTACACACACATGCACATACATACACATATATATACACACACATGCACATACACATAGGCATGAGACCTACATATACATACACACATGCACATACATACACATATATATACACACACATACACATACACACACAAACACACATACACATACCCTATACGTTTTAGGGGCTAGGATGCAATTTAGATGAGAGGAGCGAGGAAGTCTCTTGCGTTCTCGTCTGCCTTTACTTGTCTGTGTGCGGTTCTTTCTCGCCCTGCGTACTGTTGGTATTTGCTGGTGACTGAGTCACTTCTCTGCCCTTCCGTAGTGCCTTTCAGGCCTTCTGCCTCCCTGAAAAGAATGCTTCTCTTCCCCCCTTGTGGGGCAAACCTTAAAACAGCTTGCACGCGTCTGCTCCGCTGCTTTCTTGCAGCGCCTGGCCGGCATTCCCGTGCTGATCCTTGCGAATAAACAGGACGTTCCATCAGCTCTCTCCCCAGAAGAAATCAAGCTGGTCAGTGAAGGCCTCTGAAGGTCGCCTCGAGGGAGAAGCCCCTCCCTCCCTTCCCCCCCACCCCGCCTCCGATGCTGGAGCTATAAAAGGCCAAAAAGGATAAGAAAGGCAGTCGTCTTGCACGTATCTTGCAAGAGATGTCTCCCGAGAGCTGCAGGGCGCTTATGCCTGCGTGAGGTCGTTGCGCAGAGAATTTGGTAATAGATTGCGTTTCCAGAGAGAGAGAGCGACTTTTGCTGCTGTCTAGTGCGTGGCCGCTTAGGCTCTCTCCCCTTATGCGTCTGTGCATCATTCGCCGCTTTTCTCAATTTCTGCATGCGCCGTATGGGTGTATCTACCTGTCTCATCAGGCCCTCGGTCTGGACGCCATGGCTTCCTCCCGCCACTGGGCAGTTTTGCCCTGCAGCGCTAAACAGGGAACCGGCTTGCTCGAGGGGATGACATGGCTCGTTTCGGATATTGCAAACAGAGTTTTCATCAGACTCTGAAACAAGAGAGGCCCCTTTTTTTGGACCACCGGCTTTAAGGAAAGCGCCAGAGGGCTTCCTTGCCGCGAAGGCTAATTGAGAGTCGCAGTATAGCTCTTCTCCCGCGGGATGCCAGAATTCCCCATCTTTGCTGCACTAAGGGCACTTCTTTCTAGAAAGGCTTCTCGTGTGCATCCCATGGCCCTTCCTGTACAGAGTGGCTCTTTTTCGTGCCTATATATGAACAGTGAGACCGGCCTACTGCCTCTCGAGGCTGGAGCACGGAGAGCTTGCTGAGCCTCCGAAGCTTAAAATGGGGGCCTCTATGCGGCGGCCGCACGTAATCCCGCCTCGCGAGGCTCAGCAAGGCAGGTTGTTATGGTTTCGGAAAGCATTGTGCACTTGTGTCACTGCCAACACACAGGCTGCTGCTCGCAGCCGCCTATAGGGCCTGCACGAGGGCGAAAAGGGTACCGACCCAGTGGTCAACAACTGCCCTGAGCCCCCCCCTACTTGAGGGGTTAAAATGTAGGAAGCAGCTTATGCGGTCCCCCGGGGGCCTCGCGAGCTGCCAGGCGGTGAGGCTCTCAGCGTCTTGTCGCCCTGTCGGGGGGGCCCCCGCTAAGAAGCGGCTTTTATGCCCGGCAAGGGGCACAGGCAGCAAATCCGCCACTGCTCCCACCTCGGGGAGCGGCGTCTCAAGAAGGGCCTCGGTGGCTCCCAGAAGGGAGATGAGCTCTGATACGGCGGTTTTCAGGGCGGGGCGCTGCTGTCGATACACCTCCAGGGCCAAGACAACGGTGGCTTGCCCTGTGGGGGCTCCCAGGGTGTGCATCACCCAGTCGAGTTCGTTGCCTTTCGCATGGAAGAAGTTCGCAATAGAGCCAAAATCGCACGGCTGGTCCTCCAGGACGCAGGCGGAGGCTCGAACTTGCCCAGCAACGGTCTCCTGCTTCGATGCCGCCCCCATGAATGTGCCCTCTGCAAAACTGGAGGAGGGACCATCACGGTCGCTAGAAAAGTGCCTTTCTTGAGGCCTTGATGGAGCGCCACTTGGCAGATAGACACCGTAATCCCCCGAGTGCACAGACACGAAAGCAGTTGGCTGGTACTCTTTCAGCACAGACTGAAGGATGCGCGTCTCAGGTTGTTGGGGGCGCCCTACCCTTGCTAGGCCTATAGTGGCTGCTGCTGCTGAGGCTTCCCAGTCGCGGTTGAGGTCTGCACCCCTCGGATTAGTTCGCATGCAGTATGCCCCCTGAAACAAAGAGCACAGTATGCTGCAACAGGCCTTTTGCACCAATAGCAGGGCAGTAACACGGCCTGGTCCTCCCCAGGATGCACAGACATACATCGAAACACACACTCACACTGGCAGCACACGGTTCTCCTGGCAGGCAGGCAAGCTGGGTAACGTCGGGCCCGTAATATGTGAACCGTCTTTAGGGACTGTGTTGCCTGTGGGAACACACTCGCTCGACCGCTTCTCTCGCTGCGGAGCTAACACTGAGCACAGCCATAACCTCCAGATTGCTTCTCCGTGCATGGAGGCTGGCTCTCTCCTGGGGAAGCCCCTCGCCCCTGCAGAGGGTCTTCAGGAAGGCAAACACAACTTCAGGGGCAACGACCTCTCGGGCGTGGTCTCCAGCGAGAAGAAAAAGGCGTTCGGATGGGATCGAACTCGCCTTCAGTACGAAGAAGTCCACCTACCCGCAGAGACGCACACCTACAGCTCTAAGATCACCTCTCAGCAATGATGAAAGAAACACTTTGGGCAATTTCACCGTCGCTGCAGCATCGGTGCAGAAAAAAGCCAGACGCCTTGCAAGACCCACCCTAACGCCGTCTTCCGTCTTCTGCATCAATTCGAGGCCACAAGAAGACCCCAGTCTCTGCAGCTCTTCTAACATCTCAGCATACGAGTGGTACCAGCTAGGAAGCGCGTAGTCATGATACACTGTATCGCCAGAAGCCTCTGATTGTTGCTTATAGGCGTGTTCTGATGTACCTTGTGGTGACCCCAGGTTGCCCTGCCGATGTCTGTGCTGAAAGTCAAGGGCGTCCGCAATCCAACGGCCAAGAGCTATAACGGCCAAAAGAGCCAACGCAATCATCCAGAGTAGCTGCTTTTTTCCCATCTTGTGAGATTTCAACGGTAGAAGGAGCCTGGATTTTGGGTAGCCCATAGACACTAGAGCTAGAGGCTCTACCAGTAGGCCACCAAACCCTGAGGCAACTAGCCTTCACACGTCCAGGCAGTTTGGAAGCATAGCTCGCTTATCTTTTGAGTAGCATGATCTGAGATGCGTCAGAATAGCTGCGAGTTGCATACTCGGGTTCTTAGCAGTACACCTCCACCAGTTCAAAGCGGCGATGCTCCAGGAAGCCGGCTACCGGAATTATTACGCAGGCAACCCCGGCCACCCCGGAATATGGACTTGGAATAATACAATATCCAAGCGCATTAAAAAGGGGAAGCAGATTGAGCTTCTCCTATTTGGAAGAGAATCAGATGCTATGGGCGTGGTCCATTTCATTGCCGGCGTCGGGTGAGCCTGGAGGTGCGGAGTCGGCCCAAGCAAACACCGCGACTGATGGAAGCAATAACGATTTTGCCAAATTCTGTAAGTCCTGAAAATACAAGTGTGATTTATCAGGTGTTCCCGTGTCTTTCACATACTTTCGATGTTCCTGCAAGGCCTTTGCACTTGGGGGACCTCAGTCGCTGCAGCGTGCGTCTCGTTGCATTGTTTCTGCGACGGTAACACGTCTCAAAAATGCAGCTACGCAGCACATATTTCATCAGTTCTTCACAATTAATAATTTTGTTGTCGGTTTCAGTCCGTGTCTACCTGTGCTACCTCCCTTCCATGATTGGACAAACTTGCCGAAATCATGGATGCCCCCAAAATACCGCATGGCGTGAAGAACGTCAGGCTCAAAGCGCGCGTTGTCCAAAGCATTAGGTGTCCCTTTACTCTGCACAGTCGCCTGTGTTCGTCTCGCTCAACCCCGTTGGCTATTTTACGTGCCTCTTAGCTCAAGGTAGCACTCACACTTCGCTTCCACCAACACCTGCAACCCGAAATTCCCACCTACATAGGTAGCCCTCATAGGTTGAACACTGTCAGTGGATGCATTGGGTCATACTGGGACGGGAGTGGGGGGAGAAAGACAGGATGCCAGCGCCTGGCCTTGGCAAGCGGCAACTTGAAAGAAGGCAAAGGGCTAATGGGAATGTTGCACATACTCGCGAGACTGCAGATGCAAACGAGACATAGGGAGGCACAAAAAATGGCATGAAAACAGAAGATGCGTGCAAACCATAGAAGTCACCGCGGTCAGTCAAACAGATGCAGTAGGTAAAGGATGGTGGAAGCCTTTTGGAGGGGGCCCAAGAAAAAGCACCCACGGTGAGAAACACGCAGAAGAGTGGGTAGAGGAAGGCGTGGGTCGTGCAGCAAGAGAAGACAGAGTTCGGCGACAGGAAGATAGAAAAGCTACATTAGAAGCGGAGCCTTGTAAAGCATGTAAATGCACATGGACGCTCTCCAAGGGACCGTTAGAGACAAGCCAGGAAGACAGGGTGACAGAGGGCAAAGCGGCCCAAGAATAATTTAGAGACAAATAGAACGATCCTGCTGCAGCACACCACACAGTTCCTCACCATTGACCTATTCAGCTGTTAGTGACAGCATTCCGTAAAAACGGGAGAATGACCCGTCGCCTGCCACCAGACTCTAGTAGCAGCCAATAATACTTCATAGTATAATGGTATACATGTTATTTCGCGCACAAAGCGAATACAGGACAGTTTGAAACGACAAATACATGCACTGAAAGGCGGAAGAGATACAAAGTCAGGAAATTCCTTCTGCCTGCGTGTTGAGGTGGACTGTAGAACATAGCCTACGGCACAGGCTTCTCAAGATCTAGCTGATGCTGTGCCGCACGGCGTCTCCTAAGGGCTGCCAGGAGAACAGCGCCCTGAACGTTGTTAAGAATGTGGAGCGCTAGAGACATCAGAGGCAAAAGTGCCCTTTTCTTTTCAAGTACTGAATCCCTAAGCACAATGCGGGGACCTAGGCCCCACAAAAGGCCTTGGAGAGTCGCTGTGAGGCAGCGATTGGCTCTGATGCATGCAATAGTAGTCGCTGAAGGGGGAGGAGCCCCTTCAGGTGACAGCGCAAGGGGTGCACCGTGGTGAGCCAGGCCAAACAGCACTGAGCAGGCACAAACAATGCCCGTACTGTGGATACACCTGAAGATGGTTACCGGTGGCCTTCGCCTCGCTTTCCCTTCGTGCAGTAAATTCCGATTGATGCCTTTCTTAGACTGCCCCTCCCACCTTTCATATTTTTCTCCTTGTTGTCTCTTTCCTCGCCGTAGAACCCCCGCAGCTCTCCAACCACGACGGAGCCTAGCTGCGCTCGTGAGATATCGCGCGGCGGGTAGCAGTAAACAGGGGAGTGCTAAGCGAAACTGAAGCTCCTCTAACAAGGGACCCAGAAGGAGCTGCTGCAGCCACGGGCTTCTAGGGAGGATACGACCAAGGGCCTCTGCATGCCATCGAGCGTGCAGTGCCCCCGCTGCGGCAATGGATGGAGGTAGCCGCAGAAAGATGCCCCGGCGTGAAAGGCATACGTTTGCCGCCACGCCGACGGCAACCACACTCGAGCTCAGCAGATGCAACACTAGAAATCTCGCAAATAGAGATTTCACGTTCTGTATCCGCCGTTTGGTATTTGCGGCCCTAGGTGTGCCCAAGGGTCTCCTGCTTGGGATGAAAGCTATTTGGAGAGGGACCGCTACAGTGACACGCCTGGCTTTCCCGTAATGAAGCTGTCGCGCACGAGCTGAAGCTGGCCTTTCTATGCTGAAGGCTTTGGAGAGGACGATTTGGGAGAAACTTTTGAGGGTAGTATTGCGGAGGAGACGACCTTGGAGTGCCTCTGTCGCGGAGGCTGTCGGATTGACACGCGTAGCGGGATGGAAATCCCATCTCTGTCTATCCTTCCTTCTATCCTTGGAGGGCTTCTTCAGCCATGCTAACACAGCCCTCTCGCCCGCTCCGTTCTTGGGTGTTGGTGCTTGCAGCAATGCAGCGCCGGAGAGTCCGCAAAGGGAAGGATCGTGGAAGTGTTGGTGCACTTGAGATCCACGACAGTGCGTCTCTGCACCAGAAGTTACCAGGCCTAAAGGGGCAAAAATCAGAGTACAAAGGAGGGAGGAGAGGGAGAGCATTGGTGAAGGGGGCTATGAGGAGTGAGCTGCCCTGTGGCAGCTCGACTCCTCAGATCCCTGAGTCTCGTCCTCTTCCTCGATTCCGTAGACGTGACATCCCCCGAGCTAACAGCAACAGTAGGACGAATCAATCCCGAACCTTGAATTCATGCTAACGGCTTATTGATCGCTGCACTGCTAACCGCCGAAAGGCCCCAGTCGACAGGTCCGCGTCGGCGGTGGCTTGGGGTAACTTGAGCCCCACGCCTCGGGGACCCACTTGTCTGCAGAGGGAGTGAGGCTGCTTTGCTTTCTGGTAAATATCTTGCAACTACTTTTGCCGAAATTAGTGTGAAGCGTAAAAAGGGTCGCAGTCAGGGGCCTTGGTTGGGTAGGAGGGGAACACCAACGCCTTTCGGAGGAACAGGCTATGGCCTGGGAGAGGAGCTGCAGGAAGAACTGTTGGCAACCTCCACCATTCGAATAGAGATGCTGCCTAGCCGCTTCAGCAGCTGAGGACGCGTGACCATGGCTGCATGGAGATAAATACAGAAAGAGGAGGGGCCCAGCGCCTGGTTTTAGGGCCGTCTTCTTGGCGTGCTCCTGCTGACTCCCTGAGACCTCCCTCCAGCGTGGGTTTGCCTCTACGCTGGGGTGAAATGCGGCTCCTCCTAAGATAATGTACAGGTTTCCGCACCGCAACAAGACGTGTGCGTCTGCGGGGAGAAAGCGGGCGTTGGAACGGAATGGGAAGTAGGTGTTTTGATGGCCAATTCTTCGGACGTAGACCGGGCCCAATAAGTTTTGAACGATGCTGAATGCTGTTGTTGGAGGGCATGCGTTGCTCCTAGAGATATTCTGTTGCAGCGTGCCTCCGCTGTGGAGCGTTGCGCGTGGATTAGATGTGCTCCGCTGACTGAATCCTTTAGGGGCTTTCCTTTGCCATCTGGGCCCGCAACTGCTTCACAAGGTCAGCTGCTCTCCCCCGTGTCAAGTCCGGGTCGATTGCCACAGCCTGAGACTCTATTGCTGCCAGGTTCTCCCCGCGCTTCATCTTTACATAGCCATTACGCCCCCATTCGTTGCCCCACGTACTGCATCCAGGATATGGTATTTGGATTCTCCAGAAGCTACGCAAACAACCTTACTTTCTCACTACCCAAAACTTGCGGGGTGGCATCCCTGGCATTCTAGGGCTGTGCAGAAGTTGGTTGATTAGCCGTCTTGGTGAGCCTCCCATTAAGAAAAATCGCAGCTTACGGGTCTTCACCCCATCCGACGATGGCTATTGCGTGATTCGTGTACTCCCACCCTGAAGTTTCCACCTGCTTGTAAAAACAGCCTAAATAAAGCAACCGACTAGAGCGACTCACCAGTGAACCCCTTGTGGGGAGAGTCGCACAGCTTCCCATGATCGGCTGGCTTCGTGTCGAAAAATCCATCATCATAGAGGAACAACGCGTCTGGTGCATCAATGGCGGCAACCAGCGGCCTGAAAAGTGGTAGTCATAAGGGAGTTCGCTGTCGTAGGGCTAGAAAGCTGAACTGCACAGTACCCATGGTTATAAATTTCTTCCATCATCTTCTGTTCGTCGCACCCCTCGTAGAACCCGCCGACATAGTTGTAGTCTTTGGCGTACCTGCAAATTTGCTGGGGTTCCCGCGTTTACCAGCCACTTCGAAATAGAGCCAACCCACCATCGATCCTCTGGGCCGCATCCCGGCTCAGATTCCTTAGGTGACCGGAGAAAGTTTCCCATGCTAAAGGAAGCAAGAAAACCAGCGGAAGCTTTGCTGTAGGGGGAGAGGCAGACAGGACTGTCGAATCTCACTGCATCGGGCAGGGTGCCTCCGATGGACTGTGTGTCGCCAGATACTTCTGGCAGTCTTCAGTCCCCACACCAAATTCCTTGGCGTGCTTCCCGACGAGGAAAGGGTAACCCCCGTCGCAGCCCTGGTTAAAAGGCTGAAAACACTTTTCAATAGAAAGGGCACGGCCACATAAGTGTTTTATGAGGCATACTGAACAGCTTAGGACGGTCTGCGCAGAGAGGGGCGAGGAAAATATCGGTGTCTTTTTGTTTGGAAACAGCTTGGAGAGGAGGATTTCAAAACGTTTCTGCAGAGCATACACGCCAGAAACGGCGTAGCAGCTGCCGCAGTTCCCTGAAAAATCATGTGCAGAGCACACTATTGATAGGGCGCCTGGCTCTCCTTACTTTGATTCACCACAGGGTCAGATTCCGGGTCGTAATTCACAGAAAGAAAGGGGTCACCCCATGTCCTGAAAACAGCAATGAACCAACTTTCAAGTCATGGAGCTTCTGATAGGAACATACCACTCGGTAGGGAGGGGAGCTGAGGGTTTCTCCGCGTGGAGCATGACTGGATCCTCGCACGCATATGGCTTGTCAGAAACATCCTTGCCTGCGTCAGCAGTTGCTTATCGGGCTAGGAAGAGATTTGGTGTGAACTCACCATCGCTGTCTTTTTGAAGGAAATTCGGCAGCGCATACTCTAACTTCTTATGATACTTCTGGTAGCCCATATGGCCCTTATACATTGCCAGTTCGTCGGGTGGTATATTGCTGAACTGCTTGTGATCCGCAATCCATGAGCTGTGCTTGCTGCACAAATGCGGAAAGTATGCATCTTCGTGAACAGCGAATGGCGCACTAAAAGACTTACTGTTCAAAAGAAGACGCAGATAGGTTTGCTGGCAGCACAGGTAAGCCGTAACCGTGGCCAGACATCACAAATGACTCCTCGGTATTTGTTGGGCTCTCCTTTTCAGCATAGAAGCACCCCCATTTGTAACGTGTTTTATCCCCTTCGCGGCCCTCCTGAGAGTAGCGTCCCGGCTCGTCTATCTACCATTGGCATTAATTTACTGCTCAAGGTATTTACCTTTACGGTCCAGCCCATGTGAAGCTTTGAGGAGTCTGTCGCATAGCATTTTGTTCGACCAAAAACATCTTCGGAATCTCCTGAATACGAGAATTCCGCTCGAAGATTCAAATAACTCTGAAGCAGTATGGTCATCTTACCATTCATTCTAGCTGTACACTTTTCTCCACCGGTCGTGCGGTATTTCATGAGACCAAAAAATCGCTTTGCTCCAATCCGCACCTGGTCAAGCGGCAATGTTGCATCTACCTCAAGGGGGGATTTGTCCCCAAGTACTTACTTCAAACCCTTCGTCGTAAACCATGCTCCACGTGCCAATTTGCTTTTGACTATTTGGCAGCGTTACGGCTAAGTAGCTCCACCGTTTTCGAGTTGGTGTGCTCGTTTGAATAGAGCGCTGATCAGTGAGAACTAGTCTCGTGGTCAACCCTAGACCAGTTTCTTGTGTTAGCCATGAGTAATAGTCTTCGATCCCTACGCAATTATAATAGGAAGCGAATTTAATTCCTATTTCCTTGGGTACTCATGGTGAAGGGCCTTACTGGGCTCGAGGTTTTCGAGATTCATGTTTGGGGCGCCGCCGCCGCAGGCCATGGGTTCGTCTGCTTCCTCAGCACTAACGCTGAACCGCCATGTGCCCACAATATCTGACTGGAGAATTGTGTAAAAGATAAAAGATATGAACGGGAATACTGGGAAACTCCAACTCACTAGAAGCGCGTGAATTGGGAGGTCCGCCCTCACCGTTTCAGCGGCAAGTGCGGCACCCGCTGCAAAAACAAGTCTCAGTACAGGCATTCTTAATACTGGAATAATTGCATAATCCCCCAATTTGGCCGCTAGTTGGCGCGTGTCTGGGATGCGCCCTCTCAATACACTTGTACAGAGGGCTATAGTGGAATTTGATTGCTCTACTAGGGGTCCCTACACTCGACAACTATCTACAGTAGCACCTTATCGATGTTTTAGTGGTTCATGGTGCATTGCGAACTGACAATGCCCTTCTTGGCCGATGACGAGGGGGCAACCCACATCATTATTCATAAGAGCGCGCCATTGCGTTTTGGTTCTTCCAGGTATCTGGACTCATGGGGTCTGTCTGTTTCATGACGAACGAGGAACCAGCTAATATCAACTGTCGAGTTGAAAAACTAAGGTGCAGCTTATTACAGGGTGAATTTTCTGCAGTGGAAGATGCCCCAAAATCTTTGAAACGGAAAGTTGACTGGTAGAGTCTAAATGGCGCTTAGCTGTTCAAAAACTGTCCATCGCAAGCCACTGGAAGTACAAGAAGGCGCGCTCCAAGGACAAAGGAAACCACAAGCCACTAATACGGCTCATATTGGAGGGGTAAGGCCTGTGTCACGACCGCTCGGCCCTCAGTTTCTAGTCACCTCGGCAGAGTATGTAACCACTGACGACGACGGCGCACCGTAGACGGTTGTCGTGGTATATGGAGCCGGGTGGTATGACAGAGGGCTTGTAGGGGCGGGGTTGCTGTTACAACAGCTTCCAGTCGAAGGAGGGAAGGAGGAGGTAAACCCAGCCGGCTGGAGCGGCAATAGGCTGTGCTTACTGACCACCTGCGGATGCGGGCAGAAGCCCGACGCAGCCCGTATAATGTAGTCACGTTCCTCCGTAAAAGCGCGAACGCGTCCAGCAATATCAGCGAATGTTTGCTGAGCACCACAATCATAAAGAAGATAGTGTTCTTTAAAGGGTGATCTTCCGAGTAATTCTACTTCTACCATCTGCCTGTGTCCAGGGTGACGCCTTCACTCCTACCTGTAAGCGCACTTTGTGACCAGGCAACCACATTGCCTGGCTGAATTTCTCTATGTCGTCTAGAGATTCAGCAGTCAAAGTACAGAGCGTTTCAAGCTGCGGAAATCCAACAACATTAATACTAGTACAGGTTTGCAATGATTCACCCCCGCAAAGGACCCGATGCATGAGAATCGTCATCAATGCCATAAATACAAAAAGATTGCGCACAACTCACTGTGTCAAATCCTGCATTGGTGAAGTGCAGTGCCACATTTGTGGGCAATTTCTGGGCCTTAAAGAATTCAACGACCATCAGCCGCTCTCTCTCCAACTCGGGATCTGTTAGTCGTAACAACCACAATAGTGTGACACACTAAATGTTCTCTTCAACTAAGTTGCTCAGAATGGTGTTACAACGAGGAGTTGCGATAGTGCAAAAGATTAAACCGTTTCTGTGCCCCTAGACCCTCACCCCTTAAGCGCATAAACATCTGTAGTTCCCTCTTTTAAGCAAACGCTAATTTCAGAAGTATGGAATGAAAAGAATAGTGTAACTGAAAAACTCTGTATGCTATTTGCCGTACCAGCATTCCAAACCGATGCAAATCCTTTAAGATGCTCGGGGTAATGTTTGCACAGAAAGTCCACAATGAAGTAAATGGCATTTTGCGGCCTAGCTTCTTCAACTTCCTGAGGAATACAACACCCCATGATAATTTCAGACTGTCCCAGCCTATGGCTACGCTAATCTGTTCATCGTGGTATGTGGCGGTATTTCCTGCACAGTAGATGCTGGATCAAGCCTCTACATGTGCGGCATCATACGTACCTGCTGAAGACGGGCGAACAGCTGGGCGACCCGAGATACTTGTGCCTTTGCGAGACGCTCTGCTTCAGCTCCCGCTTCAGCACGGGCTCCTTTGCTCGTTCCTTCCTGTTGTGGCATCGTGACGAACTCGTTGACAGGGGGCTGGCAAGCTTCAAGTGCTTTGCAGTGGTTCTCACCTGAACCCTTTACGAGTTTGGCTTTTGAGGATGTTTGTTGTATGCCCCCCCCTATAATCTCAGAACCAACGACGGAAATGATAAGCGCAGGTTTGCTGGGGGGAGCCGCAGCGACACCAGTGGCTTGACAGACAAGACCTGCAGAAACAGGGTGCGTCACCCTGTGGGTATTTTGCGTTGTTTTTCTCGCCAAATCAAATTTGGCTTAAGCCCAAACAAATAATGGCCAGATCGGGCACGTGCTGAGGTGTGCAGAAAGGGTGTTCTTCCGCCTGACTAGCTTGGGCAACGGTCGCAGCAGGGCTTTGTAAGATCTACTTTTCTCTCCAGAATGTTACGTATTCCCCGGTTGACAAAGACGACCAAACGAAGCTGAGGTTTGAAAGCCTGAAGGATGATTTTAAGACTTCTAATGTTTCCTTCAGCATCGCCGTCCGGGGACTGCCGAGCATCAGGGCAGTCGGGGGAGGTGATTGGCTGTATCAATCGCGCCCGAAGAGAAGCAGGGAAACTCTTAATAGCACCAGAAGTGGCTTTGTCTGAGACTTTTGTTCTCGAGGAAGAAAAGAAGGCACTGGTGACGACAAGGCAATAAATGACCGAGTGCCGCTCCCAAATTAGGGCTTCATCATCTCTGAGGAACACTGTAGCGGCGAGTCACGTACTGCTAGTGCTGCTGTTGCTGCCGGCTCGCTGTAAGCATGTATCCAGTGTAACAAGACAAATATCCATGTGTGCAGATTATCTATTCTTTATGCCTCTGGCCTTGCTCTTTCTCTTTTTAGCCCTCTTTAGCCCGTCTTCACGCCGACGACCACTTGAGGGCCCCGCGATCGTCTGTGGCAGCACGTGCAACGTCGAGCTGACGCAAGAATTCTGTGTATCTCATTCATATCCCGGGCCTTTATCTGCTCGTCTTCGGCTCAGCAAGGCTCAATCACCAGGTCTGTTGTTGACCTCATGCGAACCGTACTGCGTCAAGTTACCTCCAGCGTGAACTCCTAATCACCGTAGCCATTACAGGCGAAGAATTTCAAATAAGGGCGGCGGCATTCCTGTAACGCACTTTATAATGCTCTAATAAGTGGCCCAGCGGCTTTTTGCCCTCCACGGGTGCCGCGCATGCCTGGTGCTTTGGAGTGCTTCCGTTCACGTACCCATTCCACCCTTCCCTCGGTGCTCTATTATGGGGCGGAAGGAGGACTTAGGGCAAGAAATATCTGAATGTGTCGCCGCCTCGGCAATAGCAGCAGCTCCGGGGAAGTCGCTCCGCAGACGGCGACGGCCGCCTCGTGGCTCTGCAGACACGGTCCCCGCAGCTGCAGTCGACGAGGCAGCACCTGAATCCCGATATAGCAGCTCCAGTATATCTAGAGCTGGAAGAAGAGATTCATGCGACAGCAATGCCCCCGACGGAAGGCATGCTGGCCATCGCAGCAGCAGCAACGGCAGGGATGAAGCAAATAGTACAGAAAGCCGGAAAGCACAAGACGAAGACGAGCAGAGCAGCACTGCTGGTGCATCAGCCGAGGGCGCTGCTGAATCCTGCAGGGAGAAAGATCAGGATGAAGACAAAGAGCAGCCTACCGGTGACACCAAGGCTGCCCAGGAGCAGCAGCACCCGCAGCGAGGCAAAGGAGGTTCTCGCCTGCTGATAGAGGTGACGCCGAAGATCCGGGAATTCCTTGAGAATCTCGCATCGCGGAAAAAGCAGCGTTGCATCATTGCGCAAGACAGAATCGATCTTGACGTCCTGCAGCGCTTGGTGAGAGGACTCATGTACGATGGGGAAGAGATATTTTTGTGGGCGGAGGCTGTGTCGGGCACCAGGAGGCAGCATGTCGTTCTTTGCCTCTTTTTAGCACTAAGGTTTTCCTTTATCACGCTTGTTTGATGGGCTGTAGGTCAAGGAATGGAACTCGGAAACCGCGAAGAACTGCCAGAATGTGTGCATGGCCGACTTGGTAGAGGGCTCTCATGTTGTTGGTAGGGCGTTCCCCTATTGCGTCGTCCCCCTCATGTATTGGCTGTTGCTGCCACGTCAATTGTGAAGCTTGCTAGTCCAAAACAAAGAAGGCTGCGCATGGTGAGGGATTTAGGGGCTGCACTGCTTTTTTCTTCTCTATTGGCTCGTGCTCTGACAGAGCGAATTGAGGCTCCTCCCGTGCACCTCGAGTCTCTCAGCTTCAAAGAGCGCACTAGGCTTTTAGCGGATGAGAGGAGGCACCAAGCGGCCGTTCGAAGCTTATGGGGAGAGAAAGGTGGCCACCAGGACTCCTTCGCTGATCTCAATAAAAGCCTTGCGTACGCTCTGGGCGTTCGCGGACCCTTCCTTCTCATACCTGTTAGCACCGGAATCCAGCGCTCACAACATTCCAAAAGATTTCTTTGAGTGGAACTCTTAGCACCTTGTGTGCACGGGTCTTAAGCGAAAAAGGGAGCTTAAAGCAGAAATTCTCTGGGCTTCAAGGTAGAGTGTTGGCGAGTTCACTGCTCTGTGTCTGGGGTTGCAGGATGGGGGTTAACGCGCTCCTTGGACTGTTCCTCACGTTCCTCGGCGGCTACTGGGCAGCACTGTACAGCGGAGTCGAGACCTTCCAAACTGTAAGTCAAGGGGCAGTCTACGCCTCAAGCACCGCAGCTGTTGCCAGCAGGGGGTACTGGGTCGGCCGGCCTGATGGGCTGTACAGGTAAGCCTCCATCCGTATACCACGTGCAGCCTCCCGTGTGGCACCTTCCATTGTATGCAGCGCGTGGTCGTGGGCCTCGTCTGTTCCATTGTGTGCCTGGTGGTGGAGGTGCTGCTTTTTGCGATTCACGACGAGCGGCAGAGGCTAAAGGCACAAAAGAAGCTGTCTCGAGGCCTCGTGCTCAAATCAATCTAGCCACTGTCGCCCTCGAGTCGCTAGTATACTTTCCCAATTCGGCGCTTTCCGAGGAAGTTACCGGTTGCGGGTTGGAGAGTAGCAGTGTGTATGGCAGTGGCTAAAGTCTGGAGGGACCCTTTAGGTCACAAGACTCACTCCCCTGCTTTCACCCCATATAGAGCTAATACAGATCAAAAAGGTATTTATTCCTTGCCGTTTGGAGACCCGTCTGTTCGCCACAAGGCGGGACGGTCCGAGGGTAGTAAATGATAAGTCACCTTTACCGATACGCCCCAGCCCGTAAGGAGGCGTGAAAACTTGCCTCCTTACAGAGCGGTCTGTGCGGGATCTTTGCTTTCCCGTAAGCTAAAAGACAAGATACGAGGTCAAACGCATAAATCTGGGCAAATGAATCTTTAAGCGTCTTCAAAACTGACCATCGTGACAGGCGGTGACCTATTATGCAACAGGGAAAGACCGTTGCAACCGACAAGACACATATAAGTAGCTGGAGAGCATCCAACGCGAGAAATAGGTGGTCGCAAAAGTCGTGTTGTGTAAGTGTGGAGCAAGTAACATGGAAAGTCAGAGCCAAGAAGCAGCCTTCTCCTCCCCTCCATGCGGCCTCACGCCGTATACGTCCGCACAGAGCACCACTACGCAATGCAGACTAGAAAGCACGTTCACATCCACCTAGACCCCCAGCAGCTTCTTTCCATTTTCACTAAGCGTACAAACATGAGGGATATCCCTAAACATCTGATCGCAATCGAAGCTGAATCCGATGACCCATTTGTCGGGGAGCGAAAACCCGATAAAATCGGCACTCTGTCCGTTTGAGCGAGTGGTCCTCTTCAGTGTAAGGGTTGCAATCTTCACGCTCTTTGGCTCGAACTGTTGCAAGTACTTTTGCAACTCTGTGAGGGTCAGCCCGGTGTCAATGATGTCCTCGACGATCAGCACATCCTTACCCTTCAGGCAAGACAAATCGTCACTCAATACCTTCAGCTTGTTGGTACTCTGCGTCCCCGCACAGGAGCTCACCCGCAAGTAGTGCTCGAAAAAGGGTGGGCAGGTTGCTGCCTCATCATAAAGGCTGAGTTTGGTCAAGTGCTGGAACAAGGCGGAAAAGAAGCTCCGTGAGCCCTTCAGCAAACAGAGGCAGTGAAGCTCCTGGTTCCTATAGGTGGTGCGGATGTCGCACGCCTGAGAACATGGCGCACAGTAATGGAAAAGTGACCATTAATGCGCTTATTTCTTTCTTTTTGAGGACGCCAGCACTGATGGTAGGTGCCAAGTGGCGTGGTCTTTCCACTGTGTCCAATTACTGCCCTACCATCTTTTCAATTCTATCCATAAGAAGCCCATTGGGGATGAGGATCTTTTCGATATACTTATGGTACTGCTTAGGCACCAACAAATCGTCGGGGGTGTAACACACAGAATCCTCTATCACAATGGGTTTGCTGGCCGCAACACAAATTCTGCAAGGACAGAGAAGCGCAAAGCAACACGGCAAAGAGCACTAGGTGAAACAATGAAAGCAAAAAGGAACACCACGTGAATCAAACGGAAGGCCAATATACTCCGTAATAGGAAGGTGGAAGAACATCCTGTAACAACAGAAGGAACGAAGACATACTGAGTCATCTTGACTGGCGCTGGCAAGGAAGGACGGAGAGCGAAGGTGCAGGGGTCCAAATATCCGGGAGATCATACGAGCGAAAAAATGAGAGTCGGCTTTCCTTGCGATTGTCTTTAAGCGTCAAGGGTTCCCCCCGCGAAGCCGGGGAGTGTCCGTCAACTTTCATGTGGGGCGGGAGGGTTTAGTGCCTGTCCGGAGCACAGGGCCTCTGGCAAATCGATATTAGCCATGCCAATTATGGATAGCTATTGTAAATACACATTAACACGGTGCATTAGGTTGTTCATCTCGAAAGCAAGCCAGATTTATTGAAAAGCTGTTCTGTAAACGGTGTTCCCACCCAAAATAGCGCGTTTAAAGGCGCACTCACGCAGTGCACCCAAGGCTGTGCTTCCCCACTTTTCTCCCTCGCAAAGCTTCCAAATTCAAATAAAATATAAGTACTCTCTTTTCCTTCGAATTATGGAAGGTCTCCGTCACTTCACTAAATATTGGTGAATGACAGGCGCCATCATGTAGGCCTCAAGATAACTAATGCCCCACGATGCAGAAAGGCAGGAAAGACACACGATATTTTGGGGGCTTTCCTCAGACTTCTCTGCACAAGACTTCTTAGGAAAAAATGGTTTCGACGGCTTGGGTGTGGCTAGATCGTGTGTGTTGCAGGACAGAAATGTGGCACTGTTGGTGCTCGGGCTGCCCGAGTAGCAGGCGAATACACGTAGCACTTTCTGCTACACTACTTTGTTAACTACAAACAAAGAGCTTATCAGCTTTTTGGTGAGGCTGTTCGCATACCTCAGCTTTAAAAGCGTAGCGGCAGCTCAGTATAATACAGAGCAGTGCTCCGTGCATGTGCGCTAGGTGCAAATGCCTTGTTTGCTTTGCGGGTCCAGTTACACGTTACCTAGCTGACCCTCTCTCCATGTGTTGGAACCCTGAGGAACGCGTGCGGGGTATGAAAGCAGTTCTTCTTTAAAAGTACTCAATACATTCTACAGAGTTTGTATTGACTCTGGAGTACAGACCTTTGAGGGGGCGTTCCAGCCAGTGGCACCTCTTAGCTCGATGCAGCTGCTCCCCTTCATTCACTTCCTGTGGAGATATTGGGATGTCAGGATTCTCTACACAAGTTGTCTCGTTTGAGCCAATTTGTTTCGCAATTCAGTATTTTAGTTTGTTGACAACAACCTGGGAAACCGCACCCTATGTCAATGCAAGCTGACGGCGGCGCAACGCCTGCTGGGGTGCACACAGCCCCGACTGCAAGCGCATATGAACGCATTAGCTCCACAGCTGTAAGAAAGGCATGACTTGTCAGCCGCTGACAAGCTTATGGATGCGTCAAGTAGGGAATGCCGATCAAGAAGGAATGGGGGCCGTGTTTGTGAGCAAATATTTTAAGATTTTATCGGCCAACTATAAAAGTATATCGCTTTGTACCCCTTAGTTGGAGGAAAACGGGTTATCCTAGCGGCATATTTATTGGGGGTAGAAGCTTTTTAACGGTGGCTCTGCTCTTTTAGAGGAAATAATCTGCCTGCAGGAACTGCTACAACCCAAGCCTTCTTCTAAGCCCTTACTCATTGGTTGTCGCCGAGACCAGCAAAATAGCAAGCTGTGGGAAAACTGAGGGATGAGGCAGGGAATTTAGCAATATATCTGCACGTCAATATGCGTAAAACTTTGGCCCGCACGAACCACAACGAGACGAACACATTCTTACTCAATGATTTTCTCAGGTCAACCAGAAAGGCCGCAGAAGGTGGCAGCAAAATGGGAAGCGACTCAACGATGAATTAACCGATCCTTAATGCTCCGACAAGTGATGGGCTGCTTGGGGCATCAAGAGCAAATGAGCATCCTTGCTGCGCCTTCCTGCTAAAAAAACAAGCGAAATCAGGGGAGTTTAGACTTATGGGTGTGACAGCTGTTTCACCTGGTCCTAGCCTACAGTCGAAAGCGACTGAGGAAAAAGCCGGATGGAACCCGCTTGCCTATGCAGCCCCAGGTAGCCCCAACAACACACTTCCTTTCACTGAGGGAGATTGACTCATGCCATCCGGAGCTGCAAGCGCACGCAATTTTATAAGAAACTTTGAACAACCAAATTAGATCTACCAGTTTGCTCGGAAAGCAAAGAAGGCGCATCAGGGAAAGGCAGCAAACAAAATTTGATATTCTCCGACAAACGAACCTATTGGGAGAGTTCCCTAGGTACACTTTCCTAATTATTTTAGAGCTTGCGGTTGAGCTGATCTCGGAAGGGGAGCTACAGAGGATGGAGTCGTAATTGGGGACCCCCACAGGTAAGCTCTGTGCTGATGTAAGTCCTCATTAATAGTAGGAAATCACCAGTGGTATTTAGCAGTAGGTTTAAAGCGTAACTGTTGCGTGAGACGAGGGTTCAGATGTGCGTTCTGTCTGTTCACTCGTTAAGCGCATTGTCTAAGATTCAGGATTAGTTGCGGGAGGCAGAACAAAGTGATCAGCAAGTCTGTGGCGAATAAAGCTACTGCAAATTGTATCTGGGTTATTTCTGCATGGCCAGTGACTTATAGACTGAACCCGCGCAGCGTACATAATCGAAGGTATGCCAATAATGACCCAGAGGAACGCGCACGCTCACGAGTCTGCGCATTGTGGAGGTGGAGTGTTAGGAGGCGCCAAAAAGAAAATGGTTTGTGGTCTCCTTATTACCACTCATTTCGCTCATGGTGAGAGGGCTTGCGTCAGTACCTCAAACAAGGTGAGGCGGGGCCTCCATGCGAATGTCTCGGGGTCACAGAAAGAGAAGACGGTCGTTTTATAAGCATTCATAGCCCTTCTTACTGTATCTGCATGTAGCACTCAATTAAAAATGTATTTAGCCGTATTTAAGGAAGAGCTGGAATCGGCAAAATGTGAAGGATGAGTCCGGGAATGTGCTACGTAATGACGAGTTGCCAGCAGTCCGGGAACCCGCCATTCGTTGGTGCACTGTACTGGGCTAATCATTAGCCTTGCTCCGTGTTATGTTTCACGGTATCTAAATTTCTTACACTATGCTTTTAAAAATGGATGCCAGGCAGATAATTTGTAGAAAACAAGTAGCAGGAATCGACCAGCGCTTTGGGGCGTAACCTGGTGCTAATGCCAAAAACAAAGAGATGGTAGCGCACATGCGTTAGCCTTGAAGCTCTTAAAAGGTCAACTGCGAAACAAAAACTTCTGACTATTCGCGAGGTACTTGACAAACTACACTGATCTACAGCCTACCTAACATTTAACTTCACCTTCCAAGGGCCCTGTGCACCCATATGACCGCCACGAAACGGCTCTACACACTCCCACCCGCAAACTTGAGTATCCCTATAGGCCGTTTGGAATTTTAGTGACCAATTCAGACTGCAAAAGCAAGCTTATTGGGACTTTGAATGAGCCTGTGAAGCGTGGCGGAATGGCTGTCTTTATAGACGACGTCTTATTCTCTAGCCAAAGCTTTAAGATTGCCCACAGCACCAACGGCGTGTGCATCAGTTGTTCGGAGAAGCAAAGCAGTCAGTGGTTTGTGGTAGCAAGCAAGATTGTTCTCATGACAACGCTTTTCCTCGGATTTCATGTTTTGGCTTCATGAATTGAGCCGCAACTAGCCGAGCTTCTGGCACTTGGGGCGTGGCCTTAATCTCAACACACCTGGAAGGACGCCGCAAAGCTCACTAGGCTTGCGTCTTGCTACAAAAATTTTATTCCTCGAATATTTCTTGCTTCTGCTCCTATGACTGATCCTCAGAGCAACACGCAGTATTTATGAATTTGGAGAGAGGAGGCTGTTGCAGCATCAAGTACGCTTGTAGGTCACCTCCAAAGTCCTCTGGCACTTGTGTTACCCCATTATTAGCATTAATTTTTAAACAGCGAATGCTAGAGACGTGGTGGTGCGTACTATGATCTCCCAGAAGGCTAGGTAGTCTCCAATGCACCAAATTCTTACTTGTCATTTCCATCGCTTAATAAAACTGGCAAAGCCATTCGGTGGGGGAGAAGCAAAATTGAACGCACTGTGGCAGGACGCTTTGAAATAGCCGAAACTATTTATGTGGGCGCCAGCCTACTTTAGTCAACCGAAAATCATTCTTTTGTGTACCTGAGGGGGAGTTTTCAGGACTTCGATAATCATACAGTTGTTCACCGGCTTAAACGGTATTTCCTGCAGTGCGAGCTTAGAGTAAAAAACATTACCAATATCACAAACGTGGTCGCCAACGCGCTCTCACGACTCCTCAGCACTTCATTGTTGTGCACTGTAACCACTCTTATTTGTAATGCTTCGTGACGTTTATCACAATTGCGTGAGTCTTTTCCTTTTGCCATTCTTGCGCCCTCTAATACTACCAAAATATACAGTAGCAAGGGTGCAGCACTAACAAGCTGGGGATGGCCGCCTGTTGTGGTTTGAAAAAAAGTAAATTTGTCGTTTGCGCATTCTGGCTATGCCCAGCACTTCGGCTTTGTGCAAAGCACATGTTCTTGTCCTTTCAAACTATGGTGCAACTCACAGTACGGTACAAAAGCTCTGATGGTCCTTCAGGAGGTATGGGATGCTCCTCGCGGAAGAGGAGCGTGCACTGTCAGGCCCGGCTTGTCAGCAGGGAAAGCCGTGCTGTCCGTCTGCTTGCAATGTACTCCGGTCCTGCTGTTGGACTGCCGGAGGTTAAGAATTAGGATATCATGTACGTCGTTGCCCAAACCTCAGCAAGTATGCCCATTCCATCCCTTAATCCAGCTGCGTCATGGCTCAGCAGGTAGCTCAATTTTTTTACGCTCATATCGGAAAGTCTCAAGTACTCCCCAGGAGTAACGTTACGGATAGGGAGCTGGCGTTTGTGCGTTTTGGCTCGTGGCAAGAAGTGCCCAAGTGTAGCGTAGCTCGGTGCAGCTCACGTATGCAACTAATCACCAGCAATCTTTACCACTGTACACTTCTTTTAATGCAGTCTGCGCAGACCCTTTTACAATTCTCTGTTAGTCCTCAGGTTCGCTTCAACAGTGTTTGCTCAACCCTTTCCCTACAGCTCACAGAAACTCTGCTGCTGCTAGCCTTGTGTGCAGAAAAGGGGAGTTAATTGCCTTAAGCTGCGTACTCAACGCCTGCCCCTTGGAGCAGCATGCATACGGGCTTGGATCACTGAAGGGGGCTCCAACGAGGCTGTCCGCTTCGCGGTAGATCGAGAACTTGCTCCTGAGAGATTCACAAGCTTCCTTTGCATGAATATTCGAGAGTAGCACCTTGAAAGGGCACTGGAAGACCTAGTGCTAGGCCCCCAAGGGATTTCATAAGGCCGAGGAAAGTAGCAGTTGGGATGAAGCAAACGGTAAATTCTCTTAAGATTTAGATATATGTCTAAGTACGAGACATTTGAGCTTTTAAATATGAAGAATTAGGGATAAGCATATGTAAATGATTCCCCAGCAGCATGTAGAAACCTAAATCCCCCACCGAAGGACGTCTCTTTTTATATACCTTGTGTATGAGCAGAGGCATGTGTCAGCTCCCTACTGTATATATGTGCTGGTTATATACCTGTTACAATTTGAATAATCAAGGAAAGTCTTATCAATGCCCCACATCTCCGAAAAGGGTGGGGCCTTTAGAGCCCGCCCCAGGGTGATAGCTCAGTCTGGCCTTTATGCATCCGCTAGTTTGTTTGTCCTTTTTTCCTTCATAAGTTGAATATTATGAAACATTGAGCAGAGATACCCTAGGTCGTGGCCTTCGTTCAAGCGATTTTTGCACCCTGATGGGGCCCCAGGCATATGGGGGCCCTCTGTGACACTAGGGTACTCATCGACTTCTTCGGCATTACGCGTCCCTACCCCCGCCTGAGTCTCTGCATCGTCTTGCCTAAACTTCCATTGGAGTTGTGCGTCTCTTCGACTGCCCTCCGGTGAGACACTTCATCCTTTGCCGTGCAGATTGTGGGGGTGCCCAAGCACGTCAGCCCCTCAGAAGGTCGCCATGGCCCTCCCCTCCGCAGCGAAGCACTTGGGCTTTCTCGCCTCGAGGCGAGGGGGAGTCTTGCAGCAGCAGCGGCTGTGGATTAAGATGGCCTCCTCGTATCCAGCGCCTGCAGCGGCAGTACCGGTGGAAGAAGTCGGGAATCGCGGCAGCAGCAGGTCCTCGCACAACACTGGCCGAAGAAACGAACGCGAGACTCTCATTGCTATAGCTGCAACAGGGTTGTCGGCGGCTTTTTTGAGCTGGCAGAGCTGCACTGGGAGGAGGAGGAGCAACAGCCAAGTTGCCTGTTGCTCCTCCTCCTCTTCCTCTGCCGTGCCGTCGGGTGGTTCTGAAGTGTACGTGTGGGGCGCGAACATTGATGGCCAGGTGGGGGTGGGTTCTGGCGTGTCGGTGTCTTTGCCAGCACTCCTCTCTACTCTCCCTCTACGTCCCCATGAGACAGTTTCTGCGCTGTCGGGGGGGGCCCGCCACTCAGCGTGCATCACCTCGGAGGGCAGGGTGTTTTTGTGGGGCAGGGGAGCAGAAGGAGAGGGAGGGGTTCCGTCTGCTGCTGAAGGGCCCAGGGAGATCGTGCTGCCGCTTCAGGAGGGCGACAAGCCGATCTTGGTTTCCTGCGGCAGCGACTTTTCGTTGGTGGTGACTAGAATGGGCTGTCTGTACACTTGGGGTAGAAACACACACGGGCAGTGCGGGCGGCCCTCGTCAGAGGGGCCAGCCGAGCAGCGGGGGGGGGCGCGGGGATCGTCTGCTCCCTTCCCGCTCGAGGGGATCGGCAGTCGGGATGTCTTTGGGGGCCGAGGACGCTCCGTCTCCTCGCTGCCTCCTGGGCAAGTGGGGGGTCAGCTTAGTGGTCGGAAGGTTGTGGGGGCGTCTTGCGGGGATCGCGTGTGCGCGGCAGTGACGGCGGAGGGGGAGGTCTTCGTGTGGGGCGAGGCGCGTGCAGGGGGCCCCCTTGGGGGCAGGTCGGAGGGGGGGGCTGCTGCTCCCCACGGGCCCCGGCTGGTGCCCTTGCCTGCCGAGGGGGGGGCGCCTGCATGCGCGGTTGCAGTGGCTTGTGGGGAGAGCCACTGTGTGGCTTTGAGCGCTAGTGGCCGTGTCTATGCCTGGGGGAGCAATGCTTACGGCCAGCTGGGGTTGGGCGGGGGTGCCCGAACAGTGGAGGGCCCCCATCTGGTGACTGCCCTTAGGGATCACAAGGTTACCGCCATCGCCTGTGGGGCCCTGCACACCCTGTGCCTCACGGAGCAGGGGAGTGTTTTTGTTTGGGGATACGGGAAGGACGGCCAGTGCGCGGAGCCGTCGCATTTGGACGTGCCCTTGCCCCTTCAGGTTGCAGTCGAGGGCCCCTCCGGAGGGCCCCTAGTGGGGCCGTGCACACACATCAGCGGGGGGGAAGGCCACAGCCTCGCAGTCTGTAGCGGGGGAAGGCTTTTTGTGTGGGGACGCGGAAGAGAAGGGCAGCTAGGTCGGGGAGGTCTCATTGAGAGCCCAGCAGCCTCCCGAGACGTGCCTCTAGAGGTGCTTCTCCCGGGAGGGAAGCGTGTGGTTACTGCTGCGTGTGGCGGGTGTCACACGATCGCAGCAACGTGCGCACCCGCTAGGGCATAGACCGCGCGCCGTGTCTCCGCTCGTGCAGCGACTCCGTAGAGGAAATAAACCCCTGTGACGGGGAAGTGGCGAGCGATGATAGAAAGTGTGTGGCTGTGCACAGGCGCCTCGCACTCTTCTTGCTGCTGTGTTTTATTAGAAACCGAAACAAAAGCGGAGCCATGTGACCCTCAAAAGCACACTCGAGAGACGGACTCTGATATGTATATATATACATGTATATATCTATATACGTATACATATATACACAATTAAAAAAGACGCCACCGCACACATCCTTTTTAGCATCGATACAGAGAGGAGGGCCCCTCACCATCCATGAGCACAAGGGTTTCGAAGACCCCTGCTCCTTGTGCTGACACATCGAGAGGCCCCAGCACTTTGTAGAGTCCAGGCAGGGGGCCCCTTGAAGCAGAGAGTTCGAGCAACCAGTGCAGGCCGGAGTTCTATGTATGTAGAAAGTATCCTCTGTCCCTCGAGGATTGTCCCCTCCGCCTGACGGGGTCCAGCCCCCTGCCACTCCGGCTGTCGCTCGCTGCACCCCGTAGCTGAGCACCTAAAGGCCTTTTAAGGGAGTCTTTGTGCGGAAAGGAGAGGTGGGGCCAACAGTGCCTTTAAAGAATTGGCCCCCTTGACGAAACGGGCAGTTCGCAAGCAAGCTACGGAAGGGGGGCGTGTCACGCCAATACATGGTAAGGAGCAAAGGGGGTCGGCACTGCAGTGGGTGGGAGTGCAGGAGGCAGCGGCAATCGATCTACGGCTACGGAATCCAAGAAAGCTCAGGGACCGACCCCACGGGAGGGCAGGAGGAAAGAGCGAGGGAGGGGCAGTGGGATGGAGAGCGCCCGGAAGTAGGAGCCAAAGCAAACGCCCTAGGGCAAAGTTTCTGGGGACTGCGTTGTTTGGGGTGTATGTACACCTTCCCTACTCCGTACTCATACCCCTAAACCCCGCGTGCCAGCAGCGAAAGGCCACATGGCCCGTCATTCCCCCGCGACCCCACCAGGTAGCAAAAGCGGAGAGCCGCTCGGCAACAGCAGCAGCAGCAGCAGACGTCGCTTCAGCTGGCTCTACAGGAAGTAGTACACCGCAGAAAGGCCACCAGCAGTTGCAGCACCAGCGGTGCAACACAGACGCTCCCCATCAGAGCTGCAGCAGCAACGGCAGCAAATCCCCCAACTTCAACCCCGTGGTCCCCCCTCTTCCTCCCCCTCTCCCCTGCTTTCCCCCCTCAGCACCCTCGATCCTCACCAGCCATCACAACTCCTCTAGAGCCGAGGCAGGCCCTTTGCCGCCATTGCTGCCTCCCAAGTCTTTCGCCATCAGTGCAAGGGGATCGAAAGAAGGGATGCCCCGAACCCTGGAATGAAGCCACTGAAGCATATCGGCTGTAGTCCGATCCCCTATATAAAGCAGCGGCTCCTGCTCCCCCGTTCTGTACAAGTAAAGCGTGGGATATCCGCTTATCGCAACGCCGTCTACCTCATTCCGAGTGGCGTCGATGCGCGCGATGATGAGGCCCGGCACATCGGCCACACGCGCCGCCAGCTCCTTGTACGCGGGCTCCATCTTGCGGCAGAAGCCACACCACGGAGCATAGAACTCTACGAGAACGTTCGCCTCCTGTCGCACATCTGAAGCAAAGGTAGATGCGACAAGCGTTCGAACACGGCCCTTCGGTTCTGGCACCTCCGGGGGGGCTTCCGAGCGGAAGTACGGCGCAAGCTGGTGTGTGAGCACCGCCTTTATGAAGCCATCAAGAGCACGAGAGAAGGCCTCTTGGCTGCCGCTGCTCTTGTCCGATCCTGGCGCAGGGAACGGCAAAGAGGGAGACGGTTTGTACTTCTGTGTGGGGTGGTGAGGCCCCTCCGACTTCGGACTCACGTACAAAAGGCGCACTTGCGGAAGGGACTCCTCCTCGATTCCTAGGAGGCTAAGAAGTTGCTTCTCGAAGCGCGTTGTGTTCCCGGATACGGCAGCGACAACGTTTGCTCTATGAGCCTCTGCCTGAGCGCGAAAGGCAGCAAGAAGGGGGTCCTTAGGTCTGGAGGCCGTTGCCTGCTTGAGCAGAACCCCGTGCTCCTGGCTGTCCAGCAGGAGCAGGAGCTTCGGCCTTAGATCCTTGAAGAAGGTGTTTCCAATCGTTTCCATGTCGAAGAGGGAGACAACTGGGAATAGCCACTGCCGTACAAACAAACGGAGCTCGTTGACTTCTCCCACAGAACCCCTGTAGATGTGGGCCGCTGTCTCATCCTTGTGAGGCACGAAGACTACAACAAACGGAGGAACGAGTTCTTTCAACGCTGCCTTCCCGCGGCGCTCAGCTGCAGGCAGTCCAGGCAGCACGTGCGCATCGATCAGATGCTTGATGACGTCTGGATTGGCGGTGTCTCCAAAGAATACTTCTTCGCCAAACGCTCGTGCCACCGACTGGAAGCCCCCCTTGTTGTAATCCGGAGGAAAGGCAGCCACCACTACAACGTGGCCGTCCTCCCCCTCGCCGCGTCTGCTGCTGTTAATGAGCTCATCTAGATGAGCAGTCGACACGAGCTGCTTGTCTCGATCCACCCTAAGGTCTACCCAATGAACAAGGTTCGTCCTCTCACGGCGGCCCTCGTAGAGCTGTGCCACCCCGTCTATGTAGAGCCTAATCGTCGGATAGGCCTGGATAAACTCGTTGTTGCACGTATCTTCATGCTCCGTGCAATCGATCTTCGCAGCAATCACCGGAGGCTCATGGTGAGACAGGAGCTTCGCTGCGGCGTCCAGCTCTGCGAAAGCAGCGCGGGACCAGTAACACCACGGGGCATAGTACATGACGAGCACGAGGGAGTGCGCAGCCATGAATCCGTCATAAGAGTCGCCAGACAAAGCAACGGCGCCAGAATCCATTGCGAACTTCTGATCAGCAGCGGCTCGCTCCTTCTGAGCCTCCGTGTAGACACGACGCTCACTGCGCAGTCCTTCTTCTTCAGCAGCCTCTGGTAGGGAGGCGGCTGCGGAAATTGCAGGAGCAAGGCAAGACAGGGAAACCACAAGCAACAAAACTTGCGAAAGGCGTCGAAGAACACTCGGGAAAAGGAAAGCTTTTGCAGGGGCCCGTGAGGGCCCCGTGGTTCCCAGAACGGGTGACGGGGGGCAGGCCATATTGGTAGAGGAGTCAAAACGCGAAGAAACTGAGCGAGCGAGCACAGTAGATGGAGCAGCTCTAGAGGCTCGCGGCGAAGGCAGAGAGACGAAAGCAGTTGCAGGACCGTTGATAGCACGTGGGTTGCCCACAGCAGACGAGGAGCCTCTATGTCCGCAACGCCGCCACAGCCGTCACTCAGATAGCACAAGAAGACAGAAAAGCCAAAGGGAGTAAGAGAGGCAAGTACAGACAAATCCAAGGAGTGTTCCGACCGACCCAGAAATGCGGTCTGGAGAAGAGAGGTTGAGAAGGAAGAAGAGGAAGAGAAGAGGGCGCTGAAGGTGCCCGCGCCACTAAAATGCACGCAGGACAAATCGAAAAGCACGTAGTGGCTATTTTCTAAATACTGAAAAGTACATAAAAACAAAATATCATGAAATCGTTCATGAAGGGAGAGGACACCCGCCGGCGACACAGAGTCACACACATAACACTACATGCACCTCAGCCCATAAAAGCAGCGAATGGAGACATAATCCAAATTATTTCGACACTTCCCTCTCGATTAAGAACAAAAAGATTTTATGCTAGCAGAATTCTATAGGACTGAAACGCTAGAATATTCGAAGGATTTGTCTCTATGCTTTTCCTGAACTTCTACAGCAGTCTCGCGGGGCCCTTAGGGGGCCCTGGCCGGTAACTTGAATAGGGCCATCTGCTCTTCCGCCGAATCAAGGAGACTGCTGTGTCGTACTCTCCCTCACATGCTAGTCTCTGCGGTTGTTGCTTGAGAAGATGATTTGCTTTACGCCTACGTGTTAGCTCGCAAAACTTATGCCGGCCTGCTCACGCAGGGGCTGCCCCTGATCCTTCTCCGGCCTCCCCCTTGTCCCATGCAGATGCCACGATCACCTATGCTTAGCAGGTCTGGCAAAAAGAATGCCCATATGTAGCCTGTGTTCTGCAGGCCAGAGCTCCCGGCGTCCTCTTCTTGGGGGGCTCTTGCAGGTACAGGTCTGGCGGCTCCGCAACGTCTGGTCAGGCCGCGGGGGGAAGCCGAAGTAATATGCACTTTTTGCTGTGCATTTCGGGCAGCACTTTTCCTGACTGTTCATAGAGTGTGTTGGTCGCTCGAACTGCTCTCCCCTCCGCGACCCTCTAAAAGCTGCTTTGCAATAAATGGGGACTTGGTTTGAGGCGAAACTCAGTGTAGTGGGTATTCAAAAAGTCTGCAGGACAGCTGGCCAATCAATGTGTGAAGACGGGAGCATGTTTCTTCTTTCTGTTCACGCGCTATAGAAGAAGAAGCAAGCGTATGCTGGGTATTGGGGTCTAGCAGGCTACACTACACTTAGGCGCCTTCGAATACTGTTGTTCAGTAACAATTACCTATGAATTGACGGCTTGGTATGGCTTTTCGTTCGTATTATTTCGTGCGGAGCAATTTGGTGGCTCGGGACGTCAATAATCGATTCTATGTCCGCGCCAATCGTAATGGGTAACTAGCTGGGAATGCTCGTAATGTTTTAAGGGCGCACTCTAGCTGTCGTTTTTCACCAATGTCGAAACCCTGAGGAGCGAGGCCGGGGAAAAGGAGGAAATCTATTGAAAGCACACGGAGTTTGTATTGAGGCTGGTTCTAACGGTCTACCTGCAACGACCACAGATAAAGCGTTACCCAGTATTGAAATGTAGAAGTGCGATCTTTTCTGCATCTCGTTTATGACAAGGCTAAAGGTGTAGTCTTGTGCTATCGGCTTGCAACTGATGCAATTGGTAGCCTCTATCAGGCTTGGCTAAGATCATGGCACAGATGTATACCTAATGGTACCCTGCAAGCCCATTCATGTGCTGAAGGCGCTTTCTCACTACCTTCTGCTTTCTGCATATGTGCTGAGGACCTCCACTATGCTTTTTCAGCCGTTCATGTTGTGGATCCAGTCCAAAATTCCCTTCGTGCACGCTGCTGTAAGCCAGGATGGTCTTTGCTACGGATATCAGTCGCAAGAGTCTTAGCGAGGTTGAGTGACAGTACTATACAGTCAAAAAGGCATTCTTGGAGAGCCCAGCCTGCATTATCTGCTTTCTCCAGCCGTGTTGGCATCTGAAGGAGAGGGAGGTTTTGATGCTTTGGCTATTTACAGAACATGCTTGGGTTTAACATAGGAGCTCGCAATATCTACAATATCATTCGAGCATTCTCGCTGGCGGATACACTAGAAATGACCAGCACGGCACAGAAGCCTTGTCCAGCTATCGCAGCACCATGTGCGTGATTGGACACACGGCGCATACCTCTTGTGCAAAAACCCTTCAACTGGCCTGTCTGGCGGCCAATGTTGCTTACTCAGTACTCTTAAAAGCGCTGTGCTCTCTTTTTGTCTTGAGCTCTTGTGTCGTAGTGCTTTATCTGACAGGTTTATCAACTGCCTGAAGAGCACCCACATCTTTTCGCTGTCTCTTCCCTCGCTGCCTTTTCCGAGCCAAGGCACTCCGCTGCCTTCTGCAAGAGGGCAGCAAGCACGGTATTCCACAACCAACAGAGAATCAATGGATAGTCTTCAGCTGCCTGGCATCAAGAAGTCAATCCTCCGTGGATATTTGCATCAAGCGAGACTGCTGTTGGCGTGAAGCCCCTTATAGCGTCTTCAGAATGCCAGGGGCTGTAGGAGGGCTACAACGATACCCCTACAAAACTGTGGCTGCTTGCAGCTACTTGGACGAGCAGTGCTCAGACAGCACTGCCCAAATGGCAGATGAGCCTCGACAGTTCAGGATGCACAAGGTGTAGCTAGTTACAAGGCCTCTCTAGCTCAGTTCGTGCATTGCTTGCTGTCTTTATTCATGGTGAGGTATACAGGCCAGCACACACGGCAAGACTAAGGGTAGTCTTGGGGTTACAAAGACGGTTACCAAGCTGGCCAATGCGTCGCCTTGTTCAAAAAGCGCCTCGTTCCCTAAGCAATATTGCTATTTGGACTTGCAAGTTGAACTTGCGATGCACGAACAGCGAGTAGGAATAGGACTTCGGCTTTGCATCTAGCCTTCGATCCTTCCTTGGTAGACTGACGAAAGGTTTCTTATGTGGACTGCATCTCCGCGCCAAAAATTTTCTTTGTTTGCCTTCAGAGAGAGCCGTCTCACTGTGGGTTGTAGCTGCTCGGACTCTAGGGGTGTATATATGACCAATAGGCAACCAAGTGACTTGCTGAGGCGGACTCCAACTGACCACGTGAATGATGTAGCTAGCCAGTCGCATCAGGGGTCTGCAGACTACAGCTTGCCCTGCATATTTTAGGAAGCAAACAACAATTGTTCCCCGCTGTGTGTTAGCTTGAGGCTCTCTAGAGGCATTGGGAAACCCTGCAAGGGCTAAGGGGGACTGTCCACATTTGGTAGCCAAGTGGAGCCACGTACGAGCCGTCCGCTAGCTGCCTGTACAGCCACAAAAAAACTGCTTACTAGCAGTAAAAAAGCCACAGACGCAGCAGCAACTCGCTGTCCCTGTCTTCTCCTAAACCCATTCCCGGCTGCGTGTGGCGCAACCTGAAAGAAAAGTGGCCGCTTGAGGTGCTTTTCGCATTGCGAATAGAATTTCACACCGCTACTGCAGTTGCCCATACACGCAGGCGAATGACCGCCAAGTAGGCCAGATGCGTAGATGTCTCAGATCAGGTTGTGCGTGAATAGCCACGAAGGCCGTTGTAGGCATACGCATCGGCGTACGGTGACTCTTCAAGTTCCCCGCTGCAGGGGCCGAAAAGGGGAAATTCTACGGCTGGCTTTTTGATTCCCAGCGTGGCACATCTAGCTGGCAACAAAAGTGCACAAAAACGCACGAGAGCTCTACAAGACTCTCAGCCGCACCTGACTGCGTAAGAGCAGGTAGAAAAGAGGGGCTCCTCCGGTGTCTCCGGTGGCCTCTCACGAAGGGGCGAGTACAGCCTCAAACGGATGTGTGAGTTCACTTTGATTTAGTTGAGGTGCGATGGTAAAAAGGAGAAGAGAAGGGCAGTAACAGGACGAGGCAACGCAGTTTTCTGCCCAGTGCTGTGCACTGGAGGGAGGCTCGAAGTGCAGACCACCTAACGTTGTTTGCACCCTCATGAGCGCCTCTTCCGGTTACGATGCTTCCGTTTTGAGGAACTCGGTCTCGCCAAAGTTTTATGCTGCGGGTTTTGCGGATGCGGATTTTGCCTTTGCTGCGACCCCTGCTGCTGCACTTGGGTGTTGTTTATATCGGCATCCTGGAAGGCAACGGAAGACATCAGTAGCATGGAGCCCTCAAGGAGAAGAGGGGGCCGCCCATTGGAATCTACGGGGCCCTGTACAGGCACCGTTGCCTGCCGTTGCTCCTGCTGAGGTCGCTGGCGCTGGACGAGAGGGGTTCCTTTCACAATGAGGGGAGCTGGAGGCGCCATTTGCACGTTCTCTGTGGAGGAGGCCGCCGACGTGTCCGCCTCATACGGCATTTCCTCACAGCTGCTACCGCAGCCCTTCGGGCAGGGGATGTCTAGAGAGCTGTCGGAGTCAATGAATCTCCACATTGCATGCTTCTTCTGAGTCACCGGGAGGCCCCTCTGTCCGCAAGTGGAGGGTCTACCTGGGTTGCTCTCAGCAGCTTGGGTTCGCTCCACACCAGAGGATGGTGCTCCCATCGTTTTGCGAGTGGTTTTTGCATAAAATAATTCCCAGAAGATCTCGGGGCTCAGGTCACTCTGAGGTGCTGCAGAAGCAGGCCGGCGAGCCGGAACACTTGCTGCTGCAGGTTGAGGCTGAGGCACTCCAGTTGCTGCTATGTGGGTTGCCGGTTGGAGCGCGGAGAGTGTGCGTGGGCCCTCTGCAGTAGGGTTGTCTGGTCTCCTGGCCCTGGGCATCGGTGAGGTGCAGCGAAGAGCTGACGTGTTAGAGCTAGTGGCAGCTGTCTCTTGCTGCGGCTGCTGCGGATCCTGCTGTTGCGGCAGGATGTGCATTGCACAAAAAGCCGGTGTTTTTTCTGCCTTAGTCTGGGCACTCTCCCTGGGAACTCGCCGTCCCCTACGTTGCTTTCCTGTGGTAAGGTTCCTTGGGCTTTGGAGCTCAATATCCTGGAAATCGTTGGGGGCCTCATCCAGCCAATCTGCGCTGCTGCTGCCGCTGCTGCAGCTGCTGCTGCTCCCAGGGGCTGTCTGTTTGAACTGTTGCTGCGCGGCCTCTCGCCGCCTCAGACTTGCAGGCGACGGAGAAGCGTCCGCAGCTAGGAGTCGCTCACTGATGGGCTTCCCATGTTCCTGGGTGGGGATGTTTGCAGGGGCTTGTGACCCCTTTTTTTTGCCACTGAGCTGCACTTCTGCAGGGTCTTTAGTGTCCTGCTTGCTAGTGATCTGATCCTTCACACCGACATCCTTCTGTGAAGGGCTTCTGCCGAAGAGCAGCGAGAGGTGTAGAGACTGACTGTCCCCTGCTCCGTCTGGGAGGTCTGTAAGAGATCCAATGCGCTCAAGGAGACTAAGGTGAAGATTTTCGCTGGCCTCCTCCTGCTGCGCCAGCTGCTCACTGATGGATTTGGGAACTCTACTGACGCCTGTCTTCTTCTTTCCTTTGGCGGACTTGGCACGCCCAGGGGCTGTCCCTCTAGAGGGCCCCTTGCCTGCTGGCGGCTTCTGCGTAGGAGGGGCCTCTTTCAGGGAAGAAAGATTGTGTAGCATGGACAGATGCAGCGTCTCATGATCCTCTCCACTTCCCAGACGCTCCAGAAGGCTGGGGGGAACTGCCCCGCCACTGCCTGTGTCCCGCAGCAAGAGGGCTTCCTTGATCTCCTGTGGCTCGGTTGAGGCCAGACGCTGCAACAGGTCCAGCCGCTGCAGAGTCTTCTCTCGCTGTTGTGGATCTTCCTGCTGTTGCGGCTGCCTCTGCTCCTTCTGGTGACCCTCCATATCCTTTGCGAAATCGAGGGAGAGGAGGCGAAGAAGCTCCAAGAGAAAGCCGTCGAAGCTTTGCGAACTTCCCGAAGAAACAGACGGCTGTCCCATCACCTGCCGCAATGCGCACACACACGATTCCAAAACAATAGGCTCAATACGGCGGAGTAGAAAAACCTGCACCCTAGAGTCAAAAAGCTGCAGTCTAAGTACTAGCCACATGGCAGGTCGTCAGGAGTCTCTGGAATTTCCTGTGCATATGCATGAGGAGTATCTGCCCAGGAAACTTTAGTCCAACCTGCTGGTCTGCAAAGGTGGTGGAACCAGAAAAGTCTTCCTGGACGGAGAGGTCGAGAAGAGCATCCGTCGCTTTTGCTGGCACAGCGAGCAAGTGCACATAGTGCGTTCGAAAGATCATTCAGCGGAACCTGCCCCAGAGGACGGGATGTTGAAAGGACACTTCCTGTTTAGGACGTATAACACGCTGTGTTTGTACTTTCTGTAGCGTGCATGAGCGCATTTTGTTGTTTCTAGTGCTGCAAAGGTGAAAGGTATATCCATACCTGCAGCGGTAGCGAGGGCGACTGCGTCCTCGAAATTCTTATATGCTTTTCTCTCGAGCTCAATGAGGGCACTGATGGCTCTCTCCCTAAGGTATTGTGGGTAGTTCGCCTCTTGTGGCTTTATCTGCAAAAAAAACGAGAGCAAAGCAACGCGTTCCGTTAGATTGTTTGTTACCCTCATACCAGCGCTTGTCTCTCCGGCGGGGGTGCCATGGAAGGGCCCCAAGCACATTGAAGGAGGGGAAGCAAGGCGAATCTGACCTCCCGTGCAAGGATCACATCACGACTGGACATGTGGCCATCGGGAACGTTGGAAATGGTCCTCTCGAACCGTTTTATGCCGTGGATGTGCCCTGTATTTTCTTCATTTGAAGGCTGTAAGTTGACAAGTCCCGTGCTGTTGGTGTTGCTGACGCTGCTGCTGGTACGGCTGTGCTCATTGCAGTTAGCGCTGTTGTGGGCACAGGACCTCCTGCTTCGCCGTGCCATTGTGCTTGAACAGAAGGGGCTGATGACAGAAAAAGTGATGGGGAAAGAGAGCCTTATTCGGTGGTTCGTTCCAAGGAAGCAGCCGCAGTTTTAGTATGGGGAGGTCCCCAGCAAACCGAGTGAAGCGCAGCCCCACGTAAACTATAAAAAGACGCGGAACCGATATGAGGAAAGACGCTACAGCCGGTGCTATCAACTAGTCAAAGGGGCCTTCTGCAGTGCGCCTTGCCAGACACCGCAGTAGGTAAGATTTCGGACAGAGATTATGGCCTTTTGGGCTGAACAGAAGACAGCTACAGCAATATGCAAGGCACCATCGCAAAAGGCAGTGGCGTGGAGGAGGCAGAAGGACGACGAGGGTGAGTGCTGTGCGCTCTTCAAGGCAAGACAAATGACTCCTTGCTAACGGCCAAGCGGGAGACTTTGAAGGCCAATTCCGCCTGCACGGCTGATAATAAAAAGAAATCAATATAGGAAAAGGAGAGGAAGGGAGCCTTAAAAACTTAGAAACTGTTTATTTAACGCAGATAAAAAGAATTAAAAATGCTGCATTCGCTCTTCGAGTGCACGTTAAGCCCCCTCCTGCGAGGAGCGGCAAGGCCAGCAGGCACTACAGCAAGCCGGGGTGTGCTCGTATATAGTATAAAAACAGCGGGCTTTCCCTTCGCCAGGAAGAGCGGCAAATAAAAAGGGGTACTGATATAATTTTAGAAAAGAAAATAAAATGGGCAGAATGAAGCCCTCAGTTGCACTCCCTGCACAGAGAGCGCGCGTATAGAGAGGGCATCGAGGTGCGTGTGGTTGTCGCGTAGCGCGGGTGGCGCCGCAACAAGCTCTCTATGCCCTCGTCGTTTCCTTTCGTTTTTCATAATGAAATTCCCAATAACTTTACTGATTTAACCCTAATTATGTAGCTCTATACCAAACTTCATGTAGGTACTCTGCACATAGCTTTAGAGCAAGCGACTACGAGCGGCTAGAAACCGTGGCAATCGATGGCTGCACGAGGTCACTTGGGGAGGACCATCGAGGGGCGTTCTTACAGAAAAGGTGAATCTAGAAAACCAAAACGTCCTTATAAGTCTAAATTTTGTCTGCTCACAGAAATTCACACGAGGAGTTTTTCGTCCGGCTACTTTCCTCATGTCCGGAAGCCGCTCAGGAGGCGCTTGTGAGCGTCAGAGCTGCACGAAGAGGAGGCTTAAGGTACTCTCTAGTGCCACAAAGCAAAAGATATTGAAAGCCGCTTAAATTATGATGTGCGCTAGCTCTTTTTAGAACAGCTCTGGTCATTGTCTGTTGCCATGTGAAAAGCACACTTGCTACCAGACCACACAGTCCCCCCCTGATGCTTCCCGTAGTAGGGCACACGACTGCCAACAGCACACGAGTGCCTCCTTGACTCAGCCGTGAACACACGGCATATAATCCCAGATCTAGAGAAGGAGAGTAGCGTACAGCAGCTTTCTGTACAGCTCCCACAGCGGGAGATAAACTTGTGCCCATGCCCTCGTGGCACAGGGGTGGCGCCACCTCTCCTAGAGCCTCCCCAAGGCGACCTTTTCTTAGCCACAACCCAATGAAAGCGCGATAAATTGCTGGTCAGTGCTTTTGCAAAAGAGCCTTCTCCCCCTCCCTGCTGTCCTTCCCCACACCACACCGTCCCTGCGTGAAGGGACCGAGACAGCCAACGTACCAGCTGCGCGCATCAACTCATAGCGCACAGGCATTGAAAACCCACTCCTATCCTATTGAGCTAAATCCTCAAGCTCCGCTGGAAGCAACAGACGAACAGCCCAGCCAAACAGCCAATTCTCCACTGGTCCTTGACAAAATACATTTAGCATAGTCGAAAGTAATACCACACTGGAAACGTTAACCGGACGCAGAAGGCCATGAAGCAGTCCCCTGAACAAGGGCTCACTAATAGCGTAACGAAGGATCAACCGGCAGAAGGCATTGGGGCCATTCGGGCAAACCATTTGTTGGTCTGCTTTCTCGTGCCCTCTGAGCATGCACGTCCGCTCCTCCATGCAGACTCGGTTAGCTAGATACCTACGCCAACCAGGCAATACAGGAACTCCCCTTCTGTATGCTCCTACACCAGGAAGGAATTCCTCACTCTACGTTCTCTCCAATCACCTTGAAGGCAGAGCAAGCGTTTCCTGTTGAATAAGGTGAGTCTCTGCTTCTTTCTGCCTCAACCGAGCAAACAGCTCCTTCTTTTAGAGGCATGCCACCAGCAAGTAAGCTGTGTACAGCCTGTAAATCCGAAGGCCGCAGCGCAGCCGCAGCTACAAGGAGGGGGAAAGGTCCTCGATGGACCTTTTGTTGAGGCTCATCAGATTTGCGTTGCTCTCGTGGTGCGGGAAGGCGACAGCAGCGCCAAGACGCGAAAAAATACAAGCCATTTATGGCAACAATGAGGGATACTTTTAATCTCTACGAGGATTTTTCTATTCGGGAACACAGTGCAATGCCCCTGTGAAGCAGCAGTAGCAGCGTGGCATAAGTTAAGGGGCGAGAGACTGACCATAACGGGTGAAGGAGCGTGGGGGAGAGAGAGAGCAAGATCGAGATAGCGATAAAAAGCTTATGCATATACTGGGGCCGAGGGCATGGAAGGCTAACAAAAGCCTTTAGGCTAACGGCGAGAGGACAGACACATGCTAGAGAGGCGTTCAGCAGAAGTCCTCCTTCTGCAATTTTTCTGCAGTTCACAGGTTCGAGAAGCGTCTTCTGTGCAGCATGTATTGTTGTACAAACTCAAGGGCCCCCTTGCAAAGGGGTCCTGAGCACTTCAGACTGGCGAGTCCCTCGGGGGCCCTCAACACGTTCGTCAGGGGCCCCTCCTGAGGAGTTCAGAAGCCTATCAGGTGTGCTTCATGATGAGGAGAACAAGCTGCAAAGCCAAATCCAGCAGCTGCGATGGGTAACTGTGCCAACTAAGAGCCAAATTGATAAAATCACGGAAACGAGGAAGGTACGAGGTGCGTTACACACCAGGTAAATATCTGCTCTCCCTACATGCATGTGCCCCCTGAAGACTGACCCCAGCACCTCAGGGATGCAGCGATATGGTGAGTCGCAGAAAGTGAGTGGAGCACAGAGTTACGGAGATTAGAGGGAGGGCAGAATGGAAGGAAAGAGGGAGGTGGACACACAGAGCCGAAACAACGCAAGACGCGATCAGCAGTGTGAAGATATTTACATGAATGCGTTCAAAGGAGATGCGGCCCGTGTGTGAGTACATGTGCCTAGAGGGAGGCCTAGCGAAGAGCAACAGAGCTCCTGAAGACGGCAGAAACGCTGCTTACGAGGAAGAAGATGGTAGCTGAGAGGGTAAAGATGCACTTCGCGGCTAGGCCGCTCCTTCTGCTCTCCTCTGCCTTGCGGATCTCCCGCGTCGCTTCGGCAGACTGATGTGCCACCCGTTCTACGTTGTAGTCGATTCGGTCCAAAATTGTGCCCTGAAGTAGAATAATTTGCGAAAAAGATTGTTGCAAGTGGGGCTAATGCGGCGAGAATCGAAACATGGAGGCCAGCGAGCGGCGGGGACGGGCAGGAGCAGCAGGGGTTTTATCGATAGGCTCTGAGAAGTATATCGCGAGCAGGGAGAGGGGTGAGAAGGCGAGGCTTCCAGGAGGCGTCAGCGTAACGCAGGATGCAAGGAGTGCGAAGACAGGTGTGATTTCACCCAGGGAATTCACGGGAGCAAAGGGCTGTGGTGACAGCAGGCCCCCTGCTGAAGCTTCAACTAGGGCGCGTTGCTAAGAGCGACAACTCTATACGCGTTTGGCACTAGAGGCTTTCGTTCTGTTTATATGATACCTGCTCGATAACGAGGGTCGCAGTGTCTCTGAACATCTGGTGCAGCTCTGCCATGGACTGCGCGATCTTTGTGATCTCCTGTGCGGGGAGAGGGCGGAAGCAGACGCAGGCAGACTCGTGGGTGTAAGGCGAGATGGACAGCAAACAAAAAGGGAGAGGAAAAGTGGTGTGGGTAGTGTTGCATGGCTGAGAGGCCTTCGAGAGGCCAAAAACACGCACTGAGTAAGGCGAGAGCAGCGGAAAGGAGATGGCAGGGTAGGGCTTATCAAGATAGGCATGAGGCTGTCGAGTAGACTGCTACAGGGGGAAACATTGCACTGCAGAGGTGGAGCAGAGAGGCGGACGTAGGGGAACTAGAGGGGGTCCCCGTCTGGACAGATGCACCATAAAGAAGCGGTCGCGCAGCCTTCCACGGCAGAGACACAAGCAGAAAGGAGACAAGAAGTAGAGAGAGAGAAAGGCGTCAAAGACACAGGACAGCCGCAGCCTCCCGTGATTAAACATCGGCAGAGGAGACTGGAAGCAATGGGTAGAGGTGGGAGGCGGCCGCAAAGGATGCTACACGCTACAGAAAGCACAGAGAGATCTATCTATCTATCTATATATATATGTATATATCTGGTCTAAGCATCCTATGGGCGCTACATCTGTGATGCTGCCTCACTTCTCGGCGAACATCGGTTTCTGACTCGAGAACATCCAACTGAACCGTCAAATCGTCGCTAAACCCCTGGTGAAGAACGAAGGACAGGTAAAAGGGCAGCGAGGGCAGCCACTAGACAGCGTGTCGAAAAGCAGCCACCGAAGGAGCTGGAGGCAGCAGAGACTCTGGGAGGTGATGGAAGGGACTGCAGCGCGAGACTCGTCGAAATTTCAGACCGCAAGGTGCAAAAAGCGCCTTTGCATGAGAGATGGCACGCACGCAGTTAGAGAGAACAAGGCGGGAGAAAGTGCGAAGGGAGGGCTTCTCGCTCACTCGTTGAGAGGCCGATGTGGACTCCTGCGCATCTTGCATGAGCTCACTGCCCTGGCAGCGTCTCCTGATTTCTGTAGTGCAGACGCAATCAAAAAGCGCTGGAGCCGACACATGGGGAAGGAAGGAAGGGGGGAGGAGGCATGCACGTAAGAAGGCGCTCTTTTCTTAGTCGCAGTGCAGCTCGTAAAGTCTCGATTACCGCATGCCCTGCGACTCTATCACTACCCCTGCAATCCCATCACACCTCTTCGACCCTAGAGGCTCCCCGTTTTCCCGTGGAGATCTTCTGGCTGAAAGCCTACCTTCCAAGTAAGCCTTCTGTTGCTGCCGAAAGGTTTGCGTCAGGCCCTGCAGCTGTTGCGCCACCGCCTTCTGTGCGTTCTGCTGCATCACGCAATCAGGAGACGTCCCCGCGGAAGACTCCCGAGGGCATAGCTGCTGCAACTTCGCCTCGCAGCTGCGGAAAAGCTGCAGAGCAGAGAGCCACCAAACAGAAGTCAGGAGCGAGAGGAGTAGGCTAGGCTTGCGGAGAGACGAATGGAGCACGTGGAGAACCGACAAAGGCGGTAGAGGGCGTGGAAAAAATTCTGCACAAGCAACTGTGCAGGCAATGGGAAGAGGCACAGGCTCCAGACGGATGCTACAGCCAACAAAGGCGGGGACTGGAAGCCGAAGCCACACAGCGGCCTTTTAAAGCTGAAGAGGAGTGCTGAGGAGCGAGAAAGGGGCAAGACGACAAAGGCAGAGACACAGAGCCGTTGGAGGCAGCAGATAAGGGGCAAAAGACACCTGCAAGACAGCGTGTCACACACATGGGAAAGTCGGAAACATGATGCACTTGACGGTGCGTCGACCACAGTGCAGCAGCACACAAAGGGCAAGCGGAGAGCAGGATAATATTTTTTAGAATAGGTAATCTCCAATTGGGTCGAGACAAAGAAGAAAAGAGCAAAGCGCACCTGCGAAAGGGCTGCTGTTTGACTCTCGATTTCTCTGCCAATAGCTGTCTCTCCGTATGAATCCCCAAAGACTTGCAGCAGGCGCCGCTGCTGCACTTTCTGCAGCTGACCCACTGCACAGGCGGCATGCAGATTCGCATGCATGCATGCATGTAGATATAAAAGTACATGCACACACATACATATATATATACATATATATGTATGTATATATATATATATATATATATATATATATATATATATACATACACACACCCACACCCACACCCACATACACACACCCACACACACACACACATACACATACACACATACACATACACATACATATATATCTATACACTGGTACGCAGGGATATGCAGGCAACTGGACAAATAAGTGAAGCATAATAAAGACCATTCGTGCTGCGCCTGCAGGCCCTGGCCGTTGCTTGCAGCAATAGCCGCTGGCATCCAACACGCGCCCAAGCATCATGAAACTTTAGCACGAATTTCGTTCGCAAGCAAATTTACACTCCCTGATCCCCCCCTCAAATGAATGGGGATCCCCTGACGGACTCCTCTCCTTGATGTGAGCGATTTCATCGTGCAGCTCCTCGAGGGCATCGACCTGCAGCGGCAAAACACGCCCATGAAGTTTCAGCTCTTTCTACCGAAGAGTGCCAGCCTTGAAATGGCACTCTAATGGACAGAGGGCTCAAGGGGCTCAAAAGACAGACCCAGCGGGGGGGGAGCTGCGGAGATAGTGCCCCTAAGTCGTCGTCATCTGCCTGAAAAGACAGCAGGCGTTGCTGCCCTGAGAAAGGCGCAGGAACAACCGTGCATCCCCCATAGAGTTGACGGAACAAGCAGCACTTGCACGGAAGTGCAGCAGCAGCAGCGGCCTCCCTCCCTCCCTGCCTCCTTTCCGCCTCTAGAAAATAACTACACGATCGAAGATTCAGAATTTTAAAAGGGATCCTACGAGTAGCGCTTCTGCCAGTAGGGCTGGGGATGCAGCCGTTCGGCTTGGAGAACCTCAGCCTCTTTTCGCGTGCCTGAGCCTTCAGGCGAAAGAATAGAGGACTCAGGTCCCTTATTGCCAGGGGCGCTGCCATGGGTGTCGCTAGTGAGTATAGCACTGCGGCAATGGCTGCAGGTAGGGGCCTCCTGCTGCAGTTGCTGCCTGCGCCGTCACGGCAGCGAATGTTGCTGCCAGGGGGACCTGCCTCGCCTTACGCTACGAGGCCTGGCAGACCAAATCCCCTGTCCTAGGCAGGAGCTGCCCGAAGAACTCCTGTTCTTTATAGTGGCAGACAGGATCTGGCCGGTTAATTGAGGTGCGCTGCGAATAGCCGCTCCAACGCGGGTGCTAACGGTTTGCGGCTCAGGGCTCCAAGATGCAGCTGCCTACGGTTGGGGCAGCGTCCCGCAAAGGAGCTGCAGAAAACTAGCGACGATAGTCGTTGGTTGCACGTACACCGACCGGAGCTCTACCAATGGACCGGTGGCAGCTGCAGAAGCAGCCACAAGACAAGAGCATCACACGCAGTCAGCGCCGACGCAGTTAGCTGCCCTACAGACAAAGCCTGCTATTGAAAAGCAGAATTTAGACACTTTTCCCATGTGTCCAGAAATCGCCTAGCTGTAGGGTGAGAGGCCCCTTGCTTGTGGGGGCCCCCCGAGTACCCGTGACCCAACCACAGCGCCGCCGGCTCGGCTGGGGGGCCCTCGTCCAGGATACCATATAAAAAAAACAAATAGTCAATCCAAGTGAAGTACCTACTTCTCATAATATCTATTTGGGGGTTTTGCCCTTCTCAGTTGCCGCTTTCGTGTAAGAATCATGAAAACTGTGCCCCTGAACTCCCCCTTATTGCTCCCTCCAGCAGCTACGGTGTATGTACTCCTGAGTGCACAGATCGTGAATATGCACCTAATGCCTTCATACTATCTTTTCGAAGGATTCTGTGTTTCGCCACCAGCCCTGCCTAATGCCTTCCTAATTCTGTGGTCCATAGGTACCATGCGGGACATATACCCATCCTAGAGCCCACGCCAATGAGATCTTTTGTGTTGGGCGCTTCCGATCCATAAGTCCACGCCTCTCAGTGGACAACACACTCGTGCGCTCTGCCCTTGAATCTTCTCTCGCGTTCTCCGTAACCAAAAAGACGTGTTCTTGTGCCCCTGGCAGACTACGCTACTTGCAACTCCTCCACAGGTGTAGGTCCATTGTGCACGCATTGGCAGATAAGGTTCCTAAGCACCCAAAAGGGCAGCTAGTCAGAGGAGAGTCTACGCATCATTCACTCAGAACGATCAGGAGAAGCAGAGGCGTCCCAAAGAGCGAGAGATAGCACCAGTGCAGCGGGCTAGGTTAACATTCTCTAGTACACTGAATGTATTTAGCTGGCAGTCAATAAAGTATTGAAAGTCCGTTTAGTTCGTATTAAGTTTGAAGCTAAGTGTTTCCTAGTGGAAGGATCTAGATGGGAATATATAAGTGGCCACTCAAGCCCCCACTTCCTGCAAAGGAGCAGCGTCTCAGCATATTTGGGTTCGAAATTGCGAGGAGATATTGTGCCTCCAGAAAACCTGCTAAACGTTTGATTCCTGATGTGGAAGCGTGTCTGCTCTTCATCACGGGGGGCTTGCGCAATGCAGCGAAACGACACCCCAGTAGATGTACACTCCAACGACAGAGACTACGATACATGGTTAAAGAGCAAGGGCAAGTCCCCAAAACGCACAGCAACAAGAGCTGCAGCTACAGTGCACGTACTGCAGAGGAAAGACGTCTAATGCCGTGCCCTTTTGGTATAGCGTTGTATCATGCCTTTCGAATCAATATGCAGTCAGTAACCGTGGTCATGGCAGCCTTGGCCTAGCAAAAGAAAACTCATTTTCTCACCACCTCCCCCCCACTACACCGGAAGGAGAGGACTGCAGTCCTTGATTTATCAGATACACGTCCACTATTGAGACGCGATCGCTCTCTCTCTCTCTCTGTGCCTCTCTCGCTGTCTCTGTCCGTCTGTCTGTCTGTTTGTCTCTCTGTCTCTCTCTCTGTCTCTGTCTCTGTCTCTCTCTCTGTCTCTGTCTCTGTCTCTGTCTCTCTCTCTCTCTCTCTCTCTCTCTCTCTCTCTCTCTCTCTCTCTCTCTCTCTCTGTCTCTCTGTCTCTCTCCAACACATCACGCGCCTCCTCCTTCTCCGACGCCCTTCTTACGGTACACGGAACCTTTTGAGGCCGCTGGGCAGATATGTGCATGCTTCGCGTACAGATGCACAGTCAATAGACGCACTGCAGGGCGCTTGACGGCCAAGTGTCCCCCCACAGAGGGAAAAGTAGAAGCTTCAGCTAGCTGGCCAAGCAAATCCCAAGGTGCTAGCTGACTAAGATATGTTCAATAGGGATGAAGCATCCATGTGAGCACCTCATAGAGACGTCCTCAGGCCCCCACAGAAAAGTACCTACAAATTGGCACCCAACTAGGCCAAAAACCCCGCCAAAATCCGGCGCAGATGCTACCCCGCGAAGCGCTCCCCCTCGCCCACCCCCGCTGCAAGTAAACGGCAACACTACAGCTACGCGTTCAGGTGGTGCCTTGCATTAGGCCGACAGTGAGCCCCGTCACCATCTCAGATTGGTGCGTCTGCCACTGTACTTGCTGGTCAAATGCCTGCTGCCGCTGCTGCGACCGCTCTTGCAGCCAGAATTGCAGCTGCTTCTGCTTCTGTGGCTATCGTTCCTATTGGAAAGCCCTGCTTCTGCGGGCTGCAGCCACCAGCAGAAACAGCATCCACAACCGCGGACGCTGGCTGCAACAAAAGCGTGTCTTTTTGTGCCGCGCGCACGCGACTTGCACTCTGCCCTCGTAGACTGATGTCTCAAGAGGCCCCCGCCGCATGCCGCTATATATATATATATATATATATATATATATATATATATAGCAGCCCAGAAACCCCTGCTGCTAGGTGCAGTTGCAACTGCAACTGCACCAAACATATCCCTCCCAGGGCCTCACGGGCCCGGGCATCTCCAGGCTCTCTTACCCGCCAAGTGTAGAATTATACATATATATATATATATGTACGTGGAGTGCACATGCATCACCACTCATACTAGCTGCACGGTGTCAATACAGCAGGCATCTGCAAGTGCCCGCCCGAGAGAAGCAAGCGGATGCCCAAGAGGCAACCCAACCAAAGCGCATCCATGAAAATTGATTATCCATGAGCTCTAAGGGCCGCGGCTTGCCCCCCCCACACAGGGCAGCCAACGACGAAGGCTCAAGGACGCTCCCTTGAGTCACCACTGTAGGAGGGAGATCGACGTGGTGAACGGCTGCGCGGGCTCCGGCTTCGCGTGCGACTGCGGCTTCTGTTTGCACACCAACACGGAGATACCAAGAGAATGGAGTGCGATACACATATACACACATACACACATACATATATATACATACAAACGTATACATACACATGTACATACATACATATATACATATACACGTGTACATACACACACACAAATATATACATATAAACACATGCATACACACATACATATATACATATACACGTATACATACACACACACAAATATACACATATAAACATATACATACACACATATCTATATATATAAACATATACATACACACATACATATACACATACACATACACACATACATACACATATACATACATATGCATCAGCGGGGACGGCAGCGCTTTCCGTATGAAAGGCTCCATAATGAACATCTTGCAAATCCCAAAAAGAGGAAGAAGGATAGCCCCTGGATGGATGCCAGGACAAAACAGACTTACGCGCGCCTCCGAGAGTCTCGATAATCGTCTCTATAGCCGCCGCCACCTCCTCTATAGCCGTGTCCACCGTCTTCCCTTTCGCGATCTCTCCTGTCGTAAGCTCCCCACCAGCCTCTGTCTCGATAATCACGACCCCCCCGTTCTCGACTGCCGTATCGCCGACGAGGGCTGTTGCGCAACACACAGATATCCTGAATCCTTCTAGGCTTCGCGTGGCAACACTCCCAAGTGCGTGAAACGCACAGCCACACAGACAAATATGCAGCACATAGCCAATCCACAAACGCCCCCCGTGCTCATCTACACCAACACACAGGCCTCATCGAACCCTGAACTCTGTGTTCAGAAGAAAGCCTACGGCGAATCCATTCGGCTGTATCGCCGATCATCCTCGTAGCGGCGACCACGGGGAGAGACATCCCTGCGTCCCCGCTCATCTCGTTGCTTCTGAAAGCGAGGCAAAAGGCATCAACGCCACACAGCCACGAATGCCACACAGCCGCGAATGCCACACAGCCACGAGTTGCAAAGCGGCGGAGCGACAAGCAGCGAAGGGTAGCCGAAGAAAGAGCAGTCACGCATCACAAGGGGAGGCGGCAAAAGGGGCACTGACGCTGCATTGCGCCCCCCCCAACAGGGGTAGAGCGAACGCTTGCCGCAACACCCCCAAAAGAGGCTGTTGCCTCAACAATGCACCGCACAAAGTCTCTGCGGGAGGCCTGACCATTTGTTGGGGGGCAGACCGCCCCTTCTTTGCAATGGCGACTTCGATCGCTTTGCCATCGAGCTCGAAGCCGTCCATCTTCTCGAGCGCGCGCTCTGCATCCTCCCGGTGCCAGAACTCGACAAATCCAAAGCCCCTAGGCAAGCGACTATGATAGTCCAGTGGCAGATAGACGTCCTTCACCGATCCATATACCGCGAAGGCATTGCGCACTGCCTACACACACACACGGAGGGCAGGCAGGCACGCAGGCGTCATCTAGCAGGAGCAGAGATGGGTGCGCAGAGATGGAAAGGAGCCGCTCAATGACGGGCGGGAGTCAAGGCGGTTTGCCTCCTGTTGGCAGCAGGAGGAGGCAAACTCCCAGGGACGAAGACGAAACACACACACACACACACAGAGCGAGTGCACGGGGCAAGCACGACAGGAGGGGAAAAGCATCGGAAGGACGAGAGTGGCGAAGACAGAGAAGGCTTGATCGAAGGAGATGAGAGCAAGCCCAGTAGAGAGGAGGCAAAGCTGCAACACGAAAGGGAGCTGGCCAGGGAAGCGGCAAGAGGGGAGAGAAAGAGAGAGTGAGAGAGAGGGAGAGAGTGAGGGAGCAAGAGAGAGAGAGAGAGAAAAAAAAAGAGCTAGAACGACTATGATCTGCATGGCAACAGAGACGGCTTAAAACGCGATTCGCACCGTCTCTGTAGGCTGCTCTGCCCCTCACGCCTCTGCTTGACGGCACATATGCGTAGGGGGGCCTTCTTGCCTTGAATCGACGCGCGAAGGTAGGAATGCCTCACCTCTGGACTTGTCTGGTAGCTCAGGTTCCTAACGAGCAGCGACATGCGCTGCTGACCATCTGATTCGCTCATTGTGCCTCAAGGATGCGGAGACGGGGAGAACGGGGCGGGGAGCGGGGGAAAGGCTGTGCGGAGGAGGAAGGGCCTCAAGCCCTCATAAGGTGCTGTCGCGATCGCGGTGATTCGGTTGCGCCTGCTCCTGTTGCTGCTGCTGCTCCTGCTGAAGTTACCTTTAGAGCAGCAACAGGAACGGCGGATTGCAGGGGCCGCCTCAGCAAGAGGGAAGTCACGCGCGCAGAGGGGGCTATACGCGTCCTAGCGCGCCGTGTTGTATTAGGTGCTGTTGCCACCCCTCCCCTTCCGGCTTCTGCAGACGAGTCTCGTGCGTACAATGCGCAGCAAAAACGCTACAGAAACGGTTGTGGCGGCTTGTGGGCAGATTGCAACACCCCCTACGGCGGGAGCACAGGGCCCTGCTGCAGTCTTGCAGTCTGGCGCGTAGGCAGAGCGTGCAAGTGTGGCGCTCTCGCTTTTCCGCAAGGCTTTTGGCTTCTTTTACTGCTTCTTTCGTATAAATGTTCGGGGTCGGTGCTAACGTTACGGGGACCGAAAAGCCTCAAGGCGCCAGGCAGCAAGAGCGACCCCGGCAGCAGCCGCAGCAGCAGCCCCTACCCCCCGTCGACCCCCTGCTGCGGCTGCATGCGCGGCTGCTGCAGCTGGGGCTTTCTTCGGCTGGCGCACAAGCAAATGCATGTACACACTCTCCTCCCTCGAGCTCAGATGCTTGTTGGCTTCGTCCCTCAGCCAATTCGAAGCTGAGCAGGACGTAGGAATGACTCTGTAAGGGACAAACCGGCAGACGGAAACGGAGAGAAAGGGAAGCCGCAGGCTAAGCAGGGAGGGGGACGCAGAGTCTCCGCCTTTGGGGAATCTGGCGATGAAAGCTACCCTATATGCATGTCTGCGGTGTCTGTGTATTGGGAGCGGCGAATGGGCAGTTAAAGAGGAGAAAGCAATGTAGTTTTAGTACCGCACTGGATACGCTTGAAAGGCAGCGACTGCAAGGAGGGACGGCACGAGGGTCGAGGCGGAAAGGATAAATGGGCAAAGAGGGATGCCGTACGGGGAAGTCAAGGGGAGCTCACACTTGGTAAATGCACAACACCCCTCAGGATTCATGTAACACCGCATATCAGGCCTTCGTAGTGTAAGACACGTATCGTCGTGCTCAGTACAAGCTTAGAGCGTGTTACTCAAAGAAAACCATCTCCCGCTGCATGCAGCACTCAAAGCTTCTAAAAGGGAGAAAGGGACAAACAGGGCTTGCGTTGCTGCATCCCCTAAGCACTCCGAGCCTTCACTGCTAGCCATACATTGTAGCTAGCGCACGCTCCCAAGCCTTGCGTCTTTTTGTATCGACGCAGCAACGCTCTACGAAAAACTGGGTTGCACGAACAGAAAAACCAATGAATCAGTCATTTTGTACTTTCTAGCTAGATATAACTTGTAGAAAGTGGTTAAGTGCAGTTTAAGCTGCTACTGCTCATCCCCTCGTCAGAGCACACGCTCTCGCTTTCCGCATGTCCGCCGAAAACATCTGCACGCCGGGCAGCGGAAGAATTTTTGACCCATCACAGCTCCCCAGGCTGTCACAAACGTGAAAGATGCTGCAATTGAGATCTGCAAAGTGCGCTACTGCTAAAGTGAAACCAACAGGGATAAAGCCACGCACACACTAGCCAAGACCGACGAGGAACCAAACCAGCACAACTGCGGTAGCGCAATCGCTTGCTCTCGTAGAAGCGCTGAAATGTATGAGCTCCCTGCTGTGAGAAAATGCAATACAGACAAAATTTGCAGAGGGAATCAAGCTTAACACTAGTTCACCAGAGCCTCCGCGCCTCATATGGCAATCTCTGCAATAAAATGCACCCGGCGCGTGCAGCGTAGTCGACTTCAAAAGTCCAAAATGGACATGTGGGAGAATTCAAGCATGCCTGAGAGTGCCTGTGCAAAAAGCTGAGTGTAAAGAATACCTCAACAACAGCAACAGTCCACATTTTCAGCAATGCCCATGCATAGGGCGGTTATTTCTTGCAGGGCATGCGCTGGAAAGAGCAAAGTACCAAGGAATGATAGGAATAGCGTCGATGTCGACTATTGTTGTAGACCAAAAATAGTTGCAAGTTCCCCGTCGGCAATGAAGTTCGCGGCTCCCCCTCTGTCAACGGTTAAGGTGGACGCTCTTCACACCAGTGCACTAGAAACTCCCCGCTAGTGTATACTCAGTAACTACTAGTCCTATAATCCAGCAGTTCCACGGCTTTATGTGGATCCATTCCCTCCACGTGGGTCACTCACCTGCGCGGCCAAGTCTGCGTATTATTCGGGGGGCTGTGGAATTTAGGAAACCAGGATTAATAGTTTCGGTGACACCCCGACTTTTTAAGCAAATCGATATGGCAAGAAGGAGCACTGATTGGTGAGAGGGTGGGGAATGTCTGTAGCCAACTGGCCGCAAGCTTCTTCGTTTGGCCGCTTTTGAAGGCACCTCTCAGTGCACGGTGATTCAGCAGGACCAAATCTCCACGCTCAAACACACAGCTAACTGCTGCCTGTCATAATTTCGTGCTCGTCTCTCTCAAGGTTTGCGCATACATCTGTGTGCACTGGTTAGCTGTTCTCTGAATTCTACTGCCACAATGTTGGCGGCTGAGTTTGGACCAGCAGGCTCAGGCTCAGATTGAAGAAGGGCTTCTCGTGGTAGACTGGGGATACAGGAGAGCCATGGGGAGACGAGTATGCCGTTCCAGTATACATTCACTCACCACCAGGAAGAAAATCAAGCCAAGCAATAGGAGGTCTGCGAGCACAGACCTCCCACTGCAAAAGAGTGTGGTTGATGCGCTTGGTCTGTCTGTCTGCCTCACAGTGACTCGCAGTGGGCATTTTGTAATCAATTTGGAGGCGGATCACGAAGGCACATCGAAACCCACTAACGCCAGAACCCTATCCGTGGTGACGCTCCTGAGGAATCCGTGAAGCTTCCAGACATGAATTAAGAATACCTGGGCAAGTTCTTGGGCCATGGTTGAGGTGAAGCAATGGATGAATGGACATTTTCGCTGAATGTGTAGACAACGACGTTAATGCTCTCCTTACTCTTGACCTCAGACAGCCCAGCGATAAAGTCTATAGACAGATCAATCCGAATCCTTAAAGGAACCTGAAGGGCTTGCAAATGGCCAGGTTTAGGAGAAATGCGCGGCCTCCGCTGCTGAGAAACTAAGCGTCACAAATTATACTTCTCTGCCGCTAGAGAAATCCACGCTACCAGAAGGACTAAGAGAGCTTTTCATTGGACCGTGAATCTCTTGTTGTCTATTAGAAAATGATCCTGTGCTTTGCACAAATCGTCACTGCAGACTAAACTCGGGATGTACAAGCCACGGTATCCCAGGTGTACTTTGAAGCAGCAGGCCATGCTAAACGTAGTAATGTTTCACCCTGTCACCGTTCTGAAGCTCGGCAACAATAGCGACTGTAGGCATGTCGAAAGCATATACCTCACCCGATAGCGGTAGAAAATGTGAAGCCTCACAATAAATGTTTGCGCTGCATAGCAGTGAATTGCTGGGTCGTCACGAGAGCGTGTCGGCAACCACAGTGGTGATGCCCTTGATATACTTCCCCGTGAGGTCGTGCAGAAACCACCGAAGCCAGGGAAGACCACCAAACTCCTGAAACATTGTAGGGTGCCCAGAATACTGCTGGCAGCTCGCTTATTTTTAGCACATCCGCGAACTCATCCTTGATTTATGCACATTATTGCTGTACCCCCATAATTATTCAATCGAGTTCAGTAAGTAAACTGCCAGACGCAGAGGTAACAAGACTGGATCTGAGTTCAGGAATGTCGTCTTTTGTTTCGCTGCTGAGGCACCCGCATAAAGAAATTGCCTCGCCTTCTTGAGGTACCAACTCTACCCCTATCGCCGTAGGTAAAATGAGCATTGTTAAGACCATGATTTGCGTCTTCTTCTCGCTTCTTGGGCAACTGGCCTCCAAATCGCACAGCTGTGGTCTTGTGCGTGCCTCCCGTTGGGCCACCCATGGCATGCCTAGGATTACTACGTGGTGTGTAAAATTCCAGCATAGAGATCACGGGCTATGATGATAGTAGTTCAACTCCTTTCTAAAGTGGCATTGAACTGCCTTAGCCTTGTCGCTCTTTGCATTTGACTGCTCTTCAGCGAGCCGGAGTCTGTGGGACTACGCTACCGAGTTAACAGGCACATCGCACTTCTGCCTTGTCTGCTCGGCTGATAGATCCACTTCGAATCCAGAGCGAAGCTGAGTTAGTAATTCTTGCTATCATTGATGTAACTTCTATTAGCGCAAAACCTAGCCGTGGTGGGCCCCGACTGCGGCTAAGTCCTTCGTAGCCCTCTTCCAGGCGCCTCAACATGCATGGGGGGAGCTTTCTGTTTCCTCGATGCGCCTGCCTTGCTCTCCACGCAGCCTGCCTCCGCTGAGCCTAGTCCCTGTGCTTGAAATTCTCGGAGTTTTGCATGCACTTGCAGTTCGGGATGATTGACCTGATCTCCCACCGCGCGGGTGACGGGGAGGGGGAGGTTGTCTGGGGTCGCTTAGCAACGCGGGTTCCCTCAGGTTTTCCTATTAAATTTACTTTAGACTGTAGCTCCTATATTCATCGGTTCTGAATTCCGATTTGGCTTCGTCTATGAAGCCAAAGACTGAAGAGCTGTGCTCATTTTTTTCCGTGACATCAGACAAGTTATTTGTGGAAGCGTCTCTGATCGGTTATTTAATCGCTGAATCGCTGCACACAGCGCGACCACCTGGCGTGAGACTTCGGGTAGACCCAAGATAAATCACTGACAAATCAGCCGTTCGTCTAGGCTGTGGCTCTTGCAAACCAAAGTCTCGATTTTTACCGATAGGGTGACCAATTTTTGTGTTCAAGCTTTACAATTTCTCCAAATCTTGTTTTTAAAGGTAATAGAGGCACAACTGGACGATCCAGGACGTTTTCGAAGATTTGAGTGGCAAACACTCCTGCAGGCAAGCGATTCCCGCTACATGAATAGAGCCACCACTGAAGCGTTCGTCTATCCAATAGCTATACCTCCATGCTTACACGGTTCTTTTTGTTGGGGATTACAAAGCTAGGTACATCTCCATTCGGTTATTGATTATGTATACATCGATATGATTATGCTGGCCCGGCCGTAGAGCTGAGCAAGCACTCGAATAGTTTATCTTATCGGCCCACAAGTCAAGCCTATTTACCAGCTGCGAAACTGCCGCAGTCACGGCAGCTTGCAGGCTGGCCACTGCCGGCCCACCAGGCACAATGCAACCGTCTACTTCCAGTGACAAAAGAGCTTTTCATTCTTATGCCAATTAAATAATCACTAAGTTACCTACTGACTTCATGCAAAGCGGACACCTGTTGTCGGGCAACCTGACATCCTGCTGCATACCAAGCCATTGGATGAGCGGGGCCAGCTGCATCAAACCATGTGGTGCTAGCAGTGTAGCAGCTGTGACGCCCTTTCGCAAACCACCCTAGAAAAGCAGTTAGCTCCAGAGGTACATAATAGAACATTGAACATTTTTCGAAGGAAGTCTCGCCTTCTCCTACACGTGGCACTCAGAGTTCCTCCAAGGGAAGCGGGGCAGCTGGGATGCGTTTCTCTGCACGCTTTAAGCCTCTCAAGCATTCGCAGCTGGTTGCACATAGCGTGTAACACACATACACACAACGTTTTATCCTTCTACTTGGAGCTAATTCTACGCTGCAAACGAAGAGCAAGAACATACAAACTAAGTAGTCAATGCTTAAGTTGAAGATAACTAGCGAAGCAGGAAGTGTTCAAGTGTAATTTTGCCAGCCACATGAATGCCTTGCTGCGAAGCGCAGATCGTGTATTAGGCCAAATGCAGGCTGCCCCATATGCTGCAGCTACTGGGGAATGGGAGCACAACCGTGGCATAGAATGCATAACAGAACACTGCAGAAGGGATGACTCAGGGCACACCCATTTTTGAGTTGTTGCAAGCCACCCAAAACTTGAAAACCATTGCATTCACTCAAACGCGTTTTTGGTCTGGGCTGCTTCTGCGCACATGGATTCAGGATATACTGCAGAGTCATGGGGTCCTGGGCTAGCGATGACAAGGAAGAGACACAGTTTAGACATTTGCCGCGCACCCGTGCCAACTCCATGGTAGAGAAAGCACTTAGACTTCTTCCATTATGGAGAAGCACTCGTGGGCCTCCCGCAGGGGCGAGCCCGTGCAATTGTCCAATCAGTGTATTCTGCTAGTGTGTGGGCAGATCTGTTGTCACGCGAATAGGTCTAGAGTCGTGCTAATGGACCACGCGAAAAGCGCGCAGATGCCGTGATACCGTCTTACACAGAGAAACAACTAGACATGTTACACCCTGACAGGCCAATCCTTCAGCAGCAGCATCAACAGGAGCCATCATAGCAGCTCGTGCGCTACGTGGCGTGTCTGAAATGACGACTTGGCCGTACATATACAGATCATCCCCTCGAACCATGAGCAAACAAAACACTGTACGACTGGGACGGTCATGGGGCAGGATCATTGCAAATTTTGCATGTAATCCGGTATCCGCATGAACGAAGTGGAGTATGGCACACCCGAATCGATGACTATGCTGTTTTCCATGAAATTTTAGAGCTACAGCTACACAGGGCAGTAAGTTTAGCAGCAGCAGCCCCTGCAGCCGCTGCAGCCTCTGAACTACCAGCAGCCGCAGCGGCCGCACAACCACCACATCTCACTGCGGGTACTCCCCCAAAAGGCTCCCTGCCCCTTCCTTCAGGAGAGCTTCTCGGACAAAATTTAGTCTGAAGATTGTGTGCTTTTTTGTTGCTGATCGCAGTGCCAGCGGTAGCTGCGGCGTCGGCAGGGCCCTGCCGCGCTTTCCGTGTACTTGCACCCCTTCAGATCCATGCTTCACGGAAATTGTCGCCTTCTCTTATGGACTTGGCGAACAAGAGAGCTATCGAAGGCGTTTAGTTTGCGATCCCCATCGCTGGCAGCCGCGCTAGCTGCAGCTGCAGGAACAGGTCGTGACATCCGAACATGAAGGAGGGGCCGAAAGCTCCCCAGGATAATACCCCATCAGCAACTGGGAACTCTGGCACCCAGTGTCCTCTCCTCTCTCCCCTTCATCCCCCTCGAGAAGGCGACAGCAGCGGCAGCCGCCTACAACCGCGAGAATTCCTGGATACGTGCTCCGCTCCCGTTCCCTCCGAGTACAAAGCAACAGCCTTCGCTGCGCTTAGCGGCTTCCTGCACTCAGCCCTGGCTGCAGGAGGTGCCGCTGCAGCAACTGCGGCGGCAGTTCCCCAGCGCCTCGCCTCGCTTGCAGCTGCGGCAGGCCAAACTGCTCCCCACTCGCCAGCGCAACAGCAACAGCAGAAGCAACAGCAGCAGCGGCAGCACACGCAACAGCCACAGCCGCACGTGGACTTAGAGGAGCCTCTGTCGTGGCGCTGCCCCTTCCACTGCTCCGACAGCCGGCGAAGCCCCCCTGCTCCTCCAGCGACGGGAGCTTCGCCCCGCGGCAGACACCTCCAGAGGGCGTCTTTACCAGTATCGGGGAGTAGAAATCGCAGTTCAAGCCACAGAGGACCTCTCCGTCGCCATCGGTTGTCTAGCAGGAGGGCGCACCAGGCAAGGCCGTACAGTCGGCCCCGGCAGCAGCAGCAGCAACAGCAGCAGCAGCAGCAGCAACCCCAAGAAGCTGCCCCTTGGTTCGCTGATTTCTCCTTGAACTCCATCTGCCCCTTTTGTGTGGCCGTCTCCCTCTCGGCTGCAGCGCGAGGTCGCGCAGAGCATGCGCTCGAGGCGTGTCTCAGCGCTCTCGACAAACAGCAGCAGCAACGGCAAGGGGAGCAGGAAGGCAGCCTCTCCGACGACTCCTTGCCTTCCACCCCCGGCGGCAGCCCAAGCCAGCAGCCGCTGTGCAGCGCGCACTGCACGAGCTCTGCTTCCCATCTAGGCGAGCAGCAGCTCCTCCAGCAGAAGCAGCTGCAGCAGAAGCAGCTGCAGCAGAAGCAGCTGCAGCAGAAGCAGCTGCAGCAGAAGCAGCTGCAGCAGAAGCAGCTGCAGCAGAAGCAGCTGCAGCAGAAGCAGCAGCAGCAGAAGCAGCAGCAGCAGCGTCTGCGGGGAGGAGGACCTCTTTTGGGAGGCTGCTCCGACACACGACAGGTTGCGCAGCAGCAGCGGCGTCATAGAGCGCTGGACGTCATTATTTCTACTCTCTTGCCACGCTCTCTGGGGCGTAGAGACACTCCGTCGCGTCAAGCAGCAGCAGCTGCTGCTGCAGCTGAAGTGACAGGCGGAGGAGGAACTCCCAGCAGCAGCAAAAGGGGGCAGTTTGTTTCGTCGATCCCCTCGCGCGCCCTTGCATTGGCGGGTGCTGCAGCAGCAGCAGCAGCAGCAGCAGCAGCAGCAGCAGCAGCAGCGGCCCCCGCGAATTTGCGCCGCAGGCAGAGCAGCAGCAACAGCAGCAGCAGCGCTGGATACGCAGTCGAGACGAACGAGGCTTCGGATTACGCAGAGTACTTGGCCTTGCATGTAGAAAAGTGGCGCGAGGGATCTTTCGACCGACTGGAAGTGGAGGCGGATAGCGTCCTGTTCGATCCCCTGCAGGCTCGTTGCAAAATTATGTAGTTTTTTGAGTGCTGCCGCTGCTCTTTTCTTTGTTTCAGCGTCGACGCCTCCTCATCAGGCAGGCAGGCAGGCAAGGGGGAGGGAAGGGCCTCTTGAAGCGACGCGCGTGTCGCCTCGACTGGCGGCGCAAAACTCAACAACCACTCTACACCTGCCCCCGTGTTGCTTTGCATGCCCCTTCGTGCCTATGGGGAGGACGTCGCGGTGGAAGGCGCGCAGGAGGGGCCCCCAAACCCCCCGGGGGGCCCCTCTTACGGCGGCAGCCGTTCTGTTGCGCAACGCGCAGCAGGAGAGTAAGAAGTACAACAGACCGCCAACAAGCAAGCAGATAAAGCAGAATTCGCAGCCTCCGCAGCCTAGACAGCAGCAGGCGCAGAAGGCTGAGCCGAAGCCGAAGCAAGCAAAGGGCGGCAGGCACAGCCAGCTGCCGCGGCAAGAGCAGCAGCAAGCGAGTGAGCAGAAACGAAACAAGACGGAGGCAAGCAAGCACAGCCGACAGTCTCAGCAGAAGCAAGAGACGCAGAAACTCTCTAGGAATCTCCGAAGGAAGCTTCGGCTTTTGCAGCAGCGGCAAGGTCCTCAGCATCGGCAGCAGTTGCAGCAGGGAGAGAAGCAGTTGCTGCAGCGAGAGCAAGAAGTCACGGCTTCTGTGCAGCGCACGCCAGCTGTAGAGAAACACCAGCGGTATGGCGCTGAGACAGGAGGTGTAGGGGGCCTTTCGAGAGTCTTTCCGTAAAGGGGGTGAAGGGGCCTACTGAAAGCCTTTGGTTTGGCGTTGCTTTGCTATTCGGAAGGGGTGTCTTGGTTGCAGGAGGATGCGCATGCGCGTGTTTTGCTGCTGTTGTTGCTGCCCGATCGCAGGCGCAAGCACCAGCGCAGTCCCCAAGATGTGTCTGCGGAAGAGGGAGAAGATGCAGCAGCTTCGACAGGCTGTGCGGCAGCAGCTCCTCCAGCAGCGAAGTGTGAAAAGAAGCCGTGCCTGACTTTGTGGGGAGACGTGGCAGATGGACCGCCTGACTTGAGAGGGTTCAAACAGAAGTTCGAAGCTTTAAAGGCCAAGTCTGCCAAGTATGTCGTGGGGGGAGGTGCTGCGTTCTTGCTTGTTTTCGGCTGCTGCGTGGCTGGAGCCGTTGAGGAGTGACGACGTGGTAGAAGTGTGAGTTGGAGCGTTGCCGCCACTTTGCTGCTGGTGTTTGTAGGACTAGGGAGAAGACAGCAGCGGAGGAAGCTGCCGCAACGGCGACGGCTGCTGTCGAAGAGGATCAGCGACTTGCCGCTTCCAAGAAGCGGCGGAAGGGAGCCGCTGCTGTCGCCGATGCGGATCCTTATCAGCAACAGGCGATGGAGGCGTACAGACAGCTCAAGAAGCAGCGCAAGGAGGCAGAAGCGCAGCAGCAACAGCGAAAGCAGCAGCAGCAGCAAAGGCGAGATGGCTATCGCAAGGGCCGTCAGCAGGAGGAGGCACCAGGCAAGGCTCCTGGCAGCAAGAAGCAGTGGTCTTACGACAAGGCTCTGCTCTACAGGAGCGATTGGATTTTTAAGCACCACGTGAACGATCAGGAGTAATGCCTGTTAGAGCAGTTGTCGCTGCCGCTGCAGCAAAGGACGCGTTTGCGGCTACAGCAATGCGTGTGGTTAGCCCTGCTGCTGTTTCTGTTGCTGGTGCTGCAGCGAGCTCGCTAGCAGCTGCTGCATCCATCCAAATCACTCGATAAACCTTAGTGGTGTTGTTGGGTATTGAGCGCGTCCGGCACCGCGGTCCCTCTCGCGTAGCGGGCTAAAGAGCAGCCAGAAGAGGCGGTGCATGCGACGTGCTGAACCTTTCGCTTCTGCTGCAACGTCAGTAACAGCGGCGGCAGTAAAAGGCGAAGAGGGCCTCTTAAAGGCCCCTAATCCCCGTGTTGTGTCACACGCTTCTGGGGCATCCTCGGCGCTGTTGGCAGCCGCTTCCTTTCCCCCCCTTTCCCCCCTGTATTCTCGGCGATTTTCGACTGAGAGGCTTTCCGTTGTATCGTAAGTTTGTAATTGATAGTGGCATTGCATTTTTGCGTCTGCCGCGGCGCTGTATCACGCCGTGCCTCGCTCCACCGGAGCGCGCGCCGAGAAGCCCTTAGGATTGCTGGGCAAGCAGTTCGAAGCGAGAGGTTTGTAAGAAACGTTGCGAAGGGGCTAGTAGAGCAGGGTGCTTTAGAGCAAAGCCTGGGAAGTAGCGGTGACGATCTTGAATAAGAGGGGTCCTTCCCCGGGCCGTGCTGTTGCGGCTTTTATCCGCCACGAAGCGATGGGAAGAAACTGCTGCCAAAGGCGGAAGGCGCCTAGTGCAGCAGCAAGGCGTTGCGCGACTGCCGTGTGGATGGAAGGCAGGCGGCGAGAAAAATTCAATGTGTGTCTCCGCACATTGTGGCAGATAAAGCACGCGGGTTGAGTGTGCGAGCAGGGCACCGTGAAGGTTTGGAGAATGTGTCGTTGGTAGTTCGAGAGCATCCAGACTTCCTGGTGAATGTCGTGGGGGTCGGGTTAGGCGAAAGTCATTGACTTGCTCTTGCCAAGGCGTGGAAAAAGCAGCTTGGGTAGGTGCGAGGAAGGACGTGGCGGTGTAAATGCAAAGCGCTTCGAGAGCGTCAACTCCACAGAACGGAGGATGTTCAATGAAGGCTTCTTGAGCTGCGCTACGCTGCGCTGGAGCGAACTGTTGCTTACCGCTTCTTGGTGACTGTGTTTTCTCCCTAGACGCCAGAAAAAGAAGCGCAGGATCGGCTGGCCGTTGCGACGGCACCGTGGTCTCCAAGGACCCCTCTTCCTGGGAGGGTGTGTGGCTTTCCACGAATCCGGAGTTTTCTTGGATTGTAGTCAGTGTTGCAATAATGCGCAGGAGAGAGTTGGCTCGAAGGCTTCCCGCCGAGTCACTGGAGCGCGCAGCAGTGCAAACGGCTGAGTGCGCATTTAGCCCTGGACTAAGCGAGTTTTGTAGAAGGACGCTGGAGGGGCGTAGGCTTACAATGCCTTCTTAGAACCAATGCAAAGCTACAGTTCCCGGCGCGCCGGGGACTGTTGCTTTGGTGCACTCCCTGTGTACAGAGAGGGGGCTTGGAGACAGAGTACGGAATCATTCACAGCAAGCAGCAACGGGTTGTTCTCTTCAGTGTAGCAACACAGCGCAGGAGATGGCCTGAGCCTAACCGGCACTCCACCTGCCCGACTGGATCGTTCGTTGACACTTGGCCTTCCGGATTTACGTGTCCAACAGAAGCGCAAGCGCAGCAGCAACAGGGGAGCCTGCAAAAGTAGCAAGCCCAGTGCAGGAGGTGCGTTTCGCACAAAGTCAGATGCATATTAAAACATTGGCATCTTAATTGGGGGAAACTCCCTAAACGTCGGAATTATCGGCTAAACCCCCTCTGTGCCTTGCTTTGTGGCTCCTGCTTGCTCTACAGCAATCGGTCATGGCTCCTCTGCCGTGAGAACACAACAGCAGAACGGTTCCGGAGCAAAAAGGGTGGCGCATGGGGCTGTGTACAGAGGCACCACACTCACCAGTGTGAAGGCGTGTTTAAACAGAAATGGTGTTACGGGGAGCACACCTACTGTAGCACTCCCTCTAGTTTCTACGCACGAAGACACTTTTAGAGCCAGACGAAGTACGTCATTCTACAGAAAGTTATCAGAATCCACCCATCCCAAAAGCACTCTGCCCCCTCGGGGGTCCTGCATGAGGGGAGAGGGAGCGGCGAGCGCAAGGGAGCATGCATTGGCTTTTTGCTGTCCTTTCTAAAACGCTTCCGACACTGACAGCGAGTGCCCCATGGATGAGTGCAGAAGCCCACAATGTTCACTCGTGTAGCGTTGAACTCGCGAGTTTCTCTGCATTTACAAGGGTATACGAAAAGCCAAGCCAAGTAATAGTCTTAATGCTTGCTTTTCTGAATGATATATGGCTAATACGGTGGAAAGTGTCTTAATATTAAGTAGCTTTGGGACCGATACACCGAGACTTTCCAGTGGTTCTCCAGGGCGTTCTAAAGGTGGCCACGCTACCGCCGCTGGACTGCGCAGGGGGCGTTCTTTATTTGAGGCCGCTCTCAAGGGCATGAGTTAGCTCTTTTTGCCAGGAGCCGCCACACGCGTCATCATTGAAGTGAGCCAGCAGGGTAACTGTACGCACAGTGGGGGAGGGAGAGTGTGCTGTGCAGCGCTTCGCTGCACAGCACCTTGTGGTCGGCGTCCGTCGGAAGGCGCAGAAGTGCTCACAGACGGGCAAGCAGCAAAAGAGGGCAGCGGAGACAGAGAAACACGTCTTGGAGAGACACAAAGAACGCACCGCAACTCACAGAGAGGCCCCAAGTCTCACGTGGTGACTCCCCTACTGATCAGGTCAAGCTGTCTTCAGTGTATCAGGGGGCCCCCACTGCACCAGCCACTGCCGCTCTTTTAGGTGCACCTTCTTATTGTGCGAAGGAGAACACAGGCGACTCAAGACTGGCTGTTCATCTTGCAATCTGAGGAGAGGAATACTCTCCTGCTGCTGCTGAGAGATTCCAGAGGCTTCCGCTTGGGCTGCGGTTCATCCCGCGGATGCATCATTCACGGGAACCTGGAAAGTTATTTCGTTGTTACATGTTGAAAAAGGCATTTCTCACAAAAAACACTAGAAGAAGAGCCGGCAGCAGCAGCAGCCTCGGGGGGCAGCCGCAGCTGTCTCACCGCGTGGCGTAGTCCGTCGCTGGCCGCTGCAGCTGCCTGCTGCTGCAGCAACAACTCGCGATGATCATCAGCAGGAACAGACGCTTCCGCTGTCAGGATGACTGACACAGCCGAAGGGGCCCCTCCCGAAGGGCCCTCCTCACAGGAGTCGCCGAAGGAAGAGTCTGCTCATGAGCTACCAGCCACGACGAGCGCCACTGAAGGGATGGCTGTGGCAGAACGGGGGGAGCACGCGGATCATCAGCAACAGCAGGCGCAAGAAAGCAAAGAAAAGGAGCAGCAAGAACCGCGGCAGCCTCCAGAGAAGCTGCATGAAAGAATGCGTTCCCTCACGCAGCTTGACCAAAGCCTTCCAGAAGAGCAGCATTCGAGCACGCCACGACTTCGTAGGGATCAGCAGCAGCAGCATCACCAAGAAGCGGCTAAGGAGGCCGCTCCAGCGGGAATCGGTGAAAGGCTGCTATCCGCGTCTGCCAAGCCAGGCGAAGCCAGCCTCAGCCTGGCGCAAAGGATGAAAGCTGCCGCTTCCAAAACAGAAGTTAGAACCAGCGACAGCAGCGCCGTCATGGCGGGAGGGCCCCTCTTCCCTGCGACTGAGTGTGGCTCTGGCCGTTTTCGGCTGAGAACGCGTGAGGCTTCTCTATCTTTTGGAGGATTTCGTGGAGCTGCTGAGGGGGGAAGGACGCCAGACGATGAGCTGCAGCGCCAGAAACAGCACAGCGGGAGCGTTAGCGCAATAAGCTCTCCGCTTGGGAGCTCTCCCTCGCCGCTGAGTCGCTCCCGACACAGCGTCAGTTTCGCTGAACTGGAAGTCAAATCCGGTCAAGAAGAGCTAGCAGAGCTGTTTTGGAGGGGTAGCGACACTGAACTGCACAGCCCGCGTACGTGTGTAGATGCCTCGAAGCTTGCTGCTGCTCGATTCTGTGTGAGGTAGATTTGCGAAATTGACGGTTCAGGGTTGCAGGCTCGGATTGCTTTTTATTTCTGAATAACTGGGCACTGTTTCAAGCCTTTACGAGCGCGCTTCTCGGGTTTGAAGTGGACGTGTTCCTCGCGCGCGATCGAGGGGATAGGATATGGGTTCATTCCTGTGCTTGCAGAGCTGAGCGGAGTTGGCAGACGTCGAGCTCAGTTTTTCCTCAGCGGGAGCCGAGATGCCTCGCTATCGGGCGAGGTAAGGGGCTGCAGTGGGCGGCTAGGCCGATAAGGATAAATGCCGAGTTGAGCGCAGTATGAGTAGAAGACTTTTACGCACACACACACGCACACACAGCGACGGGCTGAAGTCTTTGGACAGCAGCACTGGCAGGAGGGAGCAGACGGAGGCGTCAGAATGGAAGCTACAGCGACGGCAGGCTTCTTGCTGCCTTCTAGGGGGGCTTCTGGATGCGGAGCCTTTCAGAACGCGCGAAAAACGAAGAGCTTGCATGCGTTTGCTGCTGCCAAGTGCAGATCCCTGTGGCTCTTGTTCAGGATCTCCGCGAAGCTGGCAGTTCTATGCAGCGGCCCCGTGAGCTAACTTCTTGAAAAATCGTTACCGTAGGATATTTCTCGAGTGGATCTTCAGGATTTTCGGTTTAGCGTTTCGGAGAGCGGCTGCTGCGGCTGTCTGTTCCTGGTGCAGAGGCAAGAGCGCAGCAAGACTGGATGCTCAAGAGGCGACAGTCTCTTCGTCATGTCGGAACGAGGCGTTACAGTTCTCACTCGGACAGAAAGGTAGCTGACTCTCGATCAGCTAGCGGGCTCTATAACTTCCTCGAAGCTAGTTCTCTCGCTGGCCATGTAGCTAGCCGTTCAGGTAGCTAGTGCGCTGGTTGCCTCCTGCGTGAGTTTTTTCACCTGCTCGGCGGAAGCGGCGCATTTCCAGCTAGCTAGCTGGCTAGATGGCGAGCTGTCCCTTCGACTAGCCGCGCTCGCCGTCCCTACGCTCTGCGGCGCAGGCGCTGGAGGTTCTTGCTGCGATGGAAAAACGGTTTTTGCCGGATGTTTATGAGGAGCTGCAAGCTCGTATTGGCAGCCTCAAAGAAAAGAGACGGCAGCAACAACAGCAGCAACAACAGCAGCAACAACAGCAGCAACAACAGCAGCAACAACAGCAGCAACAACAGCAGCAACAACAGCAGCAACAGCTCCACTTTTTACTGGAGCGAGAACCAGATGTATACGAGGTGCCCGGCGTGACTCCTCTACCCCAGGCTCCAGCACAAATTTGCGAGGAAGCTGCACTTATGGGTGTGTTTGCGCTGTGTTGCTCTGGGCACTGGCTAGCCGCTTCCAAGGGTACAGCAATTGCCTATGCGCTTGGTGTCAGAGGCTGCGGTCCTGCGAGTGCTGCCGTTCGTGTTGAGTTTTTCTGCGACTGCGGCTCCTACTGCAGAGTGGCTTGTTAATATGTGCGTTTCCTGACGCTTCGCTGCATGCCTTCACCGTGTGTTGCTGCTGCGCTGCCTCATCAGAGGCGGGATCTGACACCCTGCTCATGGAAGTCTCCTTTGCTCCCTTGGACCTTGACTTGGCTTTCGAGCGTTTCACCGGAGCAGGCTTTTTCCGTGAGACAGCTGCCAACGGTTCCCCTTGCAATTATTCTCCCCTCGGGTGTGGAGGCGGCAAGCTTCCCGCAGTGTGGTACAGCAAGCCAAGCCATGCAGCCGACTGCCTAGTGCGTGTAGAGCTGCAGGCAGCTAGCGCCCTTCGCAAGTTGTGGTCTTCCGTGTTGCAGCGAATGAGCAGCTGGATGAAGACTTGCGCCAACTCTATAGAAAAACCTCCGTGGACGTAACGCACCTGTTGGGTCCTACAGAGAGGAAGGAGTCGCCAATGAGCAGGCTTGCCAGGCTCAGGGTGGAAGTACCAGATGCAATTAAGCTGCTTGTAAAGAATTCTATCTTCCTGATGCTGCTTTTAGTGCATGATGCTGTGGCGCCTTCGCTGCTGAATGGCTGCATGTACCTACGGGATGCGCTCAAGCTTGTCTTGAGCCGATGTCGCCTTGGTGGTTTGCTGGCTGCATGTGCTGGAGGCAGGCGGAGCTGGAAAGCTGCCGCTGCCTAAGGACCTGTCCACTGCCGTTTTTTCGCTGTTGCAATCTCAGGAAGGCCTCTGTGCGCATGCAGACGAATCTCGGAGGCAGCAGGAGCAGTTCGGCGACGTTTCCTCTGGAGCAGCTTACATTTACTCCCTCAACGAAGCGCTCGCCAGTGAGGAGCCGTTGGCTCTTCGAGTTACACGCCGTCCTGCAGATTTCCTGCTCCCCCCATTGACTCTCTCGTGCCGTGTGTCTGTGTGCTGATGCTGGATGCCACCCCACGTGCGACGCGCCTGGCCGCTGCTGCGCAATCCAGCTCCTCTTGCCGTGTCTCTACACCCCGAATGGAAAGTGTCGCGTCTCACAGGAGCCACCACACTCACCGTGCTAGAGACAGTGGTGCCTCGCGAGCAGCGGCAGCGAGGGATGCGACAGGAAGGCCGTGCCGCTTATGTGAGTGGCTGTGCTGTTTCAGAGACTTCTAAGGAGCTGAAAGACAACGTGCGAGAGGGAGTCGCTGCAGATGCCGCATTGCAGCGCATCCTCTTCAAGCATCATCATCCGCAACGGCAGCAGTTGTTTTTGGCAGCACAAGGCGATTCCAGTGGTCTTCTTGCTCCTCTCTATTGCCCGAATTCGTGTGTGGTCATGGATACTCTGGCGCGCGACGCGCAGGTTTGCGGCACTTTACCCTTTCCCTCGGCCCCTTCCAATGGCAGATTCACCTCTTTGCCCTTGCAGTGCCTCCTTCTCTCTCCTTGAGCGTTGTGTCGCCACCACCGTTGCTGCTCCCGCATTTGCATGCACGGGCCTCTTTTCAGTGTCTGTGAGCAGGAGCAGCTGCAAGTCTCCGCTCAACAGCAGCAGCAACAGCAGCAGCAACAGCAGCGTGCTCCCCATACTGGAGAAGCTATTGAAGTGCTGGTGCGCTCTTCTCGTTCCGCAAGCCACGGTATAGGCTTAGGGGTCAGTGTTTGGGAGGAAGGGTCAAGGGAGAAGGGTGCAGCGTGAGGGTTTGATGCAGGATGCAGCACAGCTAGCTGCAGCTTCTCGGGAGGAGGCTAACCGACGGCTCCAACAACTAGAAGAGAGAATCCGCCGTAAGCTGGACGTGCTTCCTGGCATTGCCACGTGCAGCAACTGCCGCGACTCGCACTTTTGCTCTACTAGCAGCCACTCCAGCTGCTGTTGCTCGCCGCGTGCTTTTACAGCTGCAACGGCCACAGAAGCGTTAGGAGCAGCGGTGTTGCATGTGTCATTCCCACGCATATTTCCCCCTGTACATGCACTCAGGGCTCGAGCAAATGTGCTCTCCCTCTGCGGCAGCAACGCAAATTGAGAGTGCGGAGGTTCTTCAGCTGGCTGACCAGTGGTCAGCAGATCCCAAAGCTCCTTCCCTCGTAGGTAAGCCGCTAACCACGCGTTTCCGAAAAAAGCACCAGGTGTAGCCCGCTAGTTGTGGAGGGATAGCTTATAGTCTTCGACCCCTTTGGATCTCTTTTCTATACCTCGAGCGCTGCTGCGCTCACAAATTAGCTGTTGTTGGTGTTGATATTTCTGCTGTGACTGCTGTAGAGATGGCGTCGCAGCTTCACCACTTGCTTGCCCTCGTTGCTGACCCTTCTCCCCTGTCCGTCCTGTCTGCACGACTCGCCGTGCTGAGGTGCTGTCAGGAGGAACAGCAGCAGCAGCAACAGCAGCAGCAGAGGCATCAGGAGCGATGGGAGGAGGAAAGGAGGGGCATTGAAGAGGACGAATTTTCAGAGTTCCTCCCGGAGAAGATTGTGCTGTCTCTACATCAAAAACTAATGCCTTGCAGCTCCATTGTGGAGGGCTTACCAAAGATTACGGAGGGTCTTATCCAGGCAAAGGACAAATTTGCTGACGTAATTAAAACCTTACACTATCAAAACAAAATCCAGGAACCGACGAGCACGCTCTCGACCCTTGGGTGTAGCCCTACTACTTGACGCATTAGGACGAACTTAAGGTCCCCGTAACTGGGCTGGCTTCACCCATATCTGCATTCACTTTTTAAAAATATCTAGAGCAACGTGCACTACGGCAGCAATAAGCATGTGCTAGTCAACGCCACCGAAAAAGCCGAGGAAGGCTTTATGAAGAAGTTTTGCCCTTGTTCGAACTCTGTTTTCTGCAGGTGGTTTCACTTTTACAGAGGATGGCGTCTCAGTGTTCGCAGCAGCAAACCCTTAAGGATAAATTGGCGAGCCTCCACTCCGTTGCCTCGTCCTTTGTTACGGCACCCGCTGTACAGAAAAAGGCGAATGAGGCAAACACTAAATTTTCTTTGCAAAGAACACAGAACTGAGCTGGCCTGGGGACCCCTGACCCTGGACTATTTATTCTATTCCTGCATAGTGCGTTATTTCTCTAGTAATTAGCTTTAGAGCGCCTTGTTCTGGGCTCTAGCTGCAGGCATGAGGAGGCGGGAACACGATGACAAACACTCTGAAACTTGTATCTGAAGTCGATGCACGTTTTACTTAGGAGCCATCTACATAAGGTGCTAGCGGGTCTCATTAGTTGCTTTTTAAAAGGCTATTCCTCAGACGCAGCAGCTTCGCGGTTCTGTGCTTCGCTTTGCTAGGATTTCTGGTCACTGATACAAGCAGCGGCCGAAGCAATGTACACAAATGCCGGCCATATTTGCATCATCAACAACACACTGCATTGGAGTGGCCTCGCTTTATGTGGCTTGAAGTTCATTATAGTTGCTATGGCTTACCTGGCCGTAGTGGCTGTGCTCTGTTGATCCACCATGTAGCAAGTAGTGACACGGGGCTGCCTAGATACAGGTGAGAGGATTTGAAGGCGTGAGGAATATCATTCATTGGCTAGTTCAGTCACTGACCCTGAAATTTATACTTTGTTGAGGGACCAGAATAACGGTCATCCACCCATTAATTGTAGCTTTTATAGTAAGTGACTGCGAATCCTGACTCGATAGATGGTCATTCACCTTTTGCAAGAAATAAGTGGTTCTTACTGGGAGGTGCAGGCACTCGTTTCTGAATCAGCAACAGGTTGCATGGGTAGGCCCGCTGTAATACGGGCAAATGCACAGTTTCCGATGGGAGCAATGATTCAATGAGCTAGCAATACTTCAGAAGCAGGGACCTCCAAATAGGTATTGTTCACATGATTCAAATCAAATCAATTCAAAGCTGAGCCATGGAAGGCGTAGGGTGTCTGCGCACCTTCTGTTAGCAACACCTTTCAGGATATCAACGCGACTCATATCTGAAGGAAGAGTTCTGAGAATTTGCAAATACACATTGAAAACAATACAGTATTGCGTGCGTGAAACGATGCAGGTGGCCGTTCGAACTTGCGTGGACATCACCACGCGGCAACAGTCGTTGCAGATACTGAAGAATACAGTTTCCTTGGGAGTATCGTCTGTTTTGTATCTTCGGAATATTTTTGAAGAGGCAGCTTTCTCCTCTGTTTGGTTTGAGGGTCTGAGGCTGGTCCAGTTGCGACCAGCCGACAAGAAATCGGACTTCATTGTTAGTCTTCTACGAAACGGTGTAAACGAAGCATTGCAGAAAGTAAGGGGCACACAAGTTCGAGTGCCTAAAATCACTAAAACGGATCAAAACCCCTCCAGGAATGCCTCGAACAGCTACTGCTGGGTATTCATGAGCACAAAACAGATGCGCTGCTTGAGTCGTATGAATTCACATTCGGTTATGGTGGCCGCCAGCCTCAACTAACCATTTCCTTGGGCGGCGAGATGCGGGTTCCACAAGACACTCGTGAGGTGGAGCCCGTGTCAAAGGCTGAAGCCAAGAAACAAACGGAAGCTGTAAATCCGAACGCAGTTGCGATATGTTCATAGCTTTCCTGTGCTGTCATCTTGGCCTTTCGTAGCTCCTACAGTCACTGTGTGCCATTACGCAGCAGCTGGAGCCGCTGCCGGAAAACCCCTACGTATCACTACGGGTGAGCTACCCTAAACGGCCGTCATTCGTTCATGCATGACTGACAGCAATGCACGTGTCTTCTTCAGCTTTTCTTCAACGAAGCTCGAGTAGGAACCAAATACATGTAACTTCCACTGCATGGGTGTCGAGGCTAAAACACCTGTAGGCCCCGCCCAACTATGTTCCGAAGGGCTTCACGCCCAAGCTTGATGATATATCTTTTGGAGGCGAAGTGCCATTCACAGCAATAAGTGACAAGGTATAGTTCCACTCTATCTTCAGCAACCGAGGGCAGTCGAAGTGGTTCATGCTGCTTTCTAATTGTCTAGATCGATACAAAGCATCATACTCTAGAGCTTTCTATCCAGTCTCTGGCGGACCCGCCTCAGATCTTGCCGGCTCTAGAGGGAGGTCGAGCTGGAGGTAGGAAAAGGCCAACAGCTTTTTGCGGTTTGCACTCACGCGGTTTACAATTTTCTCAGTGCTACGCATTGTGGAAGAGGTCAAGGCCTACATGCTGGCCACAGGTAGTATACACCAGAAAATCTGCAACAGAAGATGCGAGCAATATATTTATTAAAACATTAAATGCCTCTCTAGGCGAAATGAATGTTGAGAAGCTTGCAAAAAAACTTGGAACAAACTGCGAACCCTTCATAGCAGCAGCACATGCACAGCTCATATCGTCGGGCCTAATAGGTACCTGAAACATCTACTGCGTTCATTCTACATGTGTTGCATGCCCTTTCAACTTGTGGATGAAGAAAAAAAAAAAGAGGCCCTAGAACCTTTCCATGCAAAGAAGCACACTGCACACACTTCACACACACACGCGCCAGAGAAAAACGGGCATGCAGCGGGTGTTCATGGACTACGAACAGGCGCAATATCTCAGCGGCAAAACCAGCAAACAGTGCCGCAAAAGCCGCAGCCCACAACAAGGCCCCAAGTGGAGCAAAGAACTGCAATAGGCAAGGAGTTTCAAGTCTCATCGCTGCCGGAGGGGCATCTTGCAACGGCAGTAGAACCCGAGCTGCCTCCAAGCGCGGCAGTTCCCCAACGCCAACTACGAACACGGGGCCCCCGAGAGGCCCCCAATTCTCAGGTTGAGCCTGCCCCAGCTACAGCCGCACACACGGAAGTTTCACACACGAGAGGAAAAAGCGCAGAAGACGCACCAATGGTAATTTGTTTCTCTCCTCCAAACTGGAGCTGCAATCTCTACTCAATCGTCCGCCCTTCCCGCATTCTTCCTGCCTATATAGCATCCGCCAGATGTCATGAAGGCGGCAGTCGCGTTGATAGAGCAGTGCACAAGCCTGGCGCGTCGAACAAAGCAAATAAGTGCAGAAACTATTGCCTCTTTCTGCGTAGTCTCATCGGAGGTGGCGAACGAGCTGCTACAAAAACTGTTGGCCACGGGTATCGTCCAGCGAGAGCCAGGCAAGGGAAAGAAATACACGTAAGCAGATCCAGAACACAAAACTGTGAAGATCTCGTGCTGTGCATATGGTGAAACAGGTCGGCATTGTACACAGGACCACTTCCTCAGGAGGGGCAGGCACAGCCGCAGCAACAGAAGCAGCCGCTGAAAACACGAAGCAGTGACAGCACCGCTCAAGCACTATTAGCAGCAACAGCTGCGCCGTCCGGACGGCGTCGAACTCGTGCAGCAGCGCTAGAACGAGTTCAGGAAGAAGCTGCATCTGCTCGTTGCAACAAGAGAAAGACGCGACCAGCAGCCTCCAGAGGCCCCCCGTCCACTAGACCCTCTGCAGAGAGACCACGCTTTCCGAAAAAGCGCACCAAAAACTGAACTTAAACTTTAAACTCGATGCCTGTGCTGGGCTTTCCTCCAGGTGTATTATGGCCGCTAGCTGGGCTGTCGAGCACAATGAGCAGAACGGAGGGGCAGACATTGAACTCATAACAGTCGTGCAGCTGAATACGACGTTTACTACTTCTTTTCAATGCACAAGGCTAAACGGTATCAAGACAAGCATTTCAGTGTGGTGGTTGTGGGGTCGATGGCAGTGGTTGCGGTTGTTGCGGCTGCATGCAAGTGAGGGAAGCCTTTTGGGCGCCTCCATGTGGAGCCATGTTCCTTTACTTTTTAAATAATAAAAACGCGTAAAATCCCCTTATTCCACGACTCCTAGAGCGCGTGCACGATTTTTTTCTATTGAATGTACTGCCGCTGCATTGCGCAGGCTGCTGCCCAGCCCCCGAGCAGCAAGCGTCTGTAGTGCTGGCAGAGTACGACCAGACGACGCTGCGACAGGCAAGCGTCTTATTTGCGGCATCCTTTAATTGACGAGGTTTGGGCAGCTGTGCAGGAGAGCGTGCAGCTTCGGGGGAAGGGGGAGCCTGACAGGAGAAGCGGAGCCGAGACACCGCATGCACCCCCAAGAAAATCCGCAGTGTACTATCAGCAGCAGCAGCCAGCAGCATTTCGGCATGGGGGAGCAAGAGGATGGGGAGGGGGGGGGGCCCGCTGCAGCGGCTCTGCGACTGGCGCATGCTCGCCAGCGTCTTCGGCAGATGGCTGCCTCTACGCAGTCCCTTCTCGAGCGATGCAGCGTAGGTGTAATACATACCCTGACACCTGGTGCTCCGCGAGGCTATATTCTGGTCGTTTGAGGCGTGTAGTTGGGTGTATATCGGGGCCCTTGAGGGCAGCAGCAGCAGCAGCAGTCGTGTTTCCTGCAGTGGAGAGGCGGGGAGTGTGCTGATGACTTGCCTGTATGTTGGCTGGGGAAGCACAGAAGCCACTGTTGCGGCTGCTGCTGCCGCTGCTTCAGGAGGAGGCGGCAAAGCCCAGCGACGACGTGCGCATAGAGGAGATACGATGCCGCCTTGCTGCTGCAGACGAGGAGTTCGCAGAGGCGCAGAAGCAACAGGAGGAGAGAGACAGAAGCTCTTTGAAGCGGCAGCTGCAGCAGTTGCAACTGCAGCAGAAGCGACAGAGGAGTGTGTGGACCTAAAGGGTCCGCGAATGCGGCTAAGAGGCGTTTTAGAAGAAGCCAATCTCCTAAGGGGAGGAGGCAACACAGTAGTAGTGTGCTGCAGCCATGTGCACCAGGGGTAGCGTCTAGTGAGTGCCACCTCGCAGCGGCTTTTTTTCTGCGTGTGGCGCAAGTGCTACACTGCTGTGAAGAGTGGCAAGCTGAGTCGTGTGTTGTCAACACCGTGCGCAGATAAGACGGAAGCGGAGGAAGAGAAGCTGCAACGGCGCGTGTATGAGCTGGAGGCGGCAGTTGTGGTAGCGAAGGCAAGCGCAACAGAGGCTTACACGGTAAATGCGAGTGAAACAGCTTATTATGACGTGGTGTATTCGAGGTGTGCAGAGACAGCTACTCGCTGCATCTTGCCCCTCAGACGTTGGGCTACACCTGCTGTCGTGACAACTGCTGCTGCTCTTCAAGTGCTGCTCCTGCGGAAGCTGCTGCTGCTCTTCTACTGTTGCTGCTGCTAAAAGTGCAACTGTTTGCTGCAGACTGCGGAGAAAAGGCTCATGCAGCTACGTTGTGAGCTGGAGGAGGCGTCTTCTGGGAAGGAGGCGCTGCAGCACCGAGTGGATGTTTTGGAGAAGGCACTGCAGCAGCAGCGGGAGCAGCAGCAGCGGCAACAAGAGCAGCACGAGGCAGCAGCGCATGCGTTGCAGGAGGAGCTCACAGAGACGCAGCAAGCGCTGCAGCGGGAGCAGCAGCAGCATCTGCAGCAGGTGTCTGGCCGTCTTCAGCAACAGGAGGAGATGGTAGGGCTGCTGAGGCAGCAGCTGGAAGAAGCTGATGCAGCTCACGAACGCGCTCTCCATGTAGTAAGCGTCTCCCGTTGAGTGCGTGTGTGTGTAGAGAGCCCACAGGTGCCTTGCGGCGTTCGCCTTGCTGCGTGTCTTTTGCGCGGCGAATTGGCGCTTCTGCAGCCGTCTGCTGTAGTCTGCTGCTGAGTGTCGCATCTTGGGCTTTGCGCATGCATGCAGGCAGCGGAGGATTTCCGTTTGGAAAGAGAAGCCCTACAGCTGCAGCTGCACACTGCGCAGGAGAAGCTGCAGACGATTTCCAGCATCAAGGCAGCCGTGAGGAAAAGATTTGCTCCTTTTTGCCTCTTGAAACGCCATACTTTGGCATCTGCCCCTACCTCCCTTGGAGCAGCGGCGGCGCGTGAAACGTCTTTTTTCGTGGGAGTGTGTCTCTTCTGCGGCTGTCTGATTGCGCGTTCCTGCTGCAGGGGCTTCAGGAGAGGCACTGCGTGGATAAGCTTCAATGCGCAAACGCTGTACGTTGCTGCTGATTACGTGTCTTGGTGCTGCTGCTGGTGTCGTGCTCGGCTGCGTGGGTAGCAATGGCGACAGCGGCAGGAGTAGAGTTGCTGTGTGTTCGGCGCAAGTCTTGGTAGAAAATATGCAGATGTGTGCATGTTTATGCGCGGATGCATTTTCGCGCCCTCAGAGCCTACGCAGAGAGAAAGACCAGCTGCAGCAGCAGCTTGTGGAGGCGGCAAAGCAGCAGGAGCAGCTGCAGCGGCAAGAGCAGCAGCAGCAGCAGCAGCAGAAGCAGGAGCAGCAGCTCTTGGACTGCACGCGAGAGCTCAAGGAAGCACAACTCCAGAGGCAGGATCTCCTCGCTGAAGTGATGCAGTGGAGGAAGCTTGCAGCCTGTGAGGCTTGGTCGTGCCGTTGGTGATGTGCTGCTGCTACAGCGGAGACTGCCTCTCTCGTCTTTCTTCGGTGGCATTCGGGGAGTTGGATGCTGCGCGCTGTTGCTGCAGACAGATGCTGTTGAGAGGGGTTGCTTTATGGGCAGCTGCCGAAAGAGGGGCCTTAAAAAAGCCTCAACGTGCCTGCAGTCGTCAGCTCACTGAGCCTTCGCTGCGAATAGACTCGCGCGTCTCTTTTCCCCTGAGCGATCCTCTGCGCTGCCGCTGATTATGTGGCTTTGGTGCTGCTGCTGCATGCTTCGCAGCCTTTGTCGTTGAGGAGACACCCACACGCGATGCCTTCCGCCGCTGGCTGCTGCTGCTCGTCAACTCTGTTCAAGCGCTGCAGTTCACGCGGAGAGAGGCTGAGGCTGAGCTGCAGCAGCTGCAGCAGCAGCAGCAGCTGCTGCAGCGGGAGCTTCAAGTGAGAGCAGCAGCCTTCTTTCTGGCAAGGGCGCACTTGCGCCGCTGCGTGAGGCGAGCAGAGTTGCTGCAGCAGTAATTACGGGAGCTGCTGCTCATTTGGAACGGCAGCGGTGGGGGTGTTGTTGCTGCTGCTCCTCCTACTGCTGGTACCTTTCTGTGGCGTTTCCTGTCTTTTTCAGCACGAGAAAGACTCGATCGCAGCTCTTAAGCTGCAACTGGCTGAGGCAGAGCTGCAGCACCAACACCAGCAGCGCAAGCAGGAGGGTCTGCTGTCTGCAGAGAAGTCTACAAATGCATTGCTCAAGGTATGCATATATGTATGTCTGCGTGTATGTATGTGTGTATGGTATGTATGTATATTATGTATGGATGCATGTTATGCGTGTATGTGTGTGCTTGTATTCACATATGTACGTACGTATGTACGTATGTATGTATGTATGCGACACCGTTTCAACTCGAATCTTCGTCAAAGCAGTGGGAGTGGCAGCATCGCATCGCGTGTGGAGGGCTGTTGTTGTTGTTGCTGCCGTTTCTGCTGCTGCTGCTGGTGGCATGTCATCTCTGCTCGCTCTCATAAGTTTGCGCAGAAGTGTGGCTTTTGCTGCCTGTGCTGATTGGGTGTTTTAGGTGAAGCTGGCGGGAGCTTTGCATGCAACGAGCGAGCAAATTGAGCGGCTGCTGCTGCAGCCAGCAGCGGCAGCAACCCCAGGGGAGGGGTGCAGTGGCAACTGCAAGCAGCTGCAAGCTTCTCTGGAAGCAAGCCAGGAGGAAGTGGAACGCATGCAGCAGCTGCTGCAGGGGCATCAGAAGCTTGTAAGCAAGCCTCTGCTACTGTGCGACTCCCGTATTTCCACCCTCCGTCGTCTCTTTCTTTTTCCTTGCCCAAGCTGGTTGCTCGCTTACCTCGTCGCATGCTGTCTCCTTCAGAAGCGTTTATGCTAAATCGATGCATGCGGTTTGTGCTAAATCGATGCATGCGGTTTATGCTAAATCGATGCATGCGGCTTGTGCTAAATCGATGCATGCGGCTTGTGCTAAATTGATGCATGCGGTTTGTGCTGAATCGATGCATGCGGTTTGTGCTAAATCGATGCATGCGGCTTGTGCTAAATCGATGCATGCGGTTTGTGCTAAACGATGCATGCTGCAGCTGCAGCGGCAAGACGCAGAGCTGCAGCGGCTGCGACAAGTCGAGCGGCAGCAGGCAAGTGCCGCGATGGAGGGAGATCAACTGACCAAAGTGCGTGTTTTTTCTGCTCCTCCTGCTCTGTCTCTCCTGCTCAGCGCTCTCTGCTTCCAGAAGGGCAGCTGTTGCCACTAGCAGTGCCGTTAAAGAAGCAGCTTTAGCAGGAGCTTTAGGAGGGTTCTTTTCTGAAACAGAGAGAGAGAGCACACCAGTTTCACCCTCCGTAGTTTTTGGCAGACCTTCCAGAGGCACGACGCAAGCAAGCCACACAGGCTTCTTCTAGAAGCGTCTTTGCGGGTTGCTAGCCAGTGAGATTTGCTGCTGCTGCTCCTGCGGCTGCTTTTTTTTTCAGGAGAATGCGCGTCTCAGAGGCGAGCTGCAGCGAAAAGCAACCGAGACTGCCGAACTTGAGAGGCGTCAGGGTATGGGCGACTGCTGCAGTTCTTGAGCTTCTAGAAAAGCGGGAGCTCTTTGTTTGCAGCTCAGCAGTATATCGGCAGGAGGAAAAGGCTGCGCTATCCTACACGAGCTCGAATTTGCAACGCTCTGGACGGCTGCTCTTGACTGCGCTGCTGCCGTGTGCCTGTGCAGAAAAGCTACTCAACGAACTGGCAGATGTTTCGATCTGCCTGGGTCGGGAACGCAGTCTTCAGACACAGCTGGTATGTCTTGAGGAGGGCAGTCTTACGCTTGTTTGCACAGATCCGTGTGTGCAAGAGGGCGTTGGCAATGACGCTCTTGCTTTTGTTGCTGGTGTTGCTGTTGTTGCTGTTGTTGCTGTTGTTGTTGCTGCTGCAAAGAGAGAAAGCGATATTTAAGGCTTGCGATTACTTTCGATGGTGTTAGTGCTTTTGTTGTTGCTGCTGCTATTGCTGCAAAGAGAAAGCGATTTTTAAGGCTTGCGATTACTTTCCATGGTGTTAGTGCTTTTGTTGTTGCTGCTGCTATTGCTGCAAAGAGAGAAAGCGCTTTTTAAGGCTTGCGATTACTTTTGTTGGTGCTGGCTGCAGCAAAGAGCTCTCGAGAGAGTCTCAACTCTCGAAGGCTTGCTGCGTGGAGGTTCTGGCGATGCAACTCAGCACGCCGATAGAGTTCGAACCCTCGAGACAGAGGTAATCTTTGCAGCTGTAGCAGCTACAGCGTCGATGGCACGCCTGCTTGGCTGCTGCTAGAGGGTCGTAGGAGCTCCCAAGTCGTCTTTTAACTGCATGCAAAGGGGGCAGCAGCGAAGAAACAGTATTTTTCTGCGGCAGGCGTTTCTGCGGCTTCGTCCTTAGGCTGCGAGGATGAAGCAAAAAATGGGACTGCTGCAACAGCACTGCATGCAGCAAATATCGTAGGTTGAAGTGTCTGCTGTGCGGCTTTAAAGGGGTGTATTTATTGCTCTTGTGGAAAGAGGTGCCAGCGTGTATTATTCCCCTTGCCCTTCCCCCTCCTCCAACAGTCCTTCACCAGCACTTATAGCACCCTAAGCGACAGCTGCAGAAAAGCCTCCTCGCTTGCCTTATTCTTCTCTGTGCAGCGCCATGCGCGAAGCCGTGTATCACATTCTCGGATGGGATGTTGCGTACAAGAGCGGTGAGGCATCGTGTAGATGCAGGGATGCAGGGATGCAAGGATGCATGCATCTAGCGTCATCATCCTGCTGTTGCTGCTGCTGCTGGTGCGCCTTTTTGGGTGCTGTGCAGCGCAGTAGTTCGTTCTGCGTGAATATTTGCAAATGCGTGTGCATGCGTGTGTTGGCGTAGGAGGGGAAGGCGCTGGAGAAACCGTGATTTTGCAGTGTCTATACGCCACTCACGACGGCGTCCTCGTGTTCACCAGGCAGCAAGAGCAGCCGCAAGAAAAGCAGCCGCAAGAAAAGCAGCCGCAAGAAAAGCAGCCGCAAGAAAAGCAGCCGCAAGAAAAGCAGCCGCAAGAAAAGCAGCCGCAAGAAAAGCAGCAGGAAAAGGATCAAGAGAAGTCTCAGGATGCTGCTGCTGCCTCCGAGCCGAATCGGCAAGAAGCAGCAAACGAAAAGCAAGGGGATGGACAGCAAGATGCAGAAGAAGGTTCTACACCCTCCTCAAGTGCCGCTTCTGAAGAAGCGCCTCTCTCTGCGTCAGACAGAGATTGCCTCTCTGCAGCGGCATGCGCAGCAGCAGCAGCAGCAGCAGCAGCAGCAGCAGCAGCAGCATCTGAAGGTGTTTCCGATTCTGCATGGCCTACGTCGAGATGCGACAGCGCCTCTCAGCCTCTGCAACTTCAGCAGCGGCAGCCTCAACAAGGCGACGCTGCACTCCAGCGCTTCGCCAAGTCGCAATACCGTGTATCCTTTTTGAATTTCTACGCGGATCTGTTGCAGAGGGATGCTCAGCTCGTATGTAGTGTCGCTGCTGCTGCGGCTGCTGCTGCAGACGTGGCAATCGCTGCTGCTGGGACTGCTGTCTATGTGTCTATCTGTCTATCTGTCTCTCTGTCTATCTGTCTCTATCTTTCTCTGTCTCTTTCTCTCTCTCTGTCTCTCTCTGTCTCTTTCTCTCTGTCTCTCTCTCCCTCTATGTAGGTGCGTGTGTAGGACTATACGGCGAGCCTCTGCATAACGGGCAGTGCTTGCCGCTTCCTTCAATTTGCTGCAAATATGTTTCCTTTTCTCTGCTGCCACCAAGTTTCCTGCTGATCGCTGCAAAAAGGGCCCTCCCCCAGCTCAAAGCTCTTCCTCTCTCTCTGATCTTGCTGCAGCCTTTTGACTTTCATTGCGTTGCTGCTGCTGCCTCAGGGTGGACGTGCCCTTTCACAGCCTTGGCCGGCATTCGTCGCCTCGCTGTGCCTCGAGGAGCTGCGACGTCTGGTTTCCATTTTTCATGGAAAGACACCCAGAAATATTCATGGAATGCTGCTGCCGCTATCGTAACGCCAGCGAACTCCCTCCCATGTATCCGTGCATATGTACATGTGCGATCTTACCTGTACATATGTGTACATATACATATATAGACACATACATGCACATATTTATACATATGTATACATGTGCATATATATATGTATATACAGGCAAATACATTATAAATATATATGTATATGTATATATGTATATATATATATATATATGTATGCTGCCTGTTCATTTGTGCCTACAATACCGTTGCGGTCCTTACAGGGATTAGAAAAGATGTAGGTGCATGCATAGGACACAAAGGCCGTTCTATTATGCGGCATTTGCAGCGCCTTTATGTGCCTTTGTCAGTGGTTCTGCACATGTCTGCATGCACCGTGTGTCTGCCTGCATGTCTTTTCGCCTACCGCTTCTCTGCGTCTGCAAGCCAGCAGATAGTGCCCAGGCCTGCAGCTCCCCAGCCCTCCCAGATGCGCATGCGATTATTGGGGAGACACCCTCTTGACTTGCATCGCAGTTCGCGCTTTTTCCACGCAATTCGACTCGAGCTTCGAGGGTTAAGGCGTGTGAGATGGCTTGGGAGTGAGATAGCACTCCTGGCGCGGTTTGAGTTGCTCAGCTTTCGAAAGGAGGAGGCGCTATACATGCCCATCCCCGTAGAGGCGCATTCAAGTGGATTGTTGGCAGCATGTGTATATGTAGCTGTGTGTGTATGTGTGGTGTACGTGTGCGGGCTTGCGCGCGTGTTGCGTCTGCAAAAATCAAAGATTTTGGAATGGCGATTTCGTCAGAGCGTTGCTGCGAAACGGCCTGCTTGACACAGGCGGGGGGGAGGGGGGGGAAAGGGCAGGCGGGGAGACTCAAGCCAGCGGACTTGGATCGATTTCTGGCCGTAGCTCCCATCAGCTAGTCACGACTGCTCCTCCTGTCTTTTCGTTTGCTGTTGTTTCTGCCGCTGCTACGCACACACACACACCCTGCTGTCAATCTACAGCTAGGGGGACTAGGGGAGCCCTTGAAAGCTGTAGGTGCAAGGATCATGTGCAGAGACGAGACACCAACGGCACTTATGCACGAATACTTTGGCGGGGGGTGGGAGGCATGGGAGGCTAAGGGAAAGCCTCGAGTGCGTTTCTTCCTAAGAAGACCCTCTCAGCACCAATGAGCCAGTAGCCGAAGAAGTGGGGGATACATCTGGGAGGTGCCTCTCTCTGAAGGAATATTCTGCCGCTTCTTTCTTTCCACAGCCCCTAACAGGAGGACTCCCGCTTCGCGGAACAGAGAGCGAAAATAAGGATAGTTGGTTCCAGGCGGGCTGGCTGGCTGGGGGCTGGCGCGCATGCGCCTTGCTGCATGCCTTCGTGGCGTCTTGAAATCTGACTCTTTTGAGTTGAGCTTTGAAAACTCGAAGTGCACTCGAACACAGCGCGCGCGCTTGATGCATAAAAAACAATGTAGTTCCACGCGCTGCTACATGGGCCTCTGCGAAGGGGAAGAATCTCCGTGCCTTGCGTGCTTGGCTTTATTGTGTCAAGAAATGGATATGCATTTAGCGAGCAGTGGGGGATGCGCGCGAGGGAAGTCGCACCTTTTTGCCGAGCTCGAGTTATGAAAGGAAGGTGCAGGATGCATCGAAGGGAAACCCTTTTCGATCGGCTGCGGGAGCCTCAATTTGAGCAGGAGGCTTTGCAGGTTCAAAAAGAGGGGCGGGATGTGTAGTTCCTCGCGCGTAGCGTTTATGGGGGCTCAAGAGGTGGTGGCTGTCGCAGCCCATGGGAAGGTTCCACCCCATGCTGGTATTGTGTTCAGAAAGAAGGAGGCTTTCTTCCTTTCCCTTCGGCATAGCGCCTCCTATCGCGAAACGCAGCTTGTGGCGTATCTCTGTCACAGAAGGGCCTCTGCTACCTGAAGGCTGCAGAGATCCTGGGTTCTACGCACTGAGCAAAGAGCCTGCGAAGGGCAGCTAGATATGTACTGTGATATGTGTGTTTCTCCATGCAGATCTGTAGGTATATATGTGTGTTTCTACATGTGTGTGTGTATGTGTGATGCCTGCGTGCTGCGCAGGAAACTTCCTAATCCTGGATTGCGCGCAGGAGGGGCATTGGCCATTTTAATGGCGGTGAGAATGACCTTTTCCCACGCATCCTGCGAATTTTGGGATGGATCTCCAAAGTCTCGAATAAAATGGGGGGGTGGGGGGCCCCACCAGGGGCCCTCAGAACAACTTGGGGCCCCCCGGGTGCTGCGGGGGCCTCTCCCAGTGTCTGTGCCACCTCGGCCATGCTTGCACGATGACTCCTCCGCCCGCCTTCTTAATTCGTGTGACTTCTTTCGTTTTTGCATGCGAAGCTGAAATCCTGTAGGAGCCTGCGCTCGAGAAAGCCGCGACTGCGTCCTCCGCTTCCAGCTGTACAGACGCTGTGGCAGCGGCAGGATGTGCGCTCCTGCCTCTGCAACAGCACCAGATGCCGCGGAATCTCCCGTTTGTTTCCACTTTTGGCAACGAAATTCTCTATTTTGGAGGCTTTAGCGCGCCGCGGAGATCCGTATCTCACCAAAGGTAAGAAGACGAAAGTCGCGGTCCGTCCTGCGACAGCAGTGTACAGACAGCACCCATAACAAGCGGACAGGGCCCAGTTTCAGGCTTAGAGTGGTGGCACCGCCATGAACGCCGCACGGAGCGCTGCATGCATGCGCCACCCTTCCTGCTGCGCTTCCGACAGCAGCAGCAGCATTTACAGCAGCAGCAGCATTTACAGCAGCAGCGATCACATCCGCAGCAACGGCAGCAGCAGCTGTACTCTCGAATAACAGCGGCCGCAGCAGCAGCACCATTCTCTTTGTACGACTTCTCGCTCATTGCTCCTGCTTTTCCTCCTGTCTGCCTGTCTGCCTGTCTGCTGCTTAGCGCTCCTGTCGTGGCAGTGGACTAGGCAATGCGTCACTCCACACCCTCTGGAGGTAGGACGTCCCCCCCATCCCTTCCCAGAGGCTCCTTTTCGGGTGCTCACTTGCCCGCAGATGCCACCAGGAGGCCCTTCTTTAGGGGGCCCCCCCCTCAGACCCCCATCGGTGTGGGGCCCCCCCTCTCCCCCCTGCCTCCCCCTGGATTCGCATATGCCCCCCACACACCTCCCCCCCCCCTATACTCTCCAGTTGATTGGCGAGTATCTCCTCTTGACCTGAGGCGGCTGCAGCAGCAGAACCAGCAGCAGCAGCAGCAGCAGCCTTACCAGCAGCAGCAGCAGCTCCGACGTGTGCACCAGCAGAACCAGCAGCATCGGCAACAGCAACAACAGCAGCTGGCGCAAAACGCCGCTCTCCAGGAACCTCCACAAAGATGGGCATCCTCCCCACAACAGCATGCGTGGCAGCAGCCTTACCAGCCGCAGCAGATGCCACAGCAGCTCGTAGAGGGCCTTACATCACCTTGGTCGGAGATGCAACAACCCACGGAGACTCAACAACTGCCTCCCCAGCAACACTTAAGGGGGCTGAACTTCCTGCAAAAGAACCGCCCCCAGGCTTTTCCTAGTAAACGTCTGCAATCGCAGCAACAGCATCAGCAACAGCATCAGCAACAACTACTACACCCTAATCTGCAAGCACAGCAACAGCATCAGCAACAGCATCAACAGCAACAACTACTACACCCTAATCTGCGCTTACAGCAACAGCATCAGCAACAACTACTACACCCTAATCTGCGCTTACAGCAACAGCATCAGCAACAGCAGCAACAACAGCAACAACTACTACACCCTAATCTGCGCTTACAGCAACAGCAACAGCATCAGCAACAGCAACAGCAACAACAGCAACAACTACTACACCCTAATCTGCAATTACAACAACAACAGCAACAACAACATCCGCAGCTGGCGTGGCATGGGGTGTTACCATCTGCGCAGGAGGGCAGCCTTCACTGGCACGGCCGAGAACAACAGGCGCAGCGAAGGCGTAATGAGGAGTCGAATTTCTTTCAGTGGAAACCTCAGCGGCAGCAGTTACAGCAGCTAGAGCAGCAGCAGCAGTTGCAGCTAGAGCAGCAGCAGCTAGAGCAGCAGCAGCAGCAGCAGCTAGAGCAGCGGCCGCCTCTACGCAGTCGCGAAGGTTCTCCAGAAGCTGGTGAGATACCGTACTCGGAGTATGAAGAAAGCACAGGGGAGCAGCACACAGAGCAGCAGCGTGCAGCATTAGGCGTCGGAGCAGAAGCAGCAGCCGCAGTTTCGCTTCATGCAGCAGCAGAGAGAGGCGATGGAGAGTTCGTCGGGCCTAGTGGGGAGGAGCCGCATGTCTTAAGTCTTGCGGATTCCCTCTCCACCATCAGCAGCGATGAATTGACAGCAGTCGAGGAGGATTTAGAAGAGTTGGATGTGCATGCAGCAGGAGGGCAGGCTGGCTTTTCTGAGGCGAGCGTCGCAAGGGAAGGAGGCCAGGCTGTAGCGACAGAAGCATTTTTCGCAGCAGTTTCTGCTGGTGGGGGGGGGAGGGAAGCTCCCGCTGCGCCTGAGGCTGCTGTTTCTCCTGCTGCTCCTGCTGTTGCTCCTGTTGCTGCTGCTGCTGTTGCTCCTGCTCTTGTTGCCAATGAGAAGGATATGCAGCACCACCGTTTGCAGCAGCGGGAGCCGCTGCCACTGCTTGGGCGTTCTCCTGCTGCTGCTTCACAGTGCAAGCAGCAGCAGCAGCAGGTGCTAGAGCACCTGCAGACACACCAGAGGCTTCCAACGGAGGCATTTGCACGGACAGACACTATTCCTCAGGTTCCTGCTACAGACGCAGAGGCTGTCAATGCAGCAAAAGCAGAGCCTACAACTGCAGCCGAAGGAACTATCAAGCAGGAGGTGTCAAGGCATGCACTCAGAACGACTTGTGTAGCAGAAGAAAAAACAGCAGTAGAGCCAGCGCCAGCAGCAGTTGCAGTAGAATCAGCAGTAAAAACAGCAGCAGCAGCCGTAGCAGCATCATCACCAGTACAACCAGCAGCCGCAGAAACAGGAGCTGCGTCACGATCCGCAGCAGAATCACCCTCTGCAACTCTGTCAGCAGAATCACCCTCTGCAACTCTGTCAGCAGAATTGCCCTCTTCAACTCCATCAGCAGAATTACCCTCTTCAACTCTGTCAGCAGAATTACCCTCTGCAATTCCATCAGCAGAATTACCAGCAGCAGAGACAGCGCCCGCAACACGAGCAGCAGCAGCGGTAGCGATGGTTCTGTCGGGAGAGACTTCACAAGACGAAGCCTCGACAACAGCAGCCATTCCAGCAGATGAAGCAGCAGCAGCAGTGCATGCCTGCAATCCCCGCTTGTCTGTTGGGCGATCTTACTCCTTGCAGCAGCTTTGCAAGAAGCAACGACGAGACTTGCAAAATACGCGGGTGGCTATTATTGGTGCAGGCCTCTCGGGGATGAGGTATGTAGAATGAGAGGTAGAATGAGAGGTAGAATGAGAGGTAGAATGAGAGATAGAATCAGAGGTAGAATTAGGGGTGTTGGCTTGAAGAGGTGTAACAGTAGTTGCACTTGCAGAGAATATTTTTTTTGCAGCCACAGGTCTTCAAAACTCAGGCGTCGCGTGCTGGTTAGCCTCCGCTGGAGGGGATTTCCTAGGCAGAGCATTCACGTGTGTGCAGCAGGTTCACGATGCAGTGTCGATGCGACACGGAGGGAGGGGTGTTATGACTTGTGCAGCGCCGCACGGCTCTTGTCTTCCTTTGGAGTCCAAGTCGAAGTCTTTGAAGCTCGGGGAAGAATTGGTGGGCGCTGTTGCAGCGTGCAAGTTGGTGGCATCGACGGCATCGATCTTGTAAGGACCTAAGGCAAAGCGAAGGGAAGAAGGGCAGCTACTAGCCAGGGAAAAAACATTTCCGGGCAGACAGACGGTGGAACGATTTTAGCGTCTGGCTGCCTCCTTCGAGCCGCTGGTAGTCTTCAGTCGAACGGGGAAGGGAGGGAAAAAGAAAGCCCGTAGATCGCACGCGCAGCTGTAGCTGTAGCTGCAGCATGCGCTTCTCAGTAACTACTGCTTCGTTCTGTCAATGTGCTGTACTACATAAATATATATACATAAATTTATATCTACATCTATGTATATTTATATAAATATATTAACTTTTTTGCATCGCCGGCCGGTAGAGCATGCGTCCTGCGCATGCGCAGTATGTATGCACTGCAGGGAGCATCATGGATTCATGGCATTGAGGGCAATCCGCTATACCGAATTTGCAGGGATTACGGGCTGCTGGTTTACGGAGATGATGATCGCGATGTACGGCTGCCGAAAGCGCAGATGCAGCATTGCAAACAGGGGGGCAGAAATAACGCAGAGGGGGAAAAAGGGGGAAAGAAAGAGAAGGGAAGAAAAGAACCAGCTAGGCAGTTCTGTAGTGTTTTTTAAAAAAAAGCGCTTTTCTTCTTCTCCCTGGCATCCCTGCACGTGCTTTGTTTCGTTGTTGTAATCGTTGCTGCTGCAGATGGATATCCCTGTGCCGCTGTACAGCCTGGACGGTTCCTTAATGGACCCTGAACTTGACAGCTGGTGCGAAGCCACCCGAGCGCAGCAGCAACAGGATGTCGATGCCTTTCTTTGGGGGGCATGCAACAAACTGTGCGTTCATCTCAAGTGTGCAGAGATGTACAACAAACAGCAGCAGCGCGTGCTGCACCAGAACCGCGTGCTGCAGCGGCTGCAGCAGCAGCAGCGGCGGCTGCAGCAGCAGAGTGTTGCTCAGCGCAGGCAGGGAAGCGGGCTGACGCTCACGGGAAGGGCCACAAAGCGATCTATTCTTTCGACGTTGCCTCTTCAGAAGCAGCAAATATCACAGAAGCGCTTTCGCGCGGCTTCGAAGCAACAGCAGCAGCAGCAGCGACAGCAGCAGCCGCAGCAGCAGGTGTGTATGCATGCGTGCCGAGAGGCGCTCAAGGTGTCTATAGGCCAGTACCTCTCGGAGAAGAATGACATCGCTCTTAATCGAATGGAGGCGGAAGACAGGGGTCAGTCTGAGGAACAGCGCATTGTGGGCTTTGCTTCAAATTGCGGCTGCTGCTCCCTCTTTCCAGCGGCTGCCTGATTCGCTTGCTTGCTGCCGTCATGCTCACCAGCGTAGAGAGGGCTCAATCCCTAGAAAGCGAGAAGAGAAGAAGCGTAACGGGTGAGGCTGCTGCGATGCCGCTGCTGGTGCCTCTGCAGCGGCGGGGAGAGACTGGAAGGCCTTACGGGATGCTCGACGACGCTTGTTAGAATGGCATATTTCCAACACTGAATATTCCACAGGCGCGGACGCTCACGGCATCTGTCTTGCCACATGGGATCAGGTAGACCATCACATAGTTGCAGTTGCCTCTGCTTCTTGTACTGTCTCAGTGGAGGACGTAGCAGGGCGGGGTGTGTATGTGTGTATATCTGTATGTGTATTGTGTATCTGTATTTGTATTGTGTGTCTGTATCGTGTATCTGTACTTGTATTGTGTATCTCTATTGCGTATGTGTATCGTGTATTGTGCATATGTATTGTGTATGTGTATTTGTATTCTGTATGTGCATTGTGTATGTGTATTGTGTACCTGTATTTGCATTGTGTATCTGTATTGTGTATCTGTATTGTGTATCTGTATGTGACTCATGATGACGCTTTTTGGACTGTGGCCGAGTGGGTGTACAGACACCGTTTTTTGTGGGATCTTCATGTTTTTAGTCTTTATGCATAGCTTTTTGACGAAGGTGTTTTGTCTGATTCCGTGCTTTTGGCTTCCCCTCTGCGTGCAGGATGATGTGACGGGTTTATCCGGCCGTCATGTGATGATTTTTAGAGGATATAAGTCAATCGTTGAGTGTCTAGCTGCGCCACCCTCTGTTGTGGCGGCAGCAGGGGCAGCAGCGCCCCCTCCCCCCGGCCCTGCGGCAGCTGCAGCAGGAAGCGCAGCAGCGGCTGTGCGGCTGCTGCTCCGGCATCCAAAGATTCATTTGAATACGCCTGTTCGACGGGTAGCAGTGACAGAGGAAGGAGTTACTCTGCAGCTTTTGGCTGGGCAGGAAACTGCGCCGTTCGACTATTGTCTTATTACGCTGCCTCTAGGTCAGCTGGCTGTGATGGTCTTGTAGTAGTTTTTGGTGTTGGTGTTTTTGGTGTTGGTGGGGTTGTTGGTGTTTTTGGTGGGGTTGTTGGTGTTTTTGGTGTTGTTGGTGGTGTAGGTGGGGTTGGTGGTATTGTTGGGGTTGTCAGTGGGGTTGTTGTTGCAGGGTGTTGGTAACAACCGGTAGCGTTGTGTTTCCTGATCCGTGTTTGAGCGGGGTGGCGGGTTGCGCAGCAATGCGGAACTGAGGGGGAGGGAAGGGGAGGCGGATGGATGGAGGGAGAGAGAGAGGATGAAAAGGCTCGTGTCTGAAATTTGATGCATGACTAGAAGGCTTGTGCTCGGGGTGTTTTTTGGGGTGGGGGGCGGGGGGTGGGTGGGAAGAGGGAGTGGAGAGGTTTGGGCATAAGGGTTTGGTGCATGCCACTGCTGATATCGGAGCAGCTGGTTGGTTTGTTCGGCTTAGCGCGATTCAAAAGGTTTTTTTTGTGTTTAGGGGCGAGTAGCCTCTGACACCACATCAATGTTTTGCGCCCTCCTTCCTAGAGAAGTGGCTCTTTGTGCACTGTCTGGCTGTGTGCGGTGAGCTAGCTAGCTAGCTAGCGGCTTGCGTAGATGATGCAGGGGGGCTGTATAGCCTGGCTGCATGCATGTGTATGCGCTGTGCAGGTGTGCTGAAAGCGTCTCTCGACGCCTACAGCACCGACGGCAGCAACAGCTGCACTGAGACTGCAACAAGTGGGGAGGCATGCGGCGCAGTCTCGGTAGAAGGCAGCGGAGCAGCTGCTGATGGGCAGTGTCTCCCTGCTGCTGCTGCCGCTGCTGCAGCGACAACGGCTGCTGCCGCGCGCATGCTGGGTATGGCGGAGGCGACTATGCATCACGTGGCTGCATGCGGACTGGAAGCTGCCGCAGCGGAGGCTGCGGCAGCGGCTGCAGCGGGGAGTTGCAGCGGCAAAATGCTGATTCATGGCACAGGGCTAAATACGGCTGCTGCAGCAAGTGGCGCAGCAGTTGCAACAAATGCTGCAGCGGCTGCTATCGCGACAGTGCGTGCTGCGGAGTCGGGAGCGGCGTACTCCCCTGCAGCTGCTGCAGCTGCAGGGGAGTATTTGGGGTGTCTGGACAGCTTCCACGAGCTGCCTATCCCTTTGGCGCTTCCAGATCACATTTGCAATCTCATTTCCACAGGAGAGGCGTCGTCGAGTGTGGCGGGGCAGCAGCAGCAGCAAGCAGCCGCTGCTGCTGCAGCCGCTGCTGCCGCAGACAAGGCAGCAGCAGCAGCAGCAGCTGCGATGCAGGTGGGAGGATCGCAAGGACGCTTTTCCACGTGGGCTTTGCAGCACGCAGACTCGACAGCCGCTGCAGCAGCGGCTGCTGCAGTCGCAGCTCAAGGCGTCTCTCCAGCTGCAGCGGCAAGAGCATCTGCCGTGGCAGAAGCAGCCGCTGCTGCAGCTGCAGAGGCTGCCGTCGCAGCGGGAGAGTCGGATGCCATAGCTGCAGCTGCGGCGTCTATTGAGTCGCGAGCTGCTGCCCTCGCAGAAGCAGCAACAAGGCGCATGCAGCAGCTGTTAGATGTCACTCGTGCTGCAGCAGCAGGCAACCCCACAGAATATGCTGCTTTAAAGGTATCTCCGGGGGCGGCAGCGGCTGCAGCTTCCGCTGTAGATGCTGGCGTTCGTGCAGCAGTTGCTGCAGCATGCAGCACAGCGCATGCCGCGGTAGAGGGAGCAAAGGCGCGTGCGTGGCATTTGTCCTTTAGTAGGAATAACAGCAGCAGCAGCAACAACAGCAGCAGTACGATTGCAGGCAGCAACAGCAGCAGCAGCAACAGCAACAGTACGATTGCAGGCAGCAACAGCAACAGCAGCAACAGCACAATTGCGGGGAGCAACAGCAACAGCAGCAGCAGCAGCAGCAACAGCAACAGCAGCACGATTGCAGGCAGCATCAGCAGCAACAGTAACAGCAACAGTACGATTGCAGGCAACAACAGCAACAGCAACAGTACGATTGCAGGCAGCAACAGCAACAGCAACAGCAATACAATTGCGGGCATTAGCAGCAACAGCAGCAACAGCAGCAGCAATACGACTACTCCTACTACCCCCACCCCCACTACCAGCGGGGTGCTTGTAAGCGATTTGAGAGAAGCGAGGTTGCTACTATGCGCGTCTCAGGCTGTGGAAGCAGAAGGGGTAGAAACGGAAACAGCTGCAGCAGTAGCAGCAACAATGGATACAGCAGCACCATATGCAGCAGCAACAACAGATGCAGCAGTAGCAGCAGTAGCAACTACAGTAGACGCAGCAGTAGGAGCAGCAGAAACAACAACAGATGCAGCAGCAGCAGCAACAGATGCAGTAGTAGCAGCAACAACAACAGATGCAGCACCAGCAACAACAACAAGAGATGCAGCAGAAACAACAACAGATGCAGCAGAAACAACAACAGATGCAGCAGCAACAACAATAGATGCAGCAATAGATGCAGCAACAGCAACAATAGATGCAGCAGTAGGAGCAGCAGCAACAGCAACAATAGATGCAGCACTAGTAGCAGCAGAAACAACAATAGATGCAGCACTAGTAGCAGCAGAAACAACAATAGATGCAGCAGCAACAACAACAACAGATGCAGCAGCAGCAGCAGCAGCGGCTGGCAGTAAGGTCGGCTTGGTGGAGTTTGATCCCCCTTTGCCTGAATGGAAGCGACATGCAATCCGTGTTGTTGGTATGGGAGCCATCAACAAGCTGGTGATTGTGTTTGATCGCATCTTCTGGCAGACTGAGCAAGTGCTGCAGACGGCTGCTCCAGAGGAGGCTCCTGCGGCGAAAGCCTGGAGGCTGCAGCAGCAGCAGTCAGCAGCACCTGCAGGGTCTGATCAGACGCCCAATCTTCCCAACGCAGCATGCGCAGCAGATGCAGCAAATGCAGCAGATGCAGAGCAGCAGACGGCGGATGTTGCTGCCCAGGCAGCAGCAGCAGCAGCAGCAGCGGCAGCAGTCGCGGCTGGGGAGGTTGACTCTAAAGGTCGACCTTTGCGGATGGGGTGTAGGCAAAAGGGATGGGCGTCTGACGAGAAAGGCGCGCATGCGCAGATCGTATACCTTCATCCTAAGCCTGCCGTCCTTATACTTGTACGTCTGCTGAAGGAGTATGCAGAAAGAAGGCTGTCTTCTCTCTCCCCCTTCCCTCCATGCCAAGCGTGTGCAGACGTCTCTAAACATCTTGCTCTCTTGGGGAGTCTCGCTCATCATGAGGCTTGCCAGTGCTACTGCCCCAAGCATGAAAAGCGATTGCCTTCGCAGCTTTCCTAAGCTCCGCTGTGTGTCTCGCGACGCCTTCCTTCTGAAAATGCTCGAGGCAGCGCCTTCCATGAAATCCTCCTATCGCAAGCCTTCCTTCCCTTTCTCCTGACTTTGGCTTCTCCTGCGGCTTCCTTTATCCGCATTGCGCTGCTCTTCTGGAGCCTGTGCTCTAATATACATACATACTTGAGTGTCTATGTGTGTGTGTGTATGTATATATGTATCAGTGTATATGTGTGTATGTACGTATATTTGTATCTGTGTGTATGTATATATATGCGTATATGTATGCATGCATGTGCTGGTATGCATGCATGTGTGTACATTGAGATATATACATACATATATATATATATCCATGTGTTTGTATTAAATATGTACGAAACATTCATATATGTATGCATGTTTGCATGCGTATCGGTTTGTATTTGTTTGTGTGTGTTTGTCTGTTTGAAGCTATCAGGCCGGTTTGCCTTTGCTTCAGAATCGCGTCCGAAGGAGGCGCTGCTGGTAGAGGCACTTTCTGTGTTGGGGTTGCTGCACGGGCGATTGTCTTTACCTGTGGCAGCGTTTGTGTCTCGATGGTTGAAAGATCCATTCGCGAGGGGTAGCTACTCTTACCTTCCTCCGGGAGCTACGGGGAAAGACTTGGATCTCCTGGCTGCTCCCGTAAGAGGCAGACTTCTTTTTGCTGGCGAGCATACCATCAGGCCTTATCCGTCGACTGCGCATGGTCAGTTTTTCTTTATAGTCGGGGAAGAAGGGGGGAGGGGTTGAATTAGCTCCTGCTAGGCTTGGTTTCTGCGCAAAAAGGCAGTTGTGCTGCTGCAGCGTGTAAAAAGGGGCAGTTCACTGTATGTACATATATATATATACATATATATATATACGCGTGGCTACTTTGAGCTGAGAAACCGAAGCCTCCTTCTGTAGAGCAACTGCTGCATCGCAGTGTTGCTTCAGCAGCAGTCCTCGCAGCATGTGTTCACGGTGTTGGCTTGTGCTGGAATGCTGCTGCTGCTGCTGCTCTGAGTGATGGTATGCTGCTCTGAGTGATGGTGTGCTGCTCTGAGTGATGGTATGCTGCTCTGAGTGATGGTAGGCTGCTCTGAGTGATGGTAGGCTGCTCTGAGTGATGGTATGCTGCGCTGAATGCTGGTGTGCTGCTCTGAGTGATGGTATGCTGCTCTGAGTGCCGCTGCTTTGACTGCTGCTGCTCTCGCAGGTGCTTGCATCAGCGGCAGCAGAGAGGCGCAGCGTATCGTGGACTGGGTAGCGAAATGCATTCCCAAGAAGAAGCTACAGAAGGTAGAGAAAAAAGCCCCTCTAAAGCCTTCGAAGTGCTCCCTCACGCTGTCGCTTGTTGCTTGCTTCAAGGCTGCCTCTGTGCGGCTAAAGAGGAGGATGCCTGCGCCGCAGTGTAGCTACAGCTAAAGCGCTGATCCTCAGCATGCGCGCTGCTGCTGCTGCTGTTGCTCGGTTGCTGATTGTGTGCCTTAAACATACAGGGGCCAGTAGGATCTGTAGAGGGCATCCAAACTTTGGATATTGATGACGGAGTCGCTGGCTCGAAGGGGAGTCTATCTGCTGTGTCGGAAGATACTATCGAGGGGCCTAGGGAAGAGTGAGCTGCCTTCCCCTTCCTTATCTCCTCTACTCCATAGTCAACATCCGTGCAAAGCGAGAAAGAGAAAGCGACAGAGAAAGAGAGAGAAAAAGACAGAGACAGAGAGAGAGAGAGACGGCACCAGAGCTTCTGGTGCTCCCCGATTTCTCTCTCCTCTTCTATTTCTCTTTCTTTCTATTCTCTCTTCCTCTCTGTCCCTCTCTCTATCTCTCCCTGTCTCTTTCTCTCTGTCTCTCTCTCTCTTTCTCTCTCCCCCCCACTCTCTTTCTGTCTCTCTTTCTCTCTCTCTCTATCTCTTTCTCCTCTCTGTCTCTCTCTCTTTCTCTCTCCCCCCCACTCTCTCTCTGTCTCTCTTTCTCCTCTCTGTCTCTCTCTACCCACCGATTGCTGCGCTGCCCCCGAGTTGAGAGCGGTCTGACGACGTACGAAGAAAGAAAGCGCCTACAGTGGCGGCTCGTTCGCAGCTGCGCTGTTTTTGCAGCAGCAACTGCGGCTGCAGCCCACCTGCTATTGCTGCTGTCGCCTGAGGTGTCGCTTGCGATTTTTTTGTGTGGCAGGGAGCGTTGTGAGTGGTTCGGCGCGGTGCGTTGTGCCTTTTGTGGGGAGGCGCAAACGCTGGATCGGCTTTTTGTGGGGTGTCTCTCGATCCCCCTGCCGAAGGGCAGCGGCAGCAGCAGCGGCAGTGACGGTGTGCTGCGTGTGGCTGCGCACGAAGACTGCAGCTACCACTGTCAGGAAGTTCTAAGCAGCGCTGAGGGGAGTCAGTGGTATAATTTACGGCGGGGTGTCTTGCGGGCTGCATGCACGCGCTGCTGCTGGTGTGGAGCACTTGGTGCAGGGAGATTGTGTAGCAGCAGCAAATGCGAGGCTGCAGCACACCTTCCATGCTTCCTCAGAGTGACACAGCAGCGGCACGACCTGTGAGCATCGACAAACCCCCTCTTAGCCGCCGTCTTTGCTGCTGAAAGCCTGTTTGTTTCTCTCTCTATCTCTCTTTCTATCTCTTTTTTTCTCTCTCTTGAGGCCAGTCGGTTGCCTCTTCGGGGTGCTCCTTTTTGCGGCTGCAGATGAGGGGATGGGTAGTGGGGGCACTTCTTTTTCTTCGCAGTTGCGAGGTACTTGTTCGCCGCTCGCGAGTCTGTCTGCTGCGAGTGCTCCTGATTTGCTGTTGGTGCTGCAGACCCTTCTTGTGCCCAGATCACTTGCTGGAAAAGAGCCGTGGCTTTGCGGTGAGCAACGGGCTCACTCCAGGAGCCGCTGCTGCTGCTGCAGCCGAAGAAGAATCTCGTCGAGAAGTTCGACAAACAGTGCTACTCCAGCAACAACGCCGTCTTCGAGAACGGCAGCAGCAGGAGCAGGAGGAGGCGGCTTGCTGCTTGTGCTCCGCTGTACGTACCGGCGCCGCGCTGGCTAGCGCCATGCAGCACACAAGCGACGCTGCAGCAGCAGCAGCCACGAGCAGTGGTCATGAACTTGCTGCTCTTGCTGCTGGAATCGCTGCTGCTGCAGACTCAGTCACAGCAATGCTGCGGCCTGAGGAGCGCGACTTTGCTGCTGCTGCTGCAGTGGTGCATGCTGCGGCAGCCGCCTCGCCCCCCGCGGAGAGCAGCCGCAAGAGCTCCACATACAGTGGGCAGGAAGGGGGCCCCTTGCAGCAAGAAGTTCTAGCTGTACGGCCCCTTCCCCACGCGTTCCAAGTGAAACAGCAGCAGCAGCGACACCAACTGCAGCAGCAGCAGCGGGATACTTTCTGCTCGCAGCTCACTGCCTTTTTGCAAGCCGTTCGGCAGCAGCAGCAGCAGCAGCTGCAGCAGCAGCAGCAGGGGGAGGACGATCCACTGAAGCCGTAGGCGTAACAGAAACAGCGATCGGTTTACCCTAGTGATCTCGAATTCCAGTCAGGGGATTTATATGTAATTCGTGAGGGGTTGGGGTAGGGGGCAGGTCGCTTATGACCTCAGTACCTTTCTGAAATGCTCGTTTTTTTCGCATGCAAACAAAAAATAATAGCATTCATAAGGATTCCAGCCAGGCAGTGCTAGTGGGCTCTAGATTTAATCCTACACCACGAGCGGCCTTCACGCACCGCAGCACAGCTGCGCGCGCTCAAGAACACAGGCTCACAGGCATTGAATACAGTCACTTGATGGATCTCCCACTCCCGCATGCACACTCCTAAGACAACTTTTTTTCTCTCTGGTGCCCCTCTGCCGGCTCTTCTCTCCCTCTCTCTCTTGCATGGAATCTAAATTCCACTCCTCCCTGTTTCTTCTCATACTGCTGCTCTTTCTGTTCCTCCACGACACAGACAGCGCGCCGTTTCGCCAACACCGCTCGGCTCCTCTGTGTTTGCCATCTTGCTGGCTTGGTCAGCCTTTTCCTGCCGTGCTCCTCCTTTGCGCTCACCCCTCCAAATCCCCCTGCATCGGCCCCCCTTTACTTTCATCGCAGACTACGGAGGGCACCGAGATGATGCCTGGCGATACAGAGAGGGGCAGAATACTGGGGACGGCAGACACCAGGCTTTTGATCAGCAGCAAAAAACTCTTTTGCAGGCAACACCAATCACTTTTTTGGAAGGCCTCTTAAGGCATCGGCCTACGAGCGAGCCACTTGGGGCTTACCCCTCCAAAAGCCCATTAAACGACGGAAGCCAAGACTTTTCAAGGCTCCGATTTTGTGATTAAACTTTGAATCCGAGGCCTATACTTTTGACCGAGCGTTTCAGGCTAAAGTTGCAGGTTTCGGTGTGCCGACACTGCAAGTCCGCCGCCGACTGCCAGAATAACATTGAAGGCTCCACCCAGTTTTGAGATCTGCAGCAGTCTGCAAGCACAAATAATATTCTGTCTAATACAATTCTTTCTCTTAGTTCAAGGCTCCTTCCCTGAACTCCCGGTTGGGATACATATGCTCTCCATAGTTTGCACTCATGGCATCCGCAGAGCTGCCGTTGTAGCAGCAGAGCGCCAACAGTTTTTCTGGGAGTCAATTGCTAGTCTTGTTCCATAGTCAGCTCACACCCCATTCTGCGTCTCTTTCAGCGGTTCCTTCTCTCTCCGTCCTCCCATCTTCCCTATTCATGTTTCACCCGGTGCTGCATCCCCTGCACGTACACCTGCAAAGATGTTGTCTGTCATGAAGAACGCCCTAGTTACGGGGGCAAGTAAGGAGGACGTGAGTATACGCAAAAGAGAACTCGATTGGTTCTCGCGAAACTGCTGGATCATTGCTTCCCAAGCGACCGTCATTGCCGGCTTCGCCTTTTCCCAGCTCTCCAGGCCTGGTAATCCAGAAGGCGCAGGGTGGTCATATCTTCTCCAGGTGACGCTCACGGGGATTGCATTCGTGTGCGCACTCAATGTACTCGTCAGAGCAACGCTATCTGGCATCTACGCGCAAGGCAAGTTGGGGAGTCGTGGAACTCATTGTGCACTTTTCACATTTCACCCTTGATGCTCTGTCTCAGGCGGTGCCCCTCTTTGTTTACTTTTCTTTTTGTATTTTTATCCATGCCCCCACCACCTTTATGTAGCCGTTTCTCACATTCATTTCCTGCTGCTTCCTTGATGCTTCTTGAGCGTCGTCGGGGCGCGTATTGGCAGAAGCCCGTAGGCAGCTGCCTTTGCTCCTGCTATCCCCCCTCATGACCATGACGCGTTTAAAAGCTAGGATCGGCTGCTGATTTCTCGCCTTTCCCTGCTAGACTTTAGGGGTCTCCTGCATCCCTGCATAGTGCCTTTTATTCTCTCTCTCTCTCTAGCAAGCAAGCAAGCTCTGCTACGCTCCGGTTCTTCTGATTCAGGTCTAGCCTTAAGAGGCCACGAAGGTTTCAGCGACTTGGCAGTGGCCATCCGTCGACTGAGAAACGACCAGGACCGCATCCTGCGACAGTTTATAACTTGTTTGGTGTGCTTCGTTCTCTCCAGCTTTGCTGCTGTTTGTGAGACTGGAAGACAGGGAAGGGCCTCTGTCAAAGTAGAGGCTGCATTGCTCTTCGTCTCGCTTGCCCTCGCCGCTGTCGCGTGGAGATCCATCAGCCTTTTCTACCATGCAGCGTACGGATGAACTAGGCTTTAGGGTTTGCAGCAGCAGGGTTCGTAGAAGAAAAAGTGCCCGCATAGGGAGAGTGCGCAGGGTTCGAAGGTTTAATGGGTAAGCAGGCAGTCTATGCGAAAGACTACCGAGTTGAGGCTCTCCCCTGCTGTCTTCGCCCGTGCGTTTCCCTTTTTTGCTGCAGCGCTGCGGGAGGAGGTGTTACCGGCATAGAGGGCGTCTACTCCCGCGTGGGTGACTTGGACGCTATTGTTGCGGAAGACTGAGGTCGCAAACAGAAAGAGAAGGGCTTAAACAGGGCGGTAGAAGGAAACAAAGAGGCGAGAAACCAACACCAGAGGCAAGTGGCTTCTCCGCTCTGCTGTATCTCCATCGTTTTGTCTGTCCTCCGCGTTCCTAGCTACACCACCTCTCTGCCTTTTTATGACTCACCCCGGGAGTGATCACAATCCGCAATCTAGAGAGCATATTCTGTATGTATGTGTTTTGGGAATTTGCATGGCGAAGGCCTCTGCTGAACGGACGGCGGCTGTCGGCTGCTTAGTCTAGTGGTATGATTCTCGCTTAGGGTGCGAGAGGTCCCGGGTTCAATTCCCGGAGCAGCCCGTTTTTCCATTTGATTTATGGACCCTTGTTACTCTCGAGTTTCTAATCAAGTTTAACTTCAGAGTGATAGAGAGAAAAACCAAATGTATCATTGTAACGGGTCCTTTTGCCGCTGACACCGAGAAGTGGCATCCTGTGTGCGCTGGTGGACGAAGCCGAGCGCAAGCCCGAGAGCGTTTGATGGACGCATCACTCTATGGTGCAGGAAAGATGGTGATAAACATGCACACATCAGCACACACGCACAGACATACGCTGAAGAAGCACGAAATACGAAGTCTCATTCATGAGTTTTTGATATTTAGGAATTTTCGGAGAGAATATTACAAGGAGGCTACCGCTGCCTGCCTTCCACCGAGAGCCCCTCCGGGAGTGGAGAACAATGAAGGGGCCGCAGCGGTGTCGAGGCAAGAGCCACGTACCCTCGAAAAGCTGTCCGCCTGCCTTCCTGTAGCCATGTTTTCACATCTCCATATCGAACTAAATTGTACATTAACTCACTCTTGCGCTTCTTCCTATCGAACCACATCACGTGCCTCTAGAACAGCCTTTTAGCAGACGCACCACGCTTCCTCCGAGAGTTAAAATGGCAGCAAGCGTGCGCTGTCTAGCCGCCTTCTCCTCCCGGCGCTTTATGGGATTTCTGAGCCGTCCGCTCCTTTCAAGGCTACCTTCTCAACCACTGGGAGTTCCCCGACATTTCCCCCCCTTCGTCCCTGTGGCAGGTACACAAGCAACTGCATCGAGAGAATTCGCGACGGCATTCAACTTGGAGCCCCTCGTGGGTGGCTCAGCACCCGACTTTGAGGCCGACGCCTACATGCCATCAGGTCGGCAAACGGATCTCCAACAACGCTGGAGCAGCCCTCTAATTTAGAACACTTAAGCGATACACATCCAGCATGTACTGGGTAGATATTAGCTCTATATGGATGTTCGCCCTGCTACAATGAGACTCTTCCCTCAGCCTGCCCGTTCCTATGCTGCCAAACCCTTCTTTTCCCTGCTGTGCTTCGCAAATACATGTACATCCTGCCCTGTAAGTGATATGTACGTATACATGGGTAGAGTGCATGTTGCGACTAGGCGCTTTGCTTGCATTTGAGTCTTACATTCAATAGGTGTAGCGTTCGTCAATGCGCGCAACCATGCCTGCCTAGCCGGTTCTCCATACTGTACGCGGTTCTGCTTGTGTGTGTTGTGTCAGGAAAAATTGAAAAGCTGTCTCTCCAGGCATTGCTACAGGCTCACGATGGTGTTTGCCTCCTCTTTTATCCTCTCGACTTCACCTTCGTGTGCCCTACAGAGCTCGTCGCCTACAATAAAGAGGCAGCCTCATTCAAGGAGAAGAACTGGGCGGTAAGGGGCCGAAAACGCTGCCACACATAAACACACGTACAAACACATGTACATGCAAATACGCACACGTTCAAACAAGCACACACATGCACACACACACACATGCATACGCATATACATGCATGCATACATATATACATGCACATACCGATATATAGCCGTATCCAATCCGAGAGAGTTGTGGGGGTATCTGGTGAATGGCGAGCCAACGGAGGACTATTATGCCTCGCCGTTCCTTCTAAATCATAGTTTGACAGCAGAACCTCGACGCGTTACACACCTAGCTGATAGAGAGAGTAACTCACGTCGTAGCCCATGTGTGTATGGATATATATATATGTATGAATATAAATATGCATATTTTTACATAAGTGTGTGTGTGTATGCGCGCTGGATCATGTAAAATTCATGGTTCCTGTTACTGTAGCCCGTCTCTGGCCCTCATGCTCTTCAGGAGCAGTGAGACAAGCCATTGTTTAATGACCTGCGCCTCTTTCCACGTGTTGTCGTGTTTCGGCCGCATCGTGAAGGGGCTTTGGGAATTTGTGTGTGTGAATGTGTACGTGTATATGTATATGAATATGTCTGTGTATATGTATATGAATATGTATGTGAATATGAATATGTATATAAATATGAATACATGTATATGAATATGAATATATGTATATGAATATGTATATCAATATGTATATAAATATGTATATATATGTATGTAACTATGAATATATGTATATGTATATGAATATGTCTGTGTATATGTATATGAATGTGTATGTGAATATGAATATGTATACAAGTATGAATATATGTATATGAATATGAATATATGTATATGAATATGTATATGAATATGTATACAAGTATGAATATATGTATATGAATATGAATATATGTATGTGTATGTGAATATGTATGTGTACATGTATAGCTTCATCAGCACCCATTATGACGGGTATGTAGGGGGGGCGTGTTGGCACGAGCCTCTGTTCGATATTTGGCGGCGATGTGTGCGCGTGTACCCTCCCGCTGACCCCCGAATACTTTGTGTTTGCCTGCATCCTGGCTGCTGTGTATTTCTGTGCGTGAACTTTTGTTGTGTTTGCGTGCCAGTTGGTCGGGATTTCTGTTGACAGCGCTCACGCGCATGCCGCATGGAGTCGCATGCCTCCGTCCGAAGGCGGTGTTGGCGCGTTGTCCTTTCCGCTAGTCTCTGATCTGACGAAAGAAATCTCCCGCAGTTTCAGACTGCTGAGTCGCGGGGCGTACAGCCTGCGGGGGTGTGTGCTGATCGACAAGCTGGGCACGGTAAGGCACATGACGGTGAATGACGCGTCCATGGGTAGGAACGTGGAGGAAACCTTGAGAGTCATCGACATGATTTCCCACTTGAGCGTCAACAAGACGCGCGTCTGCCCTGCCTGCTGGGTGAAGGGATCTCAAGACATGGCCCCCTCCGTCCAGGGTGTGCAGGATTACGTGGCAGGCTTGAAGAAGTGAGGGCTGCTATAAGCAGACACAGGATATGGCAAACTCAGAATCGCCAGAGCAGCTGCTTTTGGTCCCATCTTTGCGACATGCGCCTCTCTGTGCAATCCTTGCTCTCTTGCGGCTCCTTCTTCTACCCGTGTGAGCGGTTCAATCTCCGAGTTTCCTGCGTGACTAACGACGTACCTGATGCCGGCAGGCAGAGCGAGACGTGCGCGCAGGCATGCGTGCATGGGCAAAAGGGGTGGGTAGGCGGGGCGGTGTAGTGTGGAGGGCGCAACGGAGCTTTATCGTGCGCAAGGTTGGGAGGAAGAGGGGTACAGACACCTCGAAGTACGCTGGACGGCTGCCTCTTCTAGCGTGTGATGGGCTGCAAGCGTGCTCTCCCGCGTTTCGCAGCCAGCCACATTCGGGGGGGCTCAATAAGGCCCCCCCGAATGACACTTGCTGCGGCTGGCCAAGTGTGTAGATACACTTAGGCACTGTCTCGAGTACACCCGTTACGTTTTTAGAGTTGGTAAACACCTGATTCCTTGGTGTTTGCCCGTCCGCATGTCGAATGTGTCGCTGTACACCAGCGCGGCGCGATACAATAAACCTCCATGCAGTGCACCTCTGCGCATCTAAGACGCTATGTACATGCGCCCTTGAATGTTCGGCGTGCCTGGTCGACGCACATGAGCGCTCTGTTTTAGCCTCTTCTCTCCCCTCCTTTCGAAGCCTGGAGGGGCGCAGGCAGGGGGGAAACACACGGGATCCTTCTGCAAGAGCACTATGAATTAGCTCTCTTCTCTCGTCGTTATGAATTAGTTCTCTTATTTCGTCGACGGTATTGCGCGTCTGAACTAACACGTCTCCCTGCAGGGATTTCGGTAAACAGCCAGCCGCGTCTGCAGTGGCTCCCGTCAACAGGCTATACACTGCAAACGCGCTGCCGCGAGACCTTCTCTAGCAGTTCGAGGCTCGTTGCGCTCTAGGGTGTCTCTCGCTTCCTGTGGTGCCCTTCTTTTTTTCCTGGCTCGACAAAACTCCCAATTCTTCTATTTTGCTTTGCATGCCCGTCTTTCCAATGCTTCTGGGAGTGCGGCCCAGGCCGTTAGACTCCCTTGAAAGGTTCCCGTTCCCAGTGACAGCGTCACCTCCCTGTACACCGACTAACCCACCCCTCCTGCCTGCCGCCTTCCGCCTATCCATCACGCCACTGCCCCTCAGGTAACACTGTTTATTAGCAGCCACGCAGACGAATCTCTCCTTTAACCAATTCCGCTTTGTGCTACCGCAAGGAAGTAACACACTGCTGCAACCGGGACTGAGTGTCGCGACAACACCGGAGCGCACTCAAGGCAGCTTTGCACGTCAGCAGCAGCAATCCGTTCCTGCTGCTGACACTGAGGAGCCCTTGTTGCTGCTCTCCTTCGTGCAGCATGAGGAGGAGGGCCAGCACACAGCTGCAGCTTTGGAAGAAGATACTGACGCCTCCAACAACAACTCCCCCCCTTTCCCAAGCCCGTGTGCACAGCTTACGGAAGGAGAAGCACCACCTCTGGCAAAAAAGTACTCCGCTGCTGTCGGATGTGCTTGGAGCAGCGCTACTGCCGCCAGGGAGTACATACATGCAGAGAGGGCTCTGCAGCACGGACTGCAGCATTCGATCTCGCATTAAATACCCCGCTGCCAAACACCAGCTGCCTCAACGCCTGCTGCTTTCACGGTTGCAGCAGCTAAACGCATTGCAGAAAAAGAGTCTGCATGCACCTATCACGCACCGGGTCCCACAAGAATGTTGTTGATGGGAATAAAGACGAGCTTCACGAAGTAGCCGATAAATCCCATCAGCAGAAAGCCGACTGCGCAGGCCCATGCGATTTTCTTGAATTCCTTGGCATCCGGCTTTGTGCATCTGCACGGCGCATAGCAGGCAATCACCACGAAAAAAGCACTGCCGAGCATCATCATTAGTCTACACACAGCATGCGAAAAAGCCTCCATGTTGAAACGAGCGCACAGAGCTGTACATACACCCCATCATGGGACCGCTCGAGGGAATACGCGTTCAAAAAGTCCTTAATGAATGCAAGGCACACCACCACAAACTCTCGATCCGCCTCCTTCCCTTTCCTACTCGCGGTTTCCACGAAACTGTCTAGATGCTTTTTGCCGTGCCAAGACAGCGTGCAGTGCTCACCTGCGCACGAGCCTTACAGAATCCGAGATAAAATCTCGAAGCTCACATATCCAATACCCAATGGGGTGCGACGAATCTGTTGCAAACGCGGGCAGCTTGTTGAGCTGCACCATTGTCGGTCTGCGTGGATGGAAGGCCGAGAAGGAGGAAAGCTCTGCGAATGCATGCACAGGATGCGCATACATACATATATACATACACATATATATACATATATACGTACATACACATGCATAACACGCACTCTTGCACATGAACAACGGTGTCGCTGTTGCCACCCACTGCCCTGCAGGCCTGTGGAAGTCGTTTCCCGCCGAGGAGCTGCAAGGAGCCAGTGAGGCAGAGAGTCACAGCTCATGCATGGATGCATGAGCTGTGACTCTCTGGCGCAACGGCGGCGAGATAGGCGCAAAGGCAGCCAACCACTCAAGCCGTGAAGGCTCCTAAGAGCAAGTAAGGGGGCGGAGGCAACAAGAAGGGCGAAGAGAAGCCATGGTAGAAGGACCACAAGCATCATTCTACGACCCCCTCATGAGCAGTCGCAGGAGCAACTGCGCCGTCGGGAGCGACTGAGGGAGCCTCCATTTTTGTGGCACTAGCGATCTCCCGCCGCGCTGAACTCCAAGCCATCGGCTCATGAGACAGTAAGAGCTGCCATGTTAGAGGGTTCTAATAGGCTGTGTCAAAGAAACTGGGCTGCGCGCCTCTCTCCCTGCACGCTGTTGGTGTTGCCGCTGCTGCTGCTGCTAGACAAGAAACGCGACATGTCAATTTGTATCGCAAACTTGGAGAATCGGCAATCAGCTCTGCTGCAGAGTACCTCAGCATGCAAACCAGCCACTCCCGTTGGGAAGTGCTGCTGCGTCTGGACTCTAGAGGAGTGTCAACCGCGCGAGAAAGGGCGACACAGAGAGAAGGGAGAAAGCGGATCGCGAGCAGCAAGAGGACAAGGTCTTGTTACAGCGAGAGACGGCAGCAGCATGCAGTTCGTTCGCGTTTCTTCAGCTGCTGAGAGAGAGGAAAGCAGAGAAAAGGAGAGTTATGTCACCGCCTACCTACCTGAAACGCGCCGGTGCTCTGCAGCAGCAACGGCTGGAAGTGGGCCGTCTCTTTGGGAGTGTTCTCGTGTCTTGGACCGGCAACAGGATTGGCGAATACTAACAAGCCAGGAAAAGCTGGTATCGCATTCCCCAAAAATATATCTTCCCCCTTTTCACATCCGTGGCGGCAGCATCGCAGCAGCAGCATCGCAGCAAAGACGAGAAGAGCACAGCAGCCGGCACCAGGAGGGGGCTGCGCAGCAGCAGCTGCACAACAGGCTGTGTTTGTATGGGAGTGTGTGTGTCTGTGTGCTGGTCTTGAGATGAGGATTCCAGCGCTTTCCTTAGCGCAAGAAGATGAAGAATCATAGAAATGCTCGCAATTCAAGAAGGAAGAAGGAGGTATATAGGGGCGACGGTAAGCAGCTGCTGCTCCCTGGCAAACACCCGTGTCACCTGCCACCAGCTGTAGGAGCAGCAGCAGCTCCTGTGAGAGAACTGAAGGCGCCGTACCGCCTCGTGGCGGAGTGATCCAAAATGTGAATTCAGAAAACTTAGTGACTTCGACCGTCGCCTCCCCGTCCGCAAATTTGCCGCTTTTATGACTAAACAAACGGTTTTTCTTCGGCGCGTCTCTCTCATTGCCTTAAAATTTCTTTCCTGCGCTTTCTACGCCTGTAGCTGCCGCGGCGATCCAGTGGCGATACAGCTGGAAGCCGTTCGTCCCTTTGACAGCAGCGGCTGGAAGGAGGCAGACGCGGACGGGGGACCATTGCGATTCTCGCTTTCTCGAATGTCTCGAGCACTCAGCACTTCCGACTCGCCACACACAACACCACCCTTGGAGGATCACCCGATTGCTTGCACCGGTGTATTCACTTACCAGCATGCCTAGAAGCGGGCTGCACACTACACACCGGGAAGGCTCATCGTGCAGCTTCGCGCAGCAGCACTGGCGATATCTCAGTGAGACTTGCTCACTCCTCCAGAGGCAGCCGCAACAACAGCAGCATCATGGCGAATGTGACTGCTCTCCCTCGGCAGGAAGAGGGGCTCTCCGGGGAGTCTGAAGGGGCACCTGCTGCTGTAGCGACAGCTGGAACCAGCGTCCTCTCCAACACCTCCTACGCTAACAGCAGCAACAGGAAACGCTTCGCATACAGCCGAAAGGAGCTGATGCAAGGAGTCGGAGAGGCCTTTCTCACCGGAGCTGTACCTGACGAACTCTTCGTAAGGCTTCTACTAGGGTTGTCAACTGATGACGAGACAGCATCTAGTAAGAATAAAACACAATCTTGCAGCTGCTCTGCCTTGGAAACGCTTTCTCTCCCCTCCCTGTCTTCTTCTTCTTTCGCTGCCTCCGCATACTCTGCGATTTGAATATATATATATCTATGTATATATTCTCGTATCTATATGTGTATGTACACATGTGTATAACTCTCTCCGTCTCACCGCCTTGTTGCTGTCTTCAATGACCACTCTCTTTTTTGAGGCCTTTCGCAGCCTCCTTCTCCCTCTGTCTTCGTCTGCTGCTTCGACTCTTCGACGCACCGCGACGCCGCTGATGCAGCCTTCCTGCATCTGAGCTTTTCGCTGTCTTCAGCCTTGCCCGTTTTGTCTCTTGCCCCAGTCTTCTCCCTACCCGAAAGTGCTTGCTGCTGCGTTCGCAGCTGTTGCCTTATCGCGCCTCTGCATCAAGGCCGTGTGCTGCTTGTCTTGTTTTTTTTCAGACGATCCAGAGTATGCAGTGTCGCTGGGGCTGCATGCGTTTAGTCCAGACGAAGCAGCACTGCTGCAGCACGACTTGAACATCCTTTCGGCATCCCTGCAGCACAACAAGGACCAACAGCAGCATCAAGCCAGAGGCGGCGCAGCGTCTACTGCAGCAGCAACAGCAGAGTTCGAAGAGCTTTCCGATCTTGCCCACGTGCAGCAACTTGTCGCAGAGTACTGCATGCAGTACAGCGCTCTATACTCGCCAGGTGGGTGCAACGAAGTGTCTGCGAGAACTCACGCGGGAGTGATGAAATGTTTCTCGAGGAAGGGAAGGTTGGATGTGCAAACTTTCCTCCCCACCCGCTTCGCCCTCCCCCTCTCCTCTCTCTCAGACTCCATGTATGGTGGCTCTGCATTGCAGCAAAAGAGTAAAGCGCGAATGGAAAAGCCGTGTGCTGCTTTACCCCATAGGTCTCGCCTTAATGGCCGCTGTCGTCTGTCGCCTTCCTGTGGCAGGGGGAGGCTTCGCCACTCAGCGCCGCTGTGCAGTGCTGCACGCGGTGTCTGTACACCTGGCGTCCCCTGCTCTGGTGCTGCTGCTTAGCGTCAAGGAGGATGTCGCCAGTTCTAGAAACGGCGTAAATGTGCCTGCTGCGTCCAGCGCCATCATTCCCAAGCAGCAAGACGCAGGCGAATATCCCCCCGTTTCGAGAGCCTTCGCCGCTGCGCTGTACAGACAGTGGCAGAGGCACCAGGAGCAGCCAGAGCAGCGGCAGAATGCGAGAACGCCGACAGAACCCAAGCAACCTCCTACATTCACGCCATCTGAAACATCCTGGCCGCATGCACCGACGCCACATGCAGCCGTGGGGGCGGCTTCGCGACGTTCTTCCTGCAGCAGCAGAAGTGATGAGTTGGAGGAAGTGCAGCTAGACGATGTTGTGCCGTCACCAGCGGCAGCCATGCCTTCTGGAGCCTTTGTGCAATCCGGCGGAGCTGGAGCAACAGCAGCAACAGCAGCAGCCTCCCAGCGGGGCAGTGCTGCATTTTCTTCCGTCTCAGTGGTTGCAGCGCTGCAGATCGATGAGGAGCAGGTGCAGCAGCTCGAGCTGCAGCGGCTGCAACACAGGGAGGAAGCAGACAGCGCCTTGACTGCCGTTTTGTCTTACCACCTTCCTGCTGTCGCGCAGCAGCTGCAGCGGCTAAAAGTCGCTCTCCTCCCCCTTATAGGCCCCTGGCTTGGAACGGCCTTTGCAGCTCGCGCATTCTCGCTGCCTCAGGAGGAGGTGCCCACTCCCGCTGCTGCTGCTGTTGCTGCTGCTGCTGTTGCTGCTGCTGCTCCTCAAGGTGTCGCGGAGAAGCTGGAGACAAGGCTGCAGTGTCTCGATACACTCTGGCGCTTCCTTGCTCTCACGAAGGAACCACATGCGTAATTACTTTATTCAGGCACTTCCCTCCCCCCCGCTTAATCCTTCGAGGCTGCACCTTCGCACGCTGCTCTCTAAGATACTCTTTAGGGGTGTTTAGGGGAGACAGGAAGAGCCTTGGATCGATCAGAAAAAAAAGAGGCTACAGCAAAGCGCGTGGTGCTTGTGGAACGTGCGCGCAATGCGGGGATATGCTGTAGTGTGTATGTGTATGTGTGTATGTGCATGTATATATTTATGTGTAGGTATATATATGTATGTATATGTGTGTATGTGTGTATGTATGTGTGTATGTATGTATATATGTACATGTATGTATATGTATGTATATATGTATGTATATATGTATGTATATATGTGTATGTATGTATGTGTATGTGTGTGTTTGTGTATGTATGTATATATGTGTCTGTATATATGTGTATGTATATATGTATATGTATGTATGTATATATGTGTATGTGTATATATGTGTATATATATGTATGTATGTATACATGTGTATGTGTATGTATGTGTATGTATACATGTATGTGTATGTATGTACGTGTATGTATATATGTATATATGTATGTATGTATATATATGTATGTATGTATGTATGTGTATGTATACATGTGTATGTATGTATGTGTATGTATATATGTGTATGTATATATGTGTATATATGTGTATGCATGTGTATATATGTATGTGTATATGTATGTGTGTGTTTGTGTATGTATGTTGCATTGTCGCAGAATGCTGATGTTGGGGACTGCTGTGCTCGTAGCGAGTGGACGAGCCTTGCGCTGCTGTGCTGCTGCCGCTGAAGTCTCGGCAGTTCTGCAGCTTGCGCCTCTGCATCTGCCTGCTGCAGCGACGGCAGACTCCGCAGTACAGCGCACAATGGTGTTTGCTGGTAGCCGCTTAGCTGCGCATGAGTCGGCACGAACGGGGGGGGGGCAGGGGAGTCACTCTGTGGTAGTCGAGTTGCATCGCGCATCGGGAGAAGGCGATGCAGCGGCGCGTGCGTGGTGGCTGCAAGCTTCGTTGCTTGGTCTTAGAACACCTCGCTGCCTTCTCACTCATGCGCTGCAATCCTCGAGAGACTCCCGAGACGGTGAGTATACGCCTTGCTGCTGCTAGTGGGAGTGCTGCTGCTGCTTTTCTGCATGCGCAGTTCGCGGCAAGAAGGGCATAGGCCTCCTCCACACACGTGCTGCTGCTGTGGCTCAGCGACAGGCGTGCTTTTTCCCCTGCACACGCGTTGAAGGGAGGGGAAGAGGTTCGCGGAGGCATCCGGAAATGCATGCACTGCGGATGCTGCTGTGCTGACAGAGAGAGGGAGACAGAGAGATATATATAGAAGTATATAGAGATATATATATAGAAGTATATAGAGAAATATATATATATAGAAGTATATGTAGAGAGAGATATATATATATAGAAGTATATATAGAGAGAGAGAGGGAGCCTTTTTGTGTATGCGGATTCAGGGACGTTGGCACCCCTTATTGATCCTCACGCTATTTGCCACTCCTTGCGGTGTCGAGCGGCACTGAAGATGCATCTGAAGACTCTGCGGAAGGAGATGCAATGCGCGTCAGTCTCGCCAGCAGCAGCCACAGAGGAGTCGCAGCAGCAGCAGCAACAGCCGCAGCCTCAGGAGGGCGAGCTTACGAAGCACCCAGCTGAAGCTGCTCTTCCTTCACACTTGTCGCTGCCTTGCAGCTTCGAAAGACTGCCGTTGAGGGCTGACAGCCTGCGAGAAGCTAGCGAAGCGTCCTCAGCAGCTGCAACGGCAGCTGCAGTAGCAGCTGGTCTGACAGATGCCGTCGATTCAGCTGACACAGAAGCTGGAAGAGAGGCGTCTCGCAGCAGCAGCAGCAGCAGCAGCAGTCACAGCGATGAAAGCAGCATTCCAGACGTGCTCACTTCCCAGTCGCTAGCCAGTGAGGTGGTCAAGGTGCAACAGCAGCAACAGCAGCAGCATGAGCATGAGCATGAGCATGAGGAGAAAAAGCAGCAGCTTGAGCATGAGCATGAGCATGAGCATGAGGAGAAACAGCAGCAGCAAGAGCAAGAGCATGAGCATGAGGAGAAACGGCAGCAGCAAGAGCAAGAGCATGAGCATGAGCATGCGGAGGAGAAAAAGCAGCAGCAAGAGCAAGAGCATGAGGAGAAACAGCAGCAGCAGCAGGTACAGAGGCGCAGTCCTACGGATTGGTTGCTGCTGCTGTTATCGTTGCAGCCAGGCTTTCATTTGGTGATACCAGGCTTGCTGCAGCCAGTAGCTGCACTGCAAGGAGGCGGAGAGTTGAGCAAGTTGGGGAGTGGAAGTGCTCCTCGTGCAAAGGCTTGCCGTGCGCAAGAGGTAGAAGGATCTCAGCGTCTTCTCCGGCAGCTGGAGGAGACTGCCATGCGGCTTTTGGCAGAGACGGAGTTTGTGCTGTTGGACTGTCGTACTTTCGATGCCGTTCACGAGCATCAGAACCGCCGTATCCGCAGTGCCTTGCCGGTTAGTGGCGATCTGCTGCTGTCGTGTAGTCGAAAGCAGCAGCAGCAGCAAGACGACAAGGAGGCGCAAGAGCTGGACGGGCTTTTGCTGTGCTGTGAAATCGCGAGGGGAAAGGCCATCTGCCTGATGGGAAGCGCAAAAGATCCCAGCAGCAGCAGCAGTGCGACGCGCGAAGAGGCACAGGCTGTCGTGACAGCAGCAACAGCAGCAGCAGCAGACAGCAGCGGCAGTTCCGTCAAGAGGCATGCGGAGAGTGAAGGGGCAGCAACACAGGAAGATCCAGTGGCTGTTCTTTCCGCTTTGTTACTGCAACAGCATTTTCCGCTTGTTGGCATCCTCGGGGGAGGCTGGGAAGGTATGTATGTCTTGTCGTTCTTGCACTTCAAAAGACAGCAGCAGTAGCTGCTGCTGGTGCTGTGCTGCTGTTCGGCTTGTATGCCCTTGATAAGGGGAGATCCGCCTGCCTGCCTGTCTGCACGGCTCGAAAGCCTGCGCGTGCTGCGTGAGAAAAGAAAAGGAACTATTTAGTATTGAAAGACGTCTTCCTATAATATATAATAAGCCTCTTTTGAGCTGCTCTGCCGTCTGGCGCTTTTTTCTCTGCGGCTGTGGCTGTGCAGCATTTTGCAAGGTTCTCCAGGAGGAGCAGCTCTCCTCATATCTCCTGCTCGAGGAGTCGAATGGACGAAATTCAAAAGCAGGGAGTGCTGCAGCCGCTGCGTTTCAGAGTTGGGCAGCTCGAGCAAAAGCTACTGCTGCTCGGCTTGTGGCACATTCTGCTGGGCCTAGGCAGCAACTAGGAAATACGCTGTAGGCTTTTATAGCTTCTGCTTTTTTATGCATTCATGAGCGAAACACCCTGCCACTGCCATAGGAAGGGTGCTGCTGCTTAATCCCTCTTGGCCATACGTATATTCCCGCCAGGTGTCTGTCTGTACATGCGCATGCCCTGTATGTGTATCTGTGTATGTGTGTGCGTGTGTTTTTCGTTTCGTATCGAGCACCTCTCTGGCTTGTCAACCGACCTGTCTTTCTTTCCCCCATTTACGCTTTTTTGCGCCGTGTTTTTACCGTACATCTCTCTGTGTGTCTGTGTGTATCTGTATCTGTGTGCATCTGTATTTTTGTGTATCTGTATTTGTGTGTATCTGTATTTCTGTGTGTCTGTATTTTTGTGTATCTGTATTTCTGTGTATCTGTATCTGTGTGTATCTGTGTGCTGCTGCTTCTGCTGCTGCCTTTGGCATATGCAGGCAAGCAGCGCTTCAGGCTACCAAGGGGGTGTCTCGAGATGTGGGGAGCAGTCTCCGGGGTGTCTTTAATTCTGCTGCGGCAGCAGCAACGGGGGGGCCTACTGGGAAGGTTCCGCCACCTGAGTTGGACGCTGAGGGGAAGCTGATCGAGCAGCAGCAGCAGCAGCAGCAGCAGCAGCAGCAGCAGCAGCAGCAGCAGCAGCAGCAGCAGGATCGTGATGACAGTTCACGGGGGCAGTATGCGCAATCGTCCGGTTCAATGGCGAACAGCATGGCAAACGCTGCGAGTCTTTTTTCTGCTCTCCTTCACAGACGGTCTTCAGGGATGAATGCAGACTCAGTAGTTGGGGAGAAAGACGTTTCTGCAGCGGACAGCTGCGGAAATGCAGAAGCTTCCGCCGCTGGTGCTGCTCCTGCAACAGCAAGTGATAGTAGTCCTAATGCTGCTGCTGCTATAGCAGCAGCAGCAGGTGGGGGTAGTGGTAGTAGCATTACCGGGGGTGGGGTTGCTGGTGTTGCTGAAGGAGCAGGCGCTGCGGTGGATTCGAGTGTTGCGCCTTCTCGATCTTCTTTTCAGCGGGGAGACGTATTTTATAAAAATCACCCCGAAATTTCCCGCAGCGAGACTTTGCAGTCTCTCCTCGCGGAAAAGCTGCAGCAAGCACGACGATCCTCCTCCTTGAAGATCGCATCTCTCAGCAGTTCTTTGAAGGGCCTCTCCCTCCGTCCTGGGGTGTCTAAACAGCAGGAGGAAGACGGCACACGAAACGGAGGCATTGCCGCTGCTCCCGAGCACCTGCAGCAGCAGCAAATGCAGCAAGACAGGCCGATCACGCCAGCAGCAGCCGCAATGATGTCTATGGAAACGGCAGCCACCCAGCAGCAGCTGCACCGGGAAGGGCTCGAGGAGCAGGACAGAAGTGCTGTCGATGTATGCGGCTTTTCGCATGAGCAGCAAGTATGTGTTTGTTGCTTGAGGCTGGCAAGTTTCTGCATTTGGTGTTGGGCTACTTGCCTCCTAGAGCGCTCGCCTCTTCGGCAGAAGGGCTGCTGCTGCAGGGGACAGAATACTGCCACGCGATGTCGTGACACCGTAGATGCTCGCGTGCTGCACCTGCTGCTTTCCTGCTGCAGCGTTTCAGCAAGGCTGTGTTCGCCATTGAGGATAGCGATCAAGAAGACTCTCCAAAGAGTGGAGGGGATAGTGCGTGGCAATTCTTTTTGTTTCGCTGCTATCCCTGAATCCCTGGTGCTCGCTGTCTGCTGCGTGTGTTGTAGGGGGGTCCTCTGTTTTTTTGCGCGTGCCGTTGTTTCATGTATTTCTTCAGCGAGCGTTGCTGGTGCTGCTCTCCTCTAGTGTATTTAAAAGGAGTTTACCGCAAAATCCACACACAGATAAAACGGGAGATATATTCATTAAACCCCCTATCCTTCTCCATCCCTCCGCGTGCTGCATCCGTGTGAGCGGGGTCGTGTGTTTCTGCACTCTCTGCGTGGGGTGTATGTACAGTAACAGACAGCCTAGTACTGCCGCAGTTCGAGCGGCTCGCTCCAGATGCAGCGGGGGGTGACATGCTGGCCGTTCTTCAGCGCTATCAGGCCTTCATAGAAGTAAGTTTGCGCCAGAGGGATAGGTTGGGTCTGTGGAAGGAATTTCGATCCTACGGAGGAAGCCTTGGTAGGAAGGGTGCAGGCTGTTCAGAAACAGGGGGGAGGGAAAGCTCTTGTAGCCTGATACAGAGAGGTTAGAAACTAGATTCACATTCTTGTAAAGTTCGTCATCATAGGACTACCGAGACGCAGAGGAGGTTGTCATGGCAGTGCAAATCTGTTTCATGTTCATGTCTACAGGTATGATCATGTATATGGACATGTATGATCATGTGTATATGGACATGTATGGATACAAGTATGTATGTACAGATATCAATATGTATGCATAGATATAAATATGTATGTATAGATATATATATTATATAAATATGGATATTTATGTATGTGTATATTCCTATATATATGTATGTGTATGTGCGTGTATGGGCGGGTGTATGTGGCGGTCTTCAGGAGGTGCAGAGTCTGGAGAAGGGCTCTAAGGCCGATCTTTGTGAAATTCAGCGCAACATCGGAGATGTGCAGGTGGGCAGGTTGCTGTGTTAGTACGCACATTTTGGCTTCCTTGTGGGTGCACTGACGGATACCATCACCTCCTTCTCCTTTTCTTCGTCCTCATCATGGGGGCTTGTTGGCATGGGCGATTTCGGAGTTTGTGGTGCGTGTGTGTATGTGTCTGTGTCTATGTCTGTGTATATCTGCGTGTATGTGTATGTGTCTGTGTCTGTGTGTATCTATGTCTGTGTATCTCTATATCTATGTCTATGTATGTCTGTGTATATCTATGTCTGTGTATCTCTATATCTATGTCTATTTATGTCTGTGCATCTCTATATCTATATCTTTGTATGTGTATCTCTATATCTACATCTCTGAATGTGTACTTCTATGTCTATGGATATGTATCTCTATATCTATGTCTATGCCTGTGTATATCTATGTCTGTGTATCTCTACGTCTATGTATGTCTGTGTATATCTATGTCTGTGTATCTCTACGTCTATGTCTATGTCTGTGTATATCTATGTCTATGTATGTCTACATCTATGCCTCTATCTATGTCTGTGTAGAACTATGTATATATCTGTGTCTATGTATGTCTGCATCTATGTCTATGTATCTCTATGTCTGTGCCCCCGTGCGTTGCCTTCTGTTCTTCCTGTGTAGGTCTATGAAGCCTTGAAAATTAGACGAGGCGGGCGCAATCGTTGGAGTTTGTTGTCGCTGAGCGACCAGTGGGGTGGCCGCTATTGTGTGAGGTGGTTTGTCTTGACACTCCACCAGTTGCTCGTAGTCTGTCCTGGTGAAGACAGAAGAGTGTCTATGACAAACGGCGCTTCGCCAGTGGGGGAGGGCAGCCCGTCAAGCGATCTTTTGAAAGGTTGGACAGCACTTAACGCATGCAGTCCTCTGAACACATTTGCACTGCCAAGTGTTTTTCTCCCGCTGCTCTTCGCGGTGTCTGTCCGTGATGGTGATGCCTCTAGTCCGTCGGCGTCTCTGCGACTTTTGTGTGGCACTTTCCTGGTGTGCTGGCAGAAGAAGATTCCCCACCTTCTTCTGGCAAGGGGTCTCTTTTGCAGCCTCGCAAGGGCAGCAGCGCTTCCTGGGGTGTCGTTGGCATCAAAGAAACTCTCAAGTCGCTACAGTCCATCCAGGAGAAGGCCAAAGATGCTTTCCGAACAGGGGCATCAGGCTCATCAGGTAATGCGCATGACGTCTCCCTCTCAGCGTTATGCTGCAGGTGCAGCTAGCTAGCTAGCTAGCTAGCTGCACCTGCAGGAGCCTGTGCCGCATTCAAAAAAACACACATGAACGCGCGTGCACCGCAATACACGAGTCTCACCTATCCGCTGCAGAACCAACCACCTCTTTCCCACGCTTATTCGGATGCTACCGTATTCTGCATAATGCAATAAAACTATCATGAAAAACGTATGCTGATACATACTCTGGACTTAGAGCAGGGCACATGCTTTTTCTAGCCTTCGCATGTGCCCCTCCTATGTAAGCGGTGTCTCACTTCAGGCTGCGTGTAAATAGCCCTACTCCCCTCCATGCGTCATCCGTCACTTTGTGCCAAGGCCTAGTCTGAGCCTCTTGGAGCTGCAGCACTCTGCGTTTATGTCGTGATCCTCTCGAGTACTGCTTGCGATCTGTGTGGAAACGTCTGGGCTGCATGCATGTGGCATTGAGGCATTTATGTATACGCGAGGCATCTACTACATTGTATTTGTATGTATCTATCTATCTATCTATATGTGTATGTGTATATATGTATATCTATCCATGTATATGTATATGCATGTATCTAGATTTGTACATGTATGGATATGCGCGTGAAACTCTTTCTCGTGGTGTGGTGTTGCTCCGGCAGATGGGGGGCAGGGAGGGGTCAACTTCGCTACTTTGACTGGCATCATTGCTGTTGGTAGCGAAGGAGGTTCGAATGAGAGCCTCAATGTGACAGTTAAAAGCAACCATCGACTTAACGCCGTGCAGCGCGCCACCTATAACCCGCAGGATGCTGAGTCATTATGTCTTCGCTACAAGAATGGAAAAGCAAACAGCTACAAAGTTCTTGCGAGGGATGCCTTTATCGAGGCCATTAGAACCAGACTTGCGGCGCTTAACCTCGGTTAGTTTGCGCCTCCTAGCAACGCTGCTGCAGTCGTACTGCTGCTGCTGTTGATGCTATTGTTGCTGTTGTTAGTGGTGTTGATGCTATTGTTGCTGTTGTTAGTGGCGTTGATGCTATTGTTGCTGTTGTTAGTGGTGTTGCTGCTATTGTTGGTGGTGTTGCTGCTATTGTTGCTGTTGTTAGTGGTGTTGCTGCTATTGTTGGTGGTGTTGCTGCTATTGTTGCTGTTGTTAGTGGTGTTGCTGCTATTGTGGGTGTTGTTGGTTTTGTTGCTGCTATTATCGCTGTTGTTGTTAGTGTTGCTGCTCTCAAGCAGGGGAGGCGATGCAGGAAGAAGAAAAGGAAAAGAGATGGTGTCGCGACGGTGGCGTCCTCTCTGCTGTCACTGCTGCGCCTTTGCAGATTTGGTATTTACTGAAGAGACGCAGGGTATCTCTTCTTGAGCCGGCATGAAGGCCACACGGCCGCTCTTTTGCTGCAACAAGCGAGCCGTATGCTCTCTGTATTTGCCCCGTGATATACACACCAGCGGCAGCAGGAGCAGCCCAGTAGGGTCAGAGCACCACGGTGACGGTGTCTCCCTCTACTGTAAGTACTGTATATACAGCTTTTAGCCAGTGGTCGTCGCCTTATTTGCTGTCTTGTTGTTGCTTGCGATCCGAAAGTGCAAAGGCGTGCAGACAGGCCGCAGCGCCAGCTTGACTCGGTGTCTTGCAGCAGCCGTCGCGGGTGGGGTTGCTGCGGTTTTCTTCTGTACGCATTCAGAAGGGTGCGTGAGGCCCTCGTTTCTCCTATTTTATCAATGCCCTATACGCAATTTCGGGGCTTGCTCGGCAGCACATAGCATGCATAATGCATGCATGCATGCACCCTAGGGCACCATCGAGCTACCTAGATGCGTAGGTGTCGCTGAGGGGGTTCTTGAACCTAAACAGAGCCTCCGTTCCTGCCCTTAGCGAGTTTTTCTAGCAACTCACGAACAGGTCTGCTATTTGGCTAGTTGGGGTCTACGCAAAGCAACCTGCAGCTAGCTAGCTTTCCTGAGGAGAGAACGGAGGACGCCCTTTAAGAAGTGGTGTCTCCTACGGGGGGGAGGTGGTGGGTGCGTCGGATTCCTGTCTTGCCAGTTCCCCCTCTGGCAGCCTCACACTCAGTCCTCGCGAAAGAGGCACTTTACGAGCCTCATGTCCCTTCGCGCTACTGTACGTGTGTGCAATAACTACGTGGTGTTGGTGCTTTCTTTCACCTTCCTCTTGCGGGGGTTGCTGCTGAGCGTCGTTCCCTGGGAGTGCAGCGCCTGCACGGACGAGGGCGGACTCAACCCGTGAAAGAAAGTGCAGCAGTTCCTTCCATGCCTCCTCACCGCTACTACCTGCATGCACACGTGGTCGCAGCAACCGCAGGCAGCACTCCCTGCTGCTGCACATGGAGGGTGGGCGGGCGAACTTAAGGGACTGGCCACGGTGCCAGACTGCGGCATGCCGCAACAAGCGTGCATACAGCTGAGAAGTCCATAGATGCGCATGCGACGGCTGCTGTAGCAACATGTATCTGCATGTGTCGCATGCATGCATGCAGCATCCGAACTCATGGACCCCGGGCAGTCTCCCCACGGGCTCCGCTAAGGGCTGCATATGAGAAGGCTAACCTTGCATGCACCGTTGGCAAAGAACTCCGACTCATTGGCTGCTAGTCAGTCACTTTTTCGTATCACATCTTAGGTCTTTCTCGCTGCCCAAAGAAGCTGCAACTCGAGCTGCTCTTACCGAATGCCTCGTACGCCTTGCGGAGATCGCGGATGTGCACAGGCCGCAGCTGCTGCAGCGTCTGCCGCCTGTCTCGCAACAGCGCAGCTTCAGCTGCGGAAAAGCAGCTGTAATCGCTGCACTTGAGCTGCGAGACGTCACACGACAGCGAGGGGTGGCAGCAGCAGCTTGCGACGCGTGGCTGCAGATGTGCTGCTGCAGCTATTTTGTGCCGGTGCCGCCTCCTTACCTCGTGCAGTGCCGCAATGGCCTCTGCTGTACTTGCAAGGGAGGGTGACACAGTTATTGCGGTGGGCAAGTCCTCGAGAATAGCACTCAGCAGATCCAGAGATACTGGCGATGCGGCCGGGAAGGTGCAGAGACACCGCAGCAAGCGTGCATACAGCTGAGAAGCCCATACACCCACATGCGACTGCTGTAGCAACATGCATCCGCATGTGCCGAATGCAAGCCTATCCCTCCCGGTAAGATCCGAGCAACCTGGTGCAGTCCAGGTGCAGCAGCTCTAATAACCAATTGTGTATCCATACTTCCAGTCTCCGATCGCCCTTGCGTCTTAGCGCCGTGACGCTCGCTGGCTGCGGCAGTCGGGCCAGGAGTGCCGGCAGCAGCTTGCGGTGTACGTACACCCCATCGTAGTGCTGAAGCGCGACCAGACTCTCTAGAAGCTGCAACACAGGAGCAGTGGCTCTGATGACAGAGGTGAGATGTGCAGGCTGAGGAGGCGATTATTGCTTGAAAAAAAGACTTTGCATCTTTTTCTGTCATGAAGACGACTGACCTGCACCTGAAGCTCTGTGGAAACGCCACCGATGCCGCGCTGCAAGGCCCCTCCAAGCAAGGAGCTGATGCAGTCTGCCAGCCGCATGTCCGCCTTCTGAGCGGACTTCCTGAGCCCTCAAGCCACCCAAAAATACACGCCACCCAAAAATACAAGCCACCCAAAAATACAAGGCACCTGGGCTTGCAGCAGCAGTTGGGCATGCACAGCGGCGAACATGCAGTGCCTAGCCTCCCCTAGTTCGCCAACAGCAAATGCAGCGACAGACCACGAGACGCGCGCCAGCGCTCTGATGAAGTTGATGGCTTCTAATGCGGGGAAAGCATCGCGTCGAGCGGCTGCCTGGGCCATGACGGCAGCTAAAAGCCGCGTGTCGCCCAGCTCTGCCCTGTAAATATTCACCGGACATACCATATATGCAAATATGCATGCATGCATACATACAATAAATATGCATGCACGCATACATACAATAAAAATGCATGCATGCATACATACAATAAATGTGCATGCACGCATACATACAATAAATATGCATGCACGCATACATACAATAAATGTGCATGCACGCATACATACAATAAATATGCATGCACGCATACATACAATAATTTTGCATGCACGCATATATACAATAAATATGCATGCACGCATACATACAATAAATGTGCATGCACGCATACATACAATAAATATGCATGCACGCATACATGCAACAACACGTGGAGGATAGAACTTTCGCAGAAAGAAACACACTCGGCTGTGCCGGTGCCATCGCACACGCATCGACGATGTCTGCAAGTGCAGCAACCCCTTATAGCAGCGGCGCAAGCGCTAACCATGTAAAAGCCGTAGCTGTCTTGGAGAGCCCCATGGGTGTCAAGGAGGCAACGCGGGGTAGCAGTGACTCTGCAGAGAATATATATCGCAGCACACTTTTTCTCTGCGCTAGGCCATCTGAGGCTAGCACAATCAGCAGAATGCATCCGATCCCGTAGCGCATGAGGAAGTCGCAGTAGAAAAGGACAGCGGTTGAAAAAAACAAACGATGGCGGTTAAAGAAACGAATGATGGCGGTTGAAAAGCCACATGGAGGCGGTTAAAAAGCCACATGGAGGCGGTTGCAAAAACAAACGATGGCGGTTAAAGAAACGAATGATGGCGGTTGAAAAGACAAATGAAGGCGGTTAAAAATGATGGCCGTTGAAAATTCACATGGAGACGGTTAAAAAACCAAATGATGGCGGTTGAAAAGACAAATGAAGGCGGTTAAAAATGAAGGCGGTTGAAGAAACAAATGATGGCGGTTGAAGAAGCAAATGAAGGCGATTAAAAAAACAAATGAAGGCAGTTGAAGAAGCAAATGAAGGCGATTAAAAAACAAATGATGGCAGTTAAAAATGGTGGCTGTTAAAAATTCCTATGGAGGCGGTTAAACGAACAAATGAAGGCGGTTCAAGAAACAAATGAAGGCGGTTAAAAATGAAGGCGGTTCAAGTAACAAATGATGGCAGTTAAAAATGAAGGCGGTTCAAGAAACAAATGAAGGCGGTTAAAAATGAAGGCGGTTCGAGAAACAAATAAAGGCGGTTGAAAATGAAGGCGGTTCAAGAAACAAATGATGGCACTTAAAAATGATGACGGTTGAAAAGACAAAAGAAGGCGGTTGACAATGACGGCGGTAGAAGAAACAAATGATGGCAGTTGAAAAAGCAAATGCCAACGCATGCAGTGCAGGGAGGGAGGCTGACCAAAGGTCGCGCATGCACACTCTATGAAGAGCCTCAGGTGAGGCCGAAGCTTGCGAGCTGTCAGCAGCAGCATGCGGAGGGAATGGCGACGAGCAGCGGCACTTTCTTACCAGCGATCGCGCTAAAGGCTGCCGTGTCGTGCACATGCCTGCAGCAGCGACAGGGAAAGCAGCAAAGGACGGCAGGAAGTTTCTGCCTGCGAACTGCAGAGCAGAAGGGGCCTAGGCGGCAGCGGCGAGCGCCTTATCCAGGCAATGCAGAATCCTTTTAGTGGGCAGCAGCAGCCAAGGCAGCAAACAGTCGACTGCGCAAGACAACACGGACTGACAGCTTAGCCAGAGCATGCGCAGTGTTGGCAAGGTCCTTCGGCTTGAGGCTTGCTGCGATCTCTAAGAGCCGATTTTGAATACAAATGAGGAGATTCCTGAATACGCATGCGCACGAGCAGCAGTGCAAGGAAGCTCCTGCCGCCTCCTAGGGGCAGGCTCCGATTATCGCCGCTCTCTCTGCTTCCTCGCTGCACTCCCAACTCCATTGTGCAAACGTTTCCCCCACCCTGCCGCTGCGCTGTCTCCGCAGCAGCTTGCCGACTGCCCTGCCGCTGTGCTCTGTGTCGACTAACTCATCGCGAAATTGCAGAGCAGCGAAGGCAGTAAGCAACGACACAACCGCCTCGCTCCCCAGACTGCTAGAGCCATCCAGCGACACCTGCAAAGAGCGACAAGACAGACTTCTGAACGGCATGCAGACACAGCCCTCGAAATAGCTACAAGAGGGGCACCGAGAAGGAAATCAATCGTCAAGACGCGGGGAGAGCGCCAAATCCACCAAAAAAGAGACACACCAAGTCTGTGAGTCTGCCTGTTAGCGCATTGAAGCAGCGAAAATCGCGATACCCCCGAGCGGCGAAATCTGCAGCAGCCTCCACGTCAACAAATGGAAAATTCAAACGCATGAGCATCACTGGATCATCGCCGTTGCCTGCTGCCAACTGTGTGTGTGTGTGTGTGTGTGTGTGTGTGTCTGTGTGTCTGTGTGTCTGTGTGTGTGTTTGTCGGTCGGTGCCTCTCCTCCCTCGCTGGAGGTGTTCTCTTTTTGACAATGCCAACAGCAGCCAGCGCAGCAACAGCAACCGTGTGGAGTGCGTTCGACCCCTACACTTCAGAATGGCTGCACATTGGTGCGCAGTGAGCTGGGCGGCTGTTTCTGCTGCCCTGGCGCCAAGAATCCTCCAAGTGTCTCCCTGATCGACGCCTTGCAGCAGCAACCTCCTTGCTGCAGCGCCAAGCAGCTGCGGAGGCAGCTGTGGAATCGCCTGAATCAGGGAGCTGGTGTTCAGAAGGCAGGCAGAGGGCAGTCGGACTGCCTCCGTTGCTGATGCCGCTGCTGCTGAGGCTGCTGGTGGGTCGAGCGGCTTGTATGCGGCACTATGCGAACGGCGAAACTCCTGCCGCATGCGGCCTACCGGGAAAAAAGGCGGCGATGCATGACCACAGAGGATGCAGGCAGCGGTAGGAACTGCAGCGCATGCCTGAAAGCACGCAGCTCGCACCGCGGAACGGCAGAGGACAGTGGCAGGAGGCTTCATTGAACCCTACCTGTCGCTCTCTCTCTCTTCCCACAGGAAGAGCGAGCGCGGCGGAAGCGACTTCGCGGCTGCCGCTCCCTCACTGCTTTTCTCCCCCCCTCTGCCTCCGCTGGAGCTGCAGGCACTGCTGGAGCACAAGTATACACCGACTAGCCATAGAAGAAAGCCATTTCCGAAGGCTTCCTGTTGCTGCGGCAAGCGTATCTTGCATGCAGCCTGGATGGCAGTCGCAGCAGCAGCTGCGGCGGCTTCCCGCCAGGGTGTATGTACAGCTGAAACTTGGTGTCTTTTAGTCGATTCAGAATGAAATTCGTCGGTTCCTAATTTCTGTTGCTCTTTCCTCCTCATTGGACTCGCAGAAGCTTCACAGCGTAGGGGCGAGAGGTAGCATGCTGCTGCTGCCGCCTTTCCCTTGCAGCTCTGCTAGACGGACCTTATGGAGGAAGTTCAAAGCGCCGCCCCTTTAGGGCAGCAGCAATCGCGGAGATCACGAAGGGGACCCCTGGCTCCTGCTCCCTCTGCCGCTAATGTTGCTCTTGATGCCTCGACTGCTGCTCCTGTTTTGCCGCCCGAGGGAAGGAAAGCCACATCCGCCTCAACAGAGACACAGCGAAACAGCGGGCAGCAGCGACAGCAACGAACGCAGGACCAGAGATCTTCTTCCTTCAAGTCGTGTAGCTACCCACGTAACCAGCAACAGGGGCACTCAAAGGTGGTACAAAAGCTGCAGCTCCAGCAGCATGAGAATTCTCGACCGCAGCCTAGCGATGTAGCGCAGCAGCAGCAAGAGCAGCAACCTTCTCAGCACGAACAGCAGCAGCCACGGCAAAGGCGCTCGACTGAGGAGCCAATCCAGCAGCTTCCCCTGCAGCGAACGCAGCGCGACAAGAATGCCAATGGGCGCCGAACGCAGCCAAGACAGCAGCAGCAGCAGAAGCGACAACAACAGCAGCAGCAGCAGCAGAGCCTCAACCTCAACCAGCACCACAATCACTGCCGTCACGCAGGCCGTCTGGAGGCTGAGGCGTCGGTTCCAAAGTCTCCCATGCTCCAACAGGATGGTAGCTGGCAGCAACAGGATGGTAGCTGGCAGCAACAGCAGCAGCAGCACCTGCGAAAAGAAGAGATTCAGCAAAAGCTTCGTGCCTGGTTAGGGATACTGCAGGAAGCTCCTCTCGATGGGCAACAACACCGGCATGAGCCAAGCCAGGCGCAAGAACAAGAAATGGCGCAGAATTCGCGGCAAGCGGCAGCGTCAGGGGGCAGAGAGTTCGCAGAAGATGGGGTGAGAGTGAAGCAGCTGCAGCATGCAGCTTCAGAGTCTAGGGGGCAGCAGACAGCGCAGTCGCAGACACTACGGTGGCAGAGGCAACAGCCCGTGCAGCACTCTGACCAGCAGCAGCCGAGGAAGTTTCGAAGTCAGCAGCAGCAGAATCATCACTATAACCAGCAGCCGTACCAGAATCAGAATCAGCAGCAACGACAGCAGCAGCAGAAGGAAACGAAGCACGATGGCGGCTCAGGTTCTGGCATCAGTTCTGCCTCACGCTTCCCCGTCTTGACGAATGAGCAGCTACCAGATCTTAAGCTGAGATCTCTGCTGCTGCAACACTATCTGCATCCCACAGGCCGTGAGGTAGGTTGCTGCGAATCTGCGTATTGCACCGCTCACCTTTCAGCCCTCCTGTAAGACTGCCATCGTTGATTCTTTCTGTACTCTGCGCATGGATAGACAATATGACTCTGCAGCACGGAAAATGCCTCTTCAAACGAGGCGTTTTGCGTGTATATGTGTATGTATGTGTGTATGTATATGTGTATGTATATGTGTATGTATATGCATATGTATATGTATGCATATGTGTATGTATATGCATATGTGTATGCATATGTATATGTATATGTATATGTGTATGTATGTGTATATGTATGTATATGTATATGTATGTGTTATTTAATTGCCAGAGTCGCTCCTTGCCAGTGACTTGTGCTTGCCTTCATGCCGCAGTTGGCGTCCTTGTTCTCCCTGTGTCTCTCGCCACTGCCTTTTCTCCTGAGCTTGGATCGCCCGTCTCGCCAGCTCTTGCAGCCAGTTGTCGAGAGGAGTCGCACTGTCTACGCAGAGCAGCTGGAAAAGGCGCTGCTCTTCGACCAAGGGGCAAGAGGGGTGCCGCAGCGGCAGCTGCTGAATCTTTTGGAGCGACTCGCGAATGCGAGTTACGGATTCACCTCCCTTATTTCTATCCGCCCTGTGCGAGAGGCAGTGGACTTTCTTATAAAGGCAAGCTGCGCTGTCAGTGGCGTTGTTGTGCTCGTCATCCTGCTCTCGCGGTGTCTGGAATCCTCGCGCATCCAGGGAAAGAAAAAAATGCACCAGAACTCAAAATTACCTTCACTGCGCTCCTTGTGCAAGTGTGCTACTACTAGTGGTGTTGCTACTGCTATTACTAGCACTGCCGCCATTACTAGTACTACTGCTACCATTACTAGTGCTACTGCTACTACTAGTGCTACTGCTACTGCTGCTGCTATTACTGCTGCTGCTGCTATTACTACTGCTGCTGTTTTTGCTGTAGGTTCTGCTGCTGTTTGTTCGCCTCGGTTCACGCCGCCAGCAGCACAACGCGACGATCAACGAAGAGGCGCTCGTTACGCTCACACACTGGGACTGCTTGAGACTTGCAATGCTCCTAGAGTCTTTGCTTCTACAGAAGCAACAGCTAGATGCGTGGCAGCTGCAGGCTGTCTGGGTAATCATTAGATATGGCTTAGAACGCCGTCGCATCTCTTTGTCCTTCATGGATCGATGCGCGTAAGTACACCGCAGAGAAAACTGCTGCTGCCTCACCGGCATGTTGAATCGAGCCACAACACGCCTCGCGTTTGTGGCGGCATCTGTTGCTGCTGGATACATAGATACACACATATTCATATATATATCTGTCTATCTCTGTCTCTATGTTATATCTATATTATATCTTTTATAGCGTTTCTGAGGCTTTATTTTTCTTCGCTAGAGTTCCTTCTGCCGCTGCCATGCCCTTGTATTTGATAGCACCTGCTTCCTAGGTCTCAGGTGTCTTTCGAGCTTTTTTGGTGGTTCTGCCCTCAAGGCTTGCCAGCTAGCTGGTCTGTATTATTGGGTATGCGCGCCTGCAGATCTTTTGAATGCGCCTTTTTTGTTACATCCAGACGCTGGCATGTGTTTGCCCTCATGCCGCTTCGATTTTTCCCCGTCCGGAGCTGCTGCTGCTGTTGAACGGCTCACTTAGTCCTTGCGGTAGTACCTCGCACGAAGCGCTTGCTTCGCCTTGCCTTCTCGCGGCTGCCTTTTTGCAGGCTTTTTGCATGGAGCATCAACCCAACAGGGCGCCAGTGCTTCAACGATCTGTCTCCTCATGAGGCAGAAGATACCAAGCTTCGGAAGGCTTCTAAAGAACATACTGCAGACGATGCGCGCCTCGAGGAACAACTGCAGCAGCTTGCTGACTCCCTTGCTCTCCAGCAGGATCAAATTGATGCTCTCACTCAGGTCTTTTAAGCCTTTTGCTCCTCCCACATAAAAAGGAGGACAAACTGAACGTTCCTGCAAGGGAGATGCCACAGTCTCTCTCTCTGTGTCTCTGTCTCTCTGTCTGTCTGTCTGTCTCTCTCTCTCTATATATATATATCTATATATCTATCTCTATCTATCTATCTATCTCTATCTATCTATCTATCTATCTATCTATCGATCTATCTATCTATCTATCTCTATCCATGCATCTATTTCTATCTCTGTCTCTCTCTCTATATATATACATGTGTATATATGTCTCTTCCGCGAGCAACCACCCCCCCTTGTCCTCCAGCGCTGCCAGCTTTGTACGTATGTTCTCAGGGATACATTTTTGCAAGCTTTATTTCCGAGGATCTCTTCGCTTGCCGGCCGCTGTTAGGCGGCTCTGTTGCCACCGGTACCGCCATGGGATCCAGCGACATCGATGTTGGCATTTTGCTGCCTCTGGAAGAGCAGCTGAAGCACTCCAAACTTCTGTTGCAGCAATCAAGGGCCCTTCTCAAGCTCCACCCTTGGGCTGTACGTCTCGAAGTTTGTTTTGCGAAACTTGCAGCCCGCTTGTGCTGCCTCAGTCGCTGTTGCTCGTAGTAATGCTGCAGCTGTAGGGCATCCATGAACGTCGAGGGAAGGACGGGGGCTTATGTGGTGCAACTGAACAGCCAAAAAACACGGCTAGCAGAGAGGGGAGAGACACATACATACATATACATATACATATATATATATATATGCAGGCGTGAGAAAACAAATCTAGCATTCTCTTTGGTCTTTTCCATGTTTTTTTTTTGTCGGCAGCTCAAAGGCCGCACTGTCGGCGACCTGCTCCCAGCCGAGGAAGCCAAACAGACGCAGCAGCAGCAACAGCAGAAAGTGAGGCAGCAGCAGCAGCAGCAAGCGAAGCAGAATCGGCAGCACGAGCAACGCCCACAGCAGCAACAGCACAAGCAGCAGCAGGAGCGCCAGAAGGAGGTGCCCCTGCGCTCGGAAAAAGAGGATATCTCCGAGAAGGATCTTTTCGAGGCAACCGACGTCTGCGAAGAAACAGAAGATGATGCGTTGCATGCAGAAGCAGAAGCAGAAGCAGAACAAGAAGAAGAACAAGAAGAAGAAGAGGACGATTCGGGGGACCCTGCACGGATCGCTGGCAACAGCGAGCAGCCTTCTCGCCTGTCTGCGATGTGGTGTAGTCGTTTGATCGCCCGTGCAGCGGAGGAGTTGCTTCTGCGTGTGGGGCCCCCATTCTGTCGAATGCTGCCTCAAGGGGGGCCCCCCCAGATTTCATGCTCTGAGCTCGCTCGCTTTCCTCTGACGCGCATCAAGTGGCCTACGCTACGCGGCTTTAACCCTTCGGGGGCAGAGTCGGATCCAGACGCGCATGTCAGTGCCTTTCCTCAGAGGAGAGCCACACAAAAAACACGCAAAACTACAGGCGCACAAGACGCTCTGTGCATCCTCCCCTTTACCGCGATGGAAACGCTTCTCAGGCACCGCATCAAGCAGGTATGCTCCCCAGGAGGCTGCCGTTCGTTCGTGACTGTTGTCTGTGTTTGTTGTTGTTGCTGTTGTTGCTGCTGCAAATGCTGTTCTTGTTGTTGCTGCAAATGCTGTTGTTGCTGCTGCAAATGTTGTTGTTGCTGCTGCAAATGCTGTTGTTGCTGCTGCAAGGGCTGTTGTTGTTGTTGCTGCTGCAAAGGCTGTTGTTGCTGCTGTTGTTGCTGCTGCAAAGGCTGTTGTTGCTGCTGCAAATGCTGTTGTTGCTGCTGCAAAGGCTGTTGTTGCTGCTGCAAGGGCTGTTGTTGCTGCTGCAAAGGCTGTTGTCGCTGCTGCAAATGCTGTTCTTGTTGTTGCTGTTGTTGCTGCTGCAAATGCTGTTATTGTTGTTGCTGCTGCAGATGTGTTCTTGTTGTTGCAAAGGCTGTTGTTGCTGCTGCAAATACTGTTGTTGCTGCTGCAAGGGCTGTTGTTGCTGCTGCAAAGGCTGTTGTCGCTGCTGCAAATGCTGTTCTTGTTGTTGCTGTTGTTGCTGCTGCAAATGCTGTTGTTGCTGCTGCAAAGGCTGCCTTGCGCAAGACGTGTCTCATAGCCTAGGGCAGTATTTTTTTGCGAAAGTCGAGGCTCACTTTCGCAAATCTGGAGGGGGGAGCAGGAAGGCTTTGCTCGTGTCGCTGCTGCGTCTGCGTCTCTCAGAGGAACCGCCGATATCCCTTCCAAAGACGTAGACGTCCACACACGACTTCAGCAGCAGCGTCTTCTTTCCCTCCTCCTGCTGGCGAAGATACTCCCTGGCTAGACAAAGGCTACTGCTCAGACTCGATGAATCCTTCGGCCGTTAGAGGCCCCTTCTTCGAAGTTTGTGCTGAGGCAGCTGCAGACGAGCGCTGCTGTGATCATTACCACCGAGACACGAGCAGCACCACGCGACTGCTGGTGCCACAACAACAGCAGGAACTGCGGAGAAGAGTGAAGCCTCTCGTCCGCTTTGGCGAGTGCGATGTGACATTCAATCACCAAGGGCCTCTCCACAATTCCAGAATGATGCGCGCCTACAGTGTGGGATGCTCTCCGGAGGTGCAGCGCTTTCTACGGCTTTTGAAACACTGGGTCAAGAGAAGAGATGTTGGGTAAGCGTCGTGCATGGAAGGCTGATGAAAAGGATAGCCTTTCTGACAAAAAGCGGAGTTTCAAAGCGTGGCGTCCTCCCTGCCGCTTCTTCTTAGCCTCCTCCTGATGATGGGAGTGCTGTCAGAACTGTGAAAACTTGCGAGCTAACAGGCCTGCTGCTGCTGCTACAGTTGCAGCTGCTGCTACATTTGCTGCTGCTGCTACATTTGCTGCAGTTGCTACAGTTGCAGTTGCTGCAGTTGCTGCTGCAGTTACAGTTACAGTTGCAGTTGCTGCAGTTACAGTTGCAGTTGTTGCAGTTACAGTTGCAGTTGCAGTTGCTACAGTTGCTGCAGTTACAGTTGCAGTTGCCATCGCGGCACAGGCACCTCCACGGCGTGGGGTTGCCAGCACAACATACTCGCGTGTGTTTGTCTGTTTGTTTCTGTTCTGTGTGTGTTTGTCTGTGTGTTTCTGTTCTGTGTGTGTTTGTCTGTGTGTTTCTGTTCTGTGTGTCTGTGTTTTTCTGCGTTTCTGTGTGAATTTTTTTGTGTCTGTCCGTGCCGATCTGTGTGTGTCTGCATGTGTGTCTACTGTCTGCTTGTTTGTCTGCTGCCTGCTGGCCATGGTTCTTCAGAGACGGGGTGGAAGGCTTTACCAACAGCTATTCTTGGCAGCTCGCCGGAGTTTACTTTTTGCAGCGGTGTCTATTGAACGTGCAGCAGCAGCAAAAGCAGCAGCAGCATTCCAACGCAAACTTCTCCTTCGATCAGCAAGGGTCCTGGAGTCAGCTAATGGATATTTACACGGCTCTTGAGAATCCAGCGTGGCTGCCTCTGCTCCCCAACCTCCAGCTGCGACTACAAGAGCACCTGCAGCAGCAGGAAAGGCAGCGGCAGTGCGCAGTCTGCAACGGATGTATTCCTTATCCCTTAAATGCCTTACCAGAGGACGCCGAAGCAGACATTTACTTTTTCGATCCTGAGAGGGGCCTCAATCAGCGTCTCTCCAACAGCTATGTTTCGCTTAAAAAGAGCAGCAGTAGCAACACCAGCAATAGCAGCAATAGCAACAATAGCAGCAATAGCAACAATAACAACAACAGCAACAATAGCAACACCAGCAGTAGCAACAAAGAGGTCTGCATTTGTGGTCCGTGGATGTATTGCGGCGAGTCTATGTGGCCGGAAGATTTGGAGGGTTTGTCTCTGGAGGCTTATGCTCGACACATGGCGTTGCCAAGCGCAACAGCAGCAGCAGCAGCAGCAGCAGCAGCAGCCTTCACAATGAGCGGCTACAAGCACCGCCTTGGACAGCCCCCTGCTGCTTCAGCGGCAATTCTGCATCAGCTGCGCTTAGCCACGAAGAAGCGAGTCTTTACTTTGCCAGATATTGACTATGATGCCTCGCTGCCAGACGTGCAGCGGCAACTCACTGACCTCTTAGGGGCCGTCGTTCTTCTTCCACCAGGAATCCCCAAACTTGTGCGTCTTCTTCGCGCCTTCTTCAGGTGCGAGAACTCTTACACACACCCATACACATACGCATGCATTGATATACATACACATATCTATATATCTATATATATAGATTTACTTACATCTGTGTGTATACATGTATATATATATATCTACATGTATACATTTACACATACACACACGCATGCATGGATATACATATACATATACATGTGTATATTATATGTACATACATTTACACATACACACACGCATGCATAGATATACATACACATATATATATACATAGCTACATCTGTATGTATACATGTGTATACATGTATATGTACATACATTTACACATACACACACGCATGCATAGATATACATACAGAATTTCTGTGTATGTATCTAAACTATATATCTCTGTACTTGCGAGCGTAGCGTGTAAAACTCTTGAATGCCAGCGGCCAGCTAGGTCTACTTGAATTGTGTGTTTGACTTCACAGATTTTACACGCTGCAGTTCGACTCGATCGGCTGTGCTTTGAACATTGGAGGGCAGTCCCTGCTGCCCGTGTCGAAAGCTGAGCAATTTAATGGACCTCCCTACCCCAAGAGATCGTTGCCGTGGCAGCCTAGTGAATGGGAAGGCGTGTGGGGGGGGAAGGTGCCTCAGGAGAAAGGGGTAGCCGACGAATCAGCGTGGCTCTCCAGCGGTCGTTCTTCCCAGTGGCTTGGAAAGAGGCCTTTTCTCACTATCTTGGATCCCCTTGAATCCCACCGGATCTTAGGTACGCTGTTTTTGTCACTGGTGAAACTGCTGCTCTCGCTGTTTGCGCGACGTGCCAGGAAATGGGGGAGCTGCTGCTGCCGTAGGTTCTGCTGCCTTTCCCCTGCAGTGTATTTATCCTTATGCAGCGGTTCGCTAGTTGCTGCGATCCCTGCTTCCCAACACAGGCTGTCAACGCCACACGGGAGACATTACGGCCTCTGAGTTGCTGCGGAGCGCGCTGATAACGGGGGGCCCCCACTGGTTCGAGTGTGAAAGACGGGGGGGGGCCCCCCTCCGTCGCCAGCACACCCTCCTAGGTGCTCTTTTCGAAGTGTATTCGTGGCCGCGTCACTGCCGCCGCAGCGCCTCCAAGGAGAAGCCTACGAGGTACCGGGTGTACAGACACGAGCTGCTCGCGAGGGCTCGGAATTCCATCAGCTGCATGCGGGGGCCCCACCCCCGCACGTGGCGCTGGGGGCCTCCTCCTAGTGGCTGGGCGGAGTTGTTGAACGGGCTTCAGGCGCTGCACGTGAGACAGAAGCGGCAGCAGAAGCTGCACCAGGTGGAAGGCGAGATCTCGAGACGCATGCAGAAGAAGCAGCAGCAAAAACGGCAGGAGGAAGATCAACGGCTCGCCGAGCTCAGGGAGATCGCACTCCAAGAGCAGGCACTCCGGTAGGCCCAGCACCTGCTGCTTGCTGTTGCTGGATAGCCATTCTACGTGAAATATTCAGCTAGCGCTGCACAAGGGGGTGGCTAGCTAGCAAGTCCGCAGCAGCCACGAGCTGCCACGACGGCTACAGCAGCAGCGAGCACACACAAGAAGAAGCCTTAGCAACGCCTGCACCCTAGTCTGTCGTTACACTCTACCAAAAGCGCAGGGAGACTGCAACACGCGCTTTATGCTGCTGCAGACACGGTACACGGGATTCAGTTGCAAGTGCTCGCGTTGGCACTTAGTTTCGCCAGCTGCCAGCTTTGCTCCCGTTGCTGCCAAAATGTAGCTGTCTGGCAGCAGCAGCTGCTGCAGATTCAGCGCAGATTCGGCCTGTATCGTGCAATTTCTCCCATTAAAAGGGCCCCCAAGGGAAACGGAAAATGCGCCGTTTTCTGCCTTTCGGGTAGTGCGCAAGGGGTAACCGATTTTCAACGGCAGCACGTAGCAAGTTTTATTCAGGGGTTACAGGGCCCCCTCCTTACATGCAGACGATGTGTTGCGGGCGTAGTTCTTCAACGTCATCCCTTTTAGTTCTCCCGCTGGCTCAGTTACGAAATTGCCAGATCCTCCTGCTTCATGAGAGGAGCAGTTTTTCTCTACCGGAAAGCGACTCGATGCCATCAAAATGCTTTGGGCTAAGCGCCAAGGAACGACCCCCCAGTGCAGGTGAAATTCGCTGACCCCCGGCGCATCGAGTGCGCGGTGGTGTCGCTACACCGAAGAAAGCGGCCCCCATTGCTGCTTCTTGCTCCGCATGATTCCCTATACTTTCTCCAATGCCCCTCTATGCACACAGTTGGCACACACGCCTGTACACCCAAGTGCATTTCGGAGAACTGTCTTCTTGCATGCAGTGATGCTGACGAAACCGTGTTACTCCACACCCCGCAGTCACTGCCACCTGTCCTCGACACTTCTCCGCTGCACCTCGATCTCTCCTTCCGAGGTCTCTGTAGGGAAATAGCTGCCTCATGACGTGCTATGAGCTTTTTAAAGCTATTGAGCGCTTCTAGAGGAATTCCCGGCATTTCCTGCTATCCCTCAGGGCTCCTCTGCGTTCCCTCCCCACAGGGGCAGAGGGAATGCTAGAAGGGGGCGATTCGTTGCTAGGCACTCCAAGCATTCACAGCATAAAATAGTTGCATGTAGCACCTAGCTTGCTTGCGCGCGCAACCTTGCGCCTTTTGTATCGAGCTAAAGCTGCTCTGCAGTACAGGCGTAGGACTTGCGAGCAAGTGGCTAGTCTTCCATCAATTCTCGATCAACATAGTGCTCGTGCAGCATAAGTCTTAAATGGAGCTGGAACCTGCTCGAGCAGGCTTCCTTCAGAAAGCCTCAGCTTACAAGCTTGGCTAGTCGGCAGCGGGGTAATGCGAGCTTAGCCCGCTTCAGACCCCACTACGAAATTCGCCTAGGATCAGGCTGGAAACGTGTTCACCGATTCCAATTGCTGTGATCCCCAAAGGAGGCCTGGCGAGAAGCCGTTGTTCGTACACTCTCTTCTGGCATTATTGCAACCCTAAGGACGATTTATGGAGGGACTGCAGCCAGCGGTTGGAATTGATGGGGGGAGATGCAATGCATTTTTCTTTCATCTGTCGGGTTACCCCGCGCAAGTGAAGGAGACCTTCCATACGGCGTGCGTAGAAGAGGTAGGTACAGTACCTCTGGCTTTCCTGTGCGCCCAAGCCACCGAGGATTTTGTCATGTATGCTGCACACGGCAGCATGCGGCTCTACCAGTGCGTTCGCCTGACTTTCCTTTCCAGCAGCAACTACAATAGAGGCTTTGCGCCTTCAGGGGTCTGTGCACTTCTGCAGCGGGGGGCACTTCTGAGGCAACTACTGGTCTTTCACTTGCATGCCTTTGTGTGTATGTGGGGGGCCTTAGAGCAAAGGATCGTGCAGGGGTGACACCCAATACGACTCAAGCTCGAGAGAGAGAGAGAGAGACAGCGTGCTAGCTTCTGCAGCCTATCGTCTGGTCATGACCACACGGGCACGTGCGAGCTAAGCATATAAAAGGATCAGCGGCATCCTCAGGGTAGGAAGCGTTGCAGTGCAAAAAGGCGTGTGGCATCAACTGCGACGCAATTCAGTTATTCTCCTGCCCTGTTCTCTTAGGCTTTTGGAGCAGGTGGCCCTCCATAGGCAGGCGAGGTTCCGGAGATCCCCCGAAGGCGATACCAGTGCGCCCCTTGGGCTCTCCCTGGTTCTTCTTGGCTTTTGTTGCAGCCTTGTCTCTCTGTCTTCTCAACCTACGGATTTTTCTCCTCGTCTGGAGTCTCAAGGTTGCCCTTCAGAGACAGATAGCGCCCCTCAACGGGTGTCTCCGAGTGCGTTGACGGTCCCGAAGGCTGTCTATTGGTGGGAGCTTTTAGTGGATTGTGCTTCCGCGCACTTAAGCTAGGGAACCTTCTTAGTTGCACACAGCCCTGTTGTTGAGTATTAAAAAGAAGGGGAGAGAGAGAGAAGAAGAGCTGGAGAGGACAATATACATATCCCTCAGGTGCAGCCTGCCTGAGGGATCCGCGAACCTGCTCTGCCGTTCTGAGGGCCCCCTTCGCCGCTGCCGATGCTTCTAGCGCCGGTTATTCCAGCCGCCCATTTCGTTTCCAAATAATACGCGTGTACAAGTAAGCGGGTTTTCCCTTTGTATTTCCCTCTTGAGGGCCCCGTAGCCGCGTTCTTACTCTTTGGACCCCCGTAGCATCGCGAGCAGGCGGGGGCAGGGAGGGGGCCCCTTTTGCCGGCTGTATGGACGGCGCGCAGAAAGGCCCCCTGCATATTACCTGGATCGCTTCCTGCACGCAAATAGGCAACCGCCTCCACCTTTCTTTCTGCGCCTGTCCCCTCCAAAGCTCTAACGGTAGACACAGATTCTTCTCGTCTCCTCCTTGCGGGGAGGCCACACTGCCGAGTCACACGCCTCTACCCACCGGCTGTCTACGCGTTTCCAGCCGACTCTGGGGGCCCCTTCGCCCCCCTCCGGGGGCCTCCCCAGCCGTTCTCGCGTTCCTTTTGGGGGCCCCCGCCTTATGCCCGATGTCGTGGGGTCCCCCCCCGCCTTTCTCTGGGCAAGACAAGCTCCGCGGAGGCATTGCCTTTGGCGCTGCTGCCTGCTGGATACGCGCCGCTGGCGAGGTTTCACGCGAACCTGCTCTGCCGCCTTCGGCCTTCGCCTCGATCCTCCAACAGCGCGCGTACAGAGAGTCTCTCAGGCTTCGCAGACACCGCGCGGCTGTCCTCTTGCTCTACCTGCTCCTCCCTTTTTTCGTCCCAGAAGGCTCTTCCCCCCCCTCCCCCTACTCGTTTCGGGATCTCCAGCAGCAAACGCCGCCTCCGCAGCAGCCAGGAAGGCAACCTCCCCAGCCTGATGGACCTCGGCGGGAGCTGCCCCTCCGAGGAGGCATTCCAAGGGAGCACAAGTTCGCAGTCGAAGGCAGTCGCAGACAAAAGCTCCTCATTCTGCCGTGGGAGTTCACCCCTCAGTCCCTGGAGTCTCCCGACGTCGCCTTACACACCCCTTCCTCCCCTCCAGAAATCCTCGACCTCGAGCCACCCCAACACCCCTTCGTAGACACACCACGACAGCTGCTACTGCAGTCTCAGCCCCCCCTCCCGAAGACTTCTCGCTTCCTCCGGCTCGCCATCAACACTGCCTCTTGCCAGCCAGACAGCACGCAGTGCCTTGCCGCCAATACGCCGATTCTCAGCGCAATTCACACTTCTAGCGGAGCCAATGGTGATAGCTTTCTTCACGACAATAGCGCCTTCAAGCCGTGGAGGACCTGGCCCCTCTCACCGCAACACGGCTGGAAGGCTATGTGGCTCGTCGCTCTCCTCTGCTTATGCTTCTTGGGTTACTGCTCGCTGCTAGCCGCCGTGACACGAGGCTGCACGCCTTCTGCTGCCGTCCCTGTCGCAGCACTTGCGTGCTGCCTCGTATCCGCGGCAGACTACATCCTGCTAGTATTTGGAAATGTGGCAGGAGGAGCCCACACTGCAGGAGGCGCGTGGAGAGCCACACGCCTCGCGCGCCCTCTTCTCCTCTGCGGTTTGCAGCATTCCGTTAGGGTGCTGTTGGTGCGAATCGTCAAGACACTCCCTCAGGCAAGACATGCGCCCTCTATTTGTTTTTTCCTCTTAGAATTACGTCTGTTCATTGCTGTACAGACTCCTCCTTCAACGGGGGTAAAGGGGGGCCTCTCGAGGTGCTCTCTGTCACGCCATCTTTGGTAGCGGCGATGAACGTGTATAGGCGTGCTGCCACCTTTCAGGCACAGCCTATACAAACCTCCGTATCTCTCTGTCTATGTCTATGTTTGTCTATGTCTATTTTTTGTCTATGGCTCTATCTCTGTCTATGTGTCTCTATGTCTGTCTATGTCTATTGCTGTCTCTATCTATCTCTGTCTATCTCTATCTCCATGTATCTTTATCTCTATCTCTCTATATGCATGCATACACTGCACGCCGTCGGCAAGTGCTCCCCTTTCACAGTGTATTTGCGCATCATCATCACGCTTTTTCAAGTGCGTATCTCCTTCTCCTCCCTCAATTGTCCTTTTGAGTGTTGCCTTTTGGGGAGCCCAGTGATTCGCGCTACTCGGGAGGAGGCTGACTTCTCTTGAGCGCATGTTGCTTCTCTTTGCGCGGCATTCCGCATTTTACCCGGGGGTGTTTTTCGCCATCGGGTTGAGTCTCTTTTTCGATCCTCAGCACCCTCGTGCCTTTGCCGCTGTTTCTGCGATTGTGCGCGTGATCCCCACAGCTTTGGAGTATTATACTGGCCCTCTTTCTTTCTGTAGCCCTCTTCGACTGGCTGGGCGTCATCTTATTTGCTGGAACGGGAGGGCACGAGCAATTTCACAGCTTTCAGCGGGGATGTGTGTCTCTTCTCCTGGTTGTTACTACTGTGAGACTCCCGCAGGTAACAGCGCCTCGACAGCCGTCACTGCCTGCCTTGCTTTACAAGGCTTTCTCTGCACTTCCATCCCGTGTTTTCGCGCGCATCTCTCTTTTGCATATTGCCCCTTACACAAGTCGCACCTTCCCATGCTATTTAGCGCAAGGCTACGCCCCTTGCCCCCATGTGCTACCCGCCGTTCCGGCTTCTTCCGTCATGTTGTCATGTATCCCGCTTTCTGCGCACTCCTGCTGCACTGCAGTACTCTACAACCGCACTGTTTCCAACTCCGCCTCCTCCCCCAATCTCATTGCTTCCTTCTGTCTCTCTGTCTCTCTCTGTCTGTCTGTCTGTCTGTCTGTCTGTCTGTCTGTCTGTCTGTCTGTCTCTCTCCCTCTCTCTGTCTTTATCGCTCCCTCTCTCTCTCTATCGCTCCCTCTTTCTCTCTCTATCGCTCCCTCTCTCTCTCTCTCTCTCTCTCTCTCTCTCTCTCTGTCTCTATCGCTCCCTCTCTCTCTCTATCGCCCCCCCTCTCTCTCTCTATCGCTCCCCCACTCTCTCTCTCTATCGCTCTCTCGAAGAAGCCTCTCCACTCCGTGTCCTCCCCTGCCTCTACCAGCAGCACCCGAGTCGGCACACCGTAGCAGCAGACATCCCCGCCTTCCTCGAAGATGCATGCACCCTCTCTGCCTCGCTCCGTGCACGCGCGTATGGCCTGTGCTGTAGGTGCTACTTTGCGGCTACACCGTACATGAGGCTGCCGTGCTCTTCGTGATTGCTTTTTATCTCATTACTGCGCTGCTGTTGGGACTCTTTGCGGCCGCCTTCTTCTCTGCCTTCAGACGACAAGAAGAGAAGGTGAGGAGGCCGTTGTCTGGCGTGATGCCGCGACCTCTTTTAGCGCGGCGTCTAGCCAGCAGCGTACCGTACAGCGCATGTATACCGGGCTTCCGAATTGCAGTGGCTGCTCGCGGCGAGACGCAGCGCCATCAAGGCCAGCCGCAGTTTTGTGCCTCCACTGCCTTTTTGCTAAAGCTGCACCAGCTCTCTGGCCTTTTGGGTGTCGCTTGCGTGGAGTCCCCCCTTCTTCCCCACGCCCTCTTGCTGAGAAGAGACTGCGGTGTAAGCAGTACGAGCATGTGGAATGCTTTCTCCCGCAGGATCTAGCCGAGCTGTCTGCTCTCCGCGTCCGGTACCTTCTTTCCGCCTTTTCCCTTCTGCAGGACTGTGGAGGCGGCCACGTGAAGCTGCGAGAGTGGCGTCTTTTTTACGAGGCTCTCTCTGCCCTCCCTCCCGCCTCCTTCCAGACGCTGAGCCCCGAAGAAACAAGGCTTTTTCTCCAGCAGCAGCAGCAACAACAGCCAGATTCCTCTCTCGCTCCGGAGCAGAAGCGACTCGGAACAGTGGCACTAGTCAGCCCCAAAGATCGAGAAGAGACGGACTGGCTGCCCTCTCCGTGGGGTTCCCCGAGCTCGAGGCGCATGCAGCTCCGCGGAGCAGACCGCATCGGCGCCAGCGAGGCCTCGCGCTTGCTGCTGCAGGCGTCACCTCTCGCTGCATCTGCCTCAGCTGCATCGGCCGCGGAGGCTGCCGAGGACGAAGTGCAGGAAGCAGCCTCGCTCCTGCGTGCCTGGGGCATGCGCGAAAGGCAATTAGGAGGCCCTTTGCGTGCCCTCTATCGTCGTCAGATGCTCGCGGAGGCTCAGTTTGCCTTGGACTGTCTGGGAGAAGCCAGCGCCGACTCGGGGGGAGGCAGAGGCATCTCACCCCTCGCGTTCGCGAGGTTGCCCGCTGCTCTCGCTGCTGTTGGTGGGTATCTAGGGGCCAGGGGAAGGCACAGAAGGATGCTGTTGGGAGCTTCGCTGCATCCAAACGCTGCCCCTCGTCGAATTCTGCCTCCCCTCCTTCCCACGGACTCTGTGCCTCCTCCTCGCAGAGCTCGCCTTCCCCCCCTTCCCCCCGACGCACACACATTACCACACACGCCACATACAATGCAGTATAAATACACCTATCCATGTACACACACAGATCAAGCATTATCTATGTATCTACATGTCCACGTTCAAAGGGGTGTCGGTCACTCGACATTGGCAGAGTAGGATGAGGGGCGCTCCACTCTCTTGAGTTCTTTATCGCTCTTTGCGCACTCTGCTCTGTAGAGAAGGAAAAAGCCGCAGCAGCTGCCAAGGCCTTTGAGAAAGCTCGCACGCCAAGGGCTTCCTCTTGGGCCTGGGGTCTGAGCGCCGTAGCCGACATTGCCGTCGCCGTCTCCTTGGTTGTTACGTTTTTACAAGTGGGTGTTGTTGAGAACACAGCGGGGAGGTGGGAACAAGAGGAGGGGCGCATACACGGAACACAGAGAGTGGTCTTGAGGGGGAAGGAGGGAGAGAGTTCAGCGGATCTCAGCCGGGCAGAATGGCACTGAGAGGCAGTTAGGAGCACCGGGGGGTCACGAGCTGACTGCTCACTGGGGAGGGATCACGGGGAATAAAGGCCATGTGCAGATCGATAAGGGGGGAGGAAGGCGCTGGGATTCATGTGAACTAAAGGCTCAATCAATCAAGGGGACCGCACGCAGCAGCGGGGACTGCACAGTTCTGGAGCTCTTTGCAGATGGCGAAGCACTCGAGGGCAACCGAAAGGCAGGCACACCCCTGGGGGGTGCTGCCGGATAGCAGTAGTTGCTTGCAGCTCTGAGGAAAGAGATACGTATGTTTTGAACGAAAGCTGCTCCGCGAGTGCTTTTCTTCAGACGCGGAAATTCATTCTGACTGCCTCCAGTCTAACGGGAGAGCCTATCGACGAAGAAGCCGCAGACGGGATGCCAGCTTCCTGTTTCCTCTCGCATGCCACGAGCTACTGGCTGCAGTTTGGCCTCAGCGCTGTGTATTTCTCGTCCGCGGGGGCCCTTCTTGGCCTCGAGGTTAAGCACAGGGGCCTTTGGAAGCTGTCTACTGTTTCGAAGCAAGTCTCAATGTTCATGGTGCCCCTTTGAGGGTCTCTGCCTCCCTCTTGCCCCATGCATTCTCCGTTTGCCGCTGTCTCTCTGGCCTGCTCGCTACACACATCTCTATCCAGCTTCAGCGTCCTCAGACTGCTGCTGCACTTGCTGGCGAGGCTAGTCACAGGCTGGCGACACTGCATTGCGCTGTGCTGGTGTGGGCTTACATCGCTGCCTGTATATGCGCGTGTCCACCCCTCTCTCTCTCGCGTTTGTCTTGGTCATTCGGTGGTAGCTACAGACATGAGCCTCTTTCTAGCAGGTGATGGTGTCCATTACCACGGTGTGTCTGAAGCATTCCACGCCTGTGACGCTCCATTCATTTTCGTCTCAGTTTCGACTTATGCGCAATAGCTGCCCTTTTGGTGGTTGATAGTGCGTGCCTTCTCGCGGGAGCGGCACCGTCTCTCTCCCCGGAAAATAACGCAGAGGGCCTCGTGGATGACCTGTCGCGCTGTATCGCCTTTGCTCGGGTCCTTAGAGGCCTTCGGATCGGATTCAGGATCAACCCCTTGAAGAAGATGGTATGCTGCTGCTGTTGCTGCTGGCTCTCGAGCGTAGAGGAGCAGCTGCGACTGCTCCTCTACGCGTGAAACAGGGCAGCGCCCTGCATGCGCCCAGATCGATGTGCTTGGAAGAATGTTTGTTTGTGCCTGTTGCTGTAGGTCACTCGCTTGCTAAGGGCTGTGCGACGGCTAAAGACAGTGATACAAGTTCTGCTGCTTCTGTTTTACACCTACGCGACGGTAGGAATGGAATTGTTCAGGGGCCTCATAGAATGCGAGCTCGGAGCCCAAGGCATTGGCTCCACAGGTCCAGAGGCAGAGGGAGACCTCACCGATTGGGGGCTTTTGAATTTTAACGATCTTTTCTCCTCGCTGGTGACGCTCTTCTTGCTTACTGTAAACGGCTGGGATGATGCCTTGAAGGTCAGCTGTGTTTCCGAGGCTTACGCCTTTCTGAGAGTCCCCCAGCCTTTTTTTGACGACGATTGTCAACGGGAAGGCCGCATATTCATTCACACAGGACCCGTGCAATGAATGATGCGATGCATACACACCCAAGACATCATCATCCTTCCCGCAGCCACAACATCAGTTGGCTGGTCTTTCTCGCATCCTAGTGCTTCCTTTTGCAAAGCTGTGCGCGTGTCGAACTGCGCGATTGCAGGCCCTCGTAAAGCACACTTCGGTACTGAAATGCAGTTTGTACTTTGTGTCATTCTACATCCTAACCGACACCATCCTCCTCAATCTTCTTGTGGCACTCGTCCTGGAAGCCTACGAGCAGGCAAGTTAAGCGGCCGCTCGACGTGGCTAGAGTTCTGCTCGCCTCGTCGAGGATCTGTGTTTAGGGCCCTCTGCACTCACCAGCAGCAGCCGCCAGAGCCTGAAAAAGGGAAGCGGGACGGCCGCAAGGCGAAAGAGACAGCTGTCGCTGCGTGTGCGCTGCCATTTTGCATGCAGGTCTCGTCCGTGCCCCCCCAGATAGCGCCTCCAGCTGTCGACGAGCAGCCATTCCACAATGCCGCGCATAAAATGCCACTGCTGCTGCAAATCGAGGGAACGCTTCTCAGCGAGCAGTCCAGGAGCCCCGCAGGGACCGAGAGCAGCCACAATAATTCTCCATTAATTAGCTAATTAGCGAGAGAGCTGACTCGCTAGCCACCATCATAGGTAAACACTCACGGGGCAGCTAGCTAGCTAGTTGGCTAGCTGCCTACAAATTGGCTTTTCGGTGGATTAGGGAAGGCTGCATCTGCGTTCCTCCTGTCAAGAGGCAGCAGATGACCCTCTGCCTTTTCGACTGCGAGCCTCAGCCCCCAGCCCGAAACACGAGTCTGTAGGGATCTCTACAGCTTTGGTAGAAGATCAGCAACAGCGACAGCTCTGAAGAGCAGAAGGATCACGCCGTCTCGATAACGTGCCGTCAGCCGAGTTCTGCTTCCCCCACATTGCGCTAGCCACCTAGGCACTTGGAGCCTCTTACTAGTGACCGCAGCTGCACAGCTGGCTAGCCACTTGCCTACACATCTCTCACCCAGCTCTGTGGTATTTCGCGGTGTTACAACGCGAGTCGACAGTACGAGCACATAGCCTACACCGAGTCATAAGGACTGTTTTCTGCTGTGCTATTTCATCTGACTGTTCAGCTGCCTCTCGTGCGCTCTGCATCTGTGCCCCAAAGCCTTCCTCGAGACTCCTCTGCCGTCTCCCCTAGTGGGTCAGGCAGGACCCTGCAAAACTCAGTGTTCTGGTGTCTCTGTTTCTCCACCGCCCTGCTTCTCTTCGTCTGTTTATTGCACTCTACAGTTTGTAAGGTCCGGTTAGAGCTACACCTCAGTGTCAACGCAACTCCTATCAGCCATGAAGGGTAGGGGCGTGGAAGGCCGGTATTATCCGGGGAACTCCCCAAAGAGCCTCCCCTCGATTCACTTGACAAACAGGGGCCGAGAATCGCAGTGGAAATAAGGAAGCATGCGAAATTGGGGTGGTGATGATACAGGCCTCAACATAGTACAAGACTGCAGAGTGATGGGCTATGTTGCTCTGTCAGTTTCGTCCTTGTCCCCCTCTGTCCATCCTTGTTTGGCTATACTGGGACTTGTACGGCCCCTCTTGACATTTTTCTGCTACAAAAATCACTAGAATCTTTCTCACTCGTCTGTAATGAGACTACTTCTTGACGAAGCTGCAGACGCAGAGACGCACATGCATACGAGAGAAACGTGCAGCAGTCGTGCCCTCGGCCTTACGGGATCCGAACGCGGCAAGCCCAAGATACGGAGTCAACTGAAGAAACGTTCAGGGTGTCGCAGAAGAGGGCTAGAAACACAGATGCCCCGGCGTATGCAACTGATAATGGCGACGCAAGCCAGCAAGCACGGACATAGAGGGAATGCAGGCAAAGCAGCACGCAGCAAAAAAAGAGAAGGCACAGGGGGAGAAACGCAGTCGGCGCTAAAGCGGCAATTCACGCAAGAGGTCTTTTGCACGGCTTATTGAAAAGCTATGGGTAATTGCATAGGGAAAGGGTAGCGACAGCGCAGCTCTGGAAATGATCTCACCGAGCGAGAGCTCCTGTAATAGCTGGCACATCCCCCTCCGAGGTTGGCTTGCTCTCCTTGGCGGCTGCCATCCTCAATGCTGTCTGGTGCCTCTTCTTGATGAGGCGCTCCCTTTCGCTCTTCTGCAGACAACAGAGGCGGTCAGGAGGCACCCGTATTCTCACAATGCTGCTAGGTGGGAACAAAACAGCTCAAACGCCACTGGCAAACGCATTCACAAGCCCGAAGACCATTCCCCCCTTGTAGAAACAAATCCAAGGGAAAGAAACAGAGAGGCAGCGGGAAGCAGCAGGAAAGCAACATGAATAGCCGTCCTCCTGTGGGGACTTTGTTCATGCCTTCTAGTAAACACGACAGAGGCAAGCAAACTCAGACACAGAGTGGAGTGACAGGCGTTCGACGACCATTCTGTATCCTAGCCACGCTTCCATTTTTCTCAATAAGCACGCAGAGCACAGGGGAGACACCGCAGGAGTCGAACCTGATTCCGCTTTTCTGCTGTTCCCCGCCCTCTTTGCTTCTTCTTTGGCTTTCTGGTCTTCTTCACGCCTGCATGCAAACGGTCAGGACGACTCCAGGCTTAACACTTTCTGCTTTGGCCTTCTTTCATATTTCCTCGGCTAGATCAGTCGAAACACTTGTGGCCCTAATTAAGCTGCAGTCTTCATGAGAAAAGCAAGATGCGTTACGTATGCATCTGCAGACGCTCCTTCGAAAGGCGTAAATACCAAAGTATGCATCCGCGCGTACGGCTAACCAGCCAGCGCGGTGTACAGGTACAAAAACACAGCTTTGTGGTCACGGACAGCTCGAGTGACAACCCACACAGGCACCCAGTGCCTCAAAACAAGGCCCCCGCATGTGTGTGCTGATGAAAAGTTGTTCACTCATCCTCTAGCCTCCACCTCCAATACTGGGAGAGACTTGAAGCCAGCAGAGAAAACTCCGCACGATGATAAGCAACACCACTTTCCCAGTCCGATACCTGCCCCCTTCTCTTTCTGCAGTGTCCCTCATTCCGTTTCCCTCTCTCGCTCTCGCTGCGCTACGGATCCTCTCTACCTCTCTCTTCCTATCCCCCAGTGGCGGTGTTCAGTTTCTGCTAACCACGGATCTGCAAGCCTTACTCTCTGGCAAGGGCGTCTCCACTGGGGCCGCCTTGCGCTTCTTGTCGAACGTTCCAATAGGCGTCGAGTCTAGTGAAATCATATCGGCCGGCAGCTTCTCCAGCAGCGAGTGAACCTCCCGTTCCCGCCGTTGCTGCACCACATGCCGTTTCAGCACCAACCGCCATAATGTGAACACTCACGGAGGATACAGGGGGAGTTTCAATGCGGGCCTCATCAGAAGGCACCCACAGGAACAACCTCTCGGCCTCATTTCATGCGTTTTCGGCCATGGGGCAGTCCTCATACAGCCGTCGCGCGGAGAAGCAGGAAAGAGGCCCCTAGTTCTGTGTGTCGTTCAAGGTCATTCGACAGCATGAGCCAAGGTGCAAAAGGCTCAAAGGTAGCGATGGAGAGCATCCACGAGGGGTCTCCGTCATAAGAAAAAGCTATCAGCGACATCACCTTTTTGGTTTCGAACGGATTTGCATCTCTCGAGTCAAAGTTCGCCAGCCCAGCACCTGGAACGAGCACAGAGCAGACACCCGCGGTGCTCCCAAAGATGCAGACGTCTTCGAAGGGGCGGAAGCGAACGCTTGTAATTTGCTGCACAAACAACGCACTCGTCCATCACCTGAATACCTGTCAAAACACGAGTTCTTCCCCCGAGCCCCCCCCTTGTCCCCCCCGCTACAGGAGCGATCGCAGAAGCATGGATTTCCACTGCTTCCTGGGTAGCAGTTTCTATCCAGAACCCTTTTGCGTTCCCCACAGCCACTCTCCCTTCGCCCGCTACAGCCCTCCACCTGCCCGAGGCCGCCCTCCCCCCGTCGCCGCGCTCCCTCCCATAGTTCCCCCCGAACCCCATGTAAACGTGAAGAGTCGGGTGCCCTCACTTCGCCTGGAGCTTCGTGCGTCATGTACAGAGAGGCCTTCTTCTGGCTTAACACGTCCTTCCAAACTTGCAAGTGAGAACCGAACCCCAAAGCGACCAGACCTGTCTGGCTTATCGCCACAGAGGACGGGGGAGCTCCAAAGTAGCTAAAGGACTGAGCTGCCTCGTATTTCCGCAAATCCCAGAGCTTCCACTTGCCGTCAACACCTGAATCGACACACAACAACAACCCCCAGAGATACTGCGTGCTATGCACTAAGGAGAGCCCCGAGATATCCCCGAATCCGCCCAACGCCTTAGCGTGGAGTAAGGCGTCTCGCATCAGCACCCTTCCAAGAGACATGCAACAACCAGGGAAACCGCCGTCTAGAGACACGCTTGCAAGCTTAGCCCCTCCATTCCGGAGGACCCACACTGATGATGCCAGCGTGCCATGACGCCCTGAGCGGCAAAAACATTAGCTGATACTAACCGGCAGTGATCATATAGTTGTCTTGCGCTGCGACCGCTGTGACCTTCCCCTTATGGCAAAACATCTCCACAGCCGGCTGCGCAGCACAGATGGACCGCAGCAAACTTCAGCTCCAAACGCGCCCATACGCTATACCGCTTCAAAGCAGCCAGCAGCCAGCTCTGAGAGTCTCCAGATCATGCCAGGCCTATACCCAGTGCCCTTTCGACGCATACGATCCACAAGTCGCACCTTGCCCAGATTGGGTGTCCACAGAGTCACAGTGCCTTTTGTGTGGCCAAGATGCATCACTGCGTTGGTGGGATTCTGCTGCATAATGCTGCAAGGCCCCCTTCGCGTTTTATGTTTCGCGGCAATCTGCCCAGTGGATATATCATAGTACCTTCAAGAAAACGACACACACATGGATATACATATATATATACATATATATCCATGGAGGAACAGACGTCGGTGCGCAGTTGGCTACGCCGCTTGCAAGTGGTAAACGTTCACGACCATTGGGGGAAGCCAGGAACACAGCGGGCATACACAAGCTCCCCGAATTCGCCGACGGAGACCATTAAGTAGTGATACGGGAGAAAGTCCAAAGCGTATGTCATCTGCAAAGCAGCATACCACACATTGTGCCGCTACTACTACCTGCTCGAGACGCATTTTTCTCCTTAGAAAGTTCGGCTCATGTTTTACTCCGCTTGGTCACTCCTCTGTCCCTCTATAGGTGCCCAGCTCTGCAGTCGCCCCTACTTCGGCTTCTGGCAAGCGAGCCAGCAGCGTGAGCTCGCAAGGCGTGCCCATAGATCTGAGTAGCTCTACGCGTGTGGCTACCATATGGATCACTGCAAGCACAACCATCTTGTACGGATTACTTGTCAAGCTTGCCACCCACACGCTGGCCCTCCACGCAATCAGGGGCCTACATGAGGTCCTAAAGGCGCCTATCCTATCCAGCTAGGCACAACGCACTATGGACGGCGTGACGAGGCTTACCATGATGTCTCTTAAACAGTGAATTTCGATGCCCTGGTTGTCGTAAATGTAGACATACTTCTTCTGCGCTGTGACACACACCAACACGTAAAAAGCATAAAAAACAACACGAATTTTAAAACCGGAAACGCCCCGACTGACTAATCATTGAATGTGCTCGCACAAAAGCATAGGCACACTTGGCTAGGAGGCTATATATATACATATATATGTATATACGTCAGTGCCAACTCTACGCACGGCTTTCACCAAATACAGACAACAAGAACACGCATAGAGATACAGCAAGGCACGCATGAAGGCACACAGGGCTATAGACAGCCTTTACGGGGAAAGCTCTAACTGTGAGTGCCCATATATATGCAGTAAAGAGAACAGAATAAGCAGTTAGAACGCTGCGCCTCCTATAGGCAGACACCTAGATATGTGGCTGTGTTTCGACGACTGTACGCATAAATTCGCGAAAACGGAAGACGCAGGGAGACACAGTGAGGTGCACATGTATTGGTGTATACAACTATGCACAGGCTGCCCGATCGGCATAGTGCAACTAAGACTCCCGCTTTTTGTTACAGACAAGAGGCCACTGCCTGAAGGGCTGGAGCCAGCAAATACCTGCAGCCCATAGCGTATGATTCTGCAAGAAGTGTACGGCTCGGACGGTCTCCTTCACCTGCACAGAAGCAGAGAGAGGCAGAGCAAAACACATTCCCCCACAAGAGTGGTAAACTCCCGAACAGACACGAAGGGTCAGGGCATGCGTGGAAGCGAGGCGCAGCACTAGCGGTAGGGGGAGCCCAGGGATGACGTAAGACAAGACGAAATCGGCAGAAGCGATCTCAAAGGAGTAGACAAAAAGAGACAAGGGGAAGAAGCTAGAAGAAGGAAGAGGAGCCAGCCGTGCGCCAGCAAGTGCGACCACCACAGACACGCGCACATGCAAGCACAGAAATACAGAAAGAAGTAACCAGGGTCCGCCTAAATCACAGAGCGCAACTCAAAGACACCACTAGAGAGCAAGCGCGAGTCTCCGAACAAGAAACCTCTAGCTTTCTACGATCCAAGGGCCATACGCAGTGAGAGGCACGACGTTCCACAAGGATGAAGATCCAGGGGGAGACACTTCTCGACACAGAAGAGAAAGCAAGGGCACACACATTGATTTCACAAAGAGTCTTCATCTCCTCGCAATCGAGCAACCCTAGAGAGCCTTTCTGTCCTCCAAAAAGCATCTCGCGGCCTCCCCTGCTGACGTCTACCGCGTAGGGTCCAAACGAAAGAGAGAAGCGAAATGCCTGCAAACGCGAGATATGCACTGCTATTCAAGACAACTGCTATTCAAAACAACTGTTATTCAAAACAACTGCTACTCAAGACAACTGCTACTCAAGACAGCTGTTATTCAAGACAACTGCTACTCAAGACAGCTGTTATTCAAGACAACTGCTACTCAAGACAACTGCTACTCAAGACAACTGCTACTCGAGACAACTGCTACTCAAGACAACTGCTACTCGAGACAATTGCTATCAAAACAACTGTTATTCAAAACAACTGCTACTCAAGACAACTGCTACTCAAGACAGCTGTTATTCAAGACAACTGCTATTCAAGACAACTGCTATTCAAGACAACTGCTACTCAAGACAACTGCTATCAAGACCACTGCTACTCAAGACAACTGCTACTCAAGACAACTGCTATTCAAGACAACTGTTATTCAAGACAACTGCTATACAAGACAACTGCTACTCAAGACAACTGTTATTCAAAACAACTGCTATTCAAGACAACTGCTATTCAAGACAATTGCTATGCAAGACAACTGCTATTCAAGACAACTGCTATTCAAAACAACTGCTATTCAAAACAACTGCTATTCAAGACAACTGTTATTCAAAACAACTGCTACTCAAGACAACTGCTATTCAAGACAACTGCTATTCAAGACAACTGCTATTCAAGACAACTGCTACTCGAGACAACTGCTATTCAAAACAACTGCTATCAAGACCACTGCTATTCAAGACAACTGCTACTCAAGACAACTGCTACTCAAGACAACTGCTACTCGAGACAACTGCTATTCAAAACAACTGCTATTCAAGACAACTGCTACTCAAGACAACTGCTATTCAAGACAACTGCTACTCGAGACAATCGCTATTCAAAACAACTGCTATTCAAAACAACTGCTACTCAAGACAACTGCTATTCAAGACAACTGTTATTCAAGAAATCTGCTACTCAAGACAACTGCTATTCAAGACAACTGCTATCAAGACCACTGCTAGTCAAGACAACTGCTATTCAAGACACAAAAGGGACCCCGTGGTTGCATGCCTAAGATGCACCTGGTTGCCTGCAAACAAAGCAGCAGGGGTGTGCTGAGGAAGGGCTGCGGGCAGCCTGACTGACCTTCTTCTTGGCAGCAGCATCAAGGTGCTCCAGGATATCTGCCTGCTTGAACTTGTAAGTCTTTTCAAGCCCCTCCGCCTCTAGAATCCTGAGACGAGGCAGAGGGCACAGGGGCCGAAGCACAGAGAGAGAGACACACAGACAGACACCCCATGCCATGGCGGCACATGCGGCAGCCGGGTTGATGTCGTGAGGATTTATTAGCAGACGCAGAAGACTGCAACGAGAAAGAGAGGAACTGATCTGCGCTAAGCGCGGGCGAGCAAGCGTCTGCATGCCCCATCTTGTTGAAATCCACTGATATTCCCTCGTATTTGCGTTCCCCCTCCCTCGGTAAAGTGCGTTGTAGAGGCACAAATTGTAAAGCGGAGCACGGACAAAGAAGGATGATATATACATGTAAATACTCAGACAAACGCGCATGAGACACGGTTGCAGGCAAAGCCTCTACGGTTAGCGCAGAACTGCGACACACTGAGGACGCCCTACAAAAACCTGGCTACATCGTGTGGGGTTAGTAGATTCTGGAGCTCACCCTTCCTGCTCGGTGGCCAGTGTGGAAATGGCATCCTTGCTTTCGCGGGTGTCAATCTCCAGGCGTTTCTGCTGCTTGAGGATAGCGCGTGACTTCTTGGCGGTTCGAGACTGCAAATACAAGAATATTGCAAGCGCGTAGGGGGAAGCCCTTAGCCCCCTGCCCGCCTTCTCGCTTGGCTTCCGAAAGGCGCACGGGCATGCAAGCCGCACAAGACGAATGGCCAGTTGCCTTGCAGGAAGTGCACACCCACAGAGGGCCTTAGACTGCGTCTTCCCGGCAAACAACTCCGTTCCCCGAATCCACGAGGCTACGACGAGGGCCCTCCATGTGGAAGGGAGAGGGAGGCACGGGGGGGAAGGCGGGGAGGGGGAGAACAGACTGCTACCCTGCTTTACCTGCGGATCGCTCATGGGCAGCTTGCCTTGCTTCGTCCCGGCAGCACTCCCTGGTCGCCGGAAGGCACGCAGGCCGTTAGGAGCCCCCATCGCGTGTCGAGTCTCAGGCTGGGGGGGGTATCCCAGCGTAACAGCACACAGTATCCAGCCTCCAGCGTCCGCGAAACAAGAGAGCAGCTCGCTAGCCGCGAGAAGAGGCCCCCTTCCCTGTGCACGGTGCTCTTGGACCGTCGGGAGGGCGTGGGCAGGAGCCCGTCGGTGACTCCTCCACGGCTTCCTTCTGCGAATTAGAGGGCTATGAGCTGTACGCGGAAGAAGGCAAAGAAAAACACTTGGTGCTTTTTAGGGGAGCGAGGAATCTACAACAAAAAGATCCTCTGGCGAGGCGTGGGGCCCCGCCGATGCCTCTGGCCTTCGCTGCATGCCACAGCCGGGTTGGAGCACGCGCTTCCCGGGACTGATTGCCGCTCCTTCGGCGGCTTTTCGAATCTTCTCCTTCAGTTGGATCGGCACGACTCCTGCCCTCACCGCGATTCGCGGTGCTCGCCGCAGCCGAAGCACTCAGCTAGCGTGGTGTGCGAGTGAACGAGCACGCATCTCCATTCAGGTGGTTCGAGCGCAGGAAGATGGCTTCTCCCAGGGAAATGGAACCAGTTGGCCACTACCAGCAGATGGTTGAGGAACCTTCGAACGCTGGAGACAAGAAAGTCAAGCTCTCCCCCGAGAGCGAAAATCCAGGGGCGTTCTCTAACAACGGGGTACGAAGCACCACACCCCCAAAGAAATCGAACTTCGTGATCCAGATCTCGCAAATTACGCGCGCGTGCTAACTATTTCTGTCGTTAGGAGTCCATTGTGCGGAAAGAGCACGCACAGTAGGAACCGAACACCCGAAGGCGTCAATGTGTGACCGCTGCAGCACGCCAAACAGCACAAAAAGCCCATCCGCAGCTCGAAGAAGAGAGCAGACATACAAGCCTCGATCAAGGAAAGAGAAGACGTAGGGATGGCGCACACACCACCCTGTGCCTCAATGCTTATCGCTTCAGAATCGCGAGTCTTGAATCGGCCCTTTAGCTCATGCGGATCCAATTGCATTGCACCAAAAAGGAGCAAAGCCTTCTGCCGAAAAACTCTTACTGCGCGCACGGTGCCGCTTATGCACTGGGTTTGCCCTTGCCTGTATGTGCAGTGTTTAGAGCCAGCGGGATGCGTGTGGGCTGGATGCCTGGGGGCCGAAGTGGTGAGCTGGAAAGCCATAAAGCCTACAGTGGCTTCACTCGGCGTGACAGTGTTTAGTAGCGCATGCACCACCTCTTTAGCGTATTTCTTTGCGAATTCAAGAGGAAGAAGCACCAGCAGCCATGCCGCCAATAAGTATACTTAGCTGCACACAGTAGACATGTGCACCTCAAGGCGAACATAAAGCACGGAAAAGCGGCACACCCTGCCTTTTACACGCTATTTTTGCGATGCTCTGTTGTGTTTGCCGCTTCAGCTATTTGCCGACCTCCTGAAGGCACTCAAGCGACCGGAAATCACAAATCCCTGCTATCTCAAGTCAGCCCAGCAACGCCCGCCCCTCAGATATCTGGTTGAGGTTCACCAAACGCCAGTCATCAAGCATCTACCCGTAGAATGGAACAGGGAGTGTCTGGCTTGTGCTGCGTATTCTGATACAGAGTGGAAAACACATACAGCGAGGTTCTCTTTTGCAGATGCTTCGCAAAGCAGAAAACTGTCTTCATCTTCCGCTTTGGTCAGAAACGAGTCCTTTTCTCCTGATGTTCCCTCTTCTTCCGCTCACCTACATCTGTTTGAATACTGCGCCTAGCTTCTGCCGCAGGAAGGACTCCGAGCTAGTTTTGCCTCCAGTGCATGGGAAGAGACAGGTCTGTTCGTTCCCCTCTCATGCGTTCTTTCGCAGGCTGCGTGGTGGCTTGGGATGTCAACATGGAGGAACAAAAGGTGCTCTTCTAAATTCACACGCCGCGCCGCTTATTCGGCAGACGGGGGCCTATGCACACCCCGAGCTTGTTGGTGCTTGCTAGTTGGTGCCTATTATTTGCTGTGCCCGGCTCCTGCTGCTTGCGACTGCCTAGGCCCTCATCGCCTTCATGCATCCCTTCCTCAAGGAGCCCCTGGGCGACAGGAAAGAAGATGACACGATGACATATGTGTGGGGAGACCGTGCAACTATCAAGGCAGACAGCATACACCTCGTCACAACTAACGTCTTTGAGTGCCTCGCCTATTCCTACGCCTTTGCACAGGTCCGTCAGACACTGGGACTCGTGAGGGTGCTACATACTTTTTTTCGACTAACGAGCATGCAGGGGATTGAGCAACATGATGCTGAAGCAATAGGTGCTGGGGATGCATAGACGCTGGGGCAGGGCCCCAAGCAGAGACGCAGGCAGTAGTATTCCTAGGGGGGGCTCAGCATGAGCTGTTTTCGTGCACTGCGCTTATTAATGGCAGAGCGTTAAACTTGCTCTCTTCGAGACGTTGGTTGACGCGGATATTGAACGAACGAAAATGATTCCAGGTACTGGTTAATTCCCTGGCAAGCTCCTAGCTTTGCGTTGTTTCTTGCATCTCCTTGCGGCATGACTCTGGGTCAGCTTAATCGTTGCTGTTGCTAATGTTACAGAGAGTCTGGCAAGGACTGGAAACATACAGTCGACGCGCGAGGATATTGGCCGCAGGATTGGCGAGCTTTTCGTCAACAGGTTCTACATTAACCTCCACACAGACATCCTGGACACCCCAGGTAAGCAAGGCGGCTCCTGGTATCAGTGGACTGCAGTGACTGCCCCAAGAGGAGCCAGCCTTTCAAAAACACCGCTCGCATATTAGAGATTTTGCAGCAGAATTTTGGACCGTAGTTTTGGCTGCGTGCACTTGGGTGTGCTTGCTGATGTTCAGTGTGTCTCGTTGTGGCAGTGCACTGCTCACGACTCCTAGTGCAGGTGTATGCGGCTTGCATTTAGATATTTTCTGGGACAACGATGACTTTGCTGATCACTACGATCATTGCCGCCGCTACTTGGAAATACCGAAGCGCGTAGAAATTTTGAATCAGAGGTTCGCAAGGCCTTGCATCTTCCTAAATTTTTCTCCGCTTCATCCCTCCCCTACTACTTTGCCTGTACTTCAGGAGTGCAAGGAAGCGTGGCAGCGGTTTCTGTATTTATCTGCAGACTAGATATTATAAAGGACCTGTACGACATGCTGAACAACGAGCTAACCATTCAGGCAAGTAAAGACTTTGGCAGAAAGAACTAACGTGGGAAGATTAAACGGGAGCCACAGCAGCAGCATTTCAACGGCTGCGGCACTAGCGGTAGCAAAAGGACGGTTTATAAGGAGTCCTTGATTATTACAGACGCTGTATTGATTGTTTTGATGACAAATGTAGGTAATCCGTGGTTCGTGTGTGGGTGCTTTGCAATGCAGCATGGGTATAAGCTGGAGTGGATTGTTATTTACCTCATTTGCATTGAGGTGCTGATTGAAGTTGTCTGGAATATTTTGATCAGAGATGTGCTAAAATGGGTGTAAAACCCAGGCGATATGGGGGGGGTGTGACCCTTTAACTTAGCAGAGGGGTTTATACAAGTGCTCGCGCGGCCGATTCTGCCTTTATTGCCTCGACTGCAATAGGTTAGGCAGATAGCAGAGAATAAGAAGGTATTCATGGCTGGATCCGAAAATATGGCACTTACTGGCCGGGGCGAATTGGGCCAGGATTCTCGCAACGTTCGTGTGTAGTGCATCTTTTATCATTTCACCCTCGGCCTGAAATTTGCACGCTCAGGCGATCCTTAGAGTTGCCTTTTGTGTGTGGAGTCATTGAAGACACACGCACCCGAAGTAGCTTCAATTGAAGTTGGAGTATCTTCATTCGCTCCTAAAGTTGAACCACTGTACGCAGCAACATCTGGGCTGCTCTTAGCGTACCGACTTACCAGGCGCTCCGTCGCGTCCCTTTTCTTCTGCATTTCGGCGACAATCTCGTCTACTGTCGGGTACCTGTGGAGGTGACCCTCGTAGGAGGAATGCGGACTGCAGCGTATGCATGGACTCACGGTTTTTCAGACTGGGCAATCTTCACGTTGAGCTGTTTCTCAGCTGCCATTGCAAACTTTGACTCTGCAGCAAGCATTTAGCGCTTCTCTCCAACGCTGTTCTGACGGGAGCCCCAAAACGGCACTTACGCTGAGCAGCTGACTCGGAGCTACCGAGTTGCAGGAACGATGTCATCGGCGTTGGCTGTTAACAGAGCAATCTAATTATAAGGGGAGAGAGAGCGCTCCTTTAATACACTAACAGCGTGCGGGGTTTCTTTCGGGCCTCTCTCCACTTGCTGGAAAGCGAGGGGTGTTGGGGCGTATGATCCGGGTGTGCTTGTAGCACTTTTCATGGCTTTTGACACGGCCTGTCCTCGCAACGCGTCTTTTATGATTTTCTCTACCGATTATTGATGAAACCTACCTTCTTGTCCACTAGAAACGGATTTAACTGGATCTGAATGTTCTTCTCAAGCTCTGGTAATGAATGCGCCTGTTCAGCTCCCTCCTCCTACATTCTGTACTGGCATACCTGCTATCGTGATGCGCGTCAGCTGGCCAAATTCAGCCATTGCTTGGTCGAACATCTGAAATAGGGCACTCCATCCTGCTTTCTGCAAACGTGGCTAAGCCTATGCACGTACCTTTGTCTCCTCGTCAGCGCGTAGTTGCTCTATCTCATCCTATTGAAGATTAGCCGTAAGCCTGCCTTTCTGCAAAGCATTGGCTTACCATTTTTTCTTTTATCTGGGGATCGGGCTCTCTGACTTCGGTTAGCTGCGAGAAAAGCCATGCTATTTGATTAGGGGATAAGAGTAGCACAGATCATTGTATATACTTGTAATTTAACTGCAGGAGGGGGAGCGAAGGCAGCCGATAAAATATTCCCAATGAAGCCACTCTGGTTACGCGCAGTTTGCCCAGTTTGCAAGAACGATGTAAGCGCTACAGGAGCCCTGGTTCCCGCCAGCTTGAGAGGCTGACGAGGTGATTGCAGGTCTGATACATCCGTGCTGCTCCTGGTGATTATTTCGATCCATAGTTATCTTCGCATAGGATAAATTTATATGCTAACTTGTTAATTTGACGAAATGCAAAATTTCCTTGTCCCACTGTTGTTGCCGTCGTACTTGGTTGCATGACTCCCTTGATCGCCCCTTCCAAAATATCGGGATCGTTGAATACGCTCATTGCCTTGGATTATTCTAGGGATAGGACATCCGTCGCCAGTAGAATAAACAACATGAGCTTACTCTCTCTACGGCGCTGGCTATCTCTGTCTGAGCATTATCTAGCTGCTCATTGTATTCGTCTTCCAGTTTTGCCATCAACCCCTAAGGCGAACATAATAGCCTCGTGCAAGCTGTACACAAGAATCCAATTGATCTGACCTCTTCTAGCTCCATTCTTGCCCTCTCTAGGAGGAGTACTTCTGCTGTAACTTGAGGCAAGGGCTGCAAAAGTGTTCATGAACGCGCAACCCGTAGCTGCAACAGCAGAATTTGAATGTTCACGTACGTCGTCAGGGGGGGAAAGCTTAACTTCAATGGACGGAAGTGTTTGTGCGTTTTGTTTAAACTTAATAGGCCACGAATTCTGAGGAACGGGTGTATTGGGTTGTCCTGTACTTCATTATTTGGTCATCTTTACCTCTCGCAACGCCACAACGGTCCGAACAGGAATAGCGCATACGATCCCGACGAGTCCAGCAATTTGAGGGAAACGCCTCCGCATTTTCACATATTTTTGGTTTCGGCGGAAATCGTGGCTCCTTTGAAAAGCTAACTTCTTGCTTACAGTTGGTCTATTGAAGACATATACAGTGCAGTATGCAGATGATGATACACCGCAAACGCTGCAGTGGCTTCCATCGGTAAGCTAACAAGAAAGTAAGATCATGATAATGTAACTTGAAGGAGATTATTCGCGGTCTGAAATGCGCCAACGATATCCCATTGCTTATGGTTCCTCTGTATACTAATGCAATCGAGCACGCCACAGGGGAGGAAAGTTGCGCTGCTCAAAGTAGGTGTACATCGTAATGCGTTCAGGTCACTTTTCCCCAAAATTTGCTTGAAGTAGGGCGTGCTTGGATTTTTACGAACAGCAACAATGAGACAGTAGTTCGTTGCACTCGCTGGGGCACGCTCGGATGGAAGGGCATGCCTATTTCGTTCCGCATGCCACCACAACTAGTGCTGAGCCGCACCCACCATGTGCTGTGGAACTAAAAACCGTCCGATGATATTAAGAAAATTTAATACACACAATCTGTCTTCACTTATCTGTGTGCTAGAGAAGGGAAAGCCCCGCGGAACGGGCGTAGCCGGGAAACCAGTTTCCTTAACACCGGAGTAGAAGCCACCCAATCGCCCTATAACACTCGGTGATCGGTGCTTTCCGTTGCTTGAATGAAGTCGGCCTTCTTTGAAAGACACTTACCTGCTATGCCGCCTTGCCCTTCACCGGATCGTTTGCACGGTGACAAGCTTATTAGCCAGACTCTGTGCAGCAACAAAAATGAGTAAACACAGAGTTCTTATGCATATTTGCACAGTACATAGCTCATTTTGTTGTCTGGCTGGATATGTTCAGCTCAGCGTATTGCACAATGCCTCGATTGTCGGCCATGGGTCCCCCAGGTGCTGAGGATGTACATTATGAGCAACCTTGGCTGCTTTACGATACATTAGAGCCCTCTAAAGCGTCCTGCATGTGAGCGAGGAAGTTTCAGCTCGTTGGCGGTAGATATGCCTCCCTTGTTCGTGAAGCCTTTACATGATTGCGGCAAGGAGGATGGGGCATTGGTTGCTTCTCTTTCTACGCAGCACCCTGTTCGCTCTATTCTTGGTGCCGAGGCTGCTGCCTGTGCAGGGTGAGCGGATTATGCAGGCACTTCCCCGGGCCCATCTTCCTGCAGCTGCCTTCGTTTCCCGTGTGACCCCCAGTCCCCCCCTCTTTCTCTCAGCAGCTGCACCTCTTTCAAAACAGGCAGCCATTACCTCTGCTATTTCTGCGGCTGGGAACGAGGTTACTGGTATTCCATACCCCGTCCAGGAGGTAGAGCGACGTTGGGTGGAATATTACGCCCAGCGCTCTGCTGAGTTCTCCCCAGACCTACCACAGCCATGCAGCCCGGCAGCAGCAGCATGTGAAGTGAAGCAAAATGAGGAAGGCGTCCCTAAAGGCAAAAAGTTCTACGTTCTCTCGATGATACCCTACCCCTCAGGCAGCGGCCTCCACATGGGTCACTGTTACACCTACGCCTTAGCCGATGTTGCTGCTCGCTACCAACGGCTGCGGCTTCGTGCCGACATGTTGGAGGCTCAAGTAGAAGCGGCACGCTGTCCTACTCCTGCTTGCTCGGCCGCTGTTCAGGATCAGCAAGGACAAATTGGGGACGGGCGACCTCCCCAGCCAAATGTGTTGCACGCTATCGGCTGGGATTCGTTTGGGTTGCCCGCAGAGCAGCACGCAAGGGAACGAGGAGAGCCTCCCGCATCCGTTGTCGCTGCCAACATCAACGTCTTCAGACGTCAGCTGCAGCGCCTGGGGATCAGCGTAGACTGGCGGAGAGAGATCGCGACCAGCAACCCTGAGTTCTTTCGTTGGACGCAGTGGGCGTTCATTCAAATGCTGAAGAGGGGATTGGCCTACGAGGCAAATGCTGAGGTTAACTGGTGCCCAGCACTGGGTGAGGCTTTGTTTATAGAGCGCGTAAGATTTAGGCCTTAGGGCACAGAGCTAGAGGTCTACTTTAAAGTGTGAGGGAGGAGGCGACTCGAGTGGCAAATAGTATAGTGTAGAGGGACCAGTTTCGTAAGTGGGAGCCAGAGGCGACAACGCATGGGCAGCTGCTGTTTACGGGGTTCGTGACTTACCCGCAGGCACAGTGCTGGCTAACGAAGAGCTCACACCAGAGGGCCTGAGCGAGAGAGGGCGATTTCCTGTTGAAAAGCGGCAACTGCGACAGTGGCACCTGAAGCTGTTGGCCTATGCAGATCGGCTGCTTGCTGGTTTGTCTTTTCTGGACTGGCCTGCTGACGTTCTGCGGATGCAGCGTCACTGGATAGGCAAGGTTGTGTATCTGCGGCTTAGCCTAGAGCTAACGAACGGCCAGGCCCCTCTGCCTGCTCTGCTTCTGGCCCCTGAGCACCTTTATGGTTGCTCAGGGGTGGTGTTGCATCCTTGCCACCCCGTTTCTAGAAGGCTATATGGCACTGCGCAGGACAAACACCGTATCGACGAGTACATAAAAGCCAGAGAGAAGGGGTTATACCCTCAGAACGTAGAGATCCAGAAGGGTGTGTTCACCGGAGTCTACGCGCGCCATCCAGTTACAAGCTACCTAATGCCTGTTATTGTATCTGACACCTTGGAGCACATGCCAGAGTTTGGACTGCAGATTACTGCGTCGGATGGCGTGCTTGTCTCTCCTGCCAAGCACTCGTTTGTAGCTCCTCTCACTGCTGCAGGCTTGCTGCCTGTGTCACCCGGTGGGAAACCTCTGAGACAGAGACCTGCGGGGGCCCCCCAGGCAGCGGCGTCGGAGGAACGGCTTCGAGGGATGCAGGCAGACTTGGCGGGAGCGTTATCGAATGAAGGCGTCTGTGATTCAGATCTTTCAGGCGGAAACAAGAGGGAAGCGGAAGACCAGGCAGTTCGGTGGCTGGCAGCGACGGGTCGGGGAGAGAAAGTGACGCGCTATCGACTCAAAGATTGGGTGTTCAGCAGGCAGCGGTACTGGGGAGAGCCAATCCCGGTTTTGCGCGTTTGTGGGATTACAAAAAAGAGTGCATCTAGAGCGGGGAATACAGAGGAAGCCAATGAGGGCCCTACCATCACAGAGCAGTCTCACGAGGTCGTTGTGCCGCTGCCAGAGAGTGAACTTCCGCTTACCCTCCCTCCCTTCCGTGCAGATTTCAGCAGCAGCCTCTCCGCCGCAGAGACCGCTACTCCCGTTAAGGCCGAAGCCCCCAGCCAATTGCTGTCGAGAAAGAGCAGCATCCATCATGGGACTAGGCCTCCCGAAAGTGTTTTTGGGCGTACGGAGGCCGTTGCAGCGCTGGACCGCTACACAGAATGGGTGTGGCAGGAAGCTTCTTCATTTGGTGACTCCTTAGCGGAGAAGAAGCGACCCTGTGGAAAACCCCTGTTTTTTCGGGAAACGTGCACCATGCCTCAGTGGGCAGGGAGCAGTTGGTACCACCTACGCTTCCCTGATCCCTTCAACCGAGAGGCCCTCGCTAAACCGTCGCTTCTGGAATATTGGCTTCCGGTGGACTTATATGTGGGAGGAAAGGAGCACGCAGTAACGCACCTTGTCTATGCCAGGTCTGGTCCACATTTGCTTCACCCTTTTTTCCACGTCTGGTGCTGCCGTCACTTCGTAGGGATGCCTACAACGCGATTCTACCTACTGCCCAATCCGACTCCAGCAGCCCACCTCATAATACAAGCAGAAGACGTATGGATGCTACTGCACTCGCCTCACCTCGTGCCTTGTTTGAGTGCTCTTTCCTTCAGGTTCTGGCACAAGATGCTCGCAGATATTGGAGCTGCTTGCGGGGAGGAACCCTTCAAGCGTCTCCTCACCCCAGGGGTCATTCTGGGGGTTCCACGGCACTACTTACTCAGGCGGGCAGACACGGACGCTCTCGTGAGTGCAGCAGATGTTGATCTATATGATGCAGCTGTCGCGTCTCTTGAACATACTCCTGCAGCGCCGGAGGGTCCACGGAGCTCTCCTGCAAGGGTTACCTGTGGTGTACATACGCCATCTGGCGCAGAAGTATACGCAGAGACCCTCCCACCATCCTCTAGGGCCGTTAGGAAAACGGATACGGGCACTTGGGTCTTTTCATGTCAACAACAAACACAAGGACAATTACAAAGCTCTCCACCTGCACCATCAGCAGCAGCGAACGCAGACACCTCGAGGTCTGCCAAGGTAAAAGGAGACGAGCTCTTCCAGCTGCTCACGCTGTCGGAGAAGATGTCTAAATCAAGAGGCAACGCTGTCTCCCCAGATTCGGTACTTGAGGAGCAAGGAGCCGACGTACTACGCATACACCTCATGGCATTGGGCCCTGTGGCCACTACCAAGGTCTGGCGAGAGGAGGGCCTCTCAGGGGCTTCTCGCTTCCTGAAACGCATTTGGACTATATTTGTCTCTCCAGTAGGTGCCCATTCTGCGACAGGTGGAGGTTCTTATGGGAGTGCCAGGCAGTCCATAGGGTCTTCGTCCGCTGCACTGCGCGGAATAATAGCCAAGCCGATCTCGGAAGGGGAGAAAAAGGTGCTCTCTTCCCTCGTGAGGGCTGTCACACAGAATCTAGAGCGAATGCAAGTGAATCGGGCTGTAGCGGCGCTGATCGTAGGCTTTCGAGAGATTCAGCGTCAGCAGGAGAAGCAGGGAGGAACCCTATCTGTCAGCGCAGCAAAAGATTTGTTGACGCTGCTGCATCCCTTCGCACCTTTTATAACCGAAGAGCTCTGGGCAAGGCTCCAAGCAGAATTTGCCCAAGCCTTTCGCTATCCATCTTGGACCCTTGCAGCGTCGGGGGAGTGGCCGAATTCGTCGCCACATGCAGACATGACTGACGAGCTGGAAGGAACGAGCGGAGGGGTACAGATATCTGTACAGCTAAACGGACGGCACAAGCTTTGTGTGCTAGTGCCTGTGGCCGAAACTGATACTGCAGAGTCCCTCATAGAAGCAGTAAAGGCGGCGCCTCCGGTGAAGCAGAGGCTTCAAAGGGAGACAGACAAGGGAAGGGGCCTTCATAAGGTCTTTGCAAAGCCGGAGGCAAGGCTGGTCAACTTCGTCTTTAGCTAGGAGCAAGTTCCTTTTTGTACAACACGTGCGAGGCCAGCCCCGCCGCGGTAAAAGTAGGTGCAAAACGGCCTAGTCTTAGGACTGATCAGGGAATACGAAGGGCTTACTGCCACGAAAGTGTACCGAGGTTTCCAGCTTAAATAGAGGATGCTTCTGTGCTACCTCCTTGATTGTGCAAGGCACTGTGGTATTAGTGAGGGATTGAGGGATCTCCCGCTGCCCCTGTAGCCCTGCTGTGCTTACCGAAAAGGCTTCCTGGAAGCTGACAAAATCAAATACAGAGTGTTCAGAGTGCAGGGCGCCCCTAACTGCTCGTCAGTTAACGAGGCTACGCATCGTTAAAAAGGCACTGAGACACTTCTCCTAGGGCCTTCATATGTTAAATTTTGAGCCTCAAGCTCCTACGAACTCATTAGACAAAGATCACAAAAGGCTCGTCAGACGGCCCTACCAGTCTCCTTGGCCTCAGGGCTCCGGCCTGGTGGGTAAAAGCCACCAAGACTGCACCCTGAGTACTCCGGGGTTCTGGACACCGCTACAGAGTGACGCACTGCACGAACTGACAGCATTTATCGCTGCAGCGTGGTGTTGGTAATAATCTGCACCAGATACAACATAAGAAGAGCTTACTCAAATAACTACATTGCTGTACTAAGTTTTTATTCACAGCTAGCTAAGCAGAAGCTACCAAGAAGTAACGTGCCCGGCCACACAGATTATAAGACTGCCCTTAGAGTTTCAAAAGGAAAAGAGTTAGCGCCAAGCAGAGTACAAGGCTTAATTAAAAGTTATTGGGCGTTCTTATGAAAGAACTCCCCCGTCCCCGTACCCCCACTTTTAAGGTATTAGGCATGAGGGAACACATATATAGAGGGAGCGCATTGCTGCACTGCCTACGCACTCCGAGCAATCACAGCTATTTGCACACAGCATCTAGCTCACAGGCCCACAGCATTAATATTTGTCGTATGGAACCAACGCTACTCTGCAACCCCCGGCCGAGATGTCCTAGAAGCCAAATCGAATACTCCGATCTTTACCAAACCTTACTACGTGCAACAAATATAGCAGAAGATGCCTGTATTTAGCCTAGCCCGCTACAGTGATGGTCCTAAGGTGACTAGCGAAATTAAAGGAAGAAGACCGCTAGCGACAGAGAAGCCCGTCTCCATCAGAGTGTGTGAGCGCCCGTGCCTCTGCCCCCACACTACCATGGCTGCTCGATTCCGCTATAAATATTTGAAGGCAAAAGGAAAAGCCATTGGCACTGGACCTGTGTCGTCACATGTCCCTTGGAGCACCGTGTTCTCGCTAGGACCTGGCGAGGCACGAGGGCGCATTATTCGCCTGCTAGGGAGCGGGGTTGGCTCTGCATGATTAGAATGCTTTAATGTGTCCTAAAGAGAGTCGCAAGGTCCACCACACACAGCTAACAAGGCCTCCTCCCCACAGGGTTCCGTATCTCTCCTTGGGAGCCTCGCCCCGAGGCACACAGCGATTCAACACGCTATCGGTCTCGAAGACATTCGATAGAAAGGGAAAAAGGCATCTCGCGAGCTATTTGTGGGCAATGAGGGAGCAGCTTCGGAGAAGGAACATTGGCACGTCACGGCTTGGCCTACAAGGCTGCCCAGCGCCGACAAGTGGGAGCCCCCGCCGTATGATGCCCATGATGCACATGCAGCAGTCACTCAGGCGAAGGGGTAAAGACTGCATTTCGAGACACAGGCTGACAGATATTCCGTATTTAATTAGTGTGTAGCCTTCTCCCGCTCTCTCCATCGGCCGACAGGCAGCGCAGTTGCGGCGCTGCTCCGCCGTCTCACTGGAGACTGTAGTGTCTACGTGGCCCAGGGAAATTCCCCTCGACGCATAAAGGGTTTTAGGGTCTAAGTTTACTTCCGTGTCATCTTCTGCTACCTCTGGGGGCACTGGAGGCCCTAAATCACCCCCTCTCCAGCATCGCAGCCAGCCCACAGCCAGGCTTACATCGGGAGGCACTCCACAGTGTATATACACACCAAATTGCCACAGAAACTCAGCAACCTCCCGGTCAGAGCGGCGGGGACGCCTCAACAACAACAGCTGCAGCAGCAGAGCCGCCCCCCGCTGGAGGTGCCCTCTGCTGCTGCACCTGGAGGGACTTCAAAGCCCCAAGAGCATTTTTTCTTACACGCGTGAAGATGCTGGCTGCCAAGCTTAAGCAGCAGCAGCAGCTGCTGCTGCTCCTACTGATGCTCGGGGCAGGGGCAGAAGCCTCGCAGTTCTCAGTGCCATCGACAGCATCCCCAGTGAGCACACTACAGACATCCCCCCAGCCCCTTCCGAAATTCCCAGTTCAGCTCACTGCCTTAGGCAAGAGAGCGAATAGAGGCTTTTTCGCTGTGGCCGTGTCTGTCTCTCTAGGGCAGAGGCACTGCGCAGATCCCTGCGTTCGTCTCGCGCTCCACAACACTACCCATCTCGCCAAAGGCAGCTTCCCAGGCCTCTGTTGCCCAAGCGCATGCACAAGGGCTGCAGCAGCAGCAGCCTAGATCGGCTTCGGATTTTTTAAGGGCGCGAGCGGACCGCAGCAGTCGTCTGTTTTCGCAGTACCAGGTGTGTGTCGTGCACAGATACCCTGCAGTCCGGTGAGCTGCAACAGCAACAGCATTTCCCCATGAGACGGAGTGCAATTCTACGTGTGCATGCTTAGGGGGGAGGCCAGCGGCCTCGCATTTTGTGCACTGGGCTTGGCGTTGTCAGCGCTGCTGGAATCGGCGTAGAGCGCTTCTGGGAGAACCTGCTGAAAGGACAAAACAACGCTGCCACTGTCTCTGCTTTTGATCCCAAGGATATGGCTTGCACAGGTAAGGGGAACTCCGGGTGCGTGTAAATTCCTCGTCAGCATTGGGCTTGCACTGGCATCTCTAGAACTGACGCCCTGCCTGCTCCAGGTGTCCAAGGGGCCCCCCAACTCGGAGGTGGTGCATCGACTTCCTTGCGACATTCATCGCTTTGTGTGCTCGCGCAGTGGCGTACGAGATTCCTTCCGAGGCATTCGATCCCAAACAGTACTTCCGAGAGCCGAAGGATGCAAAGCGCAACGACAGATACACGCACTTTGCAGTCGCCGCCAGCAAGCTGGCCCTCCAGGACGCAGGTATGCATCACCGCACGATCCTCTATACGGGTGCGAGCTGTGCGCAGATGCGGTGTTCGTTTTAGCGTGTGCGATCATGGGAGCATGCAGGCATGCATGCCAGGGAGGGGGCCTGCTGAATGGAGCGCATTTCTTTCTTGGGCTGAAGCGCGGCGGGGCTCAATGGTTTGCTGGAGCAAATGCGCGAAAGAGAAAAAAAGAAAAAAGATAGACCGTCCTCTGAAGTGCTGCCTCCTTCTCCTCCAGGGAGGAACGGCTAGGCCTTGTGTGCTGTGTAGCGCGCGCGCGCCTGTGAGGGGCCTTTTCGACCAGAGAGTTTTGATGGGAGAGTCGTCGGCGCACAACCCTGGGAAGAGACACGTTCTAGCGCAGCCTTCTGTGTATCGGGAGCAGTCGATTGAGCCAAAGGCCTCCGGGGAGCTGTGGGACGCCCTGCATCTGCACACACACAGTCTCACGAGTGGCCTCTCAATCTCTGCATTGTGTGCCCTCGTACTGCTGCGTTTCTAAGGGCTGGACTCTATGGAGGATCTCGACATGAACCGATTCGGCGTCATCATCGGATCTGGCATTGGGGGCTTGGGGTTTATGGAGCAACAAAACAAGGTCCTCCTAAACTCGGGCCCGCGTCGAGTGTCTCCCTACTTGATCCCCGCTATGATTGCAGTGCGTCTTGTGTCTGGAGTTCGTTTTGATGCTTTTACTGCGGGTTTGGTTTTTCCTTGAGAGGGGCGTAGGACTGGGGGCTTACAACTAACGGAGCGGCCTTACGCACAGAGCCAGAAGGCTTCCTGTCTCGATACAGCAGGAGTCTCCCCACATTTCAGCTGCCTCCGGCCGCTGCTGCGATTGCTGCAGAACACAGCCCCCGCACAAGTCGCCATCGAGATCGGAGCTAAAGGACCCAATCACGGCGCTGTCTCGGCTTGTGCCACTTCGGGGCACGCCATAGGCACCGCCATGCGACTCCTCGAGGTGATTCAAGCTTAGTTCAAGGGGAAAAGGGCACTGGGGAAGGGGGTTTGATAGTGAAGCTCTCCGGGGTCTCTCTCCTAGACCGATGACTTACAGGGAGGTGGGGGGGGGAGGGGGGGAGTCGAGGGTTTTCTAGGGGAAAAGCGCATGTAACAAGACACAGCAATAAAAAATGTGGGCAGCATGCCCTGCGGAGCCTCCTGGGCAGTTGCAGACCCCTTGCAGGATATGCAGGCGGTTCGAGGCTTCTGCAGGGCAGCAGGTAAGTAACCTCAACGGTGGGCTGCACGCTGTTCGCTCGTTGTGTCCTCTTGTGCCGGCTCATTTAGGCTGGCGACGCCGATATCGTCCTGTGCGGCGGAGCTGAAGCCTCCATTACCCCTCTTTCCTTTGCTGGATTTAACGCTCTTAAAGCTCTTGCCCTTGGCTTCAACGACCGACCCAAAGAAGCCTGCAGGCCGTTCGACAAAGACAGAGCAGGATTCGTGATGGGAGAAGGCGCAGGGTGAGCAGACAGACGCTGCAGCTCTCGTGGTCTGCTGTTACAGGGCATGCTCGACGAGCCGCTGCAGTCGGTTGCAGGAGCCCTATTGAATAGGGTGTTGTCTCTCTCTCGCGCTGCATCATTGGCGGCCCTTATTCTGTCTCTGACGTTGTTGCACATACGGTTGCCACGAGTAGGCCAAGCATGACGTGGTAGCTGACCTCGTGTGCATATGTGTTTTGGGTTCGCTCAGGGTAATCGTTCTTGAAACTGAGGAGCATGCAGTACGACGAGGTGCGACGCAAGTGTATGGACAGCTCGCGGGCTATGGCGCCACCTGCGATGCCCACCACATGACGGCGCCTTCCCCAGAGGGAGAGGGCCTCGCTCGCTGTATGAACCTGGCTCTTCGGAACGCGTAAGTCTTGCGTACGCATCAGCAAGTGTGATGGGCATTGAAAACATTCTTTGAGGCGGGGGTGAAGGTGCCAACTGCTATGCACTTGCTGCCCTGTAGAGTGCCATGGACTGGTCACGACGCCATTGCTGCCGCCACTCAGGGATTTAGCACTATGGACACAGCATGAGAATGAGCTTTTGATGCGTTTTTTTCTCGCAGCGGCGTTGCTCCAGAGGACGTCGGATACATCAATGCTCACGGCACCTCGACGCATTATAACGATAAATTTGAGACCAAAGCCATTAAGAAGGTCTTTGGCCCGCATGCAACAAAGCTGCTGATATCTTCGACTAAGGTAAGGAAGAGGACTCTGTGTTAACGCTGCTATTGCGTTCAGGGGAGGAAGCAGGCTGTTTCCTGCACACCCTGTCTTTACAGGCCGCTACTCTCGGTGCTCCTGCCACAACATTTCTCCTGATTTCAAGAACGTCTAGCTAGGGCCGCTCCCTGACTGTCCGTCTGTGTGGCTGTGTGCCCTTGTGTCCCCTAGCCAATGACTGGGCACTGTCTGGGAGGTACTGCGGGGATCGAGACAGTTGTAGCGGCCAAGGTGCTGCAGACAGGCGATGTTCCCCCGACCTTGAACTACCGCACCCCTGATCCTGAATGCGACCTGAACTATGTGCCCAACCAGGCGGTGCATGTTAGCGAGCCAATGAAGGTAATGCATCTGCGCTCCGCATTTTTGTGGCTTTCTATTGTCTTCTGCGTTTGGATGTTTCGTTGCACCTCTCGTTCATATTCTCTCGGATTTCCTGCCCTCCCCGACTTGCTGTGGATGATGCAGGCCGTACTCACGGACACCCTGGGCTTTGGCGGCCACAACGCCGCGCTGGTGTTGACTCCTTATAGGAAAGCTTAAACCCTTCATTCCGCCTCAGTGGGGCTATAGCTTGCTACAGAGTTTTGACTTGGAGGCCCCATGGAGGCCCCATGAAGCCCCCTAAAGCGAGAGCTAGCGAGGCAGTCCTCGTCAGTGATCCTTGAATGCATTCTGGTTGGGCCATGCCCACGGTCCCTGTGTATGCCCAACAGGGGCCATTCTATCTTCCCTTGTAAGTCTAAATAAAAAGCAGCGTCTGCCCTGAGAGCCATCCGATTTCATTCTTTTTTAGCCCTTGTGCTTTCTGTCACTCGGCTTTCCTCTTTCTGTGCTACCAGTCACGTTGGCTGTTGGCCAAAAATCGCTGCTTTACCCGCTTGCTCCACACATTCACTATACTAACCTTTTAGTGGCAGGGGACTCCCTGAGGGCACCCTGCCCTGCTGTTCGATCGTTTGACCTCTGAGGGCCAGATCCCCCAAGGCAGTTGACAAAGGAAGGTACCTTTCTTTGACGGTCCAAACAGGAGCTTTAGTGTCCCTTGTTCAAAGCACAGCATGCGAGATGATATGAATTTTATGCAACTGCGAACAGCAAAGCTAGAATATGTGAGCCTCACGACGATAAATGACGCTGCTATCCTCCATCAAGCCAGTCCGTCTCCCTAAGGCAAGTATACGGATGATAAAGGGGTGAAGGTAGCAGATTGCGTAGCAAGCGAACTCCTGCTACGAGCGGTTGCTCCTTTATCCCCTAAATGCCCACAGCACAGCAGAAAGGCGAAGTAATTACGTCTTCGCAGAACAAGCTATTAATCCATAGATCTTGTGAGGCCATTTGCTATAAGCATCAGTCGATGGCCAAAAGCCCTCGACTTTGAGGGTGTACTTCAGCGCTTCATCTATGATCTCCTTAGGAGGACGCTTCACGCCAGACTCAATAGAAACTTAATGGTTTTTGAATACCTTCTTATAGGGGCTCCCTTCGTTCTATGCCCGCAACCCTCAGAGTTTCGAGGGGAGGTTAGTGAAATAGTTAGAGGGACTGTGCCTGCGCAGTCTACGCACTTCGAGCATTCACAGCTCGTTGCACCTGGCAGCGAGCACATGTGCGCAAAACATTGAGTGCTCTCTTATCGAGATGACTTGACTCTGCAATTAATCAGGCTTGCGAACAGACAAACCGATTAGTCAAGCCTTCCAATTATCAGTTACAAAAGAACCAGTCCTGTAGAAAGCGGTTGGGTGTGGATTTGACCACTTCCAATCCTGAAACAAGCCCCTCCGCGTCCCGTATTTAAGCGTCAAGACAGATTGCATGCTGAAGCATGAACGTATTCCCAACCTTTCGCCACTTCCCAGGTGGGAAAAATCGCGCGAATTGATGCACGCCAACGTGCTCACCACATTTGAGCTGAAATCAAAGGAGGGAAAGCACACATACACTAGCCAACAACGAACGAGGGACCGGGCGAAGACAGACGCGGCTACATGATGGCCCGCAGAGCTGCACCCTGTAAGCAGTTGGAATGTCCACAGCTACTTGCATTTAGCATCCAGCGCATGAGCACACCACTTTGCGGCATTTGGCAACGAGCTTCCAGTGCTCAGCAATAAGTTAAATATTCGAACATGTAACCCAAATAGCCATTTATATCACGATCTTTGAGTAAACATAAGTACTACAGCAGAAGTTTTGTGTACCCTCGCCCGCTATAACTACCTTGTGAGTAGCCTAGACGATTTAGTGAGATGCCCACGTACTTGCCCCCTGGGGTAGCCGGCTAGAAAACATGCCTCTGTCCAAAACAATTTCACATCTCTTTAAAAGGCACTTCAATTTTTTCTGATAAAGAGAGTGCCATGTGTTCGTGCACTAGATGTCGCCTCGTTTTTAAGCCGCTCGCCTGTCTACCAGGAATTTGAAATGCCCTGTTTTCCCCCAAGGTGTAACACCCTGTGTCGCAGCGCAGTACCTTCCACAATGATGTAAATCATTGGGAATCCTGTAGAGAAAAAGGAAGTAGCTTAATTGTGCTTTCAGGGCCCCACATAGGTTGGTTCTCTCCAGAGCCCCAGGTGCATGCGTGCAGCAACCAGTTGTGGAGGAGCTAGAAAGCGACACGCAGCTCTTTGTAGTTGCATGTTTATTCCCCTATCAGTATAGATTGCAACGTTCTTTAGCTGGGTCGCCCCTCAGGCGGCGAGTCTTTGCTGCATTAAGAAACCTGGGACGCGGTTACTTCCTCGCTGACCCTGAAGGCCGTGCGATACTCGGCTCTTTTCAGGCCCCCCTTTGGTTTCCTCTACTGTATTTGGGGGTAAAAAGGCATCCATAATTATATATATTAAAGTTCTATCCATCGATTTCGCGGGGGGGGGCGCCGCCAGCAATCAGCGCTGGTAGGGGGGTGGTTTAGCCCGTGGGTATGAAAGTCAAAACGGGCTGGCTCTCTGCTTCAAGCCACTAGGTAGGGAGGAAATTCCTGAGCGGCTTCAAAAATGGCGAAGCGGAGGCATAGGAGCTCTTCCAGAGAGGATGATGGCGAGCGGCGCGGCCCCGATTTAACCGCGAGTACTACGTATGGGTAAGTCTTGTGGTGCAGCGGAGGCATTGGGCCACACGTTGTATGCAGTCTTCTGTGAAACGCAGGAGCAGATGGTGTCGGCTGCCTTTACTATGCACGCTGCTGCTGACGTAGAGTAAAAGTTGCACATTTTCTGCGTCATGTATATTCGCACAGGAAGCTCGGCGAGGCGATGCTGGCCGCCGAAGAACGTCCCGGCAGGACGGTCACGGTGAAAGAGCTGCGAGTACGTTTAGGCTGGTGTCGAATAAGCTAAAGGACAGAAGTATAGTCGCAACGCCTGGCAAAATTTGCATGTGTGTTCCCATGATTCAGCTTTAGATAAATTATCACTTGCTAGTGTATACGCAAAATGTCACAGGAGGGTTTTGCTTTTTCGTTGGGATGAGTATGCTGGTCTATGCGTCGTGCTTTTGATCCAAGGAGTAGGAAGAATGCAACTTGTTGCATGGAGGATTAGGCTCCTTTTTGCCGCACGTCTGTGCAGCAGCGTGATGCGTGCCCACGTTTCTTGTCTGTACAGGCAGAGCGTAAAAAGCTGCTGAGCGAGCACTTCGGGTATAGCAACGATAACAACCCATTCGGAGATCGGTTGCTGGCTGAACCCTTTGTGTGGAAGAAGAAGAACCTTCTGCTGCAGGCGGCTGGAAAGAAGCATGCGACGACAGTTAATGCCCTTTTGACGACTTCTGTCAGCAAAGTGGTAAGTGGGGTCAAGTAAGAACAATAACTTTGATGTAATAGAGCATAGGACTACGCACAATATCCCTGGCTGGATAATGCAAAACTAGTATTTATGAGAACAGCTTCGAAATGTGCGGCACTCTAGTGGGTCTCTCGGTGGCTCATGGGACCTGTCCGAAGCCACACTCTACGATGGTCTCTTGCAGTGCCTCTGCATGCTGGACTGGGGTGTATCTGATTACAGCAAGAGATCAAGAGCGTGAAAAAACGCCGAGAGGAGCGAGAGGCGGAGGAAGCGCTTATGCAGGCACAGCGCGAAGAATTACAGCGCGAGAAAGAGAAAGAGCATTTCCAGGACTACTTCGAGAAGGAGGAGGTGTTTCATCGTTTGATGCACATTAAGAAAACAGAAATTAGAGCGGAACAAAATAGAGAGCAGCCTATTGATTTCATTGTCAAGGGGCTGCGGATTCTGAATGGCGAGAGATTTGAAAAGGTCACGCTCCTGCCCGTACCGCCTCATGAAATTTTCGACTGCTTCAACAAGGAGCGTAAGTTGGTGCCGCCCTCTGGCTGGTTTTTTGCCCTATGACCGCATGCATTGTTGTGTCCGTCTTCTTTGCCTAGGCTTGTGGTTTGCGTCTAGAACTTGCGTATTTTGCGCTTGCTGGATTGCAATTCGTCACAGCGATGACTACACACATGATCGAGGAGATGCTGGCGGACGTCAAGCTGCACATTGGCGTTGACACAACGGCGGTAGACAAGGACTACCAGGACTTTTGGCAGGCGTTGCTTGTCTTGACGAAGGATGCTTTGGAGCGAGCGGAGAAGAAGAACAAGGTGATAGAGGCACTTAAAAAAGATTCCTCAGCCGACGCCGCTGCGCAGGCTGCAGCACTACTTGCTAACAATAGCTCTGCAGGAGACATCCGAGACGCAGACTCCGGCATTGCCGTGGGAGTTGCGTCGGATATCACTGCAATTCTCAGTGGGAAGTCACCTGAAGAGCTCGATGCTTTGAAAGAGCACATAAAGCAGAAGCTTGAGACCGAAGAGGACGTGGACACAGCATATTGGGAGGCTATTCTACAGAAAATACCTCTCTTTCGGGTAATAAGCACATACTAGTGGCTTCTGTGAAGCTGCCCTTATTCTCCAGTGCCTATCGGGAGCATGATGGCTTCTTTTCTTGCCGTGCGGTGGAGGGCAGCGATATGTGTTGTCTGTCTTTCTGGGGCTGTTTTCGTCTCGTGTACTGCTATCCGTTCTGTATATGTTTCATAATTCAACATGAAAACCAATTCGTTCGCATAAAATGCGATCGTGCGGTGCTTGGTTTTTTCAGGCTCGAGCAATTTGTTTGATGTACCATCAGAGGATTATGGAGAAGGCATCAGAGCTGGACTACCAACTTAAATGCGAGCGAGCAGCAGCTGAGGCTGAAATATTGAAGGCTAGGGCAGAAGAGGGAGACGTAACGGACGACTTGCTCGCCACTGAGGAGGAAGCCCGCCAACAACTAAGGAAGCAGCAAATTCAGGAGCAGGCTAGGCAGATGGCGCGCGTAGTGGAAAAAGAAATAAATCCTGGGGCCGATGGGAGCTACTCCCCTGAGCTGGAGCCTTATGAAGACGAAACAGATATCCCTGAACCGCGAGGGCCTTATTCCCCTATTTTATATCCGTTTGATGAGTTTCGCTCTGAAACAAACATCCTGCATCCGGATGAGGAACTCGAACAGCGGCTGTCTGAAAGACGGATTGCGAAGCACCGTGAACGCGAGCGGCGATTAATTCAATTAGGAGTTGATAAAGAGAAACAGGCAGAAGACGAGGAGGATGATGATGAGATTCTTGACCCTGCCGCAAAGATTGTAACGTGAGTCACCCTCTAGAACGACACCGTACACATACAAGGCAGACTTCTTAGACTACGTTTCAGAAAGTAACCGCGCACTTGATGGCGAGATTCAAAAAATGTGTTTACTGTCCTTCCATGTCTTCCAGGTTTGAGGACTTCGTTCGCAAGGAGCAGAAGAATGCAAGTCCGGATGAGGAAGTGCTGGCGGCTTCCTCCGAAATGAAGTTGAAGCAGGTATAATTCCTGGTGCTACCCGTATCGTGAAATTCAGCAAAGTGCTTCAAGCTGATACATGTAACAGCGATATATCAGTAATCCGCATCCCAAAAGTAGTATGCACCATGATCAGGGACGCAAGATGACAACCAGCAGGCGCTGTTAGCTATAGTGGGTGGCTGATGCATCTGTGGCTTGTGAACTTTGTGAGTTTTTCCTGCAATACCGTACTGCTTTGTTCTGCATCGTTTGTGCCGCAGCACTACGGATGGGAGGAAAAGTATCGTCCGAGAAAACCCCGTTTTTTTAACCGCGTGCGCACCTGTTATTTCTGGAACAAATATAACCAGACACACTACGACCATGATAATCCTCCACCCAAGATTGTTCAGGGATATAAGTTCAACATTTTCTATCCCGACCTAATTGATAAAACCAAGACCCCCACATGGACCCTGGAGCCCTCGGACACGCCGGACACTATTATTGTGCGGTTTCATGCTGGTCCTCCGTATGAGGATGTGGCATTCAAAGTTTTGAATCGTGAGTGGCATTTAGAGAGATTTAGGGGCTTCCGCAATGTATTCGACCGCGGAATCATGCAGCTGTACTTCAGTTTCAAAAAATACTGCTACCGGAGATAAACTCGCGTGCAGCTCACAGATAGGCACATTTTGCCTCTCTGCGACTGCAATAACGTGTATCTCGGCTTGACTTTTTTTGTCTGTAATAACGCTTTTATAGCTGGCTACTTGGCCAGACACGTCTGCAGCAAATTGCGCTTTATTAGACATTGATCGTTTGATCCTTACTCCACTGAACCGCCGCATGATCCTGAGAATGATTTACCCCCTGCATTCACATTCTAATCACTTGCGAAGCGTGTACTACTGCAACCATTTTATGTACTTATCGCTATGCAATGAACTCTTTCCTCGCAAGGCCTGTGCGGGCGCTACCAATTTATGTGGGCATCCCGCTACACAGCAATCACCTTGCTACAATACATCTCTCGGGTTAGCCCCTGGCTCCAAGTTTCTAATGGAGACAGGAAGCGATGAGGGTGCACTGCTCCTCAGTACTCCGCGAATCAGAACACCATAATATGTTGCACTGTGTTCCATTATCCACATATGACGCGGTGTCGAATGCGCAAGCTTTCCTTCACCGCTTACCGCATCGCATCCGGGGTCGTAAAGATTGCTAATCCACCAAATACAGTCTACTTGTGTACATATATAGTGTAGCATTACAGACCTGCTTCTTAATGGCGCCACGTAATGACAAGAAAGACCTGAGTAGCGAAATTTCATGACTATAGTGATGTCTGGCAGAATGTTTAGTTAAAATTGTGCGTCAATGGAAAGGATGAGCCATTTTAGTCTCGTTCGTCTGATGGACGGTTGAGTCCGTCCGAATGCTGCTAGCACAACCAGACTCTGAACCAGCAATGTTTGGCACCTAGTTATATGAATGCGCTTTCCGCGAGCCTGCGTTGAGTAGAGGGGTGGGGGTTTCTTTGCAAGGGCATGGTTGTGAATGTTGGCACGTGCTCTAGTGCTTAGCGTAGCAAGAGTGCAGAGGACACAGGCAATTCTTGCACGGCAGTGCAGGGTAACTTGTCAGCACCTTCGACAATCCGTGGTCTGTCTCATTAACATATGCATACTAGTTCTTGTGTCAGTGTGAGGGTGGGCAATCAGCCTGTTCATTTGGAGTTGCTGTATCGATGGCAAATTTCCGAGTTTGTATTATTTGGCGGCAAACATGTTTTACTTCCTTCGAGCACCGCATTCGACTGACCCGTGGGAATGTGGTTTTGCAGGGGAAGGAGACGGAATTCGTGGCTAGCAGTGTTGACGCCCAGATCGCTGGCACAAAGCTGCACTCCTGGGATGCTGCCTATATGGCGAAATGCTTCTCAGGCAAGGGTCGCGTTTACATTCAATTTACATAGTCTCAGTTGCTACATGTGCCCGGGGTTGGTTGCCTTGTTGTAGGGTTCGCTGTACAAGACGGGAATCATTGAGAATCGTCGTATCATTTTTATCTGTAATGCCACTAAATCGCTTCAGAACGTTACTCTCAGCTTTGTTTAGGCGTACTTAGCGTGACTGTCGTTGTGTTGGTGCTTTGGTGTGTTGACTGGCGTCTTCATCGTGCGCGATAGCTGATAGCTTCGCAGGGATTGCACGAAGTAATGGAGCGGCTGTTTGTCACTCGCAGCTAAGTCTTACTGGCGGCAGTGGGTGTTGTGGAACATGGTTTGTGGACGATCTTCGTATTGCAGGGCGCAGGTGACCTTGCTGATGAAGATATGCTGCCTCTGCTTCTTATTCAAGTAACTACTGTGCAAACGTGCTATAGGTGTATGTGGATCGTGCTAGCTTTTACCTATTCGGTACTCCAGTTGGACATATTCGGTGCTGAGGTGCAGCAGTACAACAGGACAAACGCGACTAACAACGCACTTTCTTGGATATTTGGCTACCTCGCGCAAATGAGCATGCAGATATTTCTCTCCATGCAGTTCTTTGCGATTTCCCTTCACGTTCGTACAGTTCAAGCAGAAGACTTATTACTGAAGGCGTAATGAAGTTGATTGGCAAACCTGGAGCGGCATAGTGCGTGGTGGAGGGAGCACTTTTTCTGCGTCTGCGACGAAGGCATCAGCATGGTGTTGGAACCGATGATTTGTTCACTACAGTGTATCTTGTTTAAAGTTTTAGGAAACACGCACACTATGAATTTTTAAAGCAGACCTGAATGCGTGATCCCTGACTTGTTTAAAGTGTGTATTTAGTCACCAGGACTACAGCTGCGCTTTTTAGCAAGGTGAACGACCCGCCAGATTGCAGCGCCTGCTGGGCGTATGAGGAGCTACAAAGTAATTGACAGTTTCAATGGGCGTTACAGAAGCTCTCGCAATGGTAACTAAGAACTCATGGGTCAGCAATCAGCGTATCACGAACTGTGAGCGATAGAACAATAGAGCTCGTTAGTTCAGTGACTGACCTGTTGCCCATTGATCGAGGCGAGCAAACAGTGACAATGACAGATGGGTTAATGGAAGTTTATCGATCTTTGGGGTCCGGAGAATCTCTGAAAGCTGTTTGTTACTTACACAACACACAAAACGCAGCTTGGCATGGATATCCTAGGCACGGCGGCTACGGAATGTGCAGGTGATGCGCGCTTGTGGCTAGGCGAGAAGCGGATCTTCGCGGCAATCGCCAAGGAAAGGCAGAGTCACATACGCAAGGGCCACAGGGAAATACAATCCATGGCAGGAATCGCAAGCTGTTCGGTAGCCCTGTGGAGGCACGCAGATTGCGAACCGACCAAAAGGACGGGCATCACTCTCCCCGTGTGCCTCCGGGAGCTGCATATTGTAGGGCCCTGACCAGGAGTGTATCCTACTGGACTCAACACGAATATTTGAGCCTACTTGAACTACCGACTGACCAGATGTCTTCTTCATTACCTCGAAGATTGAGAACTGTGTGATTCAAGATCTAATTCATGACTTACTTGCTAAATAAGGTTAATTTTATGTCACCTTTCGGGATAAGCGCCGGTAACCTGTTCGTTTTCAAAGGCGCTGCTCTGCCAGAAATTGAGTCGAGAGTGGCGCACTCGAAACAGTACCTTTGAACTAGGACACTAATGGCTTTATGCCCTTTTCAAAAAGCTGCAGTCATGATATACTTTGTTTTATAGCGTAAAACAATACCACATTTCCCAAAACAGATCCGCTTGCGCGAGCCATCTGGTGGGGCAGGGCCCTTGCGGGGGGCCCCTTAGTCCGATTGTTGGCTTCAAATCTTCGGGTGCGACTTCCTCATCAATCTTACAGCCAGTGCATTTCTGTACGACCTCAATATCAAGGAGGACCTCGGGCAAAGCTTAGCACCAGTTCTGATCCTCAAGGTTTTGCTTATACTGGCTAATGACAAAGCTGCGCCGCTTAACGTCTTTTTGTGCCATAGAAGTTGCCGTTGCCAGACCTCTTAGCGCATGTAGAGATCATTCTTTCTTGGCTGTTGAGCTTTGTTGTACTATTGGCGGCTGGTTCGGGCTTTGGGGAGATGGAGTTTGTAGTAGGGGACCAGTCGGGTCTGTGCAAGGAGCTTTTTTGTAGTACCGGCGGAAACCGCCGGACACGCATCATCAAGAAGGCCAAGCAGGATCGCTCCTTGGCCGTAACTGCTTTATGCTGGACAGGGCCTTCAGGGTGAGCAGCTACTGCAGTCAGGTGCATGTGTGGTCAGGCCTGGAGGTATCTCTGTGCGAGCCTCAAAGCCTTCCACTATTTGCAAATGCACAATTCGAACATTTCAGCGTGGTGGGAACAAAGGTATGTGGCATCAGCAAGCAAAAGTATCATCGTTTGCATGCAGGCATGGGAAAACTATAAATGAATAGGCAAGCCCACTACAGTCACCATCCTTACACTGCACTCACTGTGTCTCTGTGCAGAGGCAGCGAGGTCTCCGAGGTCGCATTAGGGCGAGCATGCGGAACTGTGGAGGCATTTGCCACGTCTAGTGTTGTGTGTGAGTCTCCGCTGGCGGTTTCTGCTTCTCCGGGTGAGAGCCCTTTGGATGTGCCTTTGCGCTGCTTCCAGCTGCCTTCAACTCCAGTGTCTCTGTCAGTCATTGGATCGGAAGCTGCACGGGCCTATACACGCTCCCTCATCTGCAAGTCGTGGCTAGGAAGCGGCATCACACCGGGGGAAGCCGCCCTGCGCGATGAGTTGCTCCCATCAGACATAGACTCTGGAGAGGCAGACTCCTCTGGCAGCAGCAGCCGGAGCTTGCTGCTTGCAGTTGGCCAGAAGGGCCATACCTGCGTTGTGGATTGGGAAGGGTCATTCAGTGCGCGCATAATTGAGCAGACTAGTGTTACAGCAGGCCTACTCCCAGACTCACGGTTTGGGGAGGGGCTGACGCACGTAGCTGTACATTTCCGCCCAGTCGAGAAGGAGCATAGTTCAGATGATTCAGTGCTCCAGCGGACGCCCTTCGAAAGCTCATTCTGCTGCAGGGCGGCATACCTTCTGCCTGGACCGGTTGCTGCAGCCAGCAGCCATCCTTTGTGCCACAGTTTGTTGGCTTTTGGAGGCAAGGAGAACGACGCAAAGGTTTTGGATCTGGACTACGGCAAGATTCTTTGGACGGCAAAGAACGTCAAGCACTCTTTCCTTGGACTGCGGAGTGATGTGGCAGTGACTCAGATAGACTGGTTGCTGCCAGTACACCCCATGGTGCTGGCTGTAGGCACTGCGAAGGGTGCAATGCGGTTCTATGATTTGCGCTGTCAGCGCCGACCTGTGCTAGAAGTGTGTGGGGCTACTCAAGAAAATCGACCTGTCACAGCTCTTTGCATCCGCCCCACTGCCGAAATTTTGCGGCAAAAGACGGACATACGGCTGGCTCTGAGAAGTGCATCAGAGACTCTTGCTTCTTCTTCCGGCTTCGGACAATCAAAAGGAGCCCTTCACGCTCAAGACTGTGCTGCAGGGAGAAATGTGCTTGCTGATAGTCCCATTCGCCACGTCTTCGGAGACAATGCAAACACGAAGGCGGCGCAGGACTTGCTGGCCTGCTGTAGCGGAAAAGATACTGCCACCGTGTATTATGCAGATTCATACGGAATGGTATATGGCTTGCGGGTCATGGGCGGCACAGCTTTATTGCGTCTGGCTGACAAAACGTGCCCCAAGTACAACCCTTCTTCGTACCGATCCTCAGGAAACGTGCAGCTGGCCGATCAGCCTGATGAGATTAAGCGGAAGCTCATTGTGTCTATGTTAGAGAAGCAAAGAGAGAGACTCACTTCTAAAAAGAACGATCATCCTATCTCAATTGCTTCTTGCATTGACCTCCAGCTCGCTGCAGTTCCCATCGGGGGCTTCAAGGGGGTTATGGGGGCAGTTGTCGGTAAGCCTCGTGGCTAAAACTTGTGTTCTGATGGTGCTGGCTCTCCTTCAGTGATAAGGTGCTACCTGCCTTTTGTCGTGTACATCACTGGCGTGCTTGTGTACAACACTTTGTGTTCTCGTAGGCTTGGCGCTAGATCCTGCGGGAGAGCGCCTTCTTGCTGTGGGGATGGGGCGCCATGCTTACATATTCGACGCTAAGTCACGAAAATTATGCTTCCAAGTGAGGACGGTTGCTGTTTGCTGCGCTGTGCTTGCTGCTGATGCTACTTTCCTTTAACATAAATATGAGCAAACTCATCAGCATCACGTGTTTGTACGCCTCCTGGTGCAGGTGTTTTTGAAACAAAAACTGACCTGTGTCTTATCTGGAGGTGGAGATGCAGCGGGAGGTGTGAAACATTGCACACCCTCTAGGGCAGAAGTATCCAGTAAGGCGGGTGGCAAAACTGATTCCAGCAGCGCGGAAAGCGAGTCGGACAGTGACTCTGGCGATTCAGCTATCCCTGGGTCCGACGCGGAGAAAAGAAGAAGGAGGATACTCAAGGAACTTCATGCCGTGCCCCATGATAAAGTACAAGAACAAGGCTATAACGAGCACACAGATATGGGCCCTTCAAGTCGGAAGCGAAAGCATAGGCCAGTTGAGGAACCGGGCAATCGGAGGCCTAAACCCCACACTAAGTAGCCCCCGTGAGTGATAAAACAGAACTACGCCATCAGATTAGCGCTGAGTTTCGCACTGTTCTGGGATCTATAGCGCTTCCGAGTAATCAGCATCTGCTGCGTGGTCTGCTAGTCAAGCATTCAATAGTTTGGGGTAGTATTGAAAGGTGAGCCGTGGTCGGCTCGGCTGTGCTCACTCAATGCAGGAAGCTAGTAGAGATTCTTAGCATGTGGTTAACGGAAACTGACATATTTATGTACATGGGCCAAGGAATGTTCGAGCCTTGACAAGCACTTATTATCACCAAACACACCTAACAATTCTGGCAATGGAAAAAGCAGACTAGCCGATACTCCATGTCATTTCGCAAAGGGAACCACGGCTTGACGTCTGCTAGGGTTCATATTAGTGGAGATATTACTAGTATTTTGACTTCCTTTTCTGTGTAGGATAGATTTCCTAAGCTTAGGACACCTTGCAGTCCCCAGAGCCTGCAAAAACTCCTCTTGGTGAGCATCAGTACACCAGCAGAAGTTTCCTCGCTTGGAATTTCAATATGAAGCTGCATGGAAATGATATTGTTGAACGCATACAGCTTAGAAGCGAATGACGGTCCTTTTATCGAGTTCAGCTCTCAGTACTTGGCGACGGGTAACTTTTAGTGACGCCAGGACAAAAATTACTCCCCGGGCACAGGCCAAGCATACCAGCATCCTGTCGTACCCCATACTGTCTTGAGGATGCACGTATATATATACATATATGTATACATATATTGCAGCGTGTACGCCGGATTGTCACTTGTGGTGACTGGGGACAAGTGCATGGCAGGGGCCTGAGAATGGTATCAATCTCAAAGGATTCACGAGGACAGGACGAGCAGTGGCTGCCTTAAAAGAACAAGGCTCTCTCGTACTAATCTCAGTAGCTATCTTGCGGGGGGATAACGAAGTATGACTGAAACAAAGCCAATTGGGTATGTGCCTTTCTCTGTTGCTGGAATCTAAACATGCGGGCCCCTAGGTTGAAGCGTTTACCGGCACAGTGACCCGAGCTTGAAATTTGCGAGGTCCTCGCTATTTTTATGGTTCTCAGTGATTCATTATTTCCACTTACCCTGCCCATCGCTTTTTCTAGCTTACTGTTCACAGCATATAAATGTGGAAACGCGCGATGGGCCTGGTTTATACTCATTTCCATTTTCCACTGTAGGTGTCCCAGCTATACGTGGTTGAAAGGACTCGCTAGATGATACAGAGGATGTAGGAGGTGCTTGACTGCATGATTTTTGCAGTTTTCGTATCCAATTAGCTGGGCAGGTATAGCTCCATATTTGAAAATGTCTGCTGCCTGTGCACCAAATTACAGTGCATGCCTGTATGTGAAAGCCTGTACTCAGAGAGTGCTTGTAAGTGCACTTTGTAGCGCATGTATGGTCCCTGAATGCAAATTCTAGCACTCAAACCAAAAATAAAGGGAACGCAATAAAATGCATACTCCCCAAACTTCCCCCTCTCCCGGCTATCACGAGCGTAAATGGGCATAGCTTAAATCGGGCGCACCCCCTTCAACCCCTTGAGCAGTAGGAACATTGTCACCCAGCCGTACAGCCAGCCTTAAACTAGAGCCTATAGGGTCCACTCGAGTCGCACGGAGCTGCCCAACCGAGCAGAAAATACTGGCTTACTTCTAACACGACCTACCTGGAGTACTCGAATGTGCCCAAATGCAGCCTGTCCCCCCAGAGGTACTCTAGGGGGCTGAGCTGCACTTAAGCATTTTCTACTATATTAGCTATATTCTTTTTAAAATTAGAAAAGTGTCGACTAATTGGTTAGCCTCTTCGTGCACATTATGTGTAGCGGAGTACTGTTTGAACGAACGCGAGAAGCCGCAATTCATTTGCTTACGCGCGTACTAGATGTTGCGTGCAACTGGTTGTGAATTCTCGGAACGCTTAAATGCCGGAGCTATGCACACCATGCCATAGCTGTCCCTCTTATATCATATGGCGAGCTCTGGGGGACGCGGGGAGGATAAGGCAGGAGCTTTCATGAGCAAACACTTAATAAATACCTATTTAGTCTGCATTAAGTCTGGAGTTAAGTCTCTCCTGCTCACACCTTTTTGAGCGGAGCCTCGTAGTCTGTAGAATACCATGGTTCGTGCAGCTGTGCCCCGCTTATCCACTGCCCGGAGAGTCCTGTGGTTCCCAGTCTTCCTACAGTCTTAGGTGGATTTGATCGATCATTTAGTGTGGCATTCGCAGGCAAGAGTCTAGGGGAAAGCCCTCGGGCGATAAAAGTTGGCGGTGGCACAACGCGTGTTGGGGTGGTGGAGGCCATACTGCAGGCTGATCAGAACGCAGGAACCCAACAGCTGGTGGAATGCCATAACTTGTCAGCCGATAAAATATCCATGGGTTCGTCAAGTAGCTACCAAAGCATCACGCCAGTAAGGATGGGCAAGTACACAAAAATTGATCACCTCAGTGGAGAATCACCTCGCTTCTGTCTCCCAGCCGCAGAGAATTGAATGATCCAGCGATACGTTTACTGGACGTAAAGCATGTAGGTCTTGATTCTATTTACATAGAGGAACTCGTGTACCTGTATGGATACTACGCTTCAGGCCTTCACTCAAACCTTAACACATCCATATAGACAGCCATCTGCTCGACCGCAAGCTGTCAAACATGAGAAAGCTAAAACACTGATTTCTATTGAGAAACCTAGACATGGGACAAACCAATTAGTCGATGATCTGTTAATTCTGAGTTGAATAAAACTGGCATTCTAGGACTTTTTAGTGTAGCTTAGCCTGCTACACCGTCTGAGCTCCATGCAGAAAGCATATGTGACGAAATGGAGGGGTGTGCTCTTGGGACGGAACAGATGATAGCCCTTGCTCAACGTTCAACTGGGTGTACATGGTACGGATCTCCTTATGGGGCGCTCATGGTGCTTCGTTGCATTTTCTGCGCTAGCTGCTTCAGAGGAGCTGGCAACAGCTCTACCTTTGCACTTCCGAGTAAATGTCAAGTATCGCTCGAAACATTGCAGCTTACGCACTTTGATCTAGGAATTCTTTGCAATTAGCTTGCTGGTGCTGTCAGAAGAGCACTACAGGGGAGTGCTGCACAAAGCTACTCGGCTGCACGGGGGCGAAGACAACTTGGGCAGGAAGATTGCAGCCCCTAACATGTCCCAAATTCCCGCTATTTTACTGAACAAGTTAAAACGGTGATTTATGGCAACGATGTATGAAAGTACACTAAACACAAAGCAGGACGAGGCAACTCTACGCCAGCAGGGGAGCGAGCAGAGGGAGCGCTGAGTGGGCCAAAAACAGATGGGTAATGTCTACTCTTCTTTCAAGGCATTAAAATCTGATGAAGTCAGAGTGTTTCCTGTTCTCCTTGTTCTCCTTTTGTCTCGCGCGTTTTGCTGGATGTACACGGCGGCGAAGCGTGTTCTAGCATGCCGCAGCAACGACAGCCCCACTACACGCCAGGAGCCTTTTGATGCTTGGTGCGAAGAACGGAAGTGCTTCTCTCCATTATCAGATGTTTGTGGTAGGAAAAGTGAGGAACTGAAGTTTTGACTTACTGCCACATCGCACAGCCAGCAGCGACCCCCAGAGGAATATCTCAGCGCCCTCTCCTTGCCCGGTGCCACCGGCAACAAATCGCAGAGACCTGTTGCCCTTGGGCTTCTGGCCAAAAGCGCAGGACCTTTGGTTGGCTATTTTAATCAGTAAACCTATTATTGATAACGTTTGCGTGCTAGCGAACTCGCAGGCTGTATACTTCGAGAAGAACTGCGTCGGCAAACCACCAGCTGTGGTTGGGGTTTTCTTTACTAGTGCTCTTTTTGCTTTGTCTCGTGGTTTGTTGCATGCGGCTTTTGCCTTATGTGCCGAACTATCTGGTATCACCTCTTTCCCCCCCCTAGCCGCCCGAAGCAGCAGTGCCCGCCGTGTCAGGCGCAATGCCAGCTCCTGCGATTAAACTGCCAGGCCGAGTGAGTGGCGGAGCCAGCAGCTTGGGACCTCCTGACCACAGTGAAAAGGGAGTGTGTGGGTTTTTCAGTCGTGTCCTTGCGGGTGCAGTTGACCATGTGGAAAACACTCCGGCTGTTTTGGAGGCAAAAGCACAGCCTAAGCCATGCGGAGTTGGTCGTTATTTCCTGCTAGTGGTTTATGTAATTTACGCCTTTTTGACGGCTCGGGTCTATTTTGCATGGCCTAACCTTTCAAACCTGCTTTTCAGGTCCAACGCATATTCGTGGCTATGTGATTCTTACTTAGCAGACGGCAAGCCGGATATGCGACTGGATATCAATGGGGGCAAACGGTACATATGTGAGGAACAAAACTCAGCAGTGGGCAATATCTTTGTAACCTGCCTGGCATTTGCCTTCTCCTTTTCACTGGCTGCTGGACTGCTCCTCGACTACCTAGGACCCCGTATCACTGCAACCATAGGGCAGGTAATGAACGCGCTAGCATGGATCCTGCTGGCTTTTGGGTCAGAGTCGTCGCAGACGTACTATGCAGCATTTATTTTCATGGGAATCGGCTCCGATATTGGATACCTCCCGCTGCTCTCTGCCGCCAATCTCTTTCCGGGGCATGAAGGGTGCGCTTACCAACACGTACACTTGCACACGAGCCTGAAGAAGGCGTCCGAGCTGGAGCGGTTTCTCTCGTGTATTCCTACATGTTTGCAGCCTTTCTTCCCCCAGATACCTTGTTTGGCTTTTGCATGTTTGTTGATGCCTTGCTCAGGCTCATTGTGGCGATCTTGGGGGCCTCGAAGAGTGCAAGTTTTGCCGTGCCGACGATTCTGGACAAGATTGAAGCTGGCTATGCTGACATTAGCTTGAGGAATGTTTGCCTGGGATATGCCGCCCTAGGTCCTGGTACGTGCCGTCTTTGCCCCGTGAATAGTCTGCATGCATGCGTGCATTGCGCTCCGTCTTCTGTCACCTGCTTTCCCGCAAGAGTCTTTGCTACATGTACTTCGAGTCCTTTTTCCATCCTGCGTCTCTGTGCTCTCACTCTTTATGGCTCCTTTGGCCTCGACGTTTTTGATGCTGTCCGTCATAGGGGACTTTATTCCAGACAACCAGCAGATGTGTACATGTCAAATAACAGGGGCAGTTATGTGGGTCTATCAGTGTCGCTTGGATCGTGTCTCTCTCCTGTGAATTGGAAGGCTGCTCGTGCAATGCGGGGCCAGAGTAGGCTCTCTGTAAGTTTCTTGTCTATGACTCTCCTCAGGTTTGTGCCTCATATTAGCATTTGTTTTAGTGCCTTACAAACATTTCAAGCCGTGGAATGAGTTCACGGAAATCGAAGAGGGAGGAGCGTACCACCATCCCATCCAGCGAGTCAATGATTCCTTCGCCTCTATTGAAGCTCACGCTTGGCGGGACAGTTTCAGCAGCTTTCATGAGGGACAGTGGCCGCTGCATGCTCATGATGGACACTCGGGAGGGTCAGTTTCGGAGCCTGGGCGGCGAGGCAAGCACTTTCTGGAGGTTCCTAGGCCGGGGCCTTTACGGAGCGGCCTGCGGAAGAAAACTCTCACACCATCTGAAACAGCGGGAACAGAAAAGAAAGAGGTGAACGGCGATGACGAACGGCAGAGGACAGAGGCTGCCCCGGTCAACGCAGAACAAGTGGAAGACGTTCCAGCAATCTACCAAGCCACCAGAATGAGCGTAGAAAGAGGAGGAGCCGGAAATGCAGAGACGCTGAATCAACTAGCGGAGACGAAAGAGGAGAGGCCTGTGTCTTTCGTCAGGCAGTTTATCTCTTCGTATGCCATATGCATCGTTGTCTACTCTATCCTTAAGGCCATCATGTACGCATTCTTTACCACGGCAGCAGAAAATCTTCTTGGAAAGCAGGTCAATGACTTTATGGGGGCTGCATTGCCTTTCTCCCTCTTCCCCTGCATTGTAAGTTGGTGATTCAAAGGGTTTGGAGCTTCGACAGGACTGTGCAGAGGGAATTATTGCTGTGCCGCACCGCTTAGCGGCTGCTCTCAATTGCACGATGCATTCATGCCCTTTGAATATCGTTTGTCGAGTTTTAGGAGTTGGGCTTCACTTTGGCCATGATGTAGGATCATATTATGACCTGTGTTGAATATGGCACGTGTGCGTTTTTGTTGCAGGTCATAGGCAAGGTGGTGGACATGGTAGGCATTATGCCAATCTTGTTTTTCTTGAATACATGTATTGCTCTAGCTTACGGGTTCAGCATGATACCGGCTTTACCGACGGCATATTTCTCGGCTCTCCTTTATATCTGTTATGTGTCGTTCTACAGCTCCCAGAGCTACTGCTTTGTGTCTGATACATTCTCGTCGTCGCACTTTGGGAAGATCGTAGGGACGATTCACCTGATAGCAGGTTTCTTGTCGCTACTCAAAATCCCCATGCAAAAGCTGGTGGTAGATGTTTTCCACTCAGTGTACTATTATCCTTGTCTAATCATGCTGATGCTTTGCGGCATCAATTACGCAGTGTTACTGGTGCTATTGTGCAAAAAGCGTGCTAACCCGCACCCATTCTGGCCTCAGGCCGCCAGGGAAGTGGCCAGGCAGGAAGCGGAGGAGAAAAAGAGGCTAGCACAAGAGAGGAAAGAACAGAAAGCTAATGCGAAGAAGGAAAAGCAACAGCGGGAACTGGAGTTGAAAGGTACACAACCGACGGCCGTCTAAGAAGTGGAATGTTTGAACCGCATGCACTTTTAAGAAGAGTTGACAATGAATTATCCGTAGCTGCCGAGTAGGCAGGGACGAGCGGTACAGTGTTGCTTTGCATTGCTAAAACACTGGAATAGCACCAGCGACAAGAACTCTGTCTGAAAAGACAGCAGTGACTGTTTGCAGGAACGGCAACTGGCTTACTATCCTCTGCTCGGTACAGCCAGCCATATCGCTGCAGCAGCAGTCTTTGTAGTAGCTGTTGTATGCCCATTGGCCGTTATTCCTGACCCCGTTGCTTGGTCCTTCATTCAGTAAGCACGTGTTTCTATCTACACCAGAGCACGCTCCAGGCTTTTTATGGGTTTCGTGAGTGGAAGTAAGAGCAGCTGGAAAGGCGATAGATGATTGGTACGGCATTCATGAGCCTCCTTATTTCTTGTTTTTACCGTCCACATGGCAGCCATCCTACTGGAGAGCTTGTCAGCTAACTTTCTGTCGTTTTTGGGCCAGTATTTTGCCCTAATTCCCCCGCTCGACATCCAGAGCGCTCGTTTTTTGGCTATCAAGGGAGTCAATTCCCTCCATATTTTTTCTGCTTCGGAGCGCCTCAGTCTACAGCTGCTTCTTACACAATATCTGCCATATCCTGGAAAGATCTTCCTGAAGGGGTCAAATGTGGGGTCCCACGTCCTGCAAAGGTTTAATACCATTTTGCCTCCCTTGGCGGACACAACTGGCGGACTAAGAACCCCTTTGTGATTTGTTTAAAAGCTGCAGTTTGTTGCGTAGCAAGGGGTGCTTTGCTGATTGTAACGTCGTATGGACTTTTCGGATGTCCGCTTAGGTTTTTCAGACAGGCGTAACTTGGCTGTGAGAGGCCCTAGGCTATGCAGACTTCCCACTACAGGCATCCAAGAAAGAAACCGAACGGGATTTCAGTTCCGGGCATCTAATTGGAGTCTGCTTGTGCCATGTAGCAGCTAGTCGCCATAGTTGGGCACCTGTTTGCGTACTGCCTGGTCATCTACGCACGAAATTTAGAGGCGAGGGCTTACACAAGTGGGATGCAGTTACAAACTATTTATGCCCAGTACGCGTGGGAACCGCGCCCTCTAGGTTTGTGCCTTTAGGCAATATCAACAAAGAGAAGCACAAACTCCAATTCATTGCTCAGAGTGGGCGCTGATGTAAGGAATTCAATCGTTTACGTTGATAGCTGCAAGAAAGAAGCACGTGTGCTTGCGATTGCATGTGCATCGATGTATTGCATAAAATAAGAAAACGAACAGCCTTAAATGCACCCAAGAAAGCATGCACGGAGTCCTACATAGCAAGGGCATCCACAGCTATACGTTTAAATGCTTATCAGCGCAAACTTATGCGTGTACCCAACTTGATGTTTGTGCAGGGACGGAATGCGTGTCGCCAATGCAATATTATGTGTATGGGCTGATACTAAATCTGGATCTATAATGCAACTACACGACAAATGATATGCACAAAGCAACTTGCTAAGGTTGACAGTAGATAACTGCAGCGTCACACTGGCTCGTGCTACGCTGATGTTAAGAACTGTCCTTCCATAGAAGAAGCACCACCATGCAGCACCTCAGGGGGACTAAAAAATGCAGACTTATCATGTGCCAACAAGAAAGCAATTTACTGATGCCGCTTCAGCCACACCCCTGTAGGCTGATTCGGTCTATCCACAGCGCCTATGGGAGGAGACCGAGTGGATCCCCGAGCACGAAATAACAAAAGCAGCAGGATGTACACTGCATTTTGCCTTCCCCCAAAAGCTTGCCTCACCCAAAACTAGATAATGAATTATTAATCGTACAGCCACAGTGCACAAAAAACATCCGTGCTGTGTTCCCCTTTCCTTTTTATAGCTGAGCACATGCCCCAATTACTAATTGCATATCTTCGTAGCGCAGCAGCAGTTCTCAAAGAAGCCTTCTGCTTGTTTGCCTCACCTTGCAATGTCGCTTACATAGTCAAAAGATTACCAAGTGTTGGATATACATTGCTCATGTAGTTGTATGTTGTTTGATGCTACTTTCCCTACTATATTTCCTCAACTATTTGCCTTAGGTGGCTGTTTGCCTTCCATTTAAAACAGCTAGCCACATGCTGCTTTGAGACGCTGAAGTTATAAGATTATGAGTGCCTTAAAACGCATTGAATGCCCAGAGACAAGTTGGCATTTTTCTCTCTATCTCCTCAAACGGGGTAGAGAAAGTCAATCCTAAATATGTACTAGTGGCACCACGCCTTGTATTCTGTAGGCATTTCATTTCGCGTCTATCGTATTGCAGTCACAAGAGCCAGCACGCCAACAGCCCAAAAAACAGTCCACGCGGGCACAGACAGCGTTGCATGGCTTTCCTGAAACCAGCCTTCAAACGAGCTGGCGCTAATTTCCGCTGGGTCTGACATATTGATAAATCCAAGGCTGTCGGCAATAAGCACTTGCAGGGGGAACCCTTGTACAAGGAAGACGTTGCCGTCGTTGTGCATGTTACCTTCTACATTCTGGAGCTGCCTAAAGTTGCCATCCTTTTCCTTAACTGACTTCATACTCTTAGGGTTTAGCATTTTGTAGAAACGCAGCATGGTGTCAGTTGCCACGGGCAGCGGTTGCCTAGCAACATACCATCGCACGTTCTCCTCGCACCCAGGCATTGTGTGGCTTCCATCATAAGCAAAGAACTCCTCATTTGTTAGCTGCAGCATCATCATCAAGGATTGCAGGTTCAAGGTGTGGGGTAGTTCAAGTAGCACTGAGTCGCCTGAGAATAAGCACAATGGATGAGAAAATTCAACAAAGACGCTTGGCAGCAGCCACTGCCGCAGCCTTTTCAAGTAAAGCTGGGGAAATTCATAGGTCATTTCGGTGAGGCAGCAAACGGAATACCCAGAAGAGAAATGTGATGATTACGAACTTGCCGGCATGGCAAAAGATACCCCTACGACTATGGATCCAATGACTACTGAGAATTTCTTCCTCATCTGGTTTCCTCTCTTTTCTTGCCTACCATTACTTTCATTGCTTTGTCCCTCTGCCATGAGCAGGGATCTCAACAGCCTTTCCGAAGGAAGTCCCCTAAGTTCTTCAAGGCTGGCTTGGTCTAGCTCTTCACTCATGAAAGTGAGAGAGATCACCCTCCAGTGGGAAGAAGGCAGTTCAGGGTCCTTTCCGCTTCTGTTGTTTTCAAGTATTACGCTCTCTACTTCCGGCAGGTTCACACTGCTTTGAGCAAAAAGTCCCATGTACGGGAGCGTGGTGAGGTTGACGCTCTTGCTAGCCTCCATGGAGAGTAGATCATTTGAGTAGTGCCATATTTGCATTTCTATTTCTCTTCTGTTCGCTTCACCTTGAAAGGTGTGCTCACTGGGAGAGTGAAACAAGATCTGATGTGCTACAAACATCTCTGTTGTGTCAGACCCAAACAAGGCACCAAGGGGGACGAAGCCTTTTCCAGAAGAGCGTAGTTGAAACACCTTTTCCGTTCGATACAGCAGTACATTACTAAGCTGGCTAGGATACGTGTAGAAAAAGTCACCCTTTTTCCACAGCCTGCTGGGACGAGGGGACCCTTGACCTCCAGAGAATGCACCCATGTACAGCTGCATCATGTTCTTCTGCGAAGGCTCCTCCAGACCCTCGATATGCAAGTCAACAGGAGACTGCCTTGTACCCGTTTTACATTTTCCTTGGTTCCAATCAGCCCCGTGTTCTTTGTAGTCCCACTCGTGTTCAGGATGAACCCCCAACTGAGGGATAGTGCCTTTGGCAGTGGCGACCCTGTGGTGCTTCTCCACCCACTGTTGCACCAAGGAATGTGCTGCAAGAGTCTCCTCCCTGAGTTTTGCTGTCGCCTTATGACTGCTGCTAGCTCGCTTGGCCGCCTCTTGGGCGCCCAAGGCTGAAAGGTAGTCTGGGGAGAGAAGAGAGTTTGTCTTGCTGCTCCATCTGCCTGATTCGACCCGGTGTATTAACACGGGGAAAATCAAGGCAAAAAGAAGGCAAGGCAACTGCATTTTTAGTGCCGTTGTGTCTGCCTCCTGCCCGCGGCTTGGTCAGGAGACCCGTCCCTTCCTTCTGCCTCGCTGAGAGGCTCCAAAGTGTAACCGCCTAGACCTTAAGGTGTGCATACACTCTAAAACTACACAGAAGGTTCTACAATGGCCCAGAGAATGCTGAGCACACTTTCAGATGCACCGCTGCCGACGGCACCCCAGCGAGTCCCCGAACGCCCCCCTGCACAAAGGGGCCCTCACAATAATATTATAGCTCTTCTTGGCTGAAACAAACAGTGAAAATGCTAAATTTATATATATCTTTTGCTCAATTTCATCCTAAACCCAACAGGATACTGGAACAAAAAGGAATTCTTGGAAAACGTCAAACCGGACCGGACAGTGAGAGGCCAATGGCTCTGCATTACTCAGCGTAATTACTCTAAAAAGATGCCTTCAGGTATCACTCCTCGTAATATATACATGAGTGCTCGATATAACTTCAACTGATTTCATATATATTATTTTGTGTAGAGGTTCTCAAAACCTTCCTAGTGCTCATTTCTCGCCAAACGCATGAGGCAGGCAGGCCGCTTATCATAAAAGTAGAGGAACCACGGAGAACTGGACGCAGTACGTGCATGATTTCCTCAAAATAAATGACTGTTATCGATTTGGTCAGCTTTATTCTATTTGATTTCCCCAATAATGTTGCTGCCATAATATCCTTACCCTCGGCAGATCCATACGACAGCGATGCAGCCGCGTGAAGGTACAGGTACACAAAATATGAAAGAACATTGATGCGGCTCGCTAAGTTACGCCAAGAAACTCTCAACCATTCATATCGTATTCATCAAGAATCAGTAAAACAATGACTAGTTGGCTTGCCCGTTACCGCATTGTATTGATTGCAGAGGGTGTTTGGCTCCATAAAAGACTCAATGTTATGTCTGTGTGCCCTAGATGAAATGTGCAGCTATCCACTTTGTGCTTTGACAGCGTTGTAATAGGCTTCTTACCTCTTCCTCCCCGTTCAGGTCGAAAACTTCGAGGGGTAGGAACGGGTAGGGAGCAAGCTCTTTTGGAAAACGCTTATTAACCTATTGATCTTGTATCGACTCCGGAGTAAAGTGTCTCCCAGCAGAGACCTCATATGGAGATATACACAGAACGGCGGCAATCAATGTTGAGTGCGGGTGTGGCAGATGCTGCGTGCACCTAGTTGTAAATGCTTGAGTGCTAGGAGGCCGAAGCTTCGTCCAACCTCGCTGTCCCTCTCTCCCTATGTGGAAACTAAAAAACCCGGGTAGAGGAACGCCAGAAGTCTTCTGAAAATACACTTTATTTTGTTCTCTTAAGTTCGTAGTGAATCTGCAGTAAAGTGTCTCTGTTGAAGACCTTGGAGGATGCGGTGCGGCAGATAGCATTACATGGTTCGAAGCATTGTGCCACAGTCATCCACTCGCTATGGAAGCCATGGGATGTCAAACTTTCATAGAGCATTCGTCTGTTTGTTATAAGGGTATTTGGCAGTTCGAAATTTTGAATTGTTGGCAAAAGACCGGAAAAAACTTCTGGAGATCCGAGTTAATCGTGGCACAACGCCTCCTGTGGCTGCACTGCCTGGCCTGCATGCTGATGTGGACGCAGTAGCTTCACAGCTGGTACAGTGGCATTAATGTCCAGCCTTAAAGTTGTTCCTGAATGCGTTTATGAGGCTGTGCCGCCCACGAGCTTATCACAGCCGCCAGGATGGGCGAGCTTGAAGATATCATTAGCCGAATGGGGATGTACTTTGCTTTGTGCCTTCAAAAGAAAGAGAACAAGTGTTTTTCGCAGTCCGATTGCTGAGCGCAAAAGCAGTTCAATGGTGGCTCTAAACATGTAGAGAACATCTTGTATGTGCGGGGGCCACAAATAGTTCAGGCATTCAACTAAGCGCTCTGATGCATCGGTTTGTGCAGATATTAGGTGAACAATAAGCTTCCCTGAGGGAAACCTATTGGTAATTCGGCGTATCGAGAAAAGTATAACGCTGGTGTGCAGAAGTCAGAGCGTAGATTAGCACGTTATTTTTAGCGGTCGTTTTTAGCTCCACCTGAAGTGTCACGTCAGTCGAGCGCTGACAAAGCAGCCACTCAACGATACAACAAACGACCAAGTGGAACTTCCGCAAATGATGAACTGCCGGATGTTTTTGAAGCAGACAGACTCAGCTACTGTGTTTTTGGATGGACATGAACAGCCAAATCCGCATCTAGAACAGATGGATGTCAGATCTGTGCCAACTGGCCCTAGCCTAGAGACTAGGGTGAACGTGAAAAGTAAACCAGAGGGAACCCACGAATTCTACGTAGCCCCGAAGAGCCATCCTAGAGCGCATCTGGTTTCACTGCGGCAAATTAGGTCATATTATGGGGAACTGTAGGTATATTCCAAAATCCAAAGATTCTGAGCAACGGAACTGGGCATAGCGCAGGCATGCTGCCTGGTGATCCAAAAATTCGCCTCAGAATCAAAAAAGCTCTCCGTTCAGGCTGCGGCGCATTGAAGCGCGATATTGAAAATAGAGCCGCAGTTAAAGGATTCATTACAGCTCAGCTCCGCAATGAAACGAATTCAGCTTGATGGCCAAGAACTGGTGATATTACTTAACACTCCGTCAGAAGTGGATCGATTATATCAGGGTACGGCGCAGCAGTGCAACCTGCCTATTGAATCGCTAGCGCAGTCCCTACAGCTCGAGCTTTCTGACGCGCGGCAATATGTACGGATTGGCAATGGTATGGCAGTTTTGTGCCACTTCAAATGGGTATCTTGTCTTAGCAGCGTGGTTCATGACTTTTATTTTGGACTTGTGTACCATAATGTAATCTTACGCATGCCGTAGGTGACCCAATGGAGGGCACGCATGCGGCCACAGGAGCGCGCTGTGGATGTTAGTGTGCCAGGGAGCGCTGGGAAGAAGCAAGTGCTGGTTTTCTCACTAACTCCCGCATCATCTTTGGTGATCGAAGTGGAGTGGGCACCTCGATATCTTGAGCCAGAGCCTTTATGCAGATGGGTCAGCAGCACAGTAAGAGAAGACAGCTAAAAGATGTATTCCGTACTGGTAGCTCTCCAACTGGTCCTTTACTATGGAGCTCAATTTAACTTTCAGACGAGGAGCAGCAGGAGTGAAAATGCGTAAAGGAGCTCGCGTATGCGTTAAATAATGGTGAGCTTTTAACAGACTGGCCTGCTGCTGGCCATCCAGCACCGTACGAAGCAACTTCCCTAGCAAGCGCCAATCAGAGTTTCGCAGTGTCAGAAAACTCCACAGCATATACAGGAGACTAATTGGCGGGCGGGTGATCTCAAAAACCAAGGTACAGAAATCCAGCAGCGCTTTGGGTATAGGCTGTGTGTTGGTGTCGGAAAAGAACGGAAAGAGTCATGTGTGGGTCAACTTGGAGGCATCGAACCAGAATTTTGTGAAGCAGAAGATTCTGATACCTCATGTTGGCGAATTGCCTGACAAGCTACATGGTTCAGCAGTCTACTGAGCAAATCAACGTCAACAGTGCCTTCTTACAAACCACGCTGCAACCAGAGCATAGAAGGACAGATTTTCACTCGCACTCTCAGACTCGAGTACACCTGTATGCTCTTTGGTTTTGTCAATGCCCCAGCTGAGCTGCAAAGCCAAGTTTCTTGACCTCAATGCGCCCGTCAAGAGTGGCTGGCTGGCTGTCCACGTGAAAGGTACCTTAATAGCTAGCTGAGACGTTCAACAGCATCGAGAGCACCCACGGCGTGGGGTTGAGCTGTTGCTGGACAAGAAATGGTATGTGAAGGCCTGCAAATGTGGTTTTGTCCAAGAACACCCATCTTCTTGATAATTCCTGTTTTTGCCGCAAGGATCGACACAGCTACGGAAAAAACAGAAGCAACAAAGACGTGGCCTTTACCTTTTTGTACACTCAAGGACATTGTTAAGATTCATGGAGTTGCATGCTATTAGCGGAGGGTTATTCCTAGGCCTACCCAGATCGCTGCCCCATTGATTGATCAGCTCAAGGGTGCCCAGTCTACGCGCTGGACAAAAGAGGTCGATGCCAAAACAAGGGCGCTCCTCAGCCGACTTACAACCCCTCCAATACTTATGTAGCCCGATACTGAGCGCCATATCTTCCTAGCTACTGATATTAGTGACCCAGCGGTGAATTTTTTTTTCTCAGCAGGCTACGAGTACTCCAAAAACCAATTTTCTGTATGCTACTCCCATCGCTTCACTTAGGGCAAGCAGCAGCATTTAGTGCCAAAGGAGAGATACACGGTTTTGATGGGTGTCGGAAAGGCCGGCGCTATTAGTTCGGGGGTCATTGTAGGGTGTAGACCGATTTCGAGCCTTTAGTGTACCTGACGAGGAGTTTTCGTGCCTTGCAGAATCGTCGAGCTGCTTGCTGGCTTAGGCACCTCCTACAATACAACTCAACACTGAAGTTTGTCAAGAGCATCACGAAATTTTGTAGTCTCCGTGCTGTTTTGGCGCCCCATCCATTCGCTATTTCGCAGCACAGCCGCTCTTTTCTGGGATTATTTAAGCGTTTTATCAAACTTGCGTGAGTCCTGTGCCTTCGGCATCCATATATCCACCGACTCAATTAAACTTTAGAATGGGAAAGAGGCGAATCACTATCATGCCGAGGATGTCATACTGAAGCTTAAAACAAAGCGAGGGCTAGGTCGCCTGCAAACCCCGACTTCTCCTAGCAGTGATGGCTTGCTAAAGTCATATGATTATGTTCTGTGGGCTCCATCTTACAATTGAAACGTTTTTATGCTTCTTCTGGTACCATGAAATTCGTCTAGCAGCAGAGGAGTGTGCAATATTATGCCAAGATTGTCAGAAGCCGGAGTCGCACAACGCTCCTCTGCTATACCTTTCGTAATGTCTTCCGCTTAATAAAAACATTTGGACTGATTTGACAATAGGCTCGTTGCTGAATTGCCTGATGTCAACGGCTAGGATAGCGTCTAGGGGGCTGTCGAAGGGCTCGGCAAATTTTCCATTTCATCCCTTGGTCCAGTTCTCTTACGGCTAATGAACTCGTTCAACCTGTCCATCCTCACCTCTTGAAGCTTTACTGTATCCAGAGAAGTATTTAATGGATAGGAATCTGGAGTTTGTTAGTGTGGTCTGGCTTCCCCAAACGACCTGCCTACGCGTGAGCTATAATATGGGCGCTGCGAACCATCCTATGGCAGACTGGCAGGCAGAGCACACCAGTCGTGCTCTCCTGCAATGTATGCGATTCTTTGCTTCCATAAATTGATTCAACCAGCTTGTTTTCGATCATTATGCAGAGTATGCTGAATAAGCAACAAAATAACCATCTACTCGTTGTGTCCCCCGCTTCCCAGTCTACTGAGGAGACCGTCTAATATCGGATCGTAACCCTGGTGTTACAGAGTCAGCATCCACTCTTTGCTGCGGAGAGCTTTGGTGAAGTGCTGGCTAGTGCGCGCTAATGTATGCCCAAACTTTGAGAGAGAAAAACACGGACTTATGTGACGCGGCGGTCTGGGGTGCGTTTCGAGCATGGAAAGTTAGTTCTGGTGAATCGGCAGGCTTCACAAGATGCATGAACATTCTGTACACTTTTTCCGGAGGTGACCGGGCAAAGATGGTGCGCTCAGGTGGCTTCTATTGTTTGCCATCGTCTCACGAATCAATGCGCTTTCTCACTATCGATTCGACCCAAGTTGGAGGTGCCACAGAACAATCAGTACTGGCTTCAAACAGGAACTTCAAAACTCCCCCAATTATTCTGTGAGATAGCCGTGCGGCTAAGTGACCCATATGGGCATTTAGGATAAAAAACGAAGTCAAAGAGGTGCTGGATTTGGGGATTATTAAGCGCTGCCGACACAGTAGGCGGGAGCATCTGGTGTAATTGGGTGAGGCATGCCAACCCAGATGATCCACGGTAAAGCAGCTGCGGACTTCGCTGCCTGCTGGAGAATCTGCGGCTCCGCTTGAATAGTAAATTTAGTCGTCATGGACGGTATTTTTCGCATTTCTTGATAATTGTTCTTCCCCAGTATACGCCCTGCCTGACGTGGATACCCTCATCTACAGGTATCGCTTAGCAGGTTGCTGGTTGTTATTGTCAAGCTTTCGTCTACACTAGGACTCATGCACAGGCATTCTCAGGTATGGTCTCACTACATTTTCTCTCAGGCCTCTTGTGGAAGTTGAAAGTCTACTCTGCTTCATGCGTCGGCTATATGTGCACACAGACATTGCCTCATCAGGCGAAGAGGTAATCCTGAAAGAATACTTATCTTTGTTTCCTTCACGTAAGACGTTCGTAGCTTGTGTGCCTCTCTTCCCGTTGTTTTCGCTCCACCTTCTGGCACACAAATTTGCCTTTTCAGTGGCACTGCTTTCACGTTTCTGCCTGCTTGGGGAGCAACGATACGGTGGAAAATCTTCATCTACTCTTCATGCAATCGATATCAAAGTACAGGAGCAGACGACAGGCCGTGTGTGTGAAATGGTGCGCGGCGGAGGCGTGAAAAAGTTGCGGGCTAAATTACACCAAAGCACTTCCTACTGCACCAGTTATATTTAGGAGAGAATTAATTGCGAATTGGCCTATTCGTTTGTATGTCCTTATGTATTAGTTATTGCAGAGTACGGTTAGCTCGACAAAAGAAGGTGCAATGGTGTGTGTGTGTGTGTGTGTATGTATGTATGTATGTATGTAAAAGTCTGTGTGCGTGATTGTGGACTTGATGCAATATGCAGCTAGTTGCGAATGCTCGGACTGCTCAGCGGGTGCAGACGCGCTCGTCTTAGCTTCCTTTCTCCCTTCACAAATACTGGGAAACCAAAGAGTCAGAGCGCGGAGAGAAAACACTTTGAAACGACACAAACTTTCTGCGGGGCTTTGAACGGGCTTGGGAGTAGACGTGTCTCCCTATGGAGAGCTTAAATGGGGTGTAACAATATAAATTATTGAAACACAAAAGGCATTTAGATATTCCTCCCTACGTTCATGACCTGGGCCACCTAGGCTTCTCCTTGGACAAAATCTTTTCACCGATTGCGTAAAATTGGGTTACGACGTCTTTGCGGGGCCACGATCTGCCAAATTCCAATTAAACTAGGGAGTTTAGAGTATCTGTCTCATTACATGGTATCCTCTCTTCCCTTGTCCTCACCCAACAGGGCTACCATTTAAGGGGGCCGAGGATTGCTGCTGTGCACGTTGTCTGAAAGGCAGGACCCCAGGCCTTACAAAGCAGTTGCACACAGTTGCTGAGCCCACGAGTCCACGGCATACCTTTTTGTAATATGAAGGTAGGCGTGCTTTGTGGAAAATAGAATAAGAGCCCAATTGTAGGACCAAAACAGCAAGACCATCAGTATAATTGCTGTTCTGATTACCGTCCTACTGGTACTTTGCCTGCTACCGATTTGTCGGTCTTTTTTGTTTCTCTGATAAGCTATATGGGCTGTTTTATCTGACTTCTGCATGATTTCAGAGTGCAGTCAACGTGGAGTTGTACACTCCACCAAGCAAATCAGTCAGATTACTCCCCAGTTCCTTGTCCGCCGTAGCTCATGTTCTTTGGGCTCAAGGTCAAAGCGAATCTTTAACACAGGCGTAGAAGACTAACTATAGTTTTACTAAATACCTTAAAGCGTCCTGGGAAACGAGTTGCGATGGACTTTTGTGTGGCCAGTAGCACTGGTCATGCACCACTACCCCTGCTTTGCAGTTATACATATACATCCCAGGGGAAAACATCCGGCTCTAACTTGTCACTTCAAGTGAAACCATCTATTTTTGAATCCGAGTTTTCTGACAATTAGGGTAGCGCGGGGTTATTACAGGCAATACCATCTGCCGTATTGCTGTGAATACCCGAGAGCATTCACTACCCCAGCTGTCAACAAGACGGCACCGTCGATCATAAGCCGTGTCAGCTTTCTTTTCATGGGGTTTTTGATCTTGTGCTTATTTCGTTTCGAGCAGAAAATGGCTCGGGTTGCGCCTTGCACCGACTGCTAATTGGGATGGCTCACTGGTCCCCAAACTATGCAGACACTGTAGGGACCCACCAAAGAAGCAAACAAAGAAGCGTCAAGTGTCCACCTTGAATACTCACATTGTGCTCTAATTCGCTCCATTCAGCACCTATTGTGCACACTGATTATTCTTGACTCGGAATGGCATATACATGCACAGCAAATTAAACACTTGACGGTGGGGCGTGCGCATATTTTAAGACGGTCTTTACACCTGTGGGAGTGCACTCGTTACCATATTAAGGAGCAGGAAAAGCTCTGTGCGCCACGACTCAGCCTCGAAAACTGCAAATGAAATAACTGGAGGAACCGTCCGTTCTCGGTCCCCGTTTGTCTCCACCTGTTACTATTCTGTCAGTTCGCCTATCGTGACTCCATTTCTTTTGCGCAAAGAGGTATTCAGAGTAAGCAACCCCTAATACGGAAACCGTTGGCGGCGGCGAGCTTTCTCTGCCCTGTTCGGTATCCGGGGCTCCTCACAAACAGCTGTGTTCAGTCAGTTAGCTATGGCTGTACACCAAGAACGAAACCCTCTGTTGTCGCTTCGGTTGACCGATGCTAGACAACACGTGTACGCCAATAAAAATTCATTAAGGACATCTGCGCGATGTATCAAACGAGGAAAAGACATCTACAGTCAAGTAAATGTTGTAGGTACAGCCCAATCAATGTTCTGTCCAAATATTCCCTCGTGCTGCCTTCCAAGCAGCAACTAATACTGATGCAAAAGAGATCCCAAAACCAAAATAAGCACACATCTATGAAACCGGATGGGAGCAAACAGGAACACGAACACTATATGGAACAGGTGCACGCACAGCATCATCTGGAATCCTTATATACCCACAAGCATCCATTCCTTGTGTATCTTCCTTTGCCTGTATGCAGTGCTCACTCATAAATAAGTGCCATCAACCAAATAGCGATATAGTGCCATTTTTTCAGTGATCCTGAAAGACGAGGTTTCGCGATACTGGGGTTACTGATGGTTTTGCACTGACAAAGAAACTCGAGGGAAACGGTAACAGCGGCTGCATATTCGTTTTTATTCACCGTCAGATTCAGAACCAGATTCTACAGATCCCATTTTCCTGTTTGTTTGGCGAACCAGGTGAGTCACTTGCCGATTTGCCTTTTTCATATCTGGTGAGAGCATCTTCACAAGGGGTGTTGTAGTGATGGCTTTCCTTCCGTCGAGTTTGCTGCCAGGTCCTGTTGCAATTAGCATTTCGATGAGTTCGTGGGGAGGCACTGTTTCTGTATCTCCATCGTCATAGTCGATGCGGAACTGATTTGTAAAGTATGTGATTTGTTTTTCTTTATCCGTTTCTTCTTCCTTTTCTCCTCCCTTCCCCTTGCCACCTGATCCCTTGGCTTTCTTTCTAGACTCGGGCTCTGCGTCCCTCACCTCCGGTGCCACCGCTTGGTATTCCGTCACGCAGCCATAATACCATTTCAGCTTCTTCGGGTTTTCGGGATCCCGATACTTGCAGTCTACCCTTGTCTTCCCCAAGGTAACTGAAATTAGAGGAATACTACCCTTGGTCAACACTTCGCTTGCATGGACTTCTGGACCTTGAGGGTCTTCTGCACTGCGTCGCGCTGCAGTTGCGTGGATGCGAGGCTGCCTGGTGCCCGCCAGCAGGGCGTTCATACTTGCCTTTCTCTGCAGGGGGTTCATCCCTTCAAGCACCTGCTGCAGCTTCTCTCGGTGTTCCCGCTGAACAGTCAACAACGCGTCTTGGAAACAAGTCAGCAGTGCATCTTGTATTTGCGCAGGAGAGGCGAAATGGGGGTGATCCCAATTAGATGCTAGGTGCCTTTTTGTTAGTCGGCACACCTCAACACTTGCTTTTGCTCCGTATAATTTGTAACAACGCACACATGGCTGCAAAGAACCTAGCAATGTACGAGGCTCTACTAGCATCTCCGTCCGGCACCCCAGCAGCTCTTCACTTGACAGTTCGGAGACAGTTACGGCTACGGGACATGGCTGCATCTTGCTCTCTTTGCACTTTTCCCTGCTGTCTTTGTACACTCTCATCGGCTCCTGAACCACAAAACCTCCAGAACTTTTTCTCTCAGCCCCCGCTTCGGTGGTGTTCGCGGCCTCCCCACCTACAGCAACCTCCGTCGCTGTTGCTTCCTCGTTGCCCGTGCTACAGGCATCCATCGCTGCACCCTCGCCAGATAAATCTACTGCGGGTTCGACACACAAATTCGCAGTTTTGAGGGGAACGTCACTGTCAGCACCAGAGAGAGGGGACTCGGGGACTCCAGTGGAAAGCCCAGCCACCACGTCCCCAGGGAATCCGGGTTTGACCTCAAGTAGGGGGGTCTCTGAGACTTCCTTTGAGCTAGTGCTCTTGCCTTCGACAGTCTCGCAGGCAGAAGTGCCAGTATCGGCTGAGTGGATCGCTAGAGCTCCCTCGCTACCGGTTCGCCCTCCGATGACAGCCTCGCTGGCCTCAGTGTTGCCCCGAGAGGCAGAGCCATCTAGTTCCTGTGCAGATCCTTCCTCGCCCTTCGGTACAGGCAAGGGGCCGCATGAGGAAGCGCCTTGCTCCCCAAAGGCATTGACTAGCCCCTTTGAGCTTCGTGTGAAGTGGGGAGAGGTCTTTGGAGCCTTTCGCTGTCTCTTTGAAAGCAGAGCGCTGATAGATCCACGCCGTAAGGCCGATGGTCTGCGCTTAGTGATGGACGCAGAAGGGTCACTATTGTGAGTCCCTGTGGAATTATCTTTGACCTCCTGTTGTTCCTCCTTAGACCGCAACAGGCCTGGAGCAGCAGCTCGTACTTCCGCGATGGAATCGGAAGGAGACCGCAGCAGTAGCGGGTTGCCATCCCCGAGCACCCTTCGGGCCGTCCAATCAACAGAAAAGTTCATTGCAGCCGCCATCCTCTCCCACTGGAGCCGGCAAATACAGCAGTACCATTTGCAGTCCCCTTCAACAAACCATCGACACACGTCTTCGACTGTTTCTCCCCCGGTAATCAGACCAAACCCACCGGCAGGCAGAGCGGCCTCTCTGCTTTCAGGGACGGAAACGCTTGAAGTACCGATCGCACTCTGAGGGTCATCTGACGCTTTCTGCTGAAGGATCCACGGATCTCTGTGCTGTTGCTGTCCCTGTTCTTGTGCCTGCTGGTGCGGTTGTTGTTGTTGCTGCGTCCAGTGATCGCCACTGTGCGCTCCAAAAATACAACGAAGATGGCAGGGTCTGTCGCAGCCGTCGCAGTGAACGACCTGTTCTCCCCAACGAGGTGCTGTTTCTGTCGCATTTTCTGTCAGTTCCCCAAAATCCTGCGCTCGAGTCTCCAGCCTGCCTTCCGCTGTGTCCTGTTGCTTGCCCACTGCAGCCTTGCTGCTGTTCGGTGCAGCTTTTACGGGGGACCTGGCGGCAGAACTGGAGACCACGGGGATCTCGTCCGAATGACAGTACGGACAGACCTCCCCCATTCGAGCTCGTGTTTGCAGGGTAGCATCGCTATCCCTCACCACGCAATCTGCACTCCTTGCCGGGGCCAGAGTCTGTAGCATGCCAGAGGCGTAACACACACGTAAAACCAGCGCTGACGCAGCAGCGGAAATAGCACACGGTTGTATCCTTTACGGCATCAGCAAGATCAGCAGCAGACACCGCCGCACCTGATAGCCGCCAGTCTTTGCGCCTATCCGGTAGTCGAGGAGTTCGCGAGCAATGGCCTTGTGGGAGGCGTCCTGCACTCGGTTAAACCAATCATAACCGAAGTCCGCCAATACCTCATCCCCTGCAGGCACACGAATATCGGCAGCCCGCGTAAGTAAGCTTGGAGAAAAAATAAAAATGCGGTGCCTGGCTACCTCCCTCCGAAAGGCACTCAGTCTCCATGAAGACAGGTGGAAGACGTTGCGCCTAAAGCGTGAGGGAGGAGGGGCTAGGGAGAGTGAGGAACACAACGGCTAAAAAGAGCACACCCGGTTCAATTGCAACTCCGGGAATGGTGGTAAGAACGACGTGGGGCCAGCCGTCGACAAAGACTTGTTGCCACTCAGTGTTGCAGTGACAAATTCTGTCGCCAAGTAGTCCGATGGTTCCTAAAAAAAACGGGAAATTGCACCCCCACGCAAACCAACCAGCTTTAGATCTACATAATTTCCATTCACTTCATCAGTTGAGAAGGAAAGCTACCAAACAAGCCAAACAGCGAGAAGCCAGCAAACATCGACCGTTGAACAGGCGCAAAAACCGACATCAAGCAAAGGCAAACACCGTAGCAATCTATGATGAAGCAGCCCTTCTGATGACCTCTGTTGAAAGAGGCAAGGGAAGCTTCCTTCTCCAAACAAAAAGGAGGCAAGATCTAAGAAACACTCTTATTTGGAGCAAGAACAAACAAGGTTCATATACACCTCGAAGGAGGGAGAGAGACACACCATAGTGATTGACAAGGGACATTTGATTGCACGCGTCGTGCGAATCCAGTACCAACTCGCCACGCACAGGTAGTGCTACCCGCTTAATGTTGTGGGCCCCTGAAACCGCAACAACACATCTCGTACTCAAAAACTCCAAACCAAGTCTTTTATGACACAAGACACTGCTGAAAACAGAGCCAGAGCGCCGCCACCTGGGCCTGTCCGGTGGGAAAATCAGGCCAAAACTATTCTGTTGCCTAGTAGGCTCTTGTTCCGGCAACCAGTACATGGGAAAGCATCGAGGCGTGAACAAAAGAGGCTACTCAAAGAAGCGTCGGCTTCATTCCTAAAAGATAGACAGCAGCAATGCATAAAATGACACAAAGACAGCTGCACATAAACCCCAACCCCCCCTCCCCCCCCCCATTACCCAGCTGAAACAACAGTAACATGCATCCCACCAGTGACTTGGACTCGGCGTTTGCCTTCGCTCGCAGATTCTGCTGCATTTTTAGTAGCTGCCGTCGCTTTACTGGAATCAACTGCATTTTCACAAGTAGGCACCGATATCTTAGGGACGGCGGGAATGCCTTCGTCTCCTGAAGAGTCGCTCTCCCTCTCAAATTCTTCAGCCGCGCGCCAGGCCAATGCACAGAATGACAAGTCAAAAACGTATTCGAATCTGCACGCGTAGCACACATGCCGTTTTCTGCTTATGAAAACCCTGTTGACGCGATCTCTGCTCTGCTCTAACCATTTCTGTGCAGTCTTCTGCCCCCCGCTGCTTCTATCTTGTAATTCGAAGCCCAGCCTTTCAGAGGAAGACCTCGACTCCAGCTTCACGATAAGCTTCCATACACGCATGCGTCTATATATTCATGACCAAAAGCCTCCTTTTTACACAATTTACTGAGATGCGTTCATAAGAAGCCAGCAAAAAGAGGGGGGAGAGGGCAGGTAAAGAGGGCCAGCAACCGAAAAGAGCAGACTGCAGGCGCACAGCTGGCGAGATCCTGATGCAGCAAAAAGCATACCTCTGTTTGTTGGTGCTTCCCGCCCTGACGTGTCCTGTGTATTCTCCCAATATCTTTCTCTCCCTGGATGCCCTTAGTGGCTCCCTGCCAGCGTAGACTACGGTATAGCAGCTCTCCCCAGGCGGCGTTGCAAAGCGCACAGGATGGGTCGGATCGGTAACCCTGCAGACCAGCAAGTCGGGGTTCACGAAGCCGTGAACAACCGACATTATGCTATTCCACATATCCCGCATCGATGATCGGGACACCTGAAGAGCACATTCAGCACCTCAGAGGGGCATAATAGGCCGGAGGCAAGTGCCCCTAGGCAATAAATAAGAGCGCAAGAGACAGCGCAAGGCATCGAGGGCTAAGCAGCGACAGAGGTAGCACGAGGGAGCAGCGACACCCACAGTATGCTACTGAGACGGGGGTATATAACATTACAGTGTGAAAAGGTTTTTTCTTCTCGGCGGCAACGCCGGGGAAAAAGCAGATGAGGCATGGGCTGCCCACAGTCGATACGAACAGGAACGCAGGAACGGTACAGCAGCCGACAACACGCAGATCTAAAAACCATGGAAGCTGGGGAAGTGCCGGAGACAGCTGCATGCACTACGCGACGGAGTCAAGCCGCCGGAACGATCGGTTGGTGGATTCAAACACAGAGGCTACGCAGCTGACCTGGAGACCCCCACGCTTGAAGTCTGGACAGACAATGACGCTGTGCCATTTGCTATGTACCCATCCCTCCCGATTGTTGCCCCAGCCCTCGCATTGCCGCTGGAATGCCTCCAAAAGTCGCGCATGCTCAGATTCAGCGCGCTCGTCTCGCACCTGTGAAAACACAGAAAAGCCCGCATTGCTCACTCTTGACCCCATCAACCTAAAACAAGACAGGCTGAAGCCTCCATAAATGCTATCAAACAGGAAGAGGAAATGACAAGCGATATGGAGATTGAAGGAATTCAGAAAGGACAGGTTACGAGCGCATCAAATCGTTGACGACACACCATTTGACCAGAGCCCGCCAGCACGGAGAGAGAGGCACCAAGAACTAGGTTAGCCGAAATACACAACAAGCAATGAAGGATTCCATTTAGAAAAGGTAACAAGGTGGGGACAGGGACGAGTAGAATCAAAACCGTTCACCAGGCGCTTACCTGCGTAGCGGCCCACTGAAGTCTCCTTTCTTCTAGCACTTCCTTTAAGGTAACCGGCTCGAGACCCCTTGCCAAAAGGCTGTCGAGAAAGTCCTTAGACAGCTCAGGCAGCGAATCCTTCACCTTTCGCGCCTCCTCCAGCACTGCAGCAGCGGAGACAAACTTGCTGCTGCTCCCACCACAGCAACCTCCCGACCCAGACAAAATTGTAGTCCTCGCCTTACTGCGACAATTGAAGGGAGTTTTGGGGGGCACCCCTCCTACGCCTGTCTTCCGCTTCCGGCAGCCGGAAGAGCACTCGGAGACCAACGCCTCCTCTGGTTTTACTGAGGGGGGGCCCTGGGCCCCCTCATCTGCCCGGAAAGCAACAGCCACATTTGCCTGGGCCTGGTCATTCTCTTGGCTCGCATTTGGGCTGCAAGCAGCCGTTTTTACTGGTGGATGGTGCGTAAGACCCACGTCCACTTCCATTGGATCTACGGCAGGTGCAGACAGCACAAAAGGACTGCGCGGGGGGAAGGACGAGCAAAACAACAGCAGTGCGAATTGGAGCACCAGCCGTGCCGCTAGCAACTACCAAAACAAAGGCTAGCAGCAGTGTACTGTAGCAGGAAGACTGCAGAGACCGCGCAGCTGCAGCGGTCGCAAACAAGGTTACTGTTTACTAATGGCGGAAGTGGCAGCACCGTAGGCCCCCAGTAGAGCCCCGGAGGTTGCAACCGAAGGACTCAGTAGTAGAAATCAGAGAAGGGCCACCACACACTCAAGGAACTCTTGCGCCAGAACAAGTGCCGCGGTCTGATTCCGAGGTTCAAGGGGCGCTCCTGTAGGTGCTTGTTAGGGAAGAGTCCCCTGGCTTCTTTGGGGTTTGAGAGGCCTCTGATTACGGCAGCACCTCAGGAAGGGGGTCTCCGTGCCCCTCCAGGCGCAAGATTGATATCCCACGGAGCGAAATCGCAGGGCTCCTGCTAAGCAGAGGGCTGCTGCCGTGCGGAAAACAGCCTGGAGGAGAAAGCAAGGCGGCGTTGTGACCTCTGCATAAGCGCAGAGCGACAGTGGTTTAGCTGCCGATTCACTCCAGCAAAAACACAGCAAGGAGTTTAGTGTAGAGGTCGCTAAGCTATACGGGGGGGGGATCTTCGCAGTACGGGGGGCTGGGGCGTGAGGCGGGGGCTACCAACCGCTGCCAGCGTCTTCTGGTCTCTTTACTCTCTACTGAACAAACGACGTAGCTCACCCGTTTCTATTTCCAGTTTTTTCTCCCTCGAGTGTGTTTTCTCTCCCGCAGTATACTGCGATACGCGGCTGTCGCACCCCAACTGCAAATCCCCCCGACTCGTACGTACTCGGCAGTATACAAACACACACTTAGGGGGTCACCCCACCCTCCCCTGCAGTCCCCCCCTGGCAACTAGGCGAACAAACTCCTTGCTCGATTTTTAAGTTTAAAAATGTGTATCGTCTCCCGATTTAACACCCGGTCTGCTTCCTGCTAGTGCTAACGAGCAGCAGCAGAGGTCTTTTACCTCTACACGAGCTGCCTGTTTGCAGTACCTCCAGTGCGGGGCCTCTAGCGTCCTTTTGAGTTAAGTCGACGAGGTGACGCTACACCCCTTGCCCCTGCGATGCCCAATAATGCGGTTCTCCGCCTATTTCTGAGGGCCCCTAAAAGCGTCCCTGTCAAATTCGGGGCCATAACGCTGAAGTGTACACCACCTCACCCCTTGAGGTCCGAGGGGGTGAGTGCACAGAAGAAAGTGGGTAGCGGTGGAGGGCAAAGCCCCTTCTACGTGAAGAGTTTTTTTGTCTCACAATCCTAACCCGTGCATGCAGCTACTCTGAGTACCAATAACTTTTACCGCATGTAGAGGATGTGCAGTATACAGAGCTACAAAAGAGTAAAGGTCCTATATAGGCCATCCATTGCTCCAGCCCCCGAAAAAAGCAGAGTAAGGGATAGGATTCCTGCGAAACTTTAGTGTAGCTTGGTAGACGCTCATCCCTAGTTTAAACTGTCGCACAGTTTTTCTCTCTAATATATCAGGGCATCAACCCACCACGCCTACACAAAACAGCGCGAGGGAACAGTATTGTATGCATACATTTTCACAAACAAAGAATGCGCAGGTATCTCGCCGAAATTTGTACAAGATAAATAGGTCACCCGCTTTTCGGGAGCAGACAATCGGCCCCTGCTCCTAGCCAACATTGAGGCCTCTACATATAAAAGGTAAACATTCAAGGCCTAATGCCTCTACGCTGGATGCCGCAGTGCTGCAGAACGCGCATCCAGCAGTCAAGATTGTCACTTATTCTGCCTCGAAGAGATGGTTGAACTGAGGGTGGAAAGTCGCTGCAGTGGCTGCGTCTACGAGCTCCATATCTGCATCCGCGCCAAAAATACCGAACACTCAACAAAGGAATGCACGAATACATATGATGCGGCAAAATCGCACAGAAAACAAGCCGATTCGATGCACCGAATAGCAGTGACAATAATGGAGCAACTTCGAAGTCCTCCCGACACCCCATGCAAGACCAAGACTCCAGAAGCCAAGAAAATTTCCGAGTACAGGGGATGGCCTGTCTGAGTTATACGAACAAGACGTACCAATGTTGTCTCCAAGTGGGATAGTTTGGTCTGTGTCCTCCTGTTTGACCGTGAGGTCTTCTTGCACTGTGGCCACTACCTCAACATAACGACAAGGAGGTGGAGGCTCTCTAAAGAAGCACTTCACGCATCTACCTAAAGCAACAAAGGATAAGCCAAAGGCAACAGCGGCAACGGTATCAAGCAAAGCAAACGCGGCAGTAGCACTCTAAAGGAGTGTATGGGAGAAGGGAGCATGGACCCGGTGCGCTTTGCAGGCTCCTTTAGTGCATTTTCAGGAACGCCCTAAGAGCCGGGAGCACCTTCTGACGCTTCTATGATAATGGCATCGTCTTCAGCCTCCTTGATCTTTCCGACGAAACGAATTCTCCTCCCCACGAAATCACAAAGTCGGCCGTACGGCACCCGCCTGAGAAGAGCGACGGAGTGCGAAGCAATATGAACTCTGATATTCTATTAAGCCTAAATCTGTAATTTTCGGCGTATTTTATGGACATTAAACATGCCCTGGGCGAAGAGAGAAAACATGCGTGGGGTAACACCCAGGAAGTGGCCCGTCGGAGGAGGCCTGCAGCAAGCGGCAAGAAATCTTCACCTGGAAGCCTTATTGCCCTCCATTTGTCTGCAAATCAAATTGAAGTGTACAGGGAACAGCAGATCGAAGATTAAAGGAACTACAAGTCCTTGGGGGACTCCAAGGGGGCGGGTGGGTGAGCAGTGTGGCTGTAGTTGGGTCGTTGCGGTAGGCCATATCAGGAAAGGCAGGGCACGGCAGACAGGCGATGTCCACTTGTTTTTGCTATTTTATTATCCTTTATGTTTCATATTGATTGTAATATCTTGTTCAGGCGTACAGCAAGCAAAGTGTTTCCGCTCCAGTGAGAAAAAAGAGGATACAAGTTTCGGGGTCACCTCTAATACCACACCGCTGTCTGCACATTGAAGCGCACTACCACCCGGAATCCTCTAAAAGAATGTCGAAAGTCTGATAGCTGTAAGCCTGACAGCTCAATCGGTCAGCAGTCTTTAGCACATATCTGAGAAGGGTTCACTGACGTGGAAAGGTGGTGAAGGCGGAGGATAGAGATAAGTGCAATATGTACAATGGGAAAAGAAATATCACTCGCTCTTATTCAGGGCTTCCCTCAAAAAAGATATGCCCTGATGGGGCGAGATGCGTCCTGATCCCAGACACTCGTCTCCCCTATAAAACACAGCGACCTGCCCTGGCGCCAGACCAACATCGGGCTCATCCAGCAGCAGCTCAGCTTCTGCAGAGTACTCTCCAAGAGATCTGGAGACTCCCAGGCGACCCTCCGTTGCTGACAATATCTTGAACTTGTGCTTTGCTACGCCAACAAAGCCCGCGCTGTGTCTGACCTGTACAATCAAATCTGCGTTTTCCCCTGGGGGGCCACCCTGTGCGCCCCCAGGTGGCCTCCCCGATAGTATTGCCAAACCTTTCCGTGCAGCCGCAGCAGCTCTTGAGGCAGCATCAGCTGCTGCTGCATTACCTGTAAAAGGGCGTGGCCAGTTTTGGGAGTTCACCTGACTAGAAGCTGCAACAAACTCTGGAGGGGGAATTCCTCCAATCCATTGTATACTATCAACCCTTAGATGGGTCCGTAATTGCCTTAGCTTGATAGCGAGAAAGGCTCTCCGGTCTCCTTTTGCTGCACCCTCGAGGAGAGCGAGCCCTTTGTGCTCCCGTGATCCTGCAGCAACCGCTCGGACATGGGCCTCTGCCGCCTCCTCTTCTTCCCGACTAACAACGAAAAGAGCATTGGCCTCCGGATCCTTCCCTACGACGCTCCAGGGTCCTGAGAGTGTCGGGGGGCCACCGGAGGCGCCGCGACATCGGCGGCAGAGGACTGGGTCAAGAAGTGGCACCACTCCTTTTTGTTGCCCGGCAGTGAACCCCCAGAGGCCCCTATGACGTCCTATAAGGGTTCCAGATGGATAATGCATCACGGGACCCCCTTTATCCCCCAGAATATGGGAGAGAAAGGGCCCCACAGCGAGGGGCCCCAAGAAACAAAGGCCTTGACTGTCCGGTCGCTGGGCAGAGGGGAGTCTCCAACGAAGTGCTATCCTCCGCACCTGCGATACACAAAACCACTAGCAAGTGACAGTCGAAGTTCGCTCAAGGACGTCTCCAGCAGGAAGCGGAAGCAGGATTACACCCTAACACCTTGGCTACTCTCTTACAAAGCCGCCCCGAACCCCACCGCTAGCACCAGCAACAGAGCCTCGTTTACGGGGACAAAATCAAAAAATAACACGCGACGGCCGTTCTCCCTCACTTGGGTCTTGAGAAGGGGCCCCACAGGGAAGAGCACTCGGGATAGCTGGTGAAGAGTCAAACCGGAGAGAAAATATGACTGATCCTTTGCTCCGTCTGACCCCCTGAGCAACCGGGGGACCCCTGCGTAGCAGCACCACTAGTAAGTGAATGGGGCACTAAGCACTGCAACAAGACACCGTTATCCATTATAGATTACCAAGACTCTTAGACAACAATCCCCAAATCGACGTCACGAGTATCGGTCAAAGCAGGGCATGCTCTTGGCGCTGAAGCAGAGACCCAACAAAGAGAACTCCACTATTCTACTTTCCTGACGGTATCTTGGCAGAACAAGAGGCTTGTGTGCCGCAGCTCATGCACATCGTCAGCAACCACAGCAGTGGTAGCTGTCACTTTAGCAGCGTACCCTGCTGCATGCAAACTCTGGCGTAGTGGCCCGAGGCAATCTTGCCTTCAGTGTCGCCCAGAGCCTCCATGAATGCCCCAAACTTGACAAGGCGATTACAGCTCCAGTCGGGGTTTAGTGTGAGACCCGATCTGAGACAAAAAACAAACTCATCAGTTCTCGCGCAAAGGGACTATCTGCCATTGTATTATGAATATGAAATACACCTGCACCCCCTAACAGTAGCTCCATTAGACATTGTGACCATAAAGTTTGATCGACCAAGGCTTCAAGCTCCAAAAGGACTAATGACTAGCTCGCAGTCCCTTAATCCTTCCTGACACCCAAAGCAACTCCCGATGCCTAAAGGAGCCCAAGAAGAGACACCTAAGGTTCGTCTAGGATGTCTGCAGCGGGGTCCTTTGCCCATGCGGCGAACGGCCTTCTGACACTCGATCTTTCGAAACAGGCAACTGCAGTAGCGCTTCCTAGCTACTTAAGGCATAGGGCTGAAGAATGTCAAAACCTACCGGGCGCCTTCTAGGAATGCAGTAATAACCCTTTCCCAGTACTCCTGCTGCATAGGCACGACTTCTAATGCGAGTCCTGCGGCTGCTGATGCCAGTGATGCAGCCTCAACGTCCGCTCGCCACGGACACGCCGTTGCCGCAGCAGCGGCAGCAGCAGCTGCAGCAACAGTTCCCTCCTGCTGTAATTGTTGCTCCTGCAGTCCCTGTAGCTGCAGCTTGAGCTGCGCAGCCTCTGGTGCCCAAACCTTGAGAAAGACAGGTTTTGGCCTGAAGCCCCACTCGCGCAGCAGCATCAGGGAGACAGAAGAATCGACACCACCAGACACCAAGACATGCACTTCGTCCCCGGCTCCACCTGCAACAGGAAGCGACCTACGGCTCTGCTCTGACAAGGCTGCTGTGGCCACATCGTGCGTCATCAGGGACGTGGGAGGGCCTAGAGGTGGCACGCCAACGTCCGACGGATCAGAATCTCCCAAAGGAAGTTGGGAGTACCTCAAAGAGGCACCCACCAACGAGTTTTTGCCTTCTGGCACTTCTTCTGTGCGTCTTTTCGCTGCTCTAATTGGTGCATATGTAGCATCAGGGAGTCTCTCTGTTGACGCTGATGCCTGTACAGCTTTTACTGCCGCTATTGATTTAGGGCCCCACACCAACGCAGCACCTTCAGAGACTTCACAGCTAGAAGGCTCTTTATCTACAAAGAGTTGCTGTAACAAGTCACGGGTGGACTCAGCAAGAACCTGAAGGGCTGCACGGAGGCCTTTAACGCGAGTGTCCGGTAGAAGACCCACCAAGCTGCTACGCTGCAGCAACTGGGTCGGCCCCAGGGTTTCTAAGGCCCAAACGCCACAAGGGGGTCCCCCACTGAGGCCGCGGGAAAGCATGTACAACAGGCCTCCAACCACGAGTGAGTCACTCTTCGTTTGAATATGCACACGAACGCCCTCCCTTGCTGCAGTGCAGCACAATGGGTGGCTCATGCTTGTATTTCTTCTGGTGTAGCCAAAGGTTGCGGGGAGATGAAGTGACACTCTGACAAAAGCTGATGCTGCACAGCCGTTGACAGGCCTCCAAGAGTCGGCCAAGGTTAGAAGAGGAGACTCTACAGCTGCTGTTGCGTTTGTTGCTGATGACGGGGCTGCTACAATATTTGTTCCTTGAGACGTGTTTCTCTGCAGCGTCGAACCCGGCGTCTCCGAGGGCCTACAAAGTCTGGATCTTTCTGAGTGCCCATCTGGGGTGCCATGGGATCTCTCCAAGGATAGCTGCATCAATAGCTTTAAGCGGCTCTCTGCAGTGGGGGCCCTCCTGAGGGCCCTGGAGATTGAGAGCCATCTGCGGGCACCCCCAACTGCATCAGGGCCCACAGAAGGGATGCTTAGGCCTGTACAGGTGCAAAGAGATGTGTTTTCTGGCAATTCCGACACTGGTGGAAGTGAGACTTCTGCAGCTGGTGCTGCAAGGAAAGAGGCCTGCGCAGCAGCACGGAATTGGGGCCGCCGTGCATACGATTGTCTATATGCAACTGGGCAACAGGTACTATGCAAACGGCGGAGACTCCCGATACCCTGGAGTTTTGGGCCTAAATGGTTTCTCCCATAGGGGCGATATGTCAGCCACGACAGAGTCTGCTGAGGCTGCCCTGATACGGAGCCTCTGAGCCCCCCACATACAACTTGAAGGTTATTTTTAACTCCATACAAAGGACTCCAGAGACACAGGATGGAAGGAGCCCGTAGAGACCTTGCTGAAGTGGCCAAGGCATCTCCTATAGGCAGCGGCAAACAAAAAACTAGGGCAGCCCGAGCAAGACTCCACAGGGCTATGAGCCCCTGCATGACAGAGTCCCCCAGGGAGGTCGATGCTTTGAAACCCTTGAGGTTGTTAAACTGATGGTCCTTCTCACTGAGGAGGCGCGGTTTAACTAGGCCACCACTGACGCTGCCGCCCCCGTTGCTTCACTTCTCGATGATCCTAATTTTGCTGTCATGCCGGCTGCTGCGCTCAGCCTGCCGGGTCGATAATACCTCAAAGGTTTTGCTTGTAACTGGTCGTATCGGGCGATCAATGTCCGGAAACCTCCAAGATTCGGCAGCACTCCCCATTGAGGAACCGAGCGATCCAAGGGGGTTGCAGTAGCACGAACAATGAGGTTGTCGTGCCCATACACCAAAAAAAGAGCAAATGCAGACCCCACAAACTCATTGATGCTTCTTCTTTCCTACATTCTCAGGATTTCGCTTATTTGTTTCGGAGGAGCCTCCGTCACACACGTGGGGGGCTCTGGGACCACAGGGGCCTCCAAGAAGTTCACCCGAGACAGCGTAGAGCCCACCGAGCTAGGAGCTAGTGTCGCCTTTCTCTTAAAAGAAGATCGAACTGTTTACGATATGGGAAACGGCGGATGGAAGAGTACGCCGATAGAATGGCTCACCCGGTGAAGGCCCTTCAGCACGATCGCTTACTCGACAACAGGCTGAGCAGGGAATGGCCAGTTGTACAACAGCAGCAGTGCCAGCGGTGACAGGATTTGAAATCCGAGCACAATGAGCAAACGTTTCCGTGCAGCCAATGCAGCAGCAAGAGTCTAAGAGACAGCAGCAGGCGTCCCTGCTACCACCACTTAGGCCCCGATTGCTGGCCCTCCTGCTGCTGCTTTTCCTGCAGACAAGGCTTAGCCCTGCCTCTGGATTCGCGAGGGCTCCAAGCTTTGATGTCTTATTCCCTTCACAGGGCACCTCTGCCCCCCTTGCACGGCCACTTAAGGCAGTCAGCAGCGATTGCAGCAGGAACAACGACAGAAAGGAGACTAGCACATCTTTGAATTGCCCTCGTTGTGTGATACTTAGAGCAGATGATGAGGGCACTAAGGTGGTTGTTGGATGGAAAGAAGGACTTGTGGCCTCCAAACCCCCCAGTATTACAAAGCCGCCGACAGAAGCAGTTGATGTTGTGCCTGTGGAGGTGCGGATCGCACCGGAGACGCAAAAGGCCCTGGGGCTGTCACGTAAAACTCAGAAGCGTCATGTCTTTCTTCCTCTGTGTCTCCTAGGGCCCCTCGGTGGCCATGGAGCTGCCGAGGCGTATCACAATATCGAGTTGACTGCAAACTCCCCGGCCGACACTCATGACCCTCGGCATGAAGAGGAACCCACTATGCCTCCTACAGCTGGGGATACAAGGCCTCTGCGCCAGTCCCTGCTAGAGGCGCTAAAGCAGGCTGTATGCCGTGCCCTCAAGTGGAGGGTCAATTCGTGTTATGGGGCCCCCATGCAGCTGGTGGCTCGCGTGGCAAAACCGAAAATGGCGAGCCCCCCTACAATGCAGCCCTCTGACCAAGCGGTTAGTCAAACCTCTGACCAGCATGCTGCAGTTGGCCAGGCATCCGAGGTCATAGAAGGAGACCCTACTCCTCCGTCGCTGCCACTCAATTCCGATGAAGAGGTCCTGAGGGTTCTACAGGAACACTACGGGCCTCTTCTCACAAAATACGATCGCCATGCGCACGCCTCTGCGTGCAGCAGCAAAGCCAACAATAGTGCTGCCCTCAGTAGCGATGAGAGCAGCAACGATGGTACGATGAACAGCGCGGAGTGGGCCTCGTGTATTTCAGTCTTACGCATCTTGCGCCTACCCAGGGGCCCTAGGCTCTCTCTGGAGCTCCAGATAAAGCCTTCACTGCCTGACTTATCGTTTGCCATGAATGAAGCTACAGTGCTTATCCCTCCCCCTCCCCCGTTGGGAGAAATGAAAGCCCCTAAGGGGCCTACATATAGTGACAACGAGAACCCCCCTCCCTATCAGTTGTTGTCTTTGTACAAGTTCTTCCCGGTGAAGTCTCCCTCAGCGTTTGCCGAGCTGCTAAGGGCCCTTTGGGGACCTCGAGGTGTTCTTGGTAGGGTATATGTTGCTCCAGAAGGATTCAACGCGCAAGTTGCTGCCCCCTCAGTGGTGCTGCCTTGCATGACATCGGAAATGGAGCGGATACCTGGGCTAACGAGCGGCCTGCAGGTGACTCTCGACTGTCTTGTCCCCTTTGATCAGTATTGGAAGACCCCTCCTTTCGATGCTTTGCACATAAGAACTCGGCAACAGGTGCTCAGGGATGGTTTTGATGCCCCGTTGAATTGGGAAGATTGCGGAGAAGAAGTCGAGCCTGCGATCTGGCATCGGAAAGTGCGAGAAATGCTGCAGCAGCAGCAACAACAGCAAAGTCAACAGCAACAACAAGAGCAACCACAACAGCAGCAAAAACGAAAGCTAGTGCTCCTGGATATGCGAAACGCTAGCGAGTACGCTGTTGGCCACTTCAAGGGCGCTGAACGCGTAGACACCCCAACCTTTGCAGATTCGTTTTCTCCTGGTGGCCCCCTCGAAGCCGCGCTGTTGAGGGCTGGGGTGAAGCTGCCCCATGGAAGAGACTCATGCGTTCCGGGCAGCAGATGCAGCAGCAGTGGGGAGGACGTGGAGGTGATGATGTACTGCACAGGGGGCATCCGTTGTGTTAAGGCCGGGGCATTTGTGAGGCAAGTCCTGGGAATCCCGCGTGTCACTCGCCTGAAGGGGGGCATCCTGGCATATAAGAACTTTGTCAAGAACCTGCGCGGGGAGAGCCTTACAGATATAGGTGAACTTGCTGAACTGGACGCAGGGCCCTCGGCTCCCAGACACTTCGCACCTGCTGCCTCTCCGCTCAGCAGGGATGCAGGTTTCACAATAGTTGGCAAACAGGAGGAACAGACAGGGGGAGGGCCCTCAGCAACGGAAGGACAAGCCTCGGTTCCGGAAAGCCTATTTGTGGGAAGCAATTATGTGTTTGACCATCGGATGTGCCAGGAAGTAACTGCAGACATGTTGGCTCAGTGTGACCTGTGTAATGGACCCACGGGGCGCCTTTCCAATTGCAGCAACAGAAGCTGCGGCCGGCGAATGGCCATATGTGCTTCATGTTGCTCCTCTATCGGGATCTACTGCTCCTCAGCCTGCGCCGAAGAAGGAGCGAGACAAAAAGACAGAGACAACCACGCACGAAGACAAAGGCGCATGCAAGCCAGATACACGCACAACAGGTTTATGCAACAAAGAGGACTATGGGCCACCAGAGCACAGCAGCTCTTAGCGGCTCTCAAGCATGGCACCGCAACCAACATTCCACCACGTATGCCAGTTTATTCTTTAATGTGGTCTATATTAGCTTTGACACAGCTAGTGCAAGCCCTTTCGATAGGTTTCAAACACTGATCTCGGGGAAGAGGTGAAACGATGGCGTACTGGTTGGGCTGTGCGAGCCACTGCGTTTGTGCACATAATTCTTCTGCTGATACAGCGGACTCAAATGGTCCCCCTGATGAGGATTTTCGTGGCAGCGTGGAAGATAGTTTATCACGAGATCCCCGAGAGGACTGGCGAGAATGGAGCCACAGAGTGGCGGCTGATGCGTCGTCTCCCTCAGCACTGCATGCAGCTCTGCTCGAGCAGGGGCGGCAAACAGCTGAAAGCCTAACTGGGATTGGTAAAGATGGCCCGCAGTTTTGGTCGGGGCACTTGCAGTCTAGCATCCTCTCAGCCATCAGCAGACTCCAGAGACCCCGGTCAATCCTGGAGATCGGAGCCTTCGTGGGCATCTCCTGTAGGGCCCCTACAGCTGTATTAAAGTGCATCGGTGTTGCCTCGTCCCTACCCCCCATCTGTGGCGTTCGAGCACTCGTTCTGCATTAGATATTTTACCATTCTATGTGCTTCATGATTATACCTCCAGTTCTTACTGCTAGTGCTGCTGCCGGTATTGTTGTGCTGCTGCCGTTTATGTGTAATCTCCGTGCAGCCCTTGCTCTAGCGGAAGGCCTGGCCTGCGGGGAGGCAGAGAGGAAAGATTGCATTGGTCTCTTCGCCATAGAGCAGGACCCCAGAGCTGCGTCAGCAGCACGCAATCTCGTCAACGCTTCTCCGTGGAGCAGTCTGATTCATGTGATCGAAGCAGATGCGCTGGAACTGCTGCGGTCTTCCACTGCAGGCTCAGGGAAAATCTTAGACGGCCCGTCTTCTCCGGAAGGCATGCGGGTCTTCCGACCTCCAGAAAGAGGGTTTGACCTCATCTACCTGGATGCGGAAAAGAGAAGATACGCTGAGTATGTTAGGATTATTCTAAATCCTCAACGGCCCCTGCTGGCTCCAGAAGGGGCCCTTGTAATTGACAACACTCTTTGGCATAGGGGACAGGACGGCAGGAGGCCTTCCTGGTGGAGCGAGTTTGACACCGAAGGAGACTCTGCAAAGGCAAAGAGGTACAATAGGATTTCTGAGGACATGAAGGCCCTAAGAGACGCTTTGCGAAAGGATTCTCGTATTCTCCACGTGAGTTGCTTAACCGCATCGCCTCCTGCCTGCAGAATGGTGTCGCATTCTGCTCGACTCTCAAGCAGTGCGCTTCTTACCTTCTCGACAGCCTTCATTCCATTTAATGCGCATGTTGTTGAACTATAAATCTTAAACGTTGTGCTGCCAGTAGTCATTTGACGCACATCTACATCAGTAGAATAAAGGACTGTGTCGGTGTGTGCATTCTATGAAGGTACTGCTACCTGTTGGAGATGGTCTCTCAATCGTCACTTGGGCCAAGCAAGAGCCACCACTAAAGACTTACTAACCCTATCTTTATTATAAGATTCAGTTTCTATTGCTTTCTTGTCTTCTCGCACTTTTGTAGATAATTGATAGTCAATTGGAAGACAGGGAAAGGTGGGCTCCTTTGCAGAGCCTGTCACGCAATCATAGCACCAATACACAAATCTCTGCTTCGCTGCCCAAGCGCATCTTGCGTACTACTGCACCTGCTTGAAACCTGCTTCCTCACTTTCCATTCCTCGTTCGCTATCATTGGTGATCCTCTTTTCCTCTGTCGGCGGCTTCGAAAGTTCAGCACGATTGCCCCACATGCACGCAAGGGCACGTGGCGTCAGTGGTCACTGAAGGATTTTGTGCTGCAATGGCGCTTGATAATCAAACATGCATATATATCACAAGAAATCATCCTCTATGTCTGGGTTTACTGCTGGGGACATTCTCAAGGTACTGTGGGTGCTTAGGGTAGGGCATCATTCTCCCGTGGCGCAGGAACAAAGGAGGTGGCTATAATAGCGACTAAATATTGACGTGGGACTAGAGCACTTTGGCTCCTTACAGAGGTTTAAAAAGCTTGGATCTCAGCTTACGTATTTGACAGCTAAAAGTCATGGCAGAGCTCACCTAAGCCCTGAACTCTACGTCTCAAATGCTAAGCTGAAATGCAAGCTTAAGCGCCTTTGCTTTTAGACCACTAGTGTACATTATGCTGCTGAAACATCACTGTGCTATCAGTTCCATTTTCGCCATGTTTTGAGCCTTTACTCTTACTGCCGATGCGGCGGCTAGCGTGCAAATAGCAGGGCACCCAGAACCAGACGCTATCGCCGACTGACTCGTACTCTGACCGTGGATACACACATCCGATACTGTAAAGCGGTTCGACGGTCTTGTTGGGCGGACGAAAATACACACAAGGCGGATTACTGAATTGCGAATTGATTTTATTTGCTTTAGAACTGAGACCCGCATTTTACTGTTCTTGACGTGGCCCTCGCACTGCTTGCCCAACTAGTGCTGCTACTAGAGCTGCTGTCCCGATAAGCTTGTGTGTTTTTCCGCACAGCTGCTGCGAATATCTGGCGCGTGGAGTCAAACTGCCAGAATCTCTACCACTTTATGCTTCTTAACAATCGCAGCAGGAATGCCACACCAATAAGGCCGCGCTCTAACGCGCTAATCTTTTGCGGGTAACGTAGCACTTACGTTTCAAGAGATAACGTGTGTCCTGAAGACTTATGCGTCTGCCCCGTCCTAAAGCGATGGGGAGTTGTGACAGCCAGCTGTGTCTCATGGAGGCACTTACACCTGTAGCTAGAGAGAGAACTGTCCGCGGCAGAAACAACCATGTAAGCAACGCTAGAATCTGTTGGTCTCAGCAGGTGCCCTTGCTTTGCATGAATGAAGTAATTGTTACTGTTTTACTCCTCGACTAAAAAATCTCAGAATACCACCTCAAATATTCATCAGCTTCTCATGATTTGCATATGAAGTTTAACTGTAAGCATTCAAAGTAGCATTGGAGCGAGCGAACCATATGTTGTTATTGTTGAAAAATGTAACTGATGCCGTTCCACTTGCCTGAAGCATTGCATGTACCGTTTGGAGTGTTTGATCTGTTCATTTATACGCGCTGGGTGCTTGAAGGGTAGTGTTCCTATAGTACAGCTTCCCCAGTCTCGCAAGTGTACAACTAGCCCTCGTCCTTTGCAAAGACAAAACTGCATATGGACTGCGCCGCTCCAGCTGCTAGCTGGTGCCCTGGACATAAGAATACGAAATTTGGATAGGTGACAGTAAGCCCCATTCCTTATCGAATGTGTTTTCTATCCTCTCTCAATTGCCACGTAAGAGCGAAAGTGTTATTTCCAGGTGGGTACCGGAACAAGGCATGCAGAGCAGGCCAGTACTTCATCTCAAGGCGATGCACACACAACACAAACACAAAGCCTGCATTAATCTTGATAAACAAAGCACATAGGCTGGCTCCTGTTCTGGAGTGCGACTTTGGCCACTCTGCAGAGCATTCTTGCAGGCCATCGGCAGAGCAGGCTTTTACCTTCTCTGATCTCTCGAATGCTCAGTGCATTTAAGGTGAGGTGACATCACAATAACAACAATCAGGTCGCTGATCCAATATGGACCTTGTGCTGGCATCAACACCTGCAGCACCATCTTTCAACACCATGCCACAAATTTCATCTGCGACTCAGGATACATTGCCGTGCTCATTGTTCTGGGGTCCCCTGCTTCTAAATATGCAGATCATAGGACGCATTTGTGAGCGAAGTACCTCAGGGGGGACTGTCGGTACAAACGGAAATCAGACAGATATTCCAAACCTCATCAAACTGCAAAAGTTCGCAACAATAACTTTCGTACTTTAGAGTTTTCCGAAGCGTGCTACTGATCGTGCTTTTACTTCTGAAAGGCGATGCAAACCCGCGGTATCTTGCAAACGACAACTGCACGAGCACAATTCCGAGGCAGCCACCCAGCAGACTTCCGCTGCAGCCATATCGGCAACAGTGACGGGGAAGGCGTGATTTTTCCTCAGGAATTTTTGGCTGCTTAGAATAATAAAGATGCATCTCAGCTTCAAAATCCAATGCGGAATGTACTGGCTCCACTCGGCCTGACAGTCGACAACATATAGGCACCCTGCCTAGCTACGTCAGCGCCCATTTGTTTTTAAGGTCTCGCTACGACATTCGAATGCTACTACAGGAAGACTGCACTTCGCAGTATTTGCTCATCATCCATCGTCACGGGAGGTTCTGCGTGTTTGCTTCCTGATGGAAGGAATAGAAGCCTTCTAGCATGAATCTTACGTTGTAACAATGTCATCATTGGAAGCTGCTCTCCCCAAAACGTTTTATCTGCTCATCGTTGGGAGAGCCTGAAAAACGCAGTATTCATTGGGAGACAGCATTTGCTAAGGCACGGCTATTCCCTGAGTATTCTCAACCTTTGCAGTTCTCTGCTGTGTTCTTGTCGAAATGGTGCCTCGAGTTAGCGGTGCTCAGCAAAAGGTGAAAAGTGTCGACAATAACAGGTGGGGCGATTTAAGGAGCCAACACGCGTCATGAAGATTAATTCGGAGGCGACCGAAAGGCCTGCACGTGTAGGGAAGTCCCCAGTCCCAGTTTGATGGTGAATTCTTCAGGGCAACCGCGTGGACAATTCGTTTCCTATTCGGTTTTTTTAATATCCATTTGTGGCCTGTTTTGCCGCACATTCCGTATCTTGATTCTCGATTTTGCCTTCCGTTGTAATGTGTCCTTCATGACCTCATAATTGATTCTTAACTCCGACTCCTTCCACAGTCCCGCAGGGCCAACAAGTGCCTCTTGACTCCTCGGCCATGGAGAACTAGATGAGAGCGCGCAGACGGCAACACAAGGACCTAAAATAATTTCAAAGCAGCAGCATACTGCTGCCTCGTCTTTTCTTGCTAACTAGACTAGCTTACCCTACGGGAACTCGCAGCTGCATCAGGTAGGCTGGCAAACGAAAATGTGGGGCCTCTCTGCCAAAACATTCAGCATCCCGCTGGATGCCAATGAGAGAGCCATGTAGAGAGATACAGATGGCAGATTTCACAGAAACTGAAGACGCAGACAAGCACTGTTTCGCATGGGGAAACATCACGAGTAGATATTCCTGACCTAGCTGGCATCAAAATCTCACTAGTCAAAGTCAGACGCTTCAGATGTAGCGCGAATGGCAGCATCCTAAACAAAGCTTTGGAATAAGGAAACTTCAGGCAGCGAATGCTTTAGTACAAAAAGATAGAAAGTGCGAATACTTACGTTTAGGATTTAATGCAAATGAGTGAAGTGGAAAATGGGTTTTATGTCCTTTGCGTGCCTCCAGCGGCCTGTAGGAGCCAGAAACATCAGCATGCCAAGTGGGCCGGTTTCTAATTCTTATCAGGTTTTAACGTTCTGAGAAAACGTAGTTCCTAGTGGAGCAAAACTAATACAATCTTGTAAAGCAGACAGGATGGCCATTTCTCCTAGAGAAAGTGGAGATATGCAAGTAACATACGTATGGTGTCTCCCAGGCAGAGCGCCCTTCTTTATTCGCAAGTGTGACTGCTATTTGTGGCTATTTGTGTGTAATCCTATGCACCTCAACGCTTTTCTACTTTCTTTGCCGATATACCGCCTGTGCAGAACTCCTCCACGGGTTTTCATAAGGACGTATGCAACCAAAATCACGCCATAGCCTCCTGGAAAGTGCCAGGACCGCTATCAAAAATCTGCTCCTCTATCTTGGCTCCCGTCTCCCAGGATGACTGTAGATAGGAAACAAAGGCAGATTGAGAGCAAATAGCTACGGCCTCACAGTAAGTCCAAATTCTCCTACAATCTCACACAGTGACAATACGGAGAGGATCACACTGCATAATTGTATAGTGAGGGGATGAACCTCTTTCTCAGCATATTGAGCGTAGGAGTACTTGACTCACGTAGTAAAGCCTTTAAAACTAGGCCAGTTTAGTGGTAGAGGGCCTAGGGCACTCGATCCGCTCTATCCGGCTTCTCTTCCTGTAACTCCGTGTCTTTCTGTTTGTGCGCATTTCTTGACACGTAATTTCGGGTCATTCCTGTCCACTTCTTTCTCCCCTTACGATACTTCATCTGGAATGCCCAAATTACTTGACTCGCCTTCCAGTAGGCCACTGTAGAACTGCTATTATCGTCTCGATATGCAGATCCTACCCCAATAGCGTACCAAATTTTTAAAAAGGGGTATTATTCTTTGTTACCAAGAACCCCACCAAATGCATGACCTCACTTCAAGGGGCTTCGGCATAAGGGGTGTAGGATGCTTAGCATGCACATTGGTGAGCACTTTGGGTAGTCCCACCATGGATTCCCAGCTGCGCAGGGTGCCTTAGTGCTGAGATGTAAACTCACTTTTCTACATAATGCACTTATAGGCCTAGTACTTACTCAATAGTTCAAATTGATTCTAAACTAAGTATTACTAGTGTTGCTACAGCCTCAACGGCCAAAC